CCATTGTTGGCATGGTGATGTCTCTGCTTTTTAAGCTAGGCACCAAATGGCTCCTTAAACCAGGTTTGCAGTTGCGAAAACGGAATGCCTGGTTGCCATTTTGGGGCCGGATGGCTTGAAAGTTGTATTTTTCAGTACAGCTTTTTGGTTCCTGAAATTCATTCTGTGCGGATAAAATATAATGACTAGAATTCTAGAGGATGTGTTGCTAGTGTGTGAAAACAGTCAAGATCCAAGGATCTGCTGGCATGCACCTCCAGTTGGTGGAGACATCAGGCACCATCCTGGCACCTGAGCTTCTTCCCTTGGTTGCAAGTGGCCAATTGCAAGGTGCACAATGTGCCTGGCGAATTTCCAACGCTGGTCATAGTAGATAGCTTAATGAAGAGGCCAACCCAGTGTGCATTGGCCATGAAGAAGGCAGGTTCCATACTAGGGATCCTTGGGAAATGAATTGAAAAAAAAACTGCCAATATCATAACGCTATTATACAAATCTATGGTGTGAACAGATAGCTCAGTTGGTAGAGCATGAGACTCTTCATCTCAAGGCTGTGGGTTCAAGACCCATATTGGGTGAAAGATTCCTGTATTATAGGGGGTTGGACTAGATGACCCTCATGGTCCCTTCCAACTCTACAATCCTATGATTCTGTGAATGCATTTGGAATACTGTATACAGTTCTGGTCACCTCAAGAAGGATATTGCAAAGTTGAGAAAGGTTCAGAAAAGGGCAACCAAAACGATCAAGCGGGTGACCTATTAAAGAAAGGTTGCAGGATTTGGAACTTGTTAGTTTACATAAAGGGACGCGGGTGGCGCTGTGGGTTAAACCACAGAGCCTAGGACTTGCCGATAAGAAGGTCAGCGGTTCGAATCCCATGATGGGGTGAGCTCCCGTTGTTCGGTCCCTGCTCCTGCCAACCTAGCAGTTCGAAAGCACGTCAAAGTGCAAGTAGATAAATAGGTACCACTCCGGCGGGAAGGTAAATCGCGTTTCCGTGCGCTGCTCTGGTTCGCCAGAAGCGGCTTAGTCCTGCTGGCCACATGACCCGGAAGCTGTACGCCGGCTCCCTCGGCCAATAAAGCGAGATGAGTGGCGCAACCCCAGAGTCGGCCACGACTGGACCTAATGGTCAGGGGTCCCTTTACCTTTACCTAGTTTAGATAAAAAGCAAGTAAGAAACAACATGATAGTAATTTATGAAATTATGAATGGAGAAAATAGATAGAGAAGAGGTGTTTTCTGTCTCTCATAACACGAGAGCTCATGGACCTGCAGTGAAACTGAATGTGTGAGGATTCAGGACAGATTAAAAAAAGGGACTTCTTCTTGCAGCACATAGCTAAACTATGCTGCTGCATACCAGTTGCTGGGAAGAGTGCTCTGGTGCTTTGAATCCTGCTTGCAGGTTTCAGAAAGACAGCTGGTTGGCCACTGTGAGAACAGTAAAAAGGTAAAGGGACCCCTGACCATTAGGTCCAGTCATGACTGACTCTGGGGTTGCGGCGCTCATCTTGCTTTATTGGCCAAGGGAGCCGGCGTACAGCTTCCGGGTCATGTGGCCAGCATGACTAAGCCGCTTCTGGCGAACCAGAGCAGCGCACGGAAACACCATTTACCTTCCTGCCGGAGCGGTACCTATTTATCTACTTGCACTCTGACGTGCTTTCGAACTGCTAGGCTGGCAGGAGCTGGGACCGAGCAACGGGAGCTCACCCCGTCGCGGGGATTCGAATCACTGACCTTCTGATTGGCAAGCCCTAGGCTCTTTGGTTTAACCCACAGCGCCACCCGCGTCCCGTGAGAACAGTATGCTGGACTATGTGGGCCACTGGCCACATTCTTACTTGAGGAGGAAGTGCATAGGAATTAGTTTATATTCTGCCTTTCTCTCACCTTGGGACCCAAGGCAGCTGACATGTGGTTCCCAGACCATCATCTATCCAGGCAACAACCATACCTTGACTTGCTCAACTTCAGTAAGGTGGTGGTCTCTTGGTCTTCAGACCACACTTTAGAAGTGTGTGTCCCTAGGAGGGTGTTGCCAGGGTGGTGAGGGGTCTGGGAACCATGTCCTCTGAGGAAGTGGAGGGGCAACATCCCTAGGCCTCCACCATCTATTTTATGGGAAGTGATCATGTGATCAGCCTGCTCTCAAGGCAGCTTGCAGCTGAGTTCAGTAGACAACTATTGAATCTAACTGTGTCCATCACACCCTCAATTAATCGTGTTGTAAGGAAAATGCAGGTTATTAGGAGATTTGAAGAAGAGTTTGGATTTGATATCCCGCCTTTCACTCCCTTTAAGGAGTCTCAAAGCGGCTAACAATCTCCTTTCCCTTCCTCCCCCACAACAAACACTCTGTGGGGTGAGTGGGGCTGAGAGACTTCAAAGAAGTGTGACTGGCCCAAGGTCACCCAGCAGCCGCAGGTGGAGGAGCGGAGACGCGAACCCGGTTCTCCAGATTACGTGACTACTGCTCTTAACCACTACACCACACTGGCTCTCTTGATAGCTGAGAAAGAAAGTGCAGGTGATGGAGGCGGTTCTTCCTCTCCCCAATGGTTTGATGCTTTTTATTGATGTATATACTTTTGCTTTGTTTGAGATTTTTTGAATCATGATGCTTGTGTATGCCCCTTTTGAGCTGTAAAAAGAAGTCAATAATAATAATAATAATAATAATAATAATAATAATAATAATTCACTCTTTGTGCGGGTCTTCTTGTTTCAGATTTTTCATCTTCTTCTAAGGAGCAACCATGATTAGGGTTGGAATGGCAGAGAATGTGGTGGTGATGATGATGATGATGATAATAATAATAATTTATTATTTATACCCCACCCATCTGGCTGGGCTTCCCCAGCCACTCTGGGCGGCTTCCAAAAAAACATTAAAATACTGTAATACATCAAACATTAAAAGCTTCCCTAAACAGGGCTGCCTTCAGATGTCTTCTGAAAGTCTGGTAGTTGTTGTTCTCTTTGACATCTGGTGGGAGGGTGTTCCACAGGGAGGGTGCCACTACTGAGAAGGCCCTCTGCCTGGTTCCCTGTAACTTGGCTTCTCGCAGTGAGGAAACTGCCAGAAGGCCCTTGGCGCTGGACCTCCGTGTCCAGGTAGAATGATGGGGGTGGAGACGCTCCTTCAGATATACTGGACCGAGGCCGTTTAGGGCTTTAAAGGTCAGCACCAACACTTTGAATTGTGCTCGGAAACATGATGTGCCATGACTGGACTTGGGTTTGTCATGAACTGGTTGCATGACAACTTGGCAAGGCACTTTCTCCCTGCCTCGGTTCCACAATCATAGTAGCAATGACCAACATCATAGAGATGTTTTGAGGCCAAACACAACAAGGATTGGAGGGTCATGTACAAATTATTTGTTTTAAAGCCTTGAACTCTAAGTTTTAAAGCCTTGAACCCAAAAAAGCCACCTTTTACCACACAAACCTGTCCAAACACTACATTTATCTACAACTCCCTGCTCTAATCAGCGTCCCCACTCTCCCAAACTTGACAAGGGCTGACTGGGGAGAGTGCTATGGTGGTTGTGGCACCACTTATGCGAAATGCCCCTCCTAGCCTGTCCCCAAATGTTGCATCTTTTCTGCGTCAGGCAGAGACCCTCCTCTTTGTCCAGGCTTTCCAATAGGGTTGTGTACAGGTGTTAGTGGCTGTGTTGTTCTGTTGAATTCTGTTTATTTGTCTTGCCTTGCTCTTTTCGATTTTTAAAAATTCATTTCATTGTATTTGCTCCTTTTCCCTTTTAACATGTGGGCTGCCTGAGGTGTTTTGCACTGTAGGTAGCCTATAAATATGTTTAACAGCAAAATAATGAAGGACTTTGAGATCAGAGATGTGAGCTGTGGACATCATGATTTGTAACCTGACTTCGGGGGTGATTCTGTTGACAGGCGTAAGGGGCCCTGTGATTGTTACTGATGAGTTGCTTTCCCCCACCCCAAAGCAACTTATGGAAACAAACTTTAAAACCATGTACTGTATATTATCAAAAGACTCAGGAGAAAGGAAACTGAATGAATCTGTAAGCTGCGTAGTGCAGTGGTTTCCAATCCCAAACCTTTTCTCCCTCATGGACCCCTTTAAAATTGCTGGTGGTCTTGACAGATCACTTGCTGATCTTTCTGCCTGTTATAGAAGTTGCAATATGCTGTGCTTGGTGCTCTGTGATTTTTAACTGAGTTTTCATTGCTTCTTGTCTTATTCAGTGGTACCTCAGGTTACGAACTTAATTGGTTCCGGAGGTCCGTTCTTCACCTGAAACCGTTCTTAACCTGAGGTACCACTTTAGCTAATGGGGCCTCCCGCTGCCGCTGTGCCGCCGCACGATTTATGTTCTCATCCTGAGGTAAAGTTCTTAACCCAAGGTACTACTTCTGGGTTAGCAGAGTCTGTAACCCAAGGTGTTTGTAACCCGAGGTACCGCTGTATTGAATTCAAACTGCAATACAATAAAATGCAACAGAAGTAAACGAAGCAAGAAAAAATACAGTAAAAATCAGTATGAATGTTGAGTGCTGACATGCCACAGACCACCCAACTGATGCTCACAAACCACTGGTGGGTCATGGACCACAATTTGGGAAGCCCTGGCATAGTGCATCCCTTATTTTTAAGGCGATGGTGTTGGGGAAGAGGCACAGTCTATGGACAGCTCAGAGTGCCCCTGAGATAACTTCTTTACATCTCCATTTTCTTTTTAGGGGGTCTTGAAGATGGGCTCCGTCTAACAAGCGACGAGGAAGCAAGAAACTGCTGGATTGGGTCAATTGCGATGGAGAAGACCACTGAGGAGATGGTGGAATTATGGCTGCTATCCTGTGGCTTACCGTACACCAGGCATCCCCACCAGATCCGCAGTGCGCAGTGTTCAGAAGTGAAAAGGCTTGTTGAAGGTTATTAGGCCTGCTCCTCTTGTGTAGCCATTTTGAAGTTTGCAACCTCTGTCCCTCGTGAAAAGGAGGAACGATGACTTTTTATAGTTTCTGTTTGCTTCTCTTTGCGTTTACTTGGAATACCTCTGCCTATGCCTATGGACCGAATCAAAGGGCACAGAAGAAAGGAGACATTATTCTTGGGGGGCTGTTCCCCATTCATTTTGGAGTGGCTGCTAAACACCAGGATCTGAAATCTAGACCAGAATCCGTTGAATGCATAAGGTGAGCCCAAGCGAAAATGTGTTAACAGTCACTCACTCCCAAAGCCTGCTACCCACCAAGTTCAAACTAAGTGCTGTATTGCTAAGTAGTAAAGCCTTGTTCTGTTGTTATTTAAGTGGCCCAGCTTTCCAAGGCTGCAATCCTAATATACATTTAATAAATGAATGCTTTTTAGTTTCTGCCCAGGAACTGTTGGAATCGACCCTTAGAGGGAGCCTCCATAAAAATAACAACTTGGTAGCCAGTGGCTATGATTAGGGTGTTGGCTTCTGCTGAGGCTCTCCAGCAAGACTCCAGCAAGACTGATGTGAAAAAAAGGAAAGATTGCAGCCTACGAAAGAGGCATGGGGGACATAAGACTATAAATAGAATTATTATTTCCCTGCTTCCCATCCCTACCAGGCTTTGTGAACAACCAGAACGGTGTCTGGTAAGTTTGCATGCCCTGAAATGTAGTTTTACAGTTGATCTGTAGCTCTTAGGGAAAAAAGTGAATGTACATTTCAGTAGCTAGAGCAGGCTCCCAAACTCTGTTGCAATTCTTGTCCCTGCAAATGTGTAGGTGAAAGTTTCTTTACCATAGCTGTCAAGCGTCCCTTATTTGGCGGGACAGTCCCTTATCCCAGCACTGTGTCCCGCTGCTGTCCCTTATTGATGATGTCCCTTAAATTTCCCGGGTTTCAAAGGAAGCAGCTCCTCTCCCTTCCTTCCTCCCTGCCGGCCAGGGAGGAGGGAGGCTCCAACTGTGTTGCTTGGCTGGGCTGCTCACCCAATAAGGAGTCTAAGAACGACTGGGGGGGGGGTGGAGCTTGCATGCCTTGTGCTGATCAAATCAGCTGCGTTGCCTGGGGACTCGCCTTTGCTCAGCGCTTCCCAGCGGAGAGGTGACAGTGGTTTTCCTTCAGGCTTCGTTTGGCTGCTGGCTGGGCTTTCTGCCTTTGGCTCGGAGGGGCTCAGAAGTTGAACATACCTGTGCTCGGAAAATCCCTTATTTTGGCTGCTGATCCCTTATTTTTGAGGCTGCTGGTCCCTTATTTTCAAATCTGTAAGTTGACAGCTATGTTCTTTACCCAGCACTGGTATAGCACAGTGGTGGGCAAAGAAACTACAGATCAGCTGTGAAACTTCATTTCAGGGCATGCAAACGTATCAGACAAATACATAACCACCTCCTCCTTTGCTCCCACAGTAGGCAAAATTGGAGCAAAGTGCATTGGGAGCACTGAGGGAGGGTGGAGGAGGTTAAAACTACCTTGCTATTACTGGCCTGACTCTGAGAGCTCTCCACAGATGTGGGTGCTATTGCCCTGCATTCTGTTAGTGACTCGTGGAGGTCAGCAATTGGAGTGCTTGAAGCCGATTGGTTTTAGAACCATCACAAAAGTTCTAAATGCAAATAATTGTTTGGATTGACTAGGGGTCCAGGTGGCTAGGATAACTCCTAATGGGAATAATAATAGTTTTCCAGCCTACCTTTTGGAACCTACTTCCCCCAAATGACTAGAACCATGGCAGTGCAGTGCCTGCCCTCCCCCTGCATGTGCTATCCCTAAGAACAGGCATCCCCAAACTCGGCCCTCCAGCTGTTTCGGGACTACAACTCCCATCATCCCTAGCTAACAGGACCAGTGGTCAAGGATGATGGGAATTGTAGTCCCAAAACAGCTGGAGGGCCGAGTTTGGGGATGTCTGCCTAAGAAGCAGTTCCAGAAGGATACCTTGGTCAATAGGTATTTTTAAAAAATTGAGAGGTCCAGAAGAATCAACAACGTTACACATATCGCCTGTCACTATCAGAATTAATCTTGGTCGGTTTCAGCATGTATGAAATGGCCAGTTGTTCTGCAGTTTTGAGTTTACTTCTTTGAAATGAATAGAATCATAGCTCTTTGATGGAAAGATAGACTTTGGCCATGCTCCTTAGTTTACTCACACACTTGTTCTTCACTCTTATCCCCGCCTTCAAGCCAGTTGTCATTATTTTAATTTCCGCCCTCTTTTTCGTAGGTATAATTTTCGTGGTTTCCGTTGGCTTCAGGCCATGATCTTTGCCATTGAGGAAATTAATAACAGCCCAACGCTTCTTCCCAACATGACTCTTGGATACAGCATATTTGATACCTGCAACACGGTCTCCAAAGCCCTGGAAGCCACGCTGAGTTTTGTGGCCCAAAACAAGATAGACTCTCTGAATCTGGATGAGTTCTGCAATTGCTCAGAGCACATTCCCTCCACAATCGCAGTGGTGGGAGCAACTGGTTCTGGGATCTCTACTGCCGTGGCCAATCTTCTGGGTCTCTTTTACATACCTCAGGTACTGAATATATGCTACTCTTTTCCCGAATGTGGAATGTGTGTGTGTAGCATGGGGGCTTTTCAGCTCATTAACACCAAAGAGCATTCAAAATCCAAACTAAAAGCAGATAAAACAAATCACAGCCAGCAAGACTAAAGTACACAAAAGACTGGCAGAATAAAACTTGAACGTAATTTGTCGGCTACCTAAGTCCTGTCTCCATGTTGGCCATTTGTAATTGGGTTCTGCAGAGTTCTGTCTTTTCATGCTGGTTAGCATCTACTTGAAGCTGCTGGAGGCTATTGGCTGAATTCTGCTGTCAACAGTATGCTGATGACAAGAAGTTGTACCTCTCCTTTCCATCTTAAGACAGGGAAGCAATCTTATCTATTCACTTAAGATATTTCTTAACCACCCTTCATCAGAAGTTTCCAGGGTGGTGTATAACAAACCAGGGAAACAATTTGCACAATATATATATAGTCTCTCTCTCTCTCTCTCTCTCTCTCTCTCTCTCTCTCTCTCTCTCTCTGTGTGCATGTGTATGTGTGTGCGTCCCTAAAGGAGTCACAAATTAAAAGGAAGTCTAAAACACAAGGGAAATGAAGAATCAATTCTGACTAAAATTCCATCTAAAAGGATTTAATCTGGCACTGGAGAGACTGGATAATTGGCAGAATATATACAGTGGTACCTCAGGTTACAGACGCTTCAGGTTACAGACTCCGCTAACCCAGAAATAGTACCTCGGGTTAAGAACTTTGCTTCAGGATGAGAACAGAAATTGCGCAATGGCGGCGCAGCGGTAGCGGGAGGCCCCATTAGCTAAAGTGGTGATTCAGGTTAAGAACAGTTTCAGGTTAAGAACAGACCTCTAGAACAAATTAAGTACGTAACCAGAGGTACCACTGTACAGTGGTACCTCGGGTTAAGAATTAAGTACGTAACCAGAGGTACCACTGTACAGTGGTACCTTGGGTTAAGAACTTAATTCGTTCCGGAGGTCTGTTCTTAACCTGAAACTGTTCTTAACCTGAGGTACCACTTGGGAATTATGGGATCAGAACTACCTAAACAGTATAGAAATTTATTTATGTATGCGACCACAGCTGCAAGAATGTTATTTGCCCAAAATGAAAGGTAGAGGACGAGAGAAGAATGGTTACAGAAACTAATAGAGTATACAGAAATGGCAAAACTTACCAGAAGAATAAGAAATCAAGATAACAAACTTTTTAGAAAGGAATGGAAATAGTCTATTGAGTATTTACAAACAAACTGTAAACAGATCAAGATATTGGCAGGATTATTGTAAAAACCTGCAGTTTCAAAAATATATATGAGAATAGATAAATAAAGGAATAAGTTAAGATAATTTGGAGTATGCAGGAAAGGTCGAAAATAAATGTAAAGAATTGCAGAAAGGGGGAAGGGAGTCGAAGTCAGAAATGTTAAAATTATGGTTGAATCATTATTGTAATGTATATAAATGAAAACTATAAATAGAATTATATGTAAAAAAGGAGAAACTTTAATCCAGAGAACGCAGAAAATGCTCTGGTCAGTGGAAGTGCAGGCCTAGTGATAGGGATAGTTTGTTTTGGGTTAGGTAGCACTCTACATTTAAAAAATCAGGTTTGTAGATTGGGGGGTCTGATGTTGCTTATATAATGTCAGGCTGGGTATACACCAGACGTTTAAAGGACATGAATTCCCCCAGAGAATTCTGGGAGCTGTAGTTTGTTAAGGGTGCTGGAAACTGTAGTGCTCTGAGGGGTGAGCTACAGTTCCTAGGATTCTTTGTGCAAAGCCATGTGCTTTAAATCTATGGTATAGATTTGCTTTCAGATGGTAGTGGTGACCAGAAGTATCTTAAACTAGTGTGCCAACTAGTGTCTGTTCCTAGTCATGGTTGCACGTGGCTTCAGAAACTGGATTACTGTGAAGCACTCTGAGGGGGGCTGCCTTCGAAGAGTATTTGGACATCTGGTTCAAACTGCAGCTATCAGAATTGTAACGAGCTTTCCAATTCCTTTATACCAACCTCACTGGCTGCTTGTTTCATTTATGGGCCTAATTCAAGAGGCTGGTCATCATCTTTAAAGCAGTGGCGTAGCGTCAACTGCCGGCGCTTGGGGTGGGCAGACATGCCCCGGGCGGGGGACCGCCAGCCCAGCCCTTGCCACCGACACTGCCAGAGCAATCCCACCCCCACCGCAGCAAAGCAGGGCTGTGCTGAGTCACCTGCTTTAAAGCATATATAAAGGTAAAGGGATCCCTGACCATTAGGTCCAGTCGTGGCCGACTCTGGGGTTGTGCACTCATCTCACTCTATAGGCCGAGGAAGTTGGCGTTTGTCCGCAGACAACTTCTGGGTCATGTGGCCAGCAGGACTAAGCCGCTTCTGGCGAACCAGAGCAGCGCACAGAAACGCCGTTTACCTTCCTGCCAGAGCGGTACCTATTTATCTACTTGCACTTTGACGTGCTTTCGAACTGCTAGGTTGGCAGGAGCAGGGACTGAGCAACGGGAGCTCACTCCGTCATGGGGATTCGAACCGCCGACCTTCTGATCGGCAAGTCCTAGGCTCTGTGGTTTAACCCACAGCGCCACCCACGTCCCTTACTTAAAGCATATATACATATATACATATTAATGCACACACACATACACGTACATACACAAACATATACTGTATATATAAACACATATACATATATATAGATATATATTGTGCTGGGGTTGCAGCTGGGGTTTTGTGATTAGCTGGTGCATCTGTTAATAGCTTGTATTTGCTTGTTTTAATCGGCTTCGTTATATGGAAGTTTCAGTATGAGGCAACCAACAAATATGAGGATTATCTCCCACCACGTATTCTGCTCCATCCACTGTGATCAGCAGGAGTATCTTCTGTATATATCCTCCCACCATCTGGGCACAGTTGGTAGAAAAAAGGAACAAGGTCTTCTCTCTTGTTGCTCGTAAGCTGTAGATTTCCATGCCGTGCAGTTTTTATCTCCCGCCCCCGGCCTATTTGAAGAATTTTGTTTGTCCTTAGGCAAGCCTCTGCTTGATTCCCTGCCTTCACCTTTCTCTTGCATTTTAGTCTCATTCGGGTTCATGATATTTTTTCTGTGTGTTTTCTTCTGTATGCTGCAAATCTCTTGGGTGCTCCACTGGAGTAGAAAAATATAAAGCTTTAAAGTTAATTGGTCTGTTTATAAAATGTTTACAGTCCTAGTGTCACATATGCTATAATTTATTGGAGCATAAAATGAACGTAGTTGGTTCAAGGACAGCCCCGCATAGACCCTGTTGCAGTAATCAAGCCTGAAGGTCATGAGAGTATGGATTACTATTGCAAGGTTTCTCTGTTCCAAAGACGAGACACAGTGTTCAGAGCAGACATAGCATTCAGATGTTTAGTAATTTAGAAGTATAGAGAGTCTGTGATGTTGAAGTTGCGTGTCGAGGTCCCCAGGGCCACCCCAATAACTCACACATCACACAGATTTTTTGTTTAAGATTTTTGGCATAATTTTGGCCACAACTTTATTAAAATACAAATTTGTGAGTGGTTGCTTAGGCATTGGTTGCGACTATCTGCCCCCGCCATGGGGGACAGACTGACATTCCGCACAATGCAAAAGTCAGAATAGGGGAATATCCTTGGGGGTAGCGTCGGAGCAGGGAACCTGCCCTCAGCCCTCCCCAAATGCAACCAGGAGCTCATTGCTATGGCCCGAGCCCCCTTGACAGAGTGGACAAGCAATAGTTAGCCCCCGATTCCTTTAACGGAATCCCTTGCAGCAGCAGCATTAGAGGGGCAGGCACAGCCAATCCATGCCCCTCAACCAACCAAACCATAAACCAATGCCTAACCGCAACCTTACAAGTTGTGACAATTTGCTACGTAGTAGGCAAAAACCAAATGGCCCCAGCCAATCAGCCAGATGGACAAAATTCCTACCGGGCCCCTGCCCCAAGAGCAGACGACCCCATGACAGGCATAGCAAGGTCAAAGCGAACAACCCTAATTCTAGGAAGGGGAGGACGGGCAATCCGATGCACGGGCGAAAAGAGGAAGCCCTAGCCTCGTGCAAGGAGTTTTAGCATTTCTGGCTGTCAGTCAACAAATGGCAACATTAACTTCTTCCTAACAACAAGGGAAGCCCCAATCGCATCAGTGGCCAACGGTCAATTAGCCCGCCCCCAACTTTGGAGTGTCCTGGCGGCCCCCACCGCAACACGTGCTCTCCATGAAGGAGAACATGCTTTAGCAGTGGAAACTACGTCTCATTTGGAATCAGAGGGTTGCTTTGAACACCAGCACCCCAAAGCCCTCTTTTGTGCATTCACAAAAGGACTCTGTCCCACTGGTCCTGTCCCACCGGTATATGTGTGCAATATGCAGGGATATATGCAAGAAGGAAACCTAAGTGTGAGCTTCCACGTGATGGGAAACCCCTGCAATCAGGAATGCCTCCCCATTTACTGAAAGCATTTGATCCGTATTTAGAAGCTCAATTTGGAATTTATGGGTCTTCTAGGTTTGTCTTTGTTTGTAATGCTGGATCTCTTGGATGTGGCTTCCTGTCTGTGGGAGATACTAGTGCCAGCTTCTGCTGCTAGGAGAAAGATTAAAAATAATATATGTATAAGACCCAGCATAGGGTTCTTTTCTATTTACTCATCCCCCAGCTAACTCATTAGCAGTGGAGGCCGTGAAGGGCATATAATTTACTTGGCTCGCATAGATAAGGAGGGCAGAGAACTGGACATGATTAGGAGGAAAGTTTATTCTCCATCAGCTTTGGCTTTCCAAATTGCCAATTATCAAGCCATTATGGGAAGATACCAGTTGTTTTTATGGAAGCATATCTCATCTTTTTTCATGGAAGCGTATGTCACTCCCAGATGAGAAGCAGTTGGATAAGGTTCCGCAGACGGAAGCATTTAGACTGACCAAGCAGCAAATGAATACTGCTTGCCATCCAGCAGATTGCACGGGGAGGGAATATTGCTTCGTTTGCCTTTCTGAGAAAGCATGCATGACTTCTACCAAACGAGACAGAGAAGGCATGGGTGGAAGGTCATTCTCTCTCTTTTTCTTCCCCCTCACGCCCCCCATTTTGAGGGTTGCAAGTTGTTTAGTACTCCAAATGTCAGCCCTTTGGAGAAAGTCTTGAAGGAAACTTTCAGCACTGGATTTCTAGGAACGCTTGCATCTCTCGTTCTTTGAGAGGCAGTGTCAAGCAGGTTTTAGGTCAAGTAGATTGTTTAAGTCACCAAAGGGGAACCAGCAGCATTTGTTCCCAGTTCCAGAAGTTGAAGGCAAGTTTCATGAACAGATCAGTACAGACAGTGGACTCAAGAAGTGATTCTCAATATTGATTAAAAAGCGGGAGGGAGTCGTTGCCCCCACCCCGTGAATTCTAATGTGTGCTAAAGGCTGGTAAAGGTAAAGAGACCCCTGACCGTTCAGTCCAGTCGCGAACGACTCTGTGGTTGCGCGCTCATCTCGCTCTATAGGCCGAGGGAGCCGGTGTTTGTCCGCAGACAGCTTCCGGGTCATGTGGCCAGCATGACTAAGCCACTTCTGGCAAACCAGAGCAGCGCACAGAAATGCCTTCCCGCTGGAGCGGTACCTATTTATCTACTTGCACTTTGACGTGCTTTTGAACTGCTAGGTTGGCAGGAGCAGGGACCGAGCAACGGGAGCTCACCCCATTGCGGGGATTCGAACCGCCGACCTTCTGATCGGCAAGGCTCAGTGGTTTAGACCACAGCACTACCTGCGTCCCATGCAAAAGACTGGTAGCTGCATCAAATGGTAAGGCATCCTACATTAACCAGTTGATGAGCTGTCCAGCTGCATTAGCAAGGTGTGCTCTTGCATTTTAGAACTTCATGGCTGGAGTTGTCTTTTAAGGAACAGCTAGCTTGTATTTCCCAGTTTTCAGATTTTTTTCCAAAATTCTAACGTAAGTGTCTATATTTTGAAAGAAAGAAAATTGCTGTTTGCTGATAGCTTCTTCTCAGTGTATTCTATCAGAAAAAAATAAATAAATCCAAGGGTGTATTCTTGCTTCCAAGCCATAATAATAGGATGCTATAAATTCAAACCCAGAATGGTCAGATTACTACATTTTGTTTGTGGATTCATTGTTGTTGCAGTTATTGAGAACTATAGCCATATTTCTAAAGTGTGTGTTGAGGGAGCTGAGTGAGTTTCACACATAAATGCCAATGATATGAGACATCAGAAGATCAGCAGTTTAATATCTGTGTTATTTAAAACTCTCAGGTAGATGCCGCCTGGACATGGTAATTTGTTACTACAGTGGCACCTCAGGTTACATACGCTTCAAGTTACAGACTCCGCTAACCCAGAAATAGTGCTTCAGGTTAAGAACTTTGCTTCAGGATGAGAACAGAAATTGTGCTCCAGTGGCACGGCAGCAGCAGGAGGCCCCATTAGCTAAAGTGGTGCTTCAGGTTAAGAACAACTTCAGGTTAAGTACGGACCTCCGGAACAAATTAAGTACTTAACCCGAGGTACCACTGTATTTGACTGTCAGTAAGGCCACCCGTACTGACATCCCCGCGACGAATCCCCGCGACGACATCCACCCTTTCGAATCCCTGCAACGGGGTGAGCTCCCGTTGCTCGGTCCCTGCTCCTGCCAACCTAGCAGTTTGAAAGCACGTCAAAGTGCAAGTAGATAAATAGGTACCACTCCGGCGGGAAGGTAAACGACATTTCCGTATGCTGCTCTGGTTCGCCAGAAGTGGCTTAGTCATGCTGGCCACATGACCTGGAAGCTGTACGCCGGCTCCCTCGGCCAATAAAGCGAGATGAGCGCCGCAACCCCAGAGTCGGTCATGACTGGACCTAATGGTCAGGGGTGCCTTTACCTTTACTTTTAAGGCCACCCTAGAATGTTGTTTCCTGTCATTACTATTTGTCTTTGGACTCCATGCAAAAAGTCAATTCAGGCATGGTGTGCTTTGCATTTTCACAGTGAAGACACGCACAAATAATTTCTTCAGGGTTTTTTCCCCCTTTTCCTTTTGTTGTCCTGCTTTTGTGCACCTTTAATTCCCTTTATAGTCCTGGGTGTAATTATGTAGGACAACTTTCACACAATTAACATATGAACGGGGTTAATGAGGGGAGGGGAGCCAGACTGAGTGAGGGAAGAGGGGTTAATCAGAGTAGGATGAGATAGAGTATAGAACTAGGCCCCATCTGCACCATTCATTTAAAGCAGTATCATACCACTTTAAATAGTCATGGCTTACCTCAAAGAATTCTGGGAAATGCAGTTTATTAAGGGTGCTGAGAGTTGCTAGGAGACTCCTATTCCCCTCACAGAGCTGCAATTCCTGGAGTTCTCTGAGAACAGGAATTAAGAATTAAACTACACTCAGAACTGACCCATTTGTGGTCCCTGTGTGCTACACAGTCTTGTTTAGCACCCTAATTAAAACCTGCCCCTGTCAACTTCACATCTGCTGGTTGTATGTGTTCCACTTCAAAGTCATTGCGCACCCCAATTTTTATGCTCTCTTCCACCTATAACCAGTGACCACATTCATTTCTGTCCATTGCAGCACCTCTGCATGTGCAACTACATTGATAATACATTTAGAGCCTATGCAATGCACAATTTACAGCACATGACTTTCCCCAAGAGAATCCTGGGAACTGTAGTTTGTTGAGGGTATTGGGGGTTGTGAGTCTGGGGGAAAACTACAGGTCCCATGATTATCTGGGGGAAAGCATGAGCTTTAAATTTCTGTTGGATGCACTTCAAACATATGGTGAGGACCTGCCTAGTAGCCTAGATTATTTTATTTTATTTATTTAATGAATTTATAGACCACCCTAAAACTGGAGATCTCAGGGTGGTATCCTGATCAGTCCTTGGTTTCCTCCCTTTCGTTTCTGTCAAGAGTAAAGGAGGAGAGGAGGCAAAGTGTAACTTTTTCCCCCATGAGGAAAGGAGAAGGATTCTATGTGATTCATTTCTGTCCATTTTTCCATCTTATTGTCAGACTTCTTAATTATACAGTCTCAGCTGCCTATAAACTCTAATTCCAGCTTCCCACTGAGAATTCAATTTCAAGCATACGTTGGGGGGAATAAATAGTTACGCCCAACCTTTTTGTCTATGTAATTCTGGGTATTTTGCACCTTAGTAGATGGAGCATGAGACAAAGTTTGAGGTAACCAGGTGGAAAGACAGGCTATAACACCTTCAGAACGTTTTAAATGTTTGTGTTTGGGACATCGCTTTCCTCATACACCATAAGAATTCCAAGATGACAAGAGCAAAGGGAACCTTTGCTGACTTGCTGCTTTTACTCGGCTTGCTTAACTGCTTTTTCGCTGTCCCCTCTCGCAGGTTAGCTATGCTTCATCCAGCCGTCTGCTGAGCAACAGGAATGAGTACAAATCTTTCCTGCGTACCATACCCAACGACGAACACCAGGCCACCGCCATGGCAGACATTGTCGAATACTTCCGCTGGAACTGGGTGGGCACCATTGCGGCAGATGACAATTACGGACGGCCAGGAATTGAAAAGTTCAGGGAAGAGACCGAGGAGAGAAACATCTGCATTGACTTCAGTGAGCTCATCGCACAGTACTTGCCTGAGGACCAGATCCAGCAGGTGGTGAAAGTCATTGAGAATTCCACAGCGAAGGTGATAGTCGTTTTCTCAAGTGGGCCAGATCTGGAACCGCTGATCAAAGAGATTGTCACGCGTAACATCACTGGCAGGATTTGGCTGGCCAGTGAAGCCTGGGCCAGCAGTTCGCTGATAGCTATGCCAGAGTTCTTCCATGTCATGGGTGGCACCATCGGATTTGCTCTGAAGGCAGGGCAGATCCCCGGCTTCCGCAACTTTCTGCGGAAGGTGAATCCGAGGAAATCTGTGAACAATGGATTTATCAAAGAGTTTTGGGAGGAGACTTTTAACTGCTACCTGGCAGATGGCAACAAAAATTATCCAGGTTCTGCTTCTTTCCAGAAGAGCCGTGAAGAAGGCACTGGAGTTGGGAATGGCACAAGTGCCTTCCGCGCCCCCTGTACTGGGCACGAAAATATCACCAGTGTGGAGACTCCCTACATGGATTATACTCACCTGCGGATATCTTACAATGTATACTTGGCCGTATACTCCATTGCCCATGCTTTGCAGGATATATACACTTGCACCCCTGGGAAAGGACTGTTCACCAATGGGTCATGTGCTGACATCAAGAAAGTGGAAGCATGGCAGGTAAATTTTTCCGCCGCAGTTACAGAATTGCTGTACGCTGGGTTTACAAGACACAAAATTGAACACCATATATGCATTGTTAGAGGTATTCTTCAGTGCTTTTAGCAAGAGCCTAACCATGGGAGGTGTGGCGTGTTGGGTGATACATTCCCCTCTGGTTTCACAGACCCTACCAATAAGCCAGTGTATCTCAAACCTGGGTCTCCAGGTTGTTGGGCTACAACCCCCATCATCCGTGACACTGGTTCTGCTAGCTAGGGATGATTGGAGTTGTAGTCAAATAACAGCTGGACACCCAAGTTTGAGAAACACTAATAGGCTATGCTTGGCAATACCCTCCCCTGTTTTTGTTGTCGGAGGACACATAGGAGCCATCATGGAATATATCGGCATGCAGGAAGAGGAGACTCTCTTCAGGGGTTAGGGCAGAGGAGGACATGGCAGGGAGCCAAATCGTTTAGCTCACTGGTCTTCAGCTGTTGAGTCACAGCTTGAACCAAGGTAGGTTGCAACAGGAGCACCACCACCATGCAAATATTTGGTAAAAGATAAAGAAATGGGTCCCAAAATGCATGTTTGGGTTAAAAGTGGGTCCTGGGTCTGGAAAGGCTGAAGATGCTTGCTCTAGCTCACATTTTGAGTCATTTCTACTATCTTTCTCCCTCTCTGCTACATTGGTTTGTTTAGTGATCCATCCATCCATCCACTTTCACCCACCCAACTTCTTCATTCTGTTATTCTTCTCCACTTACTCTTTCAGGTTTCATGCACTGCTCCTTTTTATGTCCTTCAAAAAGCTTTCCTATTCCTTCTCTTCTCTTCTCTCTGTTTCTTCAGCGTCTCAGAAGCTCCCTAAATCTCTGGTTCAGCACGTTAGGGCTAAACCTTCGCAGGAAGGATTCACCCAAGAAGAAGATCTGGTATAGTGTGGCAGATGAGCGCTGCCTCTCCAGCGTTGCCATGTGGATTATTCATTCTGCCATGCCTCCATCTCTTCTGCTCTCTCCCACCCACTGATAAAGGAGGTGGGGTGGTAGCTCAGCAATTTGAATGTGGGGGTGCTCTAGGGCTTGTAGATATCAGATGAGCTCAAGAATCATATACAGTGGTACCTTGGTTTGCATACGTCTTGGTTTGCATACGTTTTGAATTACAAACACGTCAAACCCGGAAGTGCATGTCCCTGTTTGCAACCTTTTTTTGGATTACGAACAAATTTTTTGGGGAGGCCCCATTGGCGAAAGCACGCCTTGGGTTACAATTTGTTTTGGTTTACAAACGGACCTCCAGAACAGATTATGGTTGTAAACCAAGGTACCACTGTATATTTCTTTTAAAATTCCCCATGTGTGTTGGGCACATACACTTTCATTCAATAATATGCCTCTTTCATTTTTGTTCTTCCTCTCTGCTGTCTCTAAGGGAAGGTTTTCATGTCTGTGCATCATAATGAGTACTGCATCCCACCCCCTTGATAGGGTGAGCTGCACCTGAATTTTAGAGGCATTGTGTTATTATGGGATTGAGGGGGTTGGTTTGGATGCCGGTTTGGTCTCCTCCAGGCCTGTGGTATTGTATCTGTAGGGTGGGATTCTGTAGTAGAAGGAACTGCTGAAGTGGTCAAACCAGTCTCTTAGTTACCATATTTTTCGCTCTATAAGACGCACCAGACCATAAGACGCACCTCGTTTTTGGAGGAGGAAAAGAAGAAAAAATATATTCTGAATCTTAGAAGCCAGAACAGCAAGAGCGATCGCTGCGCAGCGAAAGCAGCAATCCCTCTTGCTGTTCTGGCTTCTGGGATAGCTGCGCAGCCTGCATTCGCTCCATAAGACGCACACACATTTCCCCTTACTTTTTAGGAGGGAAAAAGTGAGTCTTATAGAGCAAAAAATACGGTAAGTTAATGGCTGTTTTCAAGGCTGTTAAGCATCTTATTTACATGACTAAAGAGTTGGCCTGTTGGCTATTAAGCAGCTTGTGATTCCTTTCTTACTCATATTCAAATTTTATACCGCCTTTTATCTGAAGATTCCAGGGCACAGTACAACATTAAAAGCATCATTTACATAGCACAATAATAATAATTAATAAATAAAACAACCACAGAAAAAGAAATAATAATAACAGTCCCCCGCCCCGCTTTTAAAAAGCCATACATTGCTTAATGGCCAAAGGTCTGGATAAAGAGGAGTGTTTTCACCTGGCACCTAAAGATGGCACCAGGCAAGCCTCTCTGGGGAGAGCATTCTACAACCAGGGAGCCACCACCTAAGGGCCCCGTTTTCATGTTGTCAACCTCTAAACCTCTCAGGGACCAGGGACACAGAGAAAGGCCTCAGATGACAAGCCCTGGGTTCGGGTCGGTTCATATGGGGAGAGGGGGTCCTTAATATATTGAGGTCGTGAGCAGTGACTGCTTTCAGAAGTAGAGTGCAGGCGTCCCCCCCACCTCTCCTGGCTTAAGGTCATGTCATACAAGGTGCTGGATAATAACAGACCAGAGCCCAGTTTTTGACTAGTCTTATCTAAAGCTGGGAAGACACAGAGGCTTGACTTGCTCCCTGTTCTGAAACTCACTGGTGGAACAAGATCTGTTGGAGGGGCCGACAGCATTAACACCCCATCTTATGTTCAGCTTGTATAGATGTGTCAATAAAACCATATGTCACAAGACACCACAGTCTCCAGAGACTTTCATTCAAAGGAAACGGAATCCCTGAAGTCTCTCACTGCTGTGGGATTAGTGATGAATGCGTAGGGTCTGGGTCTCTCCTTCCTGGGGTTGCTAATGAGGGTATTCATGAGCACTGGGTTGGTAACCCCCAGAGTACATTGTACTATAAAGGAGAGGATTTTTTTCACATGGGATGCAGGTGGCGCTGTGGGTTAAAGCACAGAGCCTAGGACTTGCCAATCAGAAGGTTGGCAGTTTGAATCCCCGTGACTGGGTGAGCTCCCGTTGCTCGGTCCCTGCTTCTGCCAACCTAGCAGTTCGAAAGCACGTCAAAGTGCAAGTAGATAAATAGGTACCGCTCCGGCGGGAAGGTGAACGGCGTTTCCGTGCGCTGCTCTGGTTTGCCAGAAGCGGCTTAGTCACGCTGGCCACATGACCCGGAAGCTGTATGCCGGCTCCCTCGGCCAGTAAAGCGAGGTGAGCACTGCAACCCCAGAGTCGGTCATGACTGGACCTAATGGTCAGGGGCCCCTTTACCTAGCAAGATGTGTGCAGCAAATCCAGTGTTTGTAGCTATCCCCATATAAAGTTCACCCTGAAGTTCTCCCTCTGCGCTTGTACCAGAGTAGATGACCGTGTTCAGAAAGCAAGTGGCACTCTTGTTGGTGGGAACTGGCTGTTTTGTCCTGGTGTTGTTTAAATTGTGAGGAGTTGTAGCAGATGACTTAGCAAGTCATCCATAAAATATTCGCAGAGGGAGGCTGGTAGTTTGACTCTGTGTCATCGGGTTCATCTAATGGGAAACTCCTGAGCGTCAACGAAACACTTATTTCAGCAGATTAATCTCTGTAAAACACTGGTGCGCTTCATGTAGTGACATTTGCCTTTCCATTAATCAATAGATGGACTTTACCAGGGATTTTTTTATATAGATACAGTGGTGCCTCGCAAGACGAAATTAATCCGTTCCGCAAGAGTCTTCGTCTAGCGGTTTTTTCGTCTTGCGAAGCAAGCCCATTGACGGATTAGCGCTATTAGCGCTATCAGCTGTTTAGCGGCTATTAAAGGCTTAAAGGCTTAGGGGATTAGCTGCTAAAAGGCTATTAAAGGCTATTAAAGGCTTAGCAGATTAGATAAAGGGGGAAAAGCGAAAAAAATCTCTAGACTCGCAAGGTATTTTCGTCTTGCGAAGCAAGCCCATAGGGGAATTCGTCCTGCGAAGCAACTTCAAAACGGAAAACCCTTTCGTCTAGCGGTTTTTCCGTCTTGCGAGGCATTCGTCTTGCGGGGCACCACTGTATAAAATAATTCAAAGTCCATATTCTTTTCAGTCTTAGGAAAACAGTAGGTGGATCTGATAGATTAGTTGTAGAGCGCGTGGTTTGCATATGTGATCAGTATTATTATTATTATTATTATTATTATTTATCAGTTGCTTTCCTCAAAAAAGCATCTCAAAGCGACTTTACAAACAGTAAAACAAAATTACAAAAAACGCAACTAATTAAAAACCTAAAACACATCCACACACCCCTGTACAATTAAAAGGTAGGTCTTACAGTTGCTGCCTCACTTCAAATTAAGAGCTGAAAGCTGAAGAAAAGGGAAAGCTTTTGCCTGGTGCTTAAAATTGGATAAAGATGGCACCACTGAACATCATGATGTGTCATGGTTTTATTGTCACTAGCACAATATATACTATTTTGTACTTGAAGGAGGGAAGTAGGAGTGTATGGTTGAAATTATGGTTGACAGCAAGATAGGAAATACTGTTAATATAGGAGATGATTTGGGAAAAAGCACACCGTGAATGCCGTGACAGGAACTGCCATAACAGAAATGGAAAGGGAGTTAGGAGTTCACAATTTAAGGTGATGTATTGACTGGAAATAGGGATGCGGGTGGCGCTGTGGGTTAAACCACAGAGCCTAGGACTTGCCGATCAGAAGGTCGGCGGTTCGAATCCCCGCGACGGGGTGAGCTCCCGTTGCTCGGTCCCTGCTCCTGCCAACCCAGCAGTTCGAAAGCACATCAAAGTGCAAGTAGATAAATAGGTACCGCTTCAGTGGGAAGGTAAACGGCGTTTCCGTGCGCTGCTCTGGTTCGCCAGAAGCGGCTTAGTCATGCTGGCCACATGACCCGGAAGCTGGACGCCGGCTCCCTCGGCCAATAAAGCGAGATGAGCGCCACAACCCCAGAGTCGGGCACGACTGGACCTAATGGTCAGGGGTCCCTTTACCTTTTTATTGACTGGAAATAACAGAACAGGATATGGATCTTAAGATATGGGTTAATTCATAAATGACTATAGTTTCAGAGAGTAGCATCAGCCCCGTGACATTTTTGCTGTGAGGTCCCAAAGGGTATTATTTGTTCCCCAATTTTAACATCTACATGAAGTCGTGGGGAATGGTCACTGGAAAATTTGGAGAGAGGCTTCACTGGCGTGTTGATGAAACACAGCTCTGTTTCTCTGTTGTGTCTGAGTCAGGACAGGACCCAGACTATGACAATGCCACAGATGGGAGACTTAGGTTGAGAGAATAGCAGCTTGCCTATAGCCACTGTGAGCATTCATTCACAAAAGAAGCTGCCATTCATCATTCAGTCAAGTCGCCTATTTGATGGTTGTTTTTTGGTGGCATGCTGGACTGCAGTTTGTCCATTATCATGACTGATAGCTTAGTAATGTCCTTCACACATGTTTGCCCAGCAGTAAGTCTCACTGAGCTAAATGGAGTGTACTCCCAAATAAATGTGCATAGACTTGCCTTCTTAGCACCTTATGAACTACAGTACATTAAAAAAATAAAATAAAGCTTACTAGAACGTCTTCTAATGCTGTAAACCATCTTGAGATTAGTGTGGAAGATTATATATAAATGTGTTTTTTAAAAATGCTATGGGTTGTATCCAACAATAAGTCTTCCCCACAGTAGACCCAGTACAGTTTATGTACCCAAGTTAGTCATGTCTACTAATTTTAACAGAGCAGGTCTACTCTGAATAGGATTAATATTGCATATATTGTCGTAGAATTGTATCCAAGTGGGACCCTGCATCAGTGTGCTTTAATGGTACAGTGGTACCTTGGGTTACATACGCTTCAGGTTACATACGCTTCAGGTTACAGACTCCGCTAGCCCAGAAATAGTACCTCGGGTTAAGAACTTTGCTTCAGGATGAGAACAGAAATCGTGCGGCGGCGGTGGCAGCAGCAGCAGGAGGCTCCATTAGCTAAAGTGGTGCTTCAGGTTTCAGGTTAAGAATGGACCTCCCGAACGAATTAAGCACTTAACCCGAGGTACCACTGTATAGCATGTATATATGCAACCTACAGAATGTTTGAAGATGGTTTTTCAGTGGGAAATGACAACTGTGTGGTATGGATGGCTGGAACAGAAGGACTGAGATGATGCTCTCCAGGAAACCCACACATACCCAGACGTATTGGTGCTTCCACATAGCAGTTTATTATGGACTTGTGCTGCTCGTTCATGCTAGTTTTGTGTAGCATCTACATGATGCCATCCTCAGATTTTCCCATTTAATCCAGATTTACTGTTTCTGTGGGGCCTTTTTAGTTGACAGATTTTCTGCAGAAATGGTAAATCTGGATTAATGTGGGGCAGGGGAGAGAGAGAGAGAGTGAAAGGCAATTTGATTGGAGTTACGTTGCGTGGATTCTGCAAAAAACCCCAAAAAGCGTGAATGAGCAGCTTGTGAGTCCTCAATGAACTGCCACGAAGAAGCACCCTTTGTTCCCCTGCCCTCCTGTTCCAACCACTGCCCTAGTCATTGTCATTGCTCCTGCAAAGTCATCTTCAAACATTCTGCAGGCTACAAAGGGCTGCCGTACGTCCAGAAAATCCTGGACATCGCTGGGATTTTGATTCTGAAAATGGTGTCCGGGCGAACATTTAAATGTATGGCATCCCATGTTGTAAGTGGGTTTTTTTTTTTTGCTGATTTTATTAAAACTAGCTGGAAAAAAAGCTCAACAACTTTGACACCCCCCCCAAAAAAAGGCAACAACGTTTTTGTCTGGATTTACATTTTCTGAAATATGGCAACCCTAGCATACATACATGCCTCCTCCACAAGAGAGTCAGTGGTACCCCCACTCTAGTGGTACCCCATTTACATCTCTTTATTCCCCTCTCCCCCCATTATTCATTTTTATGAGGAAAAATAAAATGCAATGTTTGCACCAAGGTGTACTCTAGGTCTCAACCCGTGGAATGTATAGATTCTCCTTCCTGCACGGTTTGCATTTCCCAACGGATGGGGCATTTTTCATAATAATATATCATCATTGCCTTCCTCTTGAATGAATGCTTTATTTCCCCCCAAAGCATTTTTGAAAAATCCACATCCTCTGCCCTCATCACTGTGTGACTTTTGCAGCTTTTTATAGGTTACAGACTGTCAATGATTAGCCAAAACAATTCACTGTTAAGGACTTGTCATGTATGTTTTGTAACTAAAGATAGAAACATAAATGCCAAAGAATCAATTCAGCGGCGTTTAAAAAGAAGCCCAGTTCATTCAGGGCAACTCTGTGCAAGGGCTAAAGGGGTAAAATTAGTATATTAGCCTAGTAATATGAAACAAAAGGTCTTGTTTTAAGAAGACCATGGGGCAAATGACTGGGGGCTGCTGGTTTGAAATGATGCTTGTGGAAAAGGACACCTAATCTTTCAGCTCTCCTGTGGATGCATCTGCTTCCGACTGACAAGAACAGAAACTCTTCTTCGCCTCTCCTCTGTTTAGCACCTGCTCTTAAAACCATGATAGCGGGAAGGGTCATTATCATTTATCACACACAGAGGAAAGGATTTATGAGGGTGTTAATGCGAAGGAAAGAGGGTGCTGTTTACTATTACATTAAATAATGAAGGACATTCTATTTCATTGCTTTCCCCCCATTGGTTTTCCTCTCTTCAATGAAAAAGGAAGAGAGGGGAGGGGTTGATAGCCCTCAATGGGTGGGTTCAGCTAAGGACAGAGATAGAGGTACAATCCTAGCCCTCTTTCCTCAGAAAAAAGTCCCACCCATTTCACTGGGATTTATTTTGAAATAAGCACTCTTAACTTGGAAGTGAACAAGTGGCACTGTGGTTTAAACCACTGAGCCTCTTGGGCTTGCCGATCAGAAGGTCAGCGGTTTGAATCCCCGTGCCGGGGTGAGCTCTTGTTGCTCTGTCCCAGCTCCTGCCAACCTAGCAGTTCAAAACCATGCCAAAAGTGCAAGTAGATAAATAGGTACCACTCCGGCGGGAAGGTAAACAGCGTTTCCGCGCACTGCTCTGGTTTCTCCAGAAGCAGCTTAGTCATGCTGGCAACATGACCCAGAAAAACTGTCTGCGGACAAACACCGGCTCCCTCGGCCAGTAAAGCGAGATGAGCGCCGCAACCCCAGAGTCGTTTGCAACTGGACTTAACTGCCAGGGGTCCTTTACCTTTTTAAGTGAAAACAGTGGGACTTACATCTGCATAGACATGCGTAGAATTGTAAGTGATTGCAGGCGTGGGCTTGGATTAGAGGACTGTGATTGGGTTCATAAAGGACAGTATTTTAAGAAGTAAAGATGGAAAGTTATTTTGCAAAGAATATAGCAGTGGCGGATGCACTCAGTGCACAGCTAAGGTGCACTGTTCACGCTCTTTTTGCACAGCCATGCCACACCCTCTGTACAATGAGTCGAAGTCTGTAACTTCCCACGTGAGAGATTTCTGTGCTGGTTTGCAGCAGTGGTGCTATCAGTGCGCTCTCCCGCAGCACATCATTCCTGAGCTGCTTCCACAATGGTCATGTATTATGGAATAGCCACACTTCATTCACTCACTGTTTTTGAGGCATCTGCATGATATTGTGAGTAAAACGTCCTGCTCTTGAGCTTTCCCCCTCAATCTTCTGACACAAAGCACAAAGGAACAAGTGCACAGCCTCCATAGGTAAAGATGGCCCATTGTGCAGCTGTTCCAGTACTTTGCGGAGGGCAGGGATGTTGCTGGTTATGGTCTGTATGGATCCCTCTTACCATTTTGTTCTCTGTGGTCTGTCTCTCCTCTCTTGGAGTCAACTCTGTCACTTTAACCTTTCCAGATAGCATTGTCTTTACATCAGTGTCACCCCAGTTGCAGCCACAAGCTGATCACAGTGAGGATTGAAGCTGGTGTGTGTGTGCATTTAACCCTTTCCCCCATACCATGCTTCAGATGCAAATCACCCTGCCCAATATTTGGGCTAGGGACTGCTTTCTTAGCTGCCGAATATCATTTGAATTCCAGTCATCTGGAAGCAATCCTCCTATACCACTTCTTGTTTGAAGCAAAACAGCAATGAATAGGTGCACTAAGACCACCCATGTCTAGAAGCATCCCTGGTGTGTGGGAGCAATTACTTACATTTCCTTTTGCGTGTTCAGACCCAGAGACCTCCCCCCTAAATAAAGACACATTTGACTCAAATTTTAGTTTTGTTTTTTGGCAGAATTCAGGCCACAACTTTATTGATTACAGAAAATGAGTGGTTGCATAGGCTCTGGTTCGACTAGCTCCCTGCACCCTTGCAGGTAGCGCTGACCCAGAGCTCTATCATAGGTCAGCCAAGGGTGAACACCTGAGGTAGGTGGAAAGCCCAGGAATGGACTATGTCCACTCCCCAGATGCTCCCCTGGACTCTGGCACAGGCACAACCCCCTCTCAGGGGTTGACCAAACCAAGTTGAGTCCCTGGATTCCTTTAACGGAATACCCTTCACATAGGGATGGCGAGACCGTTCTCCCATCCCTATCACCTGAACCAGTGCCTATCCGCCTATCTTACAAGTTGTGACGATTTGCTATGCGGCAGGCGAAACCCAAATGGCACCAGCCAATCAGTCAAGTGGGGAAAATTCCTGCCGTGCCCCTGTCCCAACGACAGATGACACACAACGGCTTAGCAAGGTCAGTTGCAAAATACCCTACATATAGGGAGAGGTGGGTGGGTGTTCCGATGCACGAGCCAAAAGAGGAAGCTCTGGGTCACGTGCATAGGCATATATAGGTCCCTCAATCCATCTAGACTGCACCCCATTGGCCAAATTAAACCCAGCAACGAGGGACCTACCAATCGGGTGTTGTGGCTTGTCCAGTATTCCCACCCACAACGCAGGAGGTCCGTCTCCAGGTTTCACCGCAACACATGCCCTCTTTGAAGGAGGACACACTTTCCCTTTGATAAATTGGACTCTGATCCAAATATTTCATTGTGTTACACAGTTCCCACTCCGCGCCCCCCCCTCAGGGGTGAGATGTAGCCAGGTAACACTTCGACAGGGCTTTTTTCCAGGTTGAACTCAGTTCCGGCACCTCTCAGGTGGGCACCATTGCCATTATAAGAGAACAAGGGAGGTGTTCATGGTGAGTTCTGGCACCTCTTTTTCTAGAAAAATAGAAGTGCCCTTGGAGATTCATTTGGTTGGGAAAGCACAAGAGAATTATGTTGTCTTAGTAATAGTTTGCTTACAGATATATAAGCAGAGGATATAGGAAGCAAACCATAACTCTTACTAGAGTTGGCAGTAGATCACCTAACCCTGTAGCAAATTTACAGAGAGAGACTTTATGTCTCAAGGTGCATCATCCGTCATCTCACAGCTACAAATTTTCACCCTAAATTCAAAATGTCAGATTTGGCTTCAGATGGTTTCTCTATCCCGTCCGGTCTAGTTATGTGGGGTGTAAACTTCTCAAACTCTTGATGATTTTAGATTCCAAAAGCAGAAGAGAGGGTGCCACCTTTCAGGAGATCAACGACATTATTTTGGTAATTTGCTGGCCTCTCACAGAGATCATTAAGGCAGACAAATATGCAGAAATAGTAAACTGGAAAATTAGTTTTGGCTTATTGCCACTTCACATTGAGGAAAAGTGTAATGTTCATTACAGATGCTATCTAATGTCAGTTTCGTTATTTGCATTAGGTACACATTTATTCAGCTAAGCCCTACTCAGCGTAGACCCATAGAAACTAATGAACCTTAATCACGTATGTTTACCGGTACTTTAATAGGTCTGCTCTAAGTAGGACTAGCGTTGAATACCACCCTTTGATACATACATATGTATATGTTGCATTTATATCATACCTTTTTCTCTTAAGGAGCTCAAAGCAGTGCATATGGTCTCCTCTAATCCTCACAGCAACCCTGTGAGGTAGGTTAGGCTGAGAGGCAGTTGAGTGGGGATTTGAACCCTGGTCTCCCAGGCCTGACACTCTAACCACTATGCCACACTGGTATAGCATTACTCAAATTATAATACTTAAATCACTCAAATACATAAACCAGTCTGACAGTTTTGCTCATGGAAGAGAAAGCAGGGCTCTATTCAGTGGGAGGCAATGTACTTTTGCACATGGAATATCCTGGTTCAGTCATTGGCATCCCTAGTTCAAAGGATGCACAGAAGCCTTTCAGAGAAGAGGACAAGTCAAGCTGTCTCCAGCTACACTAATGTGAGAATATTTGTTTGGAAACAAATGCGTCAGGTGTGTTTCAGGTTGGTCATTAGCTGAGCGTGAGCTGGTGGACTGAGCAGATGGTCCAGGTTTTGCTGCTTCTCCTGATTCTGATAACATTTGCCATCTCCCCCTTCCCCATCTTGCTCCTGCCGCACTTCCATTTTCATGACATGTTAATATTAGACAAATGCCATTGCAGCACTAGCGAAACAAGAATGAGGGTAATAGAATAATAGAAACTAGTATCTTTAATAAGAGAATCCTTTTTAAAAAAAGTCACAAGGTTTTCGGCTCTCACGCAGCTCTTCATCAGGTTTTGGGGTTCAGAGCCATATCTCTGTTGCTTTTTCAGTTTATTTGCTTTGTGTGCACTGGGTGCAAGTAGAAGTTGAATTAGAACTGTAACAGCTGATAATAGTTAGGTTTGCTATACCCAAAAGGCCGAGCAAATGTCTTGTCATCTTGTCCCATCACATTTGTTGGCACCTGTCTGCTTTGAGAGACAAAGTTGAGCACCTATTATTAATTATTATATTTATATTTATATTTATATTTATATTTATATTTATATTTATATTTATATTTATTTATACCCTGCCTTTTTCACTGACAAGGATTCAAGGTGGCTTACAGATAAAAATTACCTGCGCTTACCTACATGAACATATCCAATATACTGCATAAGAGACCAGTTCCACAAAACACTTTTTAAAAACTTTCATGGTAATCTCATCAGTAAACCACAGCAATTTCTAGAACGCTCATCATGCTAGTTATAGTTTCAGGCTGTGAACACATTAGCCCTTACTCAGGTTCCAGTGCGTTCCCACCTTGCTATTTGAAGCCAAGTGCACATGAAGAAGAAAAAGAAGAAGAATCTTTATTTGCATCAGCCACTAGCCATAGCAATAAAACAAAACACAATGTACTGAAGATAGAGGTAAAAACTGGAGGTTTACATCAATAATCAAAGAATAGATCTTACTCTAATTGCCCCTGCTAATTTTTTTGCAGTTTTTGCTGTCACCTGGTTATCTTGATCTGCTAGAGTGAAGAGCGCAGTAGCAATGGTTGAGCAACCAGGAATGGACAATAATAGAGGGGTAATCACCTCAAATCTTTATAAAGAGTGCAGGCCAGAAGCACATTAGCTGTTGATTCAATACTGCCTTCTCCACGTGGACATAAGCAGAAGTTTTTGAAATTGACCCCCAAGTACAGCTGAAGGCAGTATATGTAATCTTGCATAAGTGAAAGTACATCTGTGTACTGGAATTGTTAAATTTTGCAAATAGGGTGCCGACGTATCAAAATGACTAGGTGGAAAATAATAATACCATGGACAAAATTTCCTTATTGTGGCCAAATTATTCTGACACTCAATATCATATAGGCTCTGTCTCATTAAATCATTTGCTGAAGCCCAGCGTTAATAACTGTTGTGGTGATAAACCAGAAAAGTAAAGCTTTTGGATGACCGTCTAAGAAGCAGGGCAATTTAGATCTCAAGTGCACATGAACGTTAGCCACAATCCATCTACCGTATTTTTTGCACCATAACACTCACTTTTTTCCTCCTAGAAAGTAAGGAGAAATGTCTGTGCGTGTTATGGAGGGAATGCCTACGGGTGGCATGCCTACAGATTTTCCTCCTCTAAAAACTACGTGCGTGTTATGGTCGGGTGCGTGTTATAGAGCGAAAAATACGGTATATCCTATAGTTTCTTGAGAAATACTGCTGTTTGATGCCTTTTCTCTCAAACCAGCTTCCATCCAGTTTGAAAAATGTAAGCCGCAATTAAGCTGAGTGGGTGGACATTTGAGGCATCCCCTGCGCACGTGTGGATGGCAGGATCACTGAATACGATTTGGGGTGGAGGGTTGCAAGTGCAGAGAGGCAAGTCAGGTAAAGCACATTGGGTGAAGACTTCCGTGTCCCCTCTGTGGCTTGGAGTACATCAGGGAAAACCAGCACCGCTGTGTTTCAAGTCACTATAGTATGGTTAGTTTTTCACCTTTCTCTTTGAAAACTCTTCTCTGAATAGCTACCATGACGTTTAAGAAAACGGTATTTTTGTTTGTTAAATTCTTAACTTTTTTTGGACTAAGTTATTACAGGCCTTGTATCTAATATTACCCTGTTTCACAGAAATTAAGCAACCGATCTAAAGGACTGCCTTTTTGCACAAGTCTGTCTGGATACAGTAATCATTAAGGTTAGATGGGTCAGTCCTGAGGCAGACTGTGTCCCTTTTACATGTGTTCATATGTCCTGTTCAATTTCCATGCAGATTTACCCACACACAGACCCAAAACCTGCACACATATGGCGTGCTTATTTTTAACTACTAAGAATACAAGCTGGTCTGAGATCTGAAACAAAACAAAAACCACAGGCACTAACTTTACCACATGGAGCAGCTAAAAAGTGCAACTCCGGTCATGTCACATTTGTGTTGAAAATGTGACTGGAGAATAATGGCACATGAAGGTGTTCTGCCCCAACCAGGAACCTTGTACTGGAAAAATCATGGCTGCCCCCATCCCACACCTGCCATGTTTCTAGAAGGCTCTCAGGGACATTGTTTGCAGGAACAGATAGTCGTCCCTTTTTGCCCATGTCAATAGCCACTACAATATTTCTAGTTGGGACAGCGCATCAACACATCATATAACTCTTTTGCAACTGAATTTTCAATGTGAATGATAAGAGTAGCATTTTAAGCCACTTTGAGCAGCTGGTACTTGTTTTTATAAGTGTGTGTGTGTGAAGTCAGCCCTCAGACCACATGAAACAAATTTGTTGTGGTGCTTTTTCAATTGTGGTACCCTGTGTGTACTATTTTTCTTCTCAACATTCTTTTAACACCAGACAAAGACTTTTTCATTTAACCAGGCTCACCAATTTGCCATTTTAAGCTGGTTTTAATCTACTAGTTTTTGACAAGTACTGTTGTTTTGTTTTGTTCTGCTCAGGTTTTACTGTTCTGCTACTGTTTTTATCTTGATACTGCATTTTAATGGTGTGAGAAATCTTGGAAGTTCTTAAAACTGAAAGCTGGCATAAGCACATTTTGGGTTTTTTTAATTAAAAAAAAAGCACACAACTTAGCTCACGTAAAAAAAAAGTATGTGTTTGCGTTCATTTTCAAGCATTCCATGGAAATACTTGAAAAGACTTGAGAGGTGTTTTTTTTAAGGCATTTGGAATCATAGAGTTGGAAGGGAACGGACTACAAGAGTCATCTAGTCCAACCCTCTGCAACGCAGGAATCTTTTGCCCAACCTGAGACTCAGACTCACATCTCTGGGATTAAGAGTCTCATGTGCTACCAACTGAACTCTCTCAACCAAACACATTCTTTTATCTCACACCCTTCCACTACCAGCCCTTTCCCCACCCCAAATACCTCTGAGAAGATTAAAGTGAAAAGAAAAAAATTGGGAGGCAGAGAAAACTACAAATCCTATGCTTCCTGGCAGAACTGAACATCCCTGGTCCCTGAAAACTCCCTGACAATGGTGTCATTTCCAGTTCAAGAGAGGCTAGTCAAGTGTCTCTAATAAGTCTTCCCCCAGCATCTATAGCCCCCTCTCCCTTCTCAAAAATAAAAGGTTTATTTTAATTGGGGGGGGGATCATAGAATTGGAAGGGGTCACAAGGGTCATCTAGTCAAGAGTTTCTAAAACATGAGTCTCCAGCTGCTTTTGACTACAGTTCCCATCATCCATGACCACTGGTTCTGCTAGCTAGGGATGATGGGAGTTGTAGTCCAAAACAGCTGGAGACTCAAGTTTGGGAAACCCCAGTTTAGTCCAACCCCTTTGCAATGCAGGAATATCATCTCACACCCATTTGCAAAAGGATGTATAAAACAACCCAAGCATTTGACAAGTAAACGTTTCAGCAGCACCAGCTGCCATTTCTGTTTCTACCTAACTTCAGGCATTTTAATGACTTTTGATTTTGGCACAGCAGGGTTGGTCCGTCAAAAGATGCCAGTATCGGTGATGGCCTGATTCAGCCTATATCTGTATCCTTCTCCGTAGGTACTGAAGCACCTGCGGCACTTGAACTTCACAAACAACATGGGAGAGCAAGTGGATTTTGACGAATCTGGGGGCCTGATAGGGAATTACTCAATCATCAATTGGCACCTGTCACCAGAGGACGGCTCCATTGTCTTTGAGGAAGTTGGACACTATAATGTTTATGCCAAGAAAGGAGAGAGGCTGTTTATCAATGAGAACAAGATTCTGTGGAGTGGGTTTTCGAAGGAGGTAAGAGACACCAGCCACCCCAAACTAACATTAATATTTATCAACCTTTCCCACAAGGTTCACAGATCTTTTTGGGCTGAAATTCTTTCCCATGGCCAATGGCAAGGTTCTGTTTTCTTGGGTCCTGCTGCACAGAAGGGGGGAAAAATGCATCGTTTTTGTTGCCGCTGCCTGGTTTTATGCGGGTGAGCAGCAGGCGAAGTGTGCCTATGTGTGTAGTATCAGTTCCTGTCCTCCAAATCATAGTGCTGGAGTTGCCATTTTGAATGCTGTATAGCAGCGTTTCCCAAAGTGTGGTATATGTACCCTTGAGGGTTCCATAGGTAGATGGCAGAACTCTTTATTTTACTTTATCATAGTCTTTCTAGCTGCAGAAAACAATCCAAAGATAAAATAGCATTATTAAAACTACGCCTGTAAGACTAAATTCTCAAAAGGGGTATGCGATTATTGGGGAACACTGCCATTAAACAACATGAGGCATCTTTTTTTAAAAAATAAATAAATTAATATTTATTAGAAATTTAATAATTACAAAAAGAAGAAAAAGAGTTAAACAAAGCAAAACAATACAATACATAAAAAACCAAAAAACCCCCACACTGCTTATCTTAACAAAACAAAAACAAAGACAGAAACAATTAAAAACACATCCAATATTTTCATATCTTGTCTTTCATTTACTTGTTTCAACAACCTCCTCACACCTCCCTTTTTTGTATTCTAGTTCAGTTAGCTATTTCAGCAAATCCTTTCCATCTTTCCCAGTTTTTGTCCTATAATTTATCTTAACACAATCTAACCTTATTTTTCCCCCTTTGGCCCATTAACAGTCTATTTTTACTTAATTCTTTATAACATTTCTGCTAAAGAACAACACGAGGCATCTGCCTCAGGTGGCAGCTGCTGAGGGGCGGCAGTGAGGAGTTAGAGGACGGAGATGGGTGTGCCCTGCGCTTGCCTCCCTGAGATCCCTCCTGTTGCTATAAGCCCTTTTTGTCCCGCTCCTTTCCATTGATCTCCCAGCCCTGTGCCTGGTGCTAGAATCACAAGTGCATTGAGCTTTTTTGGGGGTCCTTCCCACCTCTGAGCGCCAGCAATGCTTTCAAAGGAAGGCATACAGATTTACACACAGCCCCAAGCTGCTGTTGCCTTGCTATTTAGTAGTTAATTAAATTGCTCCTATGTTGTTATACATAGGGCTCATCCAGACTTGCCCTTGCTCTGTTGCTTTGCCTTGGCGAAACCCGATCTTTGCCACTGAGTTGGAGCAAATGTCTATCAAGTGGATTGAAGTTTGTTCCGATTGATCGCTAAAGAGCAGGTTTTCCAGGAGAGAGCAGGTCATTGGGTTGTTGTTTTTATTTTTATTTTGGATTTTGTGGTTTTATATTTTGATTTTATTCTGCAAACCGCCCTGAGACCTGCGGGTATAGGGCAGTTGAAGAAGACGAAGAAGAAGAAGAAGAAGAAGAAGAAGAAGAAGAAGAAGAAGAAGAAGAAGAAGACAAGGACATAACTGCTTGGACAGACCTGTCCCTAGAAAGTGCGGGACAAGCAGGAAACTGCTTGGACTCATGATTTATGGGCGCAAGACAAGTGCAGGTCTGGATGAGACCACAGCTGGCAAATTGTTGTGGTTCCTGGGGGGGGAAAGGCCACTCCATGAAATTGTTCAAATGCTAAGCAACATTCAGCACCCGACCACTGTTTCGAAAGTCACAGTTTTGATTTCTGCTTCCACCTTGTGGCTCTTTGGTATACGTGCAGAAATCTGCCATTAGATCGTGTGTGGCAGTTCCCTGCAATGCCAGGCAGCAAGGATTGCTGGGGTGATGCACAGCATGGATTCTGAGCTTGTTTGCTCTCTGACGCAAAGCTAAGTTGGGGCAACAGCTGTTGTGCATATCAGCATGATGCTGCCTTTGAGAGCTACACCACCATGGAAATTTCTTGCCGCTGGCAATGAGAAACAACCCATTACCATGTTAGATACTGACAGACCATGCAGATTCTAAGCCCTCAGCGGCACAAAGATCACCCTTGTGTTTTATCATTTTTCAAGTCAATTTGGGGCTCACATTTTGGAGGAACAGGCACACCATTCCCTACCCACACCCCAGCCCACAATATGGTTATACCTCTCTAGAGTCCCCTATGACAATCTTTCTGTCACCAACCCATCCTTTGAAGCAGCTGCAAGGACCACAGTGTCCTGGGAGAAGCAGCAGCAGACACTGTCTCCTGCCTCCTCTCTCCAGCTAGTGGTAAGGACGGGGCCCCTTGGGTGGAGGGCCCCCTACTTGGTGCCGCCACCCGCAAAAGCAGCAGCATCGACCTCACATCGTCTGCACGGAGGGACGGAGCTGGTGACATGGGCAGCTGCCACTCCTTTCTTAAAGCCTTTGCCACTTAACCAATATTCTATATTGTATTTCTTGCACACCGCTTAGAGATGATTGCAGTTAAGCAGTACATACAGTGGTGCCCCGCAAGACGAATGCCTCGCAAGACGGAAAACCCGCTAGACGAAAGGGTTTTCCGTTTTTGAGTTGCTTCGCAGGACGAATTTCCCTATGGGCTTGCTTCGCAAGACGAAAATGTCTTGCGAGTCTTGAGATTTTTTTTTCACTTTCCCCCCCCTTTATCTAAGCTGCTAAACCTTTAATAGCCTTTTAGCAGCTAATCCGCTAAGCCTTTAAGCCTTTAATAGCCGCTAAACCGCTAATAGCGCTAATCCGTTAAGCCGCTAATAGGGTTGCTTCGCAAGACGAAAAAACCGCTAGACGAAGACACTCGCGGAACGGATTAATTTCGTCTTGCGAGGCACCACTGTAAATCGCTTTAATAGAATGGAATAAAAGAATATAAATAAAAGAGCGGTAGCTACTTGCTTGCCTGGTGAAGCAAGGGGCAATAAATGCAGCAACCACTGATTCTCCTTTTTTCTGAACATAAATTTTTATTGGTTTTCAAACAGTTTAACAAATTCAATCCAATTTCAATGCAGTGTTCCCTTAAGATTTTGGCTTCCCACCCTTCCTCCCATGATGTTTCTATTCAGATAATTAATCTACTGCCCTAAAGGTAATATTTCTCTAAAACATCTGTCCTACATTACATTCCTTTATCATTCTCATTCCTTTGCTTCAAGTCCTGCCTTCCATTTCATTTGCCTATGATATTTTCTCAGATAATCAGAAAAGGGTCTCCATTCAAGCGTTTCTTCTTTTTGCTCTCTTATTTCTGACGCCAATTTCGCCATCTCCTGTCTCTCCCCTTTCTGCTGCTGCTCGTGGTCAGCGCTGCTACTCCCTTGCCAATTTGCTCAGGTGAATGGTTGGCAGTGGAAGAGAAGTGGCTGTACAGCCCCCAACTGTCCTCTCCCTCAGTGGAAAAGGGGAGGCGCTGCCACCACAGACAGTGGCATCTAGTAGTTGGCAGACCTGCTATCAACCCTCTGTGAGTAGCAGCCTCCACCAGGAGGGCTTTGCCTCATACCTGTTCCTGTTTGGTGAAGTTCATTTTCTCACCTCAGTCCCTGGAATGAACTGGAGCACAGCAACTTTATCTAGGTTTTCACACTCTTCCTGATGACTGTGCCTCTTTCTGCTCACGGTTGGTTTGTTTTTAATTCCTCCAGGTGCCGTTCTCCAACTGCAGCAAAGACTGCCCGCCAGGCAGAAGAAAAGGCATTCTCGAGGGGACAGCTACTTGTTGTTTTGAATGTGTGGAATGCACTGACGGGGAGATCAGTGATGAGACAGGTATGGTCTGAGGTGGAGAAATCGGTGCTTTGCTCTTTTCTGCTTGGAGGCATTTCCCAAGATGGAGTTGGAAAACGTATTTTGAAACTGGAGCCCACAGTCAAAAGGTTTGGGCAAATTGAGGATGTAGCAGTGTTGTCGCAGAACCTCTGGAAGAATTTCATGGCCTCGTTGAGGGAAGTCAGTTGTCACAGCAACAAAATAGGAAGGTGTTTGTTTTGAGTGGTAGAATCAATAGTAGATCACAGCTCTTAGAAACTTTGTTTGCAGTGCCTTCACCCCTTGGTAATATGTCCTGAGCAAGGACAAAATTTGGCTTTTTTATTGATCTTCTCAGTAGGTAGCCTTCTTCCGCCGCCGCTGCTGCTGCTGCTGCTGCTGCTGCTGCTGCTGCTGCTGCTGCTGCTGCTTCTTCTTCTTCTTCTTCTTCTTCTTCTTCTTCTTCTTCTTCTTCTTCTTCTTCCCCTCCTCTGCTTGTCAACCTGTGTGGAGAAACTGCCCACATTGCGCTAAATTGGGCGCTCCCTGGAACTGTCCGTATCTCAGCCAGGTACCATTTCCGTCCTAGTTCTAAGGTGGCAAGCCTGCATTCTGGGGCATCATGATGGAAGCACATGACAGAAAACTAGTGTGTCAGAGAGAAGCCTAGTTACAATCCCTGGCACACTAGTTTTCTGTATGGAGGAAATTTATATGAAAATGCTGATTTACCACTATAGTACCATCTAGGCCTGGAACTGCCTTCATATTTTTAAGGAAGGGGAATAATTTGTAAAAGAATGAGCTTTCCTCTTATCATCTACTGCCTGTCCCTTTGGCCTTTTTCTTTATATCTGTGGCATTTTAGAAGTGGATGGAATGTTTGTAATGTATTGGGTCATAATCTTTATTGCCTCCCCCCCCCCGTTTTAATGTGGGCTTTTGTTTATTTTTGTTTGGTGGCTTGTTTGGTCGCAAGTCACTTCAGGTTGCATTGGGCAAGATAAAGTATCTAACAAATTTAATAAAATGATGCTGATGGTCATGATGATGATAAGGTTAGCTGATACAGGTGTTGTGGCCCTCTGTGCATAGAGCCTGCAGGGGCAACTACAACCCTGACACCCCTCAAGGGCTCATGTTCTAGGGGTCTTGCGCCAGACCCCCATCTACCTCTCAACATTGCACAAACAAAGAAAAAAGACGAATGAGACCTTGCAGGTCACCTCAGCCTAATGCAATGACTTAGCCAGGCCCTATATTGTAATTTTGAGAGATGTTTAATGTTCTTAAGCTTGTAAAATTGCATGTGTGTTTTAATATTTATTCATTGCTTCATGTAATTTGTTGATGTAACCTGCCCTGGGGTCCTAGATCACTTTAATAATTAAATAAAATGAGCCAGAGTTGGTCAACTCTCAGGCAGCGGATAAGACAATACGCAACATACATGCTGTTCAGGTTCAGAAATTTTTCTTTTCTTTCTTTCTTTCTTTCTTTCTTTCTTTCTTTCTTTCTTTCTTTCTCAAGAGTGTCTTGTCTTTTCCAGATGCTAGTGCCTGTGAGAGGTGTGATGAAGACTTCTGGTCCAACGAAAACCACACGTTCTGCATTCCCAAGCAAATAGAATTTTTGTCTTGGACAGAGCCATTTGGGATCGCGCTCACCCTCTTCGCTATACTAGGCATCTTCCTCACATCATTTGTCCTAGGGGTCTTTACCAGATTTCGCAACACACCCATCGTCAAGGCCACAAACCGCGAACTCTCTTACCTCCTCCTCTTCTCCTTGCTTTGCTGCTTCTCCAGCTCCCTTTTCTTCATCGGGGAGCCCCAGGACTGGAACTGCCGCTTACGGCAGCCGGCCTTTGGCATCAGCTTTGTCCTCTGCATCTCCTGCATCCTGGTAAAGACCAACCGCGTCCTCCTGGTCTTTGAGGCCAAGATACCCACAAGCCTCCATCGCAAGTGGTGGGGCCTTAACCTCCAGTTCCTCCTGGTCTTCCTGTGCACTTTTGTGCAGATAGTCATCTGTGTCATCTGGCTATATACGGCTCCCCCTTCCAGCTATCGGAATCATGAACTGGAGGACGAGATCATCTTCATCACCTGCAACGAGGGCTCCTTGATGGCACTGGGCTTCTTGATCGGCTACACATGCCTCCTGGCCGCTATCTGCTTCTTCTTCGCTTTCAAGTCCCGCAAGCTGCCCGAGAACTTCAACGAGGCCAAATTCATCACCTTCAGCATGCTGATCTTCTTCATTGTTTGGATCTCTTTTATCCCAGCTTATGCCAGCACCTACGGCAAATTTGTCTCGGCGGTGGAGGTGATCGCTATACTGGCTGCCAGCTTTGGGCAGCTGGCTTGCATATTCTTCAACAAGGTCTACATCATCCTCTTCAAGCCCTCGCGTAACACCATCGAGGAGGTGCGCTCTAGCACCGCTGCCCACGCCTTCAAGGTGGCTGCCAAGGCTACGCTGCGGCGCAGCAATGTGTCCCGCAAGAGGTCCAACAGTCTTGGAGGCTCCACAGCCTCGACCCCATCCTCATCCATCAGCAGTAAAAGCAACCATGAAAATCCCTTTTCACTGCCAAGTCCAGTGGACCAGCAGCAGCCACATGGGTGCAAGCAAAAGGTGAGTTTTGGCGGTGGGACTGTTACTTTCTCACTGAGCTTCGAGGAGCACCAGACAAATGCAGTAGCCAACCGGAATGCAAAGCACAGGAACTCACTGGAAGCCCAAAACAGTGACGACAGCCTCATGCGCCACAAGGCCCTGCTTCCTCTGCAACCCAGCGAACCACGAGGCAATGAGCCCAACTTCCAGATGCCCTCAATTCAAGACTCCAACACACAGGAACCAGTAATGGCAGAAGCCAAGCAAGAAGTGCAAAACTCGGAAGAAGAGCAACCTTCTTTGTCAGATGCATACTTGCGGGATTTTGTAGGCAATGACTCCATCCTAGAGAACGCCATTCATTCATAATCAAAGAAAAAGGAGTCTGTTTTCCCCGCTCTTCTCTAAAACGGGGGGAAAGGACTGGATACATCTGCAACACAGCCAGCCACTTCTTAGGGTTAGAATCAGCAGGATAAACTCACCTCCAAAGGGCTGTTGAGGGTGGGAGGGGGAAGAAAATGCCTAGTGATAATTTTAGTGAACACCTGTGCTGGTTGTGGAAGATATGAGGAGAAGAAACCCGTTGGAAGGACTAGTACCCCCCCCCAACTGGGTTTTAGCAGATTTTTGTGTGGAGTTTATCATCGTTCTACCCTAGTGGTCCAAGGCCACCAACTTGCTGGTTAGTGAACATCTCTGAACAGTTCTAGTAACGTGCTCTGCTTTTACATTGATGTATATTATCCCTTTTCTTCGTGGTGTGTAATAGCCCCTCTTTATATGTAAATCTGCTTAGCCATATTGCAACGAGGAAAACCTTTCTGCTTTACACAAAACGGGACATGTGGTTTGACTTAGGGGAACGTCATCCTCCAGGCCCTAGGCAAACATGCTAAATGAATTTCAGCTGTTGCCCTCCACGTGTAAAGTATTTAAAAATAAGAAGACATCGCTCCTTGTATTTACAATCAAAAGATTAGCCGCTTTATGCTGTTCCCAATGTCTCATAAAAGAGGAATAACGTCCTGAGAAACATCGCTGCTTTATGCAGAGCTGCTGTCCTCCCAGAGATGCGTGCCCAGGGTTGACTCACTTGGTAGGCAAAAAGGAAGGGCAGCCTGTGCTCCTGGGGAATTTACAGAGATCTCAGTAACATGTGCCCATAACTTAATTTAGGCTACTGTTGTTATGGCTTCTGTGCTGCAAATGGCTGGCATTTTATTACAGCAGGGGTCACCCATCCTCTTGGGCACATTTGCAAACCAGATACCGTATTTTTCGCTCCATAAGACGCACCTAGTTTTTAAAGGAGGAAAACGGGGGGGGGGGGGGATATTCTGAATCAAATGTTGTACTAAACTATTTAATAAACTACCGGTATATCAGAGTGAGAGGGACAGGAGCTGTATGTTTCTTTAGGGTGCGTGCTCAAGGAGCGACGAGCGGGGAGGCAGCACGCCCCCAGGCGGACCCAACATAGGAACCCCAGCAGCCTCCTCTCGTGTAAGCGGCTCCTCTCCCGCTTTGCTGCTTTAAAGCGAGCTGAGCTGGGGAGAAGGGAAGGAAGGAGAGCCTGTCCCTCCCTCCCTGATCTGCAGCTCGCTTTAAAGCAGCAAAGCGGAACAGCAGCCACTTACACCCGTGTAAGCGGCTCCTATCCCGCTTTGCTGCTTCAAAGCGAGCCACGGAGGAGGGAAGGAAGGGGAGCCATGGATCCTTTGCTCGCGACTGCAGCAGGATCCAACTGCTGTCCATAGGCATTTACTCCATAAGACGCACAGACATTTTCCCTTACTTGTTAGGAGGAAAAAAATGTGTCTTATGGAGCGAAAAATACGGTACATCATTGCGGATGCTCCCCACAGCCACACACAGAGCAGCCTTTTCAGTTGGCTACAACAGAACGCTTCTTTCAAGTCTAATTTGAACAGGTGTCCAGGATCCTTTTTGGGTGCTTGTGCGCCCATAACTGCCTCATTGGTCAGCTCTGCTCTGCCATTTGTACTGTTCTGTGTTAACTTCTGTCAAACCCATGGCTCTTTTGGGGAGTAACCCAATACATTTGCAGGCATAATTGGGCTAACAACTAAGCATGAAAGGAAGGAGACAGTCTAAAAGAAAAGGCTCTGAAAAGTGAGGAGTCGCCTCCCCAAGGAGGCCTCATTGAACTTTTCATGGCTGCAGAAGCATACGGTCATTAATTACCTGAGGTTTCCCAAGTTATGTGTCTAGCAAGTTAAAACAATATTTAAAGCAAACAGTTCAGGGAATAATAACCAGGCCCCAGGGCACTGAGGATCATTTTGGAGATTAAATACCTGGAAAGCTAGGCTCTATTGCAGAAAGCAGCTGACAGCCCAGGGTCCTTCAAAAAGCTTCTCCAAGGAAATGTATGAATGGGAGCCTTAAATAATGGCAAACTAGCACAAAATAGGCATGTCCCCTGTTTTGTTCTTTAGGAAGAATTAAAGCGGCTAGCCAGTGGTAGGTGTGGCTAATGCTTTTGCTAAGGGTAGAATGAAACGCCATGATCTCTGTCACCCTGACTTCTGCAACTGCTGGAGTTCCAAAATGTATCTTACAGATAGCAGAGGTTGTTGTGACAGTCAAGACCTAACAACTGACTCCTGTAAGTAGAGAATGCATCCATAAGTAATATTGGGCCTGCCCCTAAGAGAGAAAACTAAGGAATCTATGACTGAATACTTTCCAAATGTTTGCAGCTTATCGAACAGCTCTTCTTCCCCAAGTACTTGCAGTTGAACCACATCATATAATCCTGCACAGCGAGCACAAAACTTAGAAATGCATCATGTCATCACCAACTTAGAAAGTGTAGCATATGTAAGAAGTGAAATAAAAGGGCAAGTGTTGAATGTCCATTGAGTGATACAAAGGAAAGTGCGTAGCTCTGCCTATCTATATTTTGTGCTCTACTATTTGTGAGTCCAGAGAACACAACACCCAGCGCATTGTGAAAATGTCAGCACCAAGTAGTCATACTCAAGAATGTGACATGTAATGGCAGCATTGTCCAAGGTTTTCTTTCCCCCTTGTTTTGTTAAAAATCCTTAAAAAAAGTAGACTTTCCTGCTCAGCAAGAGTCTCTTGTATTTTAGCCGTAGATCTTACTCCTCATATTGAGGTTAAAGAGTCATGGCGTTGAGCCTGGCCTCTTATATTTAATCCTAATAATTCTTCACTGGCGTTTTAAGGGTTTAGTGATAGGATAGTGTTGGGCTAGAAGGGCCCTGACAGTGAGCACCATTACACATACACTAGAAAGGAGTTTATACTTTATGTTTCAGGAACCTCAGTGGACTATCATTTCTGAGGTTGCTTCACTTGTTTGTATACAGTCATACCTCAGGATAAACACGCTTCAGGTTAAGTATTTTTGGGTTGTGCTCCGCGGCGACCCGGAAGTAACGGAGCGCGTTACTTCCGGGTTTCGCCGCTCGTGCATGCGCAGATGGTCAAAATGATGTCATGCCCATGCGCAGAAGTGGCAAAACTCAACCCACGCACGTGCAGACACGCTGTTGCATCTTGCGTTCTGTTCAGGATGCGAACGTGGCTCTGGAACGGATCCCGTTCGCATCCTGAGGTACCACTGTGTGTGTGTGTGTATACACACACACACACAGTGGTACCTCAGGATGCGAACGGGATCCGTTCTGGCTTTTGTAAGAAAAACAAAATCTTCTGGCTTTTGTAAGAAAAACAAAAAAACCATTTGCATTCAGATCCAGCAACCAGAGTTTGCAGGCTATCGACCCACAAGTGCTAGTACTGAACTCTGAGCATGGCTTTCTTCTGATGCAAGAGAAGTGCAAGTCCGCAGCACTCTCCCCTGCATGGCTTAGACAACTTCCTTGCCTTTAATCCCCAGAGAGTGTGGATTGTGGAATTACCCTGCCTTGGTACAGTAGCAATAAAGGAGACAGCAGTAGGTCAAAGCCAGCTCAACACTGTTGATGTGGTTTTGAAGTAGGTTGTATGAGTGCAGCCGGAGTTCAGCTCATGGTGAGGTGGTCATACGACATGTCTCTCCATCATGCACCCAGCATGAAGCTTAATCATTTTGCTTCTGACACCCTGCAGTGAATATAGGCTGAGTTGCATGACTTTCATCCCATGCAAGGCTTAACACATATACGAATGGGGGATGTACTCCCTTACTTTGTGGAAAAGGCAGATTAAAGGCATGTCTTCCTAATGGCATGTCACATGCTGTTTGCCTTGTACACATGGAAGTAGCCTAAGGGTGCACCCAGATTGTAGTTTCGAATGGGAAAGAATTGGCACCCAGTATATATATATATATATATATATATACACACACACACACACACACACAGCACTCTGTCCTTGCTAGTCCACATTTCAGGTTGAAGTGTGTCGAACAAGAGCTGAGCTCTGAGTTCAACAAAAAGGGCCTCTTCTTTGGCAAAATCCTTGTTCTTTTTGCGTCCTACACTTGCCCTGCACTCTACAAGCATTGAACCAAAAGCGTGAGAAGCTTCTGTCTCTGCATCCTTGTTCGCTGCACTTTCACAACAACTCCTTACCATACTAGTGAGATTTTCTTTTTAACAGGCATTAAGGACTAGCTAGCCAGCATATTTTAACGATGTTATGTCTTAATAAATCACGACTAGGGCCAATATAATTTTCCATTCAAACAATAATAAAAAAGAAAGTTGAAAAACCAGTTGTTGCCTTACAGTCCAATCTGATGCATGTCTGCTCAGAAGGTCTGTCTTTCCAATGGAGCTTACATACCATTGGACTACTATTAAGTGATTAAAAAGATGAAAAGAGCCCTGCTAGAGCAGACCAGAGATCCACTTAGGTGCAATCCTGTTCCTAACACTTGCCAGCTCAAATGCTTCTATGAAGCGCATATGAGCTGTGCATGAAGGCAACATCCACCCAACAATTGGTATTCAGGGACAGACTTGTCTCTGGACCATGATGGTCCATGCAGACATCACAGACCCAGCAGTCTTCCCCTGAATGCATCCAATACCCTTTTAGAGCCATCTCTGGCATGGTCACCACCCCATCTTGATAGCAAATCCCCTATGTCAATATGACCCTAAGTAAGAAGTACTGGTACTTTTATTTTGCCTATCCTTGTCTCAGCTGCCACTCAACTTCTTTGTGTGCCTCTTGAGTGCCAGTGTTATGGGAGAGGGACAAAAAACCATCTTTAGCCAGTTCCCCACACACTATTAAGGGACGCAGATGGCACTGTGGGTTAAACCACAGAGCCTAGGACTTCCCGATCAGGTCGGCGGTTTGAATCCCCACGATGGGGTGAGCTCCTGTTGCTCGGTCCCTGCTCCTGCCAACCTAGCAGTTCGAAAGCACGTCAAACTGCAAGTAGATAAATAGGTACCGCTCCGGCAGGAAGGTAAACGGCGTTTCTGTGTGCTGCTCTGGTTCGCCAGAAGCGGCTTAGTCCTGCTGGCCACATGACCCGGAAGCTGTACGCCGGCTCCCTCGGCCAATAAAGCAAGATGAGCGGCGCAACCCCAGAGTCGGCCACAACTGGACCTAATGGTCAGGGGTCCCTTTACCTTTACCTTACCACACACTATTATTTTATAAAATTCAGTATGGGGGGGGCACGATGACCACCCAATTCCCCTAATAACCTTTGCTCTAAAAGTTCAAAGCCTCCATTTTCGAAGTCCTCCTGAACATGGAGAGTGGGTATCAATAGTGACACTTCCAAAAGGGACAATAATGTTAAGAGAAAGGTTCTGCAAGGCAGAGATCCCACTTCCTAGCACTTCTAGGTCGGCCCAAGAGAATGTGCTTTCTGAAGGGAAGGCGGAATCACCTTGCTGGAGGCCTCCTTCAGACTTCCTAGGATTCTGCAGCGGGACACAGCCTGGTCCTCCAAGGAGAACTGCTGGCCAAGACCATTTCAGTGGCCTCAAATGTCACTTTGGAGCACCAGGCCATAAAAATGGATTACTTTTCATGTCTTTTTTGAAGAGAGGCCAGTGTTCTGAAGCCTCAGTATCTGCCTCACGACGTCGGGCCTGCCAGCTTTAATAGAATACAGAAAGCTTTGCTGGAGTCTTCACTCTATCCTTGTACACTACAGTTATTTTAACATTTGTTAGTGCATTGTAATATTTATAATGTGTGGCTGAGCGTCTTGTCTTCAACTCAAAAGGAGTACAGTTGCCTTTTGTACTTTGCAGCTGCAAGTAAAGTCTGTTTTCAGCTGATAATGTCTTGTCTTCTTGGCGCTGAGGGTGAAAAGAGGCCTTTCCCCGCCTCTCAAGCCGGCTTGTTTTTGTGTGTCGGTGTTTGCTGGCTATTCTCATTCAGAATAGTCTCAGTTATTCACACTTGCTCAGTCAAAAAACAAGAACTGGTAGATGCTAAAATTAATCCTAGACAGGGTCATAAAGCTACAGGAACAATTCAGTAAGAACATTCATTACGGAATATTGAGCATCTATTGTGAAGGCATTGTGAAAAGACTTTACGAGTGTCCTTAATTATCAATTTAAGGTGCTTTTATTCCATTATAAGGTTTAAATTTAAGGTTTTATTCCATTTTAAGGGAAACCCTTTAAGCATATTTAGCACTTACTTAACTCTGAGTGTTCAATGCACCACACACACACACACACACACACACACACACACACACACAGTATGTTATCTCACTAATCCTTAAAACCATTCCTACAGGGAAGGATGTCCCAAACTTTGAGGTTAGCAAGTGCATAGAATTATAGAGCTGGAAGGGACCCCCCAAAGGTGATCTAGTCCAACCGCCTACAATGCAGGAATCTCAACTAAAGCGTCTGTGACAGATCACTAGAGATCCCTTTGCAAGATGGCACCTTGTTAAAAATGTAACTTAGCAAATGAGATGAGGCACAGACAGCGCTGCTGCTCTGCTCTACCAATGAAATCTCCTCATCCACTGAGATTGAGAAACTACGCAGCTGAGGGGGGAAAGCATCAGCCTAGTTATTTTAGCTTTATTCTGCAGAGTAGGACTTCTGAATGAAAAGGGGAGTATCAAATAGATGCAGCCGTGAAGGGGGAAAGGAATGCAGAGGCTCCCACAATGGAATGCTTTCATGCTCAAGAATGAAAAGCAGGCAGTTTCATTTGGCAGGTTTAATTCTTTTTCCCTTCTATTATACAAAATATTTTACAATTTAAAAACATTTCCCAACAAAAATCATATACAGATATTTATAATTAAAGGGCCCAATTACACAGAAGGGGAGAATCATATGCACAGAGATAACCAGTCCCCCTTTTACTTTACAAAAGAGCTAAGGGGCAGAAGGATAATTAAGACATAGGTCCTGCCCTGATCTTTTGAAGTGCGTCAGTTAAACCCCATTTCTGCCCCCACCCCAATGTACATTGCACTGGAGAGCTTACTCCCTTCACTCACTTTTTCCCCGGGGCGAGTTGGGACAAAACACAACACTGTAGAAAATACGCTATGCTGGTGCCCAGTGAGATATGTCCAATCGTTTTGTCATACCTTAAAAGTTAGCAGCACCTTTTTGAAGACGAGAGCCCAGAATTCCACACCATGATTCAGTCATCCCTTTCGAAAAAAAGACACTTAAGTAGAATGATCATGTAAAACGATGTGCCAAAGACACTACATAGAGGTGCAATTTCAGCGCACAGATGAAGTGCAGGGGAAAGTATAAACATTTTCCTGCTCAAGGGGATTTGCTTGAGAAAGCAAACCCAGAAGATGTTAAGAGAGGCCCGCAAGCCAGCTAACTGCTGCTGAACACAGGCTACAATTCTACAGTGTTTGGTCCAAGATAAAACCATGAGTGACCGAACAGCCCTGGACCGAAGACAACTGAAAATGCATTGACGTGTAGTTCTCTGAAACATGGGGGTGGGAAGTGAGATTGGGTGGTGGGGCAGGGGAGAGGAAGCTGGCTGAATGAGGTGTGCATATGTTGGCAGATGGGGAGTTGTGGGCAGGGGAGATCAGCGCTGGCGAGGGCTCATCCTGCACTCGCAGGGGAGCCCATCGAAGAGTCACTGCTGAATCCCAAAAGCTTGCAGCAGTGTTGGAAGGTCCCGGGCGTCAGCCGCCCCATAAAGGTCACTCTGGCCCAGCATGGAGAGCGCCATACGGAGGGTGCTCCAGATGTTGTCAGACATGGCCCCCTGCTGGCCCCGCGGCCCCCGGCTCTTCTGTTGCATGTGCAAGGCTTCCAGGAAGTGCTCCACAGCCTCCCTGTTTTAAGACAGCAAGAGAGCAAGTGTCAAAGGGAAGCAGAGAGAAGGGAACGTGGAGGAAAACCCAGGAATTAGGCATGGTGTCAGGAACAAGCCAGCAGTAGTAATAATAATAATAATAATAATAATAATTTTTATTTATACCCCGCCCTCCCCAGCCAAGGCCGGGCTCAGAGCGGCTTACAAGCAATAATAAAAACAAGTTGAATGATTACAACTTAAAAACAAAATTAAAATACAACATTAAAATATTAAAATGTAGCCTCATCGCAGGAGGAGAAGGAAAAGAAAAAAGAAAGAGAGGGAGGGAATCAAATTGGCTCCAAGCCAAAGGCCAGGCGGAACAACTCTGTCTTACAGGCCCTGCGGAAAGAAATCAGATCCTGCAGGGCCCTGGTCTCATGAGGCAGAGCGTTCCACCGGGCCGGAGCCAGAGTTGAAAAGGCCCTGGCTCTGGTTGAGGCTAATCTAACTTCCTTAGGGCCTGGGATCACTAGGGTGTTGCTGTTTATGGACCTTGAGGCTCTCCGTGGGGCATACTAGGAGAGGCGGTCCCGTAGGTACGAGGGTCCTAGGCCGTGAAGGGCTTTAAAGGTCAAAAGCAGCACCTTAAATCTGACCCTGTACTCCACCGGGAGCCAGTGCAGCTGGAAAAGCACTGGGTGAATATGCTCCCATGGCAGAGACCCCGTGAGGAGCCTTGCTGCAGCATTCTGCACCCGCTGGAGTTTCTGGGACAGCTTCAAGGGCAGCCCCACGTAGAGCGAATTACAGTAGTCAAGCCTGGAGATGACCGTGGCATGGATCACTGTGGCTAGGTCAGGGCGGGAAAGGTAAGGGACCTTTCAAGTTGGGAGTTAACTCTTTCAATAGCAAGAACAAGTTTGACACAGGAGTGTTGGGCCTTTGCAACTCATCTCCACCAGGCGTTGCCCCCTTGAAGCAGTTGCTGGAACTGAAGGTCCACAGCTGCCTAAGTCCCCTCCTCCCCAGGGCTTGTCTCAAGCAATCAGAGACTATGCCTGCATGAAGCCAACTTCTCCACCCTCTTCATGCCTCTGCTGGTTCCAGGAGACGAGGGTGGGGCAGGTGAGCTTTCTGCAGCAGGAGGGAGAGACACCTGTGACTCTTAAGAAGCTGGACTCATCTCTGCCTCTTGGCCTCCAACTTACTTGCTTCTGCTCCTGCCACCGCTTCTGGACTTGTCTCTGCCACAGACTCTCCCAGCTCACTAAGCCCTGTTACCTCTTCAGCTTCCAAAACCTCCTCCTCCCTATGTTTTCCCTCTGACCACTCATTGTTGTCCCACCACCACTCCCTGGGCTCTGAGCCCTCTTCCCTTGATGGTTCCTCACCTGGTTCCCTCCCCCATTCCTCTGCATCCAACCAGCGCATGACACATGGCGAGATCAAGGCAGCAGTTCCAGGGCTCCCACACTCTTCCATGCCCCCTGCTTGTCAAGCAACAACTCCCCAGGAGCTATGGAAATACATTGGTACTAGACGCTGCTCTACTCCTGCTTAACCCTTGCAAATCGTAAAGCCAAGGCAAGAAGCCAATCAGGGCCAAACCAATCTGCATGGAAGAAGCATCACTATTATTAATATTTGCTTGTATAGTATTTTTTAAATTAGTTTTCAATTACAATAACCCAATAAAAGCCTCATTGTCAATACCAAATTATAATACAATTAATAATGCCAATTGTTCAGATGCCAAATTATATTATTTTGTTGGCCCCCTGCGTGCTAGAATTGATGATTTGATAATTTACTTTAACTCTGCATTCAAAAAAGCATCACTAATTTTTAAAGGTGCCTCTGACCCCAGGTGATAGGTAATATTTGTCAGGGAACTGGGACCACAGAACCCACAGGCCAGGCTCCAAAACAAAGACATATCCACAGTGCTTCCAGTTTAAAGGATTGATCCGACCTATGGAAAGCTACGGAGAACTCTTTCCTTTAAGTATTCAAACAAGGAACACCAAAGGTGAGCGGAGGTGACCATTTTGACCTGGTAATGGCCTGGCGACAGGCTTCTAGTCTCTCCTCATCTCAGAACACTACCGCTTGCAAAAAGCAGCCCAGCTGTTGGGGAAGACTGTAGGCTCCCTCTTCAAATGCCCCCACCACCACCACCCAGCAGCTTCTGGTTAGCTTCCATGGCTCTTGGGAATGATTTCAGACTTTCCCTGAGATGCAGAAAAGCACAGCTGACAACTGCCTGGGCTCCGTCCACATTCCAAAAGACTAGCAAATCATTCTCAAGAAGAGCCACGAAGCCACCATCAGAATGGTGCCGTTTTCACCAGATCTCAAGAAGTGGACCCAGAATTTGGTCAACAGCTATGGGGGCATAGGGGGCAGAGGCAGCCTGACCTTTCTTTGTCCCTCTTTGCCAGCCCCTTAAGCCGCTCACCTGTGGGCGCCAAGGTTGATGCAGCTGATGCCGAGATTGTAGCGGGAGCGGATGTAGCCGGGCTGCAGTTCCAAGGCATGCCTATAGGCTGCCACAGCTTCTTCACTCCGGTTTCCATTGGCCAAAGTAGCCCCAAGTTTGTTCCAGAGGAGATGATCCTGCGGGGAGACCAGAGAGAGCCTTATTAAACCCAGGAGTTCTTCCACGGAGAGTGCATGCTTCATTCAAGAGCAGCACATTCCTTCCCAGCTTCCAAAGTCTTCCAGATCCCACCCACTGGTGACCCCTGTATCCCTCAAGTTCCCCATGATTTTAAAAAGCTCACTGGTACCCACGTTGCATAGTTACTTATAGGTCCAATTCCAGGTGCTTTTGTTTAGAAAACAGTACTTTTCTGAGCACAACTCAAAGTGTTGGTGCTGAGCTTTAAGGCCCTAAACAGCCTTGGCCCTGTATACCAGAAGGAGCGTCTCCACCCCCATCGTTAAGCCCAAACACTGAGATCCAGCTCCGAGGGCCTTCTGACGGTTCCCTCATTATGAGAAGTAAAGCTACAGGGAACCAGGCAGAGGGTCTTCTCGGTAGTGGCACCTGCCCTGTGGAATGCACTCCCATCGGATGTCAAGGAGACGAGTAACTATACAACTTTTAGAAGACATCCAAAAGCAGCCCCGTATAAGGAAGCTTTTTAACGTGTCATGTTTTATTATGTTTTTATATACGTTGGAAGCTGCCCAGAGTGGCTGGGTCACCCCAGTCAGATGGGCAGGATGCAAATAATAAATTATTATTAGTAGTAGATGTTTAAAGCCCACGGCAGTCTAGAATCTGGACACTAAAGAACTGCCTTCATCTTTATGAACCTGCCTTTGCCTTAAAGTTGACGGAAAGACTGTGGGCTTTGATTTTGAAAATGAAATAACCATCCCCCCACTTAGCAGGGTTCAAGAGAAGGCCAAGTCCGAACTCATTTGCCTCTGATGTGCTCTATTTTCTATGTGGGCAGCACATTTATTTGTTCTTCACATGGTTGAGCATTCAGGTCAGGCAATCCCCACACCCGCGAACTGAGTGGTGCAGCCCTGATACAGGATTCCCACCCTGTAAGTCCACCTCCCCAACCTCACACTTTTCTCAGCCACGCTTGCGCTCACGCCTTACATTGGGCCGCGCACTCAGCGCAGCAGTGAAGCAGTCCACAGCCTTCTCGTACTCGCCGCTCAGGTTGAAGAGAACGCCCAAGCCACACTGCACGTCAGGGTCCACGGCAGAGGTGTTGCTACGCACAGCCGCCAAGAAGAGCTCCTTTACTTCCACAAAGAGCGAGCTGGGGCGCGTGTGGAAAGGACAGAGAAATGTACAGGTAAAAAAGGTAAAGGACCCCTGGACAGTTCAGTCCAGTCAAAGGCGACTATGGGGTTGTGGCGCTCATCTCGCTTTCAGGCCGAGGGAGCCAGCATTTGTCCGCAGCTTTTCTGTGGCATGTGACCAGCATGACTAAACTGCTTCTGGCGCAACGGAACACTGTGATGAAAACCAGAGGGTACGGAAATGCCGTTTAACTTTCCGCCAGAGCGGTACCTATTTATCTACTTGCACTGGCGTGCTTTCGAACTGCTAGGTTGGCAGGAGCTGGGACAGGAGCTCACCTTGTCGCAGGGATTCGAACCGCCAACCTTCTGATCAGCAAGCCCAAGAGGCTCAGTGGTTTAGACCACAGCACCACCCGCGTCCCAGAAAGATATACAACAGGGTAACGAATCACAGAATTGCAGAGCTGGAAGGGAGCCCTGAGGGTCAACCGGGCCACACCCCCACCATGCATGAACCCCGTCTGTATTTCCCCAGTCCTCTTCCATCCTCGCTTTCCCCCGTTCCCCACACTCACTCGGTTAAAAGGGAGCCCAGGATGCGTTTGGAAGGCCCAAGGCCCGGGCTGGGGCTCCCGGCTTCCTCCTCCTCCTTCCCTATCAGATGAGCGTAGGCTGGCTTGTGGCGCAACCAGTCGCGCAGGGTCTCGCAGGCCTGCTTCTGCAGCGACTCGTTGGTGAAGCTGACTGCCAAAGCCATGAGCGCCGTGAGGTTCCCGGGCTGCAACTCCAGGCACCTGTGGGAAAGAGGCCAAAACATGCAAGTCAAAAAACTGAAGGGGATCATTACTGTAACCTCAGGAGGAGGAGGAGGAGGAGGGAAGGAGCAGGTTTCTTGTTTCTTATCTCAGAACATTCTTACCAAAATGAAAAGCAGCCCAGCTGGCTGGGAGGGTCCAGGCTCCCTCCTGAGATGCAAACCCTCCCCAGCTGGCAGATCTGCAGCAGCTATTACAAATGTACTGGCTGCAGAGAGCTCCTAAGCCTGGAAATTCGTAACAAAATAAAGCTCTTCCCCCACAAGAAGGTTTGCAACTGGGCAGCACTGAGAGATGGACCTCTGCCACAAACATGTGTTTTCCGTCCTGTTAACTCTCAGGTTTTCATGCTAAAATAAGGTGCGGCGAGCGTCTGCCAAAGGCTCAGGAACTGTGAGGGAACTCTGTGGGCTGCCATCAGTCGCGCCAAGAAAAAATGTAATTCTTCACAGTTTCCTGGTCACTCTTTGGCTCTGCTTTCCTTTCCCCAGCTGCCAGTACACTACAGGTGTCATCCTTCCTTTGCTAATATCCTGCAGTTTGAGCACAGTGTCAAACTATTGTATTTTGCAAAGGATGTCTTACGCCAGAGACTTGCCTAGCTTTTTCATGCTGCTTGCTTTCCACAACGGGTTTGCTGTCCCTGGCCCAAAAGTGAGCAGAATTGCAGTGGCCTTGCATAAATTTATGGTGCAGCTACATTCAAGAGTACTGCATACAGTTCAGTTCTCAAAACAAGGGACTAATGATAGAGCGGAAAGAAATGCAGAGAAGGGCAACCAAAATGATCAGAATTTGGGGGAGGACCTTCCCTACAGGAAAAGGCTTGGAATATTTTAGTTTATAAAGCAAAGGAAGACAACTAGGAACCAAATAGGAGGCTGTGATGACTGTGCTGTCTTTAGGGTCCAGCCAAGGTTCAGGAACTCAAACAAAAAGCAATTCTTCATAATAACATAAAAAACTTTATTTAAAGGTCTGTTGGAGAAAGAGGGTTTCAAATGACATCACAATTTAAAGCAACTCGGAAGCAAGGAAAACAACAAAACTATCTTATCTGGCTAAAGATTAAGTCATAGAATCATAGAATCATAGAGTTGGAAGAGACCACAAGGGCCATCGAGTCCAACCCCCTGCCAAACAGGAAACACCATCAGAGCACTCCTGACATATGGTTGTCAAGCCTCTGCTTAAAGACCTCCAAAGAAGGAGACTCCACCACACTCCTTGGCAGCAAATTCCACTGTCGAACAGCTCTTACTGTCAGGAAGTTCTTCCTAATGTTTAGGTGGAATCTTCTTTCTTGTAGTTTGGATCCATTGCTCCGTGTCCGCTTCTCTGGAGCAGCAGAAAACAACCTTTCTCCCTCCTCTATGTGACATCCTTTTCTATATTTGAACATGGCTATCATATCACCCCTTAACCTCCTCTTCTCCAGGCTAAACATGCCCAGCTCCCTTAGCCATTCCTCATAAGGCATTGTGTAACACACAAGACACTGGAAGTTGAGCAGCAGGGCAGACTTAAATCTGGAATCATGACAGGAACCTTTGCGATGAGAGCTACTACATAACAGCCCAAAGCCCAAATTTAAGCGAATGACGGCCCAGGGCTCATAACCCGAGGCAGCCAATCAGGATGGCCAATTGGTACAGCCTTCAAGAAAATGGGCATTCAACCCTCCCATCCTAAAGGAGCAAACACCTGTTTGCATCACGAGTTCTCAACTCATTTTCCTTAGTTCTGCCCTCGAGAGCCTGATAAGGAACATCTGTGCTCTGATCCATAGTCCAGAATTTCTAGCAGCTCCCCCCCCACCACAAAAAAACAAAAGCAAATTAGGCTTAAGGGGGACTGTTTCTCCACTAGGGAGAACATCACAATATATCACAAGCTAAGCATCACAATATACTGATATATCATAATGTTTTAAATAAGGACGAAACTATATAAAGGTGAACGGTAGCGCTGGGCGATATCTGGTTTTCAACATCGTGATATATCATTTACTAAACACTGAGATATATTACAATGTCTGAAATAAGGATGGAGCTATGTAGAGGCATTGGCTGACTTCAGTTTTTTCCATACTGTGATTTTTGCATCACACCCACACACCCACACACCCACCCCATGATTCACAATCTATCACCAGGTTCAAGAGTTATGAAACTGCTATCATAATATGGAGTTCAAACTGGTTTTGTAAGATATATCAATATATCACCCATAGCTATTCTCCACAGAGGCTTATAAATTTATGAATGGAGTTCTTGGAATCCTATCATATCAAATCATATCAACGCTAGGACTCGGGTCGCGGAAGAACGAGGTTTAAAGATTCAGTAAACCACCAGCATCTCTAGCCACTTGGTTCTAGGTGTCATGCTGCACTTTGCCTCTGCAATTCCCAAAAAAGCAGCACAATCTCAAGACGTTACTACGCCAGGCAGGTTACTCACTTCCTGAGAGCACTGATGGCTAAAAGCTCCTGCTCATTCTCTGCTTGCGTCGTTCCCAGGTACTGCCAGGCCTGAAATGAAGACATGACAAGGAGTCAGGGCTGTTTTCTTTCTGCTTACCAGCAGTGCTGAAGAGTAGGGCAAGTACCCAACTTCTGAAACATTTCTGCGTCCTCTCCCCCAAAATGCCCAACTTCTCAGCGCTCTGAAAGGGAAGCGAGTCCACTCAGGGCCAAGGCAGAGGCTGCCCATTTTCCCATCGTCCACAGCCGGGAAACTCAGCAGCTAGCACAGTGCAACAAAGCAATGAGCGCTGACCCAGTTTGTCTTGACAAAGGGCCAACACCCCCCGGCAACCTTCCCCAGCCTAACCTAATCCCAAGGAGAGGAGGCCTGGATCTGCCGCCCTTCACTCACCTCCATGTGATCCGGGTTCTGCTGCACAGCAGCCTCAAAGTACAAGACGGCGTTGGGCAGGTCTCCCTCCTCCAGGCACTTCAGCCCTTCCTCAAAGGCCTGGGGATGATCATGAACGGGGTTCTCTTCTTCAAACTGGTATCCCTACCAGGGAGGGAGAGTAAAGTTGTTGTTGTTGCTTTTAAAGTGGATCTTGCAGCATTTGCTATTTTATTCAAGGGGCGGAGGAACACAGACCGTTCATCCCATAGCAAGGAGACCCTCCCCAGAGAGGACGTTCTCTTTGGGCTCCGGGGAAGATTTCCTCGTGAGTGGGAGGGGCAGCAGGGCTTTGTTGAGGCTGCTCAGCCTCCCTGCCTAACAGCTGGTGTCTGGGGTAGCGCAGCAGCTGCTGCTGCTTCCCTGTGCATCAGCTGAGCACCCCCAACACATACTCCAGGCTGCTCCCCACTTCTGAGTTCCCGGCACCACATGTGTCATGCACAAGTCCGGAGTTGCTTGTACCTACATTTTATATTTTATTTATGACGGTTACTTCGTAAGTTGTTGTTGTTATTACTGATTCAATTTATATACAGTGGTACCTTGGGTTACATACGCTTCAGGTTACATACGCTTCAGGTTACAGACTCTGCTAACCCAGAAATAGTACCTCGGGTTAAGAACTTTGCTTCAAAAATCGAGAACAGAAATCGTGCTCTGGCGGCATGGCAGCCGGAGGCCCCATTAGCTAAAGTAGTGCTTCAGGTTAGGAACAGTTTCACGTTAAGAACAGACCTCCAGAACGAATTAAGTTCTTAACCCAAGGTACCACTGTACTGCTGTTTATCAAAAGATCCTAGGGAGGTGTACAACATTGAAAATACATTACAGAACACCAACGATAAAACCATAATACAGTGGAACCTCGGTTTTCAAATGTAATCCGTTCCGGAAGACGGTTCGACTTCCGAAACGTTCAAAAACCGAGGATCAAAGGGCTATCGGCAAATTCAATGGAGTAAAATGAGAAATGCGCCCCAGAAGCCATTTGACTTCCTAGGCGTATTCGAAAGCGGAAGTGTTCACTTCCAGGTTTTTGGCATCCAAAACTTTTGGGAGCTGAGACGTTCGAAAACAGGGGTTCCACTGTAAAAAGTATAACGACAGACAGCCTAATAATAAAATAGTAATCATCACAGGTCATAGTCTATCACAGGCCATAGATTATTTAATAACCATAGGCCTGGGTAAAGAGGGAGGTCTTTGCCTGGCGCCTAAAGACATGTAATGAGGGTGCCAGGCAAGCCTCTCTGGGCAGAGCATTCCACAGACAGGGAGCCACCACAGAAAAGGCCAATTCTCTTGTTGCCACACTCTGAATCTCTCTGGGATGAGGGACCTAGAGAAGGGCCTCAGATGACAAGTGCAGGGTCTGGACATTGTAGTTTTACTAGGCATTGCATAATTAAACACAGAGAGAGAATTCTGTACCCACTTGCTCACAATCTGAAGTTGAGCAACCAATAGGGATGAGGAGGCAGGGTGAGGGGAGAAGGAGAAGGCCCCAAGCAGAGCCTCTGCAGGAGTACCTTGTCATAAGAGGAGCTGGCAAGATCCTCATAGTCCGTTAGCCAAGGGTGGGCCTCCGCATCTCGCTTGGCCATTTCCTCCCACTCAGCCTGGAGCTTGTCCCAGAAGTCCACATCTGACTAAAGAAGAGGGGGAAAGGAAGGTGAGGGAAACCCACCAGGTCTCTCAAATGAACGCAGCAGAAATCTCACTGCAGGGCAAAGCTTTTACAGAGTTACGATTAAATACAATAAACTCTGCTTATAGAGATGGGAGACACAGAGGCATACCAACAAACAAACGTGTTTGCATTAGGGGATGTCCTGAAGTAAAGGACCTTATGCATTATATCTTTCGCTGCCCCCTATATAATGAAGCAAGAGAAAGATTTTTAGCACCTATGATGACAAGGTCCCCTGGCCAGAACCCCTCTGACATGATTTTATATCTCCTCGCAGACACAGATAAGTACGTGACCTGGCGTGTAGCACTCTTTGCAACTGCCGTTAGGAAAATTAGAGCAAATTATATAGCCAAGGTAGCCACCAACTGTAAAGGAGATGAATTTATTTGACCCTATCTACATCAAGCTATATTCTATCTTTATCACCAAATTTCAAATATAATTGCACATTGTATTAATTAACATTATTTTTTAATATATTAGTGGTCATGTGATAATTTTAGCTTATAAATTTTATTGTTTAATGTCTTAACTTGTATATTAAGGTACTTTTATAGCTCTGTTGAGAGTAGGTAATGTTTTGATAATATAAATATTTTAAGTTTTTTGTATCAATCCAGTATATTTTCTTCTAATTGTTGAATGATTCTGTGTACACTGCGGCAGCCTTTGGCTATGTGCAATAAAACTGACTGACTCACTCACTCACTCACTCACTCCAGGTGAGCCCTGCCCTCACCAGTTGTTACGTTACCTCCACAGCAGTCTTGGCTTCCTCAAACTCGTTCTCTAGGCCCAGCGTGTCTGCAGAGTGTGCAAACTGATCTACCCAGGCTTCGGATGTGTTCTAGAAAGAGAGCATAGCAGGAAGGTACTTTCCCCCACCTCAAAGATGGATAAAGGGTGAGCCCTGTCCCATTTCTTAACAAAGCAACAACAAACAAACCTATGGTCACATAAAGCATACTCAATAAACACATGAGACGTAACAGGCTGTGTTCTTAGATAAAGAAGATATACTATTCATAATATCAAATTGTAAATTTCAACAGAAGTAACTCATAAAGTTCTACAAATGAACAAAACAGAAGACCCAGTGGATCAGATCATTCTATAGTCAGTTCATGCATAAGGTCCATCCGTGTAATGGTGTCCGTTCCACCTGTCTGTTCATAAAGTCCAAACTATCGACATGAAAGGTTGTTACAGTTCCACAAGATCCTTTCACAAAGTCTAAGACAAGGATTTCCGGAATACTGGCCTTGTTTCGCCGTCCTGGGCTTCATCAGTAGTTAAAGCTCATATGTGATATTAAAGGGCAGTGGATCTTATGGCATAGTAGTTGCCTTTCATGTGGATGGTTTGGACTTTAAGAACAGACAGGTGGAATGGACACCATTACAAGGATGGACCTTATGCATGAATTGATCCACTGGGTCTTCTGCTTTGTTCGTTTGTTGAACTTTATGAGTTATTTCTGTTGAAATTTACAATTTGATACTATGAATAGTATATCTTATTTATATAAGAACACAGCCGGTTACGTCTCATGTGTTTACTGTCCCATTTCTTGGCAAACAATATGGCAGGCACAGCAAAGCGTAAAAATTTGGGCCTACAGGACAGAATCATCCCTGGAAGGTCTGCGCTGTGAGTCTTCTCTGCCCCTAGACTACATACACACTGCTCTTTGTGCAAGTTGACACTCCTGGCCCCCAGTTCCTACTCCCAACACTGAAGACATTGGTTATTGGCCACACAAGAGCATGTTGCAAAGAAGCACACAGCCCATGAGCAGCAGAGCTCTACCTGTTGGGAGTCCTACCTGCTGCTGTATAAACTCAGTTGCCCATTGTTCTGCCTGATCCTGGTCTCTGGGGGTAATGGTCACCCGATTTGCCTCGATGGACACCCTCCCATCTCCAATCTGGCGGACAAACTTTAGGAACTGCATGAAGAAAGGAGACACAGGGAGAGAGACCATCACCATCCATCCCTCAGCACAACCACTTCTATCTGAACTAGCCTGGACCGTCCAGACCGAGCAGAGCCGGCAGGAAAGAAAAGAGGAGGCACATTTGGCTTCCTTGAGGGAAAAGGAACCTAGGAGCAGGTCCCTCTCAAGTGGTAGCCGCTCAAAACAGTTGAACGGGGTCAGAAACTCTTATTTCCTTGAAAGTAACTCCAAGAATAACACCAGACTGGAAGGTCTAGGCCAACTCCCCTCCCTTAGCTCAAAGCCCTTTCTGCCAACCTTTTGCCCTGGATTGGAAGCAAGAAGATCAGGGAACATCCAAATCCCAATTCTTAAAACAAGACTGCCATTTTTCAAGGAGTGAGGGCAGAGAAGGGAGAGGTGTGTGGGGAGAAGAATGTGTGAGTGTAGACAGACATAAATATTTTGAGGAGGAAACAAAATGTTGCCTCCTCTGAGGGTCTTCTGCTGGTTCCCTCATTGCGAGAAGCGAAGTTACAGGGAACCAGGAAGGCCTTCTCGGTGGTGGCACCCTCCCTTCAGATGTCAAGGGGACAACTTTTAGAAGACATCTGAAGGCAGCCCTTTATTGGGAGGTTTTTAACGCTTGATGTTTTTATTATGTTTTTAGATATGCTGTAAGCTGCCCAAGAGCGGCTGGGGAAAACAGGTGGGCTGATGGTCAAGCACTCATATTATCTGTGCCCAGTTCCCTACGAAGAGAACTCTAGTCTCTTTTTTTACCTCAGAGTCATTCAGCTTTGGGTCATCCACTTTTGCGAGAAACTCATTGGCAGTTTTCTTGAGGTCTTCTTCAGGCTGGTATTCCTCATACCTATGATCAGAAAGAATAAAGGTGGTTCAGGAACAAGCTAGGAAGACGCTATGTACTTAAGCGTTTGGCACACCATCACAAAAATAAACCGTTGGTGTGTTTATTTTATATCTCCCAACCCTCCAGTTTGCAATGCAGCTTAAACGATCAGTACACAAGCATTTCAATAACAGCATTTGAAAGACTATTAAAATGGCAGAAAACAGCCTACACCACCAACAACAAAAACTAAAGCCATAATTAGGAACAGAAAGAGAAAGGCAAATGAATTGAAAGGCAAGGCCAGAGGGCGGGGAGAGTCCTTCAAGTGAAAAGACAAGATTGCGCCAGGACAGCCTCTCTGGAGAGAGATTTCCATATCACAAAATGGCTGTCCCTGGGAAAGGTGAGTTGTGAGTGCCTGGAGGCAGTCAGAGGATGGATGGCGGCTAACAGATTGAGGTTGAATCCTGACAAGGGGGAACAGGAGATGGACGGGTGTGGGGGACTCCCTGGCCCTGAATGGGGTAACTGTGCCCTTGAAGGAACAGATGCGCAGCCTGGAAGTCATTTTGGACTCACAGCTGTCCATGGAGGCGCAGGTCAATTCTGTATCCAGGGCAGCTGTCTACCAGCTCCATCTGGTACGCAGGCCGAGACCCTATCTGCTCACAGAGTGTCTCGCCTGAGTGGTGCATGCTCTGGTTATCTCCCGCTTAGACTTCTGCAATGCGCTCTACATGGGGCTACCTTTGACGGTGACTCGGAAACTGCAATTAATCCAGAATGCGGCAGCTAGACTGGTGACTGGGAGTGGCTGCCAAGACCATATAACACCGGTCCTGAGAGACCTCCATTGGCTCCCAGTACAATTCCGAGCACAAATCAAAGTGTTGGTGCTGACCTTTAAAGCCTTAAACGGCCTTGGCCCAGTATACCTGAAGGAGCGTCTCCACCCCCATCGTTCAGCCCAGACACTGAGGTTCAGCTCCGAGGGCCTTCTGGCGGTTCCCTCACTGCGAGAAGTGAGGTTACAGGGAACCAGACAGAGGGCCTTCTCGGTAGTGGCGCCCACCCTGTGGAACGCCTTCCCATCAGATGTGAAGGAAATAAGCAGCTATCTTATTTTTAAAAGACATCTTATTTTTAAAAGACATCTGAAGGCATCCCTGTTTAGGGAAGTTTTTAATATCTAATGCTGTATTGCTTTTAACACTCGATTGGGAGCCGCCCAGAGTGGCTGGGGAAACTCAGCCAGATGGGTGGGTTATAAATAATAAATAATAATAATTATTATACATAAAGGAGCCTCTAAAGATTATCAAAGTGTTTGGCCTCCTTAAGAGGGAGAAGGTGGTCCAAAGTCATAAAGGGCTTTCAAAGTTAAGCACCTATGTCTTCAGTAATGCCCAGAATACACCATGAATCTGGGGGGGAAATCCTTAAGCCCTGGTTATGTTCCATTTCCCCAGCGTGAATCAGCTGTCTAGCAGTCACATTCTGCTCCAGCTGAGATTTCAGAGTAGCCTTCAAAGGAGAGCTCCACATATAAAACATTGCAGTAGTCCAACCTAGGTAAAGGGACCCCTGACCATTAGGTCCAGTCGTGGCCAACTCTGCGGTTGCGGCGCTCATCTCGCTTTATTGGCCAAGGGAGCCAATGTACAGCTTCCGGGTTATGTGGCCAGCATGACTGAGCCGCTTCTGGCCAACCAGAGCAGCGCACGGAAACGCGTTTACCTTCCCACCGGAGCGGTACCTATTTATCTACTTGCACTCTGACGTGCTTTCGAACTGCTAGGTTGGCGGGAGCTGGAACCGAGCAACAGGAGCTCATCCCGTCATGGGGATTCGAACCGCCGACCTTCTGATCGGCAAGTCCTAGGCTCTGTGGTTTAACCCACAGCACCACCTGCGTCCCCCTGTAGTCCAACCTAAAGGTTAACAAAACATAGGTAACAGCAGCCATTTCTAAGCAGCTCCCTTATTAAATGCCTTTCTCCATTCAGTTCACTATAATTCTACTCAATATGGCAGGGCAACATGGAAAACAACAGCAGCCCAGAGAGCTTCAAGGTTCTTTGTCTGGATAACAATGTCCCTCTCTCTCTCGTTGATCCGAAAAGCCTTGGAAAAAGTACATTAAACTGAAGACCTCTCTGGCATGGTGTAATTTTAAACCTTTCCCCCTGGGGCTGCAGGAGAAGCCAGCTGCTTCGTGAAAATGGACCTGTCTACTCAGAACTCGGGCAGAGTGCTACTCTGAGCTGCAGCGTGGATCAAATCCCAATATCTTGCCGACGTCACTGCAGGAAGTAGCAACAGAGGTACTCACCATTTATCAGCCAGGGTCTGGTCTTCTGATTCACCCAGCCACAGCTTCTCCTCTGACTGCTCCAAATATTCTTCGGCCCACTTGGCAGGAGACACAGACAAGGGATCTTTGAAGAAATAATAAATAATAAAATAATTAATATTTAATAATAATAATAATTGTTATGGCTATCGGGTGGTTGCTCGAGAGCAATCAGGCAAGATGCCTCACTGGTCTGTTCTAAAGCTTTATTATTGGTGCTAAAAACCTTTACAATGCAGAGCGTCTCTATTCCATGTCTTGCTCATTCACTAGCAGAATCTGAGAGTGGGCGGTCCTTAAATCTTCCCCAGCAGAGTAGTCTCTTGACCCCCAGCCGACGCCTCCCCTCTCTGCGCGGAAGCCTACTGCGCAAGGAAGGTCTGGGTAACGGGGCACCTCTCTCCTCTCAGCTTTGCCCAGGCAAGGTGTCCTGGCACTGCCTTGCATCCTCCGAGCCCTGCATCTCCTCCCCACTAGAGGCGTGGCTTCCTTCCTCCACTGAGGAAGTGCTGCTTCCCACGATCTTCGGAGCTCTCTGTAATCCATCCACCTTCCCCCCCCCTTGCCCCTGAGCCAATGGCAGTTCCCTGACATCAATACTATTTATATCCCGCCCATCTGGCTGGGTTTCCCCAGCCACTCTGGGTGGCTCCCAACAGAATATTAAAACCACGAAAAAACATACATTAAAAACTTCCCTTAACAGGGCTGCCACCCCCTTACCAACTCCTGTCCCACCTGTAACCTCAGCAATGAATTCCTGGGACCAATCAGCTTCATTGTAATCCGTTGAGACGTCCACTGTACTGTCGGCAGCGCCAAGGAATTCTTGCGCCCAATTCTCCGACAAAGCCAGGGCCGCCACACCTGGAGCTGAGAAGAGGAAGCCGGAGGAGTCAGAATGGTGCTAGCTCAGGTGCCCACAAGGATGAGACAAGTCCCAATGGAGCAGAATTGGCTTCCTGGTCCTTCTTCCCAATCCATCCCCTTCCTCGGAGGGCACATCCCCCTCAACAGTGGATGGGCGGCCATTGCCACCATTCACCCAAGAAATATTTTGCTGGTCTGGTTCATGCTACGACTCCCAGGCCAGGCCTCTTACCTCTCTGCGGAGCCTGCCGGAAGCTGGACTGCTCAATTTCCTGCATCTCGGCCAGCAGGTCATCCATCTTGAATGTTTGTGGGGCACGGGACAACAGGGGGCCATTCTGCTCTTGAAGGAACTCTGCCACCAGCTGCCAGAAAACATAACGTCAGCATGTCTTACAGCTGGGTGATCTACGGTCCCAAACCAGTTGAAGGCCATATCATTATATCCGTTTCATAATTTTTGACCTGGCATTATATTGTGGATCATGGTGTGTGTTAGGGCTGGGTGATGGATCGTCCAAAACTGGTTTGAAGTCCATATTGTGATATTGGTTTCAGAATTTTTGAGCTGGCAATATATCTCGAATAATGACGTGTGTGTGTGTGTGTGTTCTATGCAAAAATCACGATTTGGGAAAAGATGCTTCTGCTGATTCCTGCAGCCCCTGTTAGCTCTCCCGGCTCATGCAGGGGCGCAGAGAATCACAAGAACAGGCAGTGGAAAAAAATCACGATGTAGAGAAAACCATGAAGCCTGCCAATGCCTCTACATAGCTCCATCCTTATTTCAGATGTTTTAGTAACATATTGGTATATCGTGATGTTTAAAGGTAAAGGGACCCCTCACCATTAGGTCCAGTCGTGGCCGACTCTGGGGTTGCGGCGCTCATCTCGCTTTATTGGCCGAGGGAGCCGGCGTACAGCTTCCAGGTCATGTGGCCAGCATGACTAAGCCGCTTCTGGCGAACCAGAGCAGCGCACGGAAACACCGTTTACCTTCCCGCTGGAGTGGTACCTATTTATCTACTTGCACTTTGACATGCTTTCGAACTGCTAGGTTGGCAGGAGCAGGGACCGAGCAACGGGAGCTCACCCCGTCGCGAGGATTCAAACTGCCGACCTTCTGATTGGCAAGTCCTAGGCTCTGTAGTTTAACCCACAGCGCCACCCGCGTCCCATTGTGATGTTTAGTATCTGTTGAAAACCAGATACTGCCCAGCCCTAGCCTGTGTGCGAGGAAACAATATTGCGTGGGTCAGGGAGAAGGAGGAAAACAAAGGAAAGAAACATGGGACGTCTTACTTCATCTTCAGAGGCTCTTCCAAGAGGTTTGGACACCTGCAGAAGAGAAAAAGATTGCTACCCGATGGCAGAATAGAAATCGCAAAGGATTAAAGAGTTGCCTCCCCCAACAGATTTGTGCTTTCTTTATCTCTATGCGTTTGTTTGTTTTTTACAATTTCAGGACAAATGGGTATTATCCGTTTTTAAATAGGCAGAGATGGGGTGGGGGGCGGGGAGATAAGAAGGCCTAGCATTAACCACTGAGGGATTATTTTCCTTTTTTAAAAAGAAGAAGCGGTGATTCTGAACAGACAGACACTAGCAGGAGTGTGTCCCTGGATGAGAGATAAGACGATTCCCGGCTCCCCAAAGCGGTACCACTCTCTGACTCCTCCCCTCCCGCCCCTTCCCGCTTTGCCAAACTTACCACCTCAGGCACGGGGGCACTGGGAGGCCAAGCCAGGGGTCCCCGAAGACCCTCCTGCTGCAGGCCTTTGTCCTGGGTGAAATGGCTGGCCAGCTTCATCAGAGGATTGGAGCCTCCGCATTCCGGCTCCACCAGCTCCCTCATTGCCATGGCGGGAGGCGGGAGACGGCCACAGCCCCACGACCCTCACCTGCCCAAGGGAGAAGCAATGGCAAACCATGTAGAGTCACAAGGCTATTGTTATTATTCATCTCCTGCACCAAGCTAATCTGGCGAGGCAAGTTTCTGACACTGATGCACCGGAGAGATTACTCAACGGACTGAAGATACGACTACACTCGCAGCTTACAAACAGATTGCTTATAGGTGTAGACTCTGCATGGACAAATATAATGACATTTGGATGCGTTTATACAATATACAATATACAATACACAGTGGTACTGTGACTAAACATATATGTTTAGGATAATAACAATACTTATATAGTAGATGAGCAAATATGGAATTGAAACAGTTTGTGTATATAGCAAGAGATAAACTTTTTCTGCACATATTATTTTTTTGCTGCTTTATTTTGTTCAATTGAAATATTGAATTATTATTATTTTGAAGGCAGCCCTGTACAGGGAAGCCTTTTGATGTGTAATGCTTTATTATGTTTTTATATTACACTTGATCTTAGCCAAAAGGCCGAGAAGCAGGTACAAGTAAAATTATTATTAATAGTAATAATATGCACAAAAAGCTTTTGTAAATGCATAAGGCAGGTTTACAAAAATTGCCAACAACTGAGGCCCCATTTGAACTGCACATCTAAAGGGGGATCGCATCACAGCTTCCCCCAAATAATCGTGGGAACAGTTTGTGAAGGTGTGACAGAGCTGAAACTCTCAAAGTTCCTTCAGAGGAGGGATTGACTTTTAAGACACTCTGGGAACCATAGCTGCGTGAGGGGAACAGGGGTCTCCTAACCACAGCCAGGACCCTTAAACTACAGTTCCCAGGATTCTTTGAAGGGAAGCCATGGCTGTTTGAAGTGGCACGTCCTGGTGTGGACGGGGCCCAAGGGAGGCAGGATACGGGCAGACATTCCTCTGCCCACTTCCCGTGCCCACAAGCGCAACACACCTGCACACGAAGTAATCCGGAATAATTGCCACTTGCAAATGATGCAACCAAACAGCACCACCACCTACAGCAGCCACCTCCTCTCAAGATGGAAGCGGAAGGAGTGCCAAGTCAGACCCAAGGTTGAACCAGCCCAGATACAAGCCCAGGAGCCCCTTCACAGACTATGTTTTTTCACACCCACCCACCCCTAAAAATGTAATGTGTGAATGCAACGACACACCCGCATCATGCAGGCACTTCGACTGGGGGAAGGCAAACCCCACAGGAGCCAAGTCCGAAGGGCCGAGGTCCCTTTGGGCCCCCCAATAAAATATTTGAAGGGGCTACCCCTCCCCCCAAAAAGCTGATGGGCATGGTGCGCGTGCGATCGATTCTGTGGGGCGGGGCTTACCTGGGGCCCCCAATATTTCATTCCAGTTTCACCCCTGGCAACTCCCACGCTCGGCTCTGGCCTCTCCCGACTCCTGATGGTGTGTAGCGGTGGGATGCGACTCTGCACATGCTCAGAGGTGCTCTCCCCGTGGCAAAACCCGAGGGCTGAGCCTGGCTGGAATTGGGGGCGGGGGGGGGAGGTAGATTCCAAGCCAAGCTCCCAGGCACTCCCTTTCCACGCATCTCAGCATCGGGGGAGGCCGTGGGTGGGGCGGGCTTGACGCCTGGACTCCCCCCCCCCACTTGCACGATGCCCCCCCCAAGCCAGCCGGGCTCCCCACCCCCCACCCCCACCCGCCAGCAAACAACTCACCAGGCTTTGCAAGGCCTCGCTGCCTCCGGCTGCGGAGCCCCTCCCTCCCTCGGCTGGGTTCCTAACTGGGGGCGGGGGGTCGGGGGGGTCGGCCAGGTGCTCCGATCGGGGGGGGGGGCTCGTCGGGGCTCCTCCTCCGCCCAATGCAACGCCGAGCTGCAAAGTCCCGGCCTGGATCTTGCAACATTCGCCAAGAAAGCAGCCAGGGGGCGGAGCCAGCTCTTAAAGACACAGGCGCCACTCCGGGGGCCACCCGGGCGGGCGGCTATTTGCAAGGTAGCGGGGAGGAAGGGAAAGCCCACACGGGCTCGGCCGGCGGCGCATGCTCCTTCCTCGGAGGCGGAGGTGGTGTCAGCTTTGCTGCTTAGGAACGAGTCCCGCTGAGCTTGCAAAAATCGGACTTTCTTAAAAGCCCTCTCCTGGGGCGCTCCCTCGGGCCAGGGTTGGTTGCAGCAAAATCAAGGAGGGGGCTTGGATTGTCCAGGGCCGGATTTAGGTATAAACTGGTGGTTTGAATCCCCATGACGGGGTGAGCTCCCGTTGCTGGGTCCCTGCTCCTGCCAACCTAGCAGTTCAAAAGCACATCACAGTGCAAGTACAGTGGTACCTTGGGTTACATACACTTCAGGTTACAGACTCCGCTAACCCAGAAATAGTGCTTCAGGTTAAGAACTTTGCTTCAGGATGAGAACAGAAATCGTGCTCCGGCAGCAGCAGGAGGCCCCATTAGCTAAAGTGGTGCTTCAGATTAAGAACAGTTTCAGGTTAAGTACGGACCTCTGGAACGAATTAAGTACTTAACCTGAGATACCACTGTAGATAAATAGGTACCGCTCCGGTGGGAAGGTAAATGTCGTTTCTGTGCGCTGCTCTGGTTCGCCACAAGCGGCTTAGTCATGCTGGCCACAAGACCCGGAAGCTGTCTGCGGACAAACGCCGGCTCCCTCGGCCAGTAAAGCAAGATGAGCGCCACAACCCCAGAGTTGTTCGCGACTGGACCTAATGGTCAGGGGTCCCTTTACCTTAAAAAGGGATGCAGGTGGCGCTGTGGGTTAAACCATAGAGCCTAGGACTTGCCGATCAGAAGGTCGGCGGTTCAAATCCCCACGATGGGGTGAGCTCCCATTGCTGGGTCCCTGCTCCTGCCAACCTAGCAGTTCGAAAGCACGTCAAAGTGCAAGTAGATAAATAGGTACCGCTCCGGCGGGAAGGTAAACGGCGTTTCCGTGCGCTGCTCTGGTTCGCCAGAAGCGGCTTAGTCACGCTGGCCACATGACCCGGAAGCTGTACGCCAGCTCCCTTGGCCAGTAAAGCGAGATGAGCGCTGCAACCCCAGAGTCGTTCGCGACTGGACCTAATGGTCAGGTGTGCCTTATAAGTTAGCACCAAAAACCTTCAACTTGACTCAGTAGCAGATTTACACCTGGTACAAATACTGCAAACAATATGCAAATATATAAACAATATGCTGACGCTAGTTTGCCCCCACAAGCCCCCTAGCTGCTGTGTTCTGCATTAGCTGCAGACCAGTCTCAAAAGACTTGAAGCTACCAGTGCATAGACAACTGATCACACAGCCCCAACCAGGAATGGCTTTAGAGGTTAAGACGAGCGCTTTGACTTGGGCCAAAAATGGAGAAACAGCCACGGCAGGTGGAAAATAACTGGTGTCTTGGGATTGCATCAGGCAGTCCAAATTAAAAAGTTTGCTGCTCAGTCAGGGACCAACTGAAGTTTCTATTCCTGGTTTCTATTTTCAAAGGCAGTCCCACATATTGCACACGCTTGGGAGAAGACCAGGGCTCACGGATATACGGAAGATATAGGCTGTGCTGGGCAAGATGTATGTCTGCAATTCTAGAGAACTGTTACTAGTCAGAGCTGACTGTACGGAGTTAAAGGTAAAGGTAAAGGGACCCCTGACCATTAGGTCCAGTCATGGACGACTCTGGGGTTGTGCGCTCATCGCGCTTTACTGGCCGAGGGAGCCAGCGTACAGCTTCCGGGTCATGTGGCCAGCATGACTAAGCCGCTTCTGGCGAACCAGAGCAGCGCACAGAAACGCCGTTTACCTTCCCGCCAGAGCGGTACCTATTTATCTACTTGCACTTTGACATGCTTTCGAACTGCTAGGTTGGCAGGAGCAGGGACCGAGCAACGGGAGCTCACTCCGTTGTGGGGATTCGAACCGCTGACCTTCTGATCAGCAAGTCCTAGGCTCTGTGGTTTAACGCACAGTGTCACCCGCATCCCGTACTGAGTTAGATGGACCAATGTTCTGACTCAGTAAAAGGCCGTTTCTGATGTTCCGGTGCTGCAGTAATTGATAATAAAGAAACTGTTAGGAGCTCAAAGCTCTTCACATACGTAATTGTGGTACAAAAGCACATTCAGGTATGCCAATATTATATGGTGGGTATATTTATAGGAAGGAGCTGAGAGAACGATGGGTTGCCATACCAGAAATCACCCTATCAGGGAGTGAAGTTGCATGAAATTGGAGCCAGGCATTTTCCTGCTCATAGCTCACACCATTCCGCAGCTTCATCTGGTGGCACTCTAGCATTTATATAAAATCCCACTGTTACACCACAACATATTTGCACTAAAACAACTTCATCCCAGCAGGAAACTGGAATCTCCAGTATTCAAGGGGGTGGGGTGGAACCCCTATTTTCATCGGATAAATCTTAAAGGGTCTGGAGTTATGCGACCCACGAGCCAAGGAGATAAGTAACTACACAACCTCTAGAAGACATCTGAAGGCAGCCCTATGTGAGGAAATTTTAAAACATGTTTTATTATGATTCCATCACTGCGAGATGTGAGGTTACAGGGAACCAGGCAGAGGGCCTTCTCGGTGGTGGCACCCGCCCTGTGGAATGCCCTTCCATCAGATGTCAAGGAAATAAACAACTCTCTGACTTTTAGAAGACATCTGAAGGCAGTCCTGTTTAGGTAAGTTTTTAATGTTTGATGTTTTATTCTGTTTTTAATCTGTTGGGAGTCGCCCAGAGTGGCTGGGGAAGCCCAGCCAAATGGGCGGGGTATAAATAATAATACATTATTATTATTATTATTATTATTAGTAGTAGTAGTAGTATACTGCTCAGATTGGCTGGGGATACCCAATCAGATGGGTAGGGTGTAAATAGCCTTCTTCTTCTTCTTTGGCGATCACTCGTAGCCAAGTAAGATTGTCTTCCATAAACACGATTTTAACAACAACAACAACAACAATTTATTATTTATACCCGGCTTCCAGTCGAGTGTTAAAAACAATACAGCATTAGATATTAAAGACTTCCCTAAACAATGAGTCCGTAAGTGACTGTGGAGGCCAATTCTGGATCCACACGTCCTTCCACAGTGGGGACATTGGTCCCCGGGCGGGAGTTGATCACGGTGTGGATTTGCCAAGCGTGCCTTCCTCCTAGCACATTTCTCCCTTGCGTCCTGAGTTTGAGTGTCTTCAAAGAAGTCCTCAACGGCAGAACAGGCGGATGATAACAAGCGGTGTAAATAGTATGATGATGATGGAATAGGATGTCCCTATTTTCAGTAGAGAAATGTTGGAAGGAATGGTACTTTAGAGGGGCGGCTAATGTAAATAAGGGTCCTGCCATGTGACACAAGCCTGTATCATCTTAAGAGAAGTACATGCAGAGGTTGGTAACTTGAGGCACAAACACTTATAGTGGGTTGGTGGAGAAGCTTCCTTTTAGGCCTCTTGAAAAGCGCTTTTTAAAAGGAAGTGCTTCACAAGAAGAACTGTGCCAGAGAGAGATGAGCAGATTCCCTCTTGCATTGCCTAAAGGACTGCAGGGCACCAGCCTGGGGAAGACCAGTAATTGGGACTGTGAGACAGGGACCTCGTTGTGAACCAAGGGGCCAGGAGATGCTCACAAAAGATCCAAGGGGGCCACATTTCACTACCGACAGACAAACCAGGCATGTTAATCTGTTCTGGAGAACAAAGTACAACCTAGTCAGACTGCGCTAGAGGGAGAGGTCAAATCCAGTCAGCTAGAAATAAAGACTTTGCCGGATCAGCTGGTACAAAATGCGTAGGCAGAGATAAACAGTCCAGTGGTAAAAGCTGGGTCAGCCTAAGGTGTTTTGGCACTTGCGGCAAACCCAAAAATGGTGCACCCTCCCTGCCAGGGAAGAAGGGGGTGAGTGAAGATCTACACCAGGATCAAGACAGGAAGAAAGATTGATATTGGGATCTGCGGCTCTTGAGGATCCTGCTGCCTGAGGCGGTCGCCTCACCTTGCCTCCTAGGGAGACTGGCCCTGGGCAGAAGACTCAGCAAGATCTAGCAAACCTGGGATCAGCTGCTGAGCTAGAAAAAGAGCAAACTTTTTAAGCGTGGAAGAGTTAACCAGGGTTTCCCAAACTTGGGTCTCCAGCTGTTTTTGGACTATAACTCCCATCATCCATAGCTAACAGGACCAGTGGTCAGGGACAGTGCCGGATTTAGATATAAGCTAAACAAGCTATAGCTTAGGGCCCCACTCTCTTGGGGCCCCACAAAATATTTTAAGGAAAAAAACACCTGGATGTACATTTCCAAAATATAAGACAAAAAACAAATAAAATAAAACCTACGTACAGCAACAGTGTTTTGTGTTGTGTAGGCTCCTATGATGTAAGTAATGGTAAGCCTGCTAGCCTGCTTCCTAAAATATGACAAAAAACAGCGACAATTTGTTGTTGACAAAGGACAGCTGGACACATAAAGGGCCCCATTACCTTCAGTACAGTGGTACCTCGGGTTACATACGCTTCAGGTTACGGACTCCGCTAACCCAGAAATAGTGCTTCAGGTTAAGAACTATGCTTCAGGATGAGAACAGAAATCGTGCTCTGGCGGCACAGCGGCAGCAGGAGGCCCCATTAGGTAAAGTGGTGCTTCAGGTTAAGAACAGTTTCAGGTTAAGAACGGACCTCTGAAACGAATTAAGTACTTAACCCGAGGTACCACTGTAGTTTAGGGCCTCATCAAACCTAACTCTGGCCCTGGTCTGGATGATGGGAATTGTAGTCCAAAAGCAGTTGGAGACCCAAGCCTGGGAAACCCTGAATTAAGCCAACAGTCCTTGGTCAGAATAAGCTACAGAAGTCCATTTCATTCAATGAGAAAAAATCTTTGGGAGGTCTATCAAAGCCCATTTCATGCTATATCTTGGAATGTTTGCTTACAGAGAAACAGAGAAGGGACATTTCCATGTTTGCACTATTGAGGTGTTGCAAACCCTCCCCCCCTCCATTTTGCTGGAACTAAAGTGGTGCTTCTACAGGACTCTGTTATCTGACATTGCCATACACCAGGGCCAATAACTTTCTATACTCAGAATAAAATCTCATTCAGCAGAGGTGTCCTGCTAAAATTACCTCCCTGTGGCTTCTGCCTTCTTTTTAATTACTAGCCCCTCTTCACTGGGGGAGGAAGGGAGACTTTAAAGGTTGGTTTCCTCTCATAATTTCTACCAGCCCAGATGGCTGGTAGTTTCCGAACATGACATCCCATATTCTTTCCAGTGTACAGTAGTTTGAATGTGATCAGTGGCCACTAGAGGGCAGGGTGTTTCATTTAAAAAAAAAAAAAAATACAGATTCCAAAATAATAGTTAACCTAAGTCAACTTCTCTTGCTCCACAGTGTATTTCTGAAACAAATAGATTCCTCTGCATCTGCAGGAGCAGTTTCACTTGAATATGTGACACTTATGCACACTTCAGTGGCTGGGCTCAGAGCCATCCCAGCACCATAATGTTCAGCAGCCCAAAACATCTTGTGTGGTTGTTGAGTCGTGTCCGCCTCTTCATGACCCCCTGGACCAGAGCACGCCAGGCACTCCTGTCTTCCACTGCCTCCCGCAGTTTGGTCAAACTCATGTTTGTAGCTTCGAGAACACTGTCCCACCATCTCGTCCTCTGCCGTCCCCTTCTCCTTGTGCCCTCCATCTTTCCCAACATCAGGATCTTTTCCAGGGAGTCTTCTCTTCTCGTGAGGTGGCCAAAGTCTTGGAGTCTCAGCTTCAGGATCTGTCCTTCCAGTGAGCACTCAGGGCTGATTTCCTTCAGAATGGATCGGTTTGATCTTCTTGCAGTCCATGGGACTCTCAAGAGTCTCCTCCAGCACCAGAATTCAAAAGCATCAATTCTTCGGCGATCAGCCTTCTTTATGGTCCAGCTTTCACTTCCACACATCACTACTGGGAAAACCATAGCTTTAACTATACGGACCTTTGTCGGCAAGGTGATGTCTCTGCTTTTTAAGATGCTTTTCAAGAATCTTAGAACCACAAAAAGGAGCTTCACTCCCCTGGGAAAAGGGCTGAGTAAGATCTGCATCAGGAACAGGACGTGAGGAGACCAGCAGCGCCTCCTGCTTGCAGAGGACGTCCTAAGTTAAAGTGGGGACTTTCCGGGATCAAATCAGAAACGGGCAAGACTTCTGAAAAACGGGGACACGTGGAAGGTCTGGCTAGGGTACAAAACCACTGTGTTTTAAAAAGAAAAAAAAGGCAGAGCTAATGATTTGCTGGCTACGTACATTTCTTCCCTGCCCGCCGTCAGCAAAAGATTCCCGGGCGGTGCACCAAAAAAGTGAATAATGCAACTTAGTTTGCAGAGTTGCGCCAGAGAGGGCGGCATTTCACGTAGACCTGCGACCCCGCTGGCACTTCTCCGAAGCCAGCCAAGCTCTGGGCGTCTCACACCCAGCCAGGACTTCGGGAAACCGGAGCAATTCGGCTGAGATCGGAGGCGGGGCAAGCGGCGGCGAGAGGGCGGAGTGGGGGTTCGGGTGGCCGGGCGCGAGGGCGGAGCTGCTCGGGACTCAGCCGGAAGCCGGAGGGCGCAAAGCACGCGGCACCCGCCTCGGAGCGCTCACGGGATCGCCTGCGCGCAAAGATCGGCGAGGGAGCCGTGCCGGGTTCTCGACGGCGCGCACGGAAGAGAAGGCGCGGCTGCGGCGTTGCGCGGCACAGAGGAAGGATGCCCCGTCGGAGCACCGCGCTGCACCTCGCGGCCGGCGGGTGAGTAGCCCCGAGGGAGCTTCTGGTGCGCGTCCCAGGCGCGTCTGCTCGTAATCGGTTCCCCGGGACTTGCTGCCAAGGGGAACGGCAGGGCCGGATCCGCCGCGTGCCCATGGGCAAGTCTATCCAAGCCTAGGACGCCGACCTTAGAGAGGCGCACGACTGACCTTGGAGGGGCACCGTTTCCTACAAGTTCCTTGTTGCCATAAAGTTCTGAAAATAGTTTGCTTTTATAGTTTGAAATGTTTTATCCTTTCTGTTTTGGAAAAGAGAAGTTTGCAATAATAATAATTGTAGTTGAAGAGATTTCGAGTTGCAGGGTTGGGAATGCGCCGGAATGGCAGCTGCCAGCCATGTTGATCTCCTAGAATCATAAAGTTGGGAGGGATCCTGAGGATCATCCAGTCCCCACGCCCTGCAGTGCAGGAATATGCAGCTGACCCTTACGGGGATCGAACCTGCAACCTCGGCCTTGTCTGCGCTGCAGCCAACTGAGTTGTCCAGCTGTGTTTCCAGCAAAAAGACAGCCGAGTGCCCAGATTCTAAAGGAGTGAGGCCGGCTCACATGTGTCGGTGTAGCAGCGCTCCTTCTTGTGGGAGGAATGGGGTAGGAGGAATGTGTCAGGATTGTGTGCCAGAAGGAACAGAAAATGTCAGAGGTGCCGGATGCCTTAGCTTCTTTTCTTGGTTCACTGTCGGTTGCTATCTTGGGCCCATTTGTGGTCACCTTCTCTTCCTGGCACATGAGCCACTGCACCATGAATTCCACACACTCCAGTTGGCCGAGGACTGCATGAAATGATCTGCAAGCCTATCCACGTGGGGAAACTTACCACCCATTTAGTGTGACCTGTACGATTCCCAGTCATCTTTACAACAGCTACCAGTATTACTACTGTTGTAATGCTGATGAGAACCTGAGGCTGATGGAAGAAGTGACCTGCCTGAATAAACAGTCCTATGCATGCTTGCCAGGAAGCACTTTGCATTTCTGCAAAAAAAAACCCGGAAAGTTTTAAAGTCATGTAATTGATGATTTACAGAGCCACCTGTCAGTGCATATCCTTTACTAAAAAGTGATATTTTAAAATGCAGTACAGGCTAATTAAAAAACAACAAGCAAAAAAATCCACATGAGCTGCGCTCTTTGAGGACCTGCAAAGCAGCAATTGGCTCCTCTGTGCAAGCTTCTTAAAAATAAACTGAGTGTGCACTAACACAAGGAGCCTAAGCGAGCAGGATCAGAGGGAGGGAGCAAAGTTAACGGGGGTAACATTGGAGTGGAGTCCCTGAGACGATGGAATGGTGCCTTGTACACCTCCCTCTGGCAACTCCTCCAGCCAAGCTGGTGCCAAACATATTACTACTCTTCCTTCCCGTCAGCAAGGAGCACACTGCCCAGGCTTGCACCCAGGGAGGTCACTTTGGTGCTGCTGTTCGGCTTCACCCTGGAGGCGCACTCCATTGTCTCTCAAGACAGAAAGATGGCAACACCTGCATTAATAATGGGCTTTATCTATTACCGTACCCATAAAATTGTTCACATTATCCAGCACCCATCCTTCACTGAGGCTGGCAGTCACAGAGGTCTGCTGAGCTTCGCCTGGTGATAGGATGGAGGAGTTGGACCCGGCAGGTTCGACTCAACTTCTCCCACAGTTGAGATTAGGTAAAGGTAAAGGGACCCCTGACCATTAGGTCCAGTCGTGGCCGACTCTGGGGTTGCGGCGCTCATCTCGCTTTACTGGACAAGGGAGCCGGCATACAACTTCCGGGTCATGTGGCCAGCATGACTAAGCCGCTTCTGGTGAACCAGTGCAGCGCACGGAAACGCCGTTTGCCTTCCCGCCGGAGCGGTACCTATTTATCTACTTGCACTTTGACGTGCTTTTGAACTGCTAGGTTGGCAGGAGCAGGGACCGAGAAACGGGAGCTCACCCCGTTGTGGGGATTCAAACGGCTGACCTTCTGATCGGCAAGTCCTAGGCTCTGTGGTTTAACCCACAGCGCCACCCGTGTGAGTGTTTAAATGCCTGAACGGGGCTATGTAAGTCGCAGAATTCAGCTTTCTGAGTACAGTGGATGCTCAGGTTATGAATATGATCCATGTGGGATGCACGTTCGCAACCCGTATCTGCGCAGGTTGCAATTCTGTGCTTCTGTGCATGCGCGACCGCTGAAACCCGGAAGTAACCCATTCCAGTACTTCCGGGTTTCGGCAGTCCACAACCCAAAAAAACGCAACCTGAAGCATCTGTAACCCGAGGTATGACTGTACAGAACTTGGATCTGAGCGCAGGATTTTAGTTTAGTGGTGCTGCTGTTGTTGAGGACTCATCCCTGGGGAAGCTCTGGGGTTCTTGCCTTCATCTTCTGTTCTTCCCCTTAAGTGGAGGCAGAAGCCTCTGGGAAGCCAGGTGCTATTTGTTGTGTTAACTGACACAACTGTATTAACTGAAACGTGTAATATCTTGCCGTTCCCTTTGTGTTTATGAGAGTTTGACTTCGCTGTTCCTCTGAGGCCGTGCTCTTATGAATACACTCAGGCAGTGGTATCTACCTCTGAAAAGGGTATTCAAGAGGGCATGTCTTAAATCTGTAGTGTTCACACCTGGGAATGTGTAGTGCTGGGTTGCTGTTTTTCCCCCAGCAGGTAGACTACATTCAAGGTCAAACTGCACATTAAGTTCTTTAAAAACATGCTTAATGCAGCTGCTTTTATTTTAAAGGAAAAAGAGCTGGTTAGTCACTGTTGCTGGTAAGGGGAGGCAATTTAATATTGAACGATAAATTACAATCTTTCATCTTTTCCTCTGCCCTGCTGCAAAGGCTGGAAAAGAGGAGGAGGAGGAGGGATCCCTTGAAACCCACCCCCCGGCGCAGTGTTAGAAACTCAAATATACCGTATTTTTCGCTCTATAAGACGCACCAGACCACAAGACGCACCTAGTTTTTGGAGGAGGAAAACAAGAAAAAAATATTCTGAATCTCAGAAGCCAGAACAGCAAGAGGGATCGCTGTGCAGTGAAAGCAGCAATCCCTCTTGCTGTTCTGGCTTCTGGGATAGCTGCGCAGCCTGCATTCGCTCCATAAGACGCACACACATTTCCCCTTACCTTTTAGGAGGGAAAAAGTGAGTCTTATAGAGCAAAAAATACGGTATATGCTAGGTGCCAAATGGCCCCCTTAAACCAAGGTTGCAGTTGCCAAAACAGAAAGTCCGGTTGCCATTTTGGGGCAAGACGGCTCTAAAGTCTTATTTTTCAAAGGATGGACTGACTGTGATTGATTCATCTGGCTGGTCCAGATGACAACCTTGAGCTAAGGTTAAGAGCTTTGAGAACTCAAAAGAAGAAAAGTCACTTGATCCAACGACAGTCTGTATGTATATATATCGGCCCATTCCGACTTCTTTTTGTTAAAGGTGACCGCTCAGGCTTCACAGAAAAAAGGAATTTGGTTCCAGAAATTCATTCCGATTGTGCAGATGAAATATAAGCGATAGAATTCTACAGGATGGAGTATTTGTGTGTGAAAATGGTCCAGATCAAATGATCCCCAAATGTTGGAAATGTCAGGTACCATAGGTGCTAACTCCCTGGGTGCCCGAGCACCCACAAAATTCCCCCTTGAAGGGGCCAGGCACCCACAAAATTCAGTGCCAGGGCCATGCACGCTACATGGCACCCATGGTCATGGGGCCAAGTTGGCACTTCTGGCGCCCATCCTGGCACCCAGGCAAATGGTTGAAATGCGCCTGGCTAATTTCAAACCCTGTGTGCCACCCAACCACAACCCCACCCTTGGTAATTTTGCCAGCTTTGCCTGCCAAGGTAGTGCCATAGCTGACGTTCTTCCAATGTAGGAGAACTTCTGTTGAAATCTGCCGACTCCCGCCTGGTTATATCTTCAGGAAAAGCACGGGGCCTTCGTCTCCAGAGACCCTGCACACTATCACAACCTTCTAAATGGCTATATCCAAAGTATCCCTCTGAAGCAGAATGGGAAGAACATCTTACCGGGGCCGGGTACAAGAAAATGGGTTCTGCCTGGCAAATACGGGCAGCAGGAGCAAGTGGATTTCGGATACTCCTTTTTCTCTACCAGCTGCGCTGCTTACTCTGAAAACCCGGTTGTCCTCCTTCCTAAGGCGTCCTCAGAACAACTCCAGAAGGTTTTTCCTGGCCTAGCCTTCCAACTGCCCAACAGCTGTTCACACCCAGCCTCTCTGACCTGCTACCCTTTTGCTAACTCAAGCTGCGCAGGCGCACATCCCTTGAGACGGCAAAGGGGCTTTGCTTGCAAGAAGCATCTCTGCAAGCTGAGCAGAAGACAGACACAGTTGGTTAGGTCTTTGGTTCGTGGCCAGGTCTCTCTCATCATCATCTGTCTATATTCTGCGACGGCAGAAGAACGGGAGGCTCAGGGTTGGGCCAGGAAAGGCCATCTAAAGATGTTTCATCTTCTCTCGGCAAACAAGCCCTCTGAACGGAAGGAGAAATAATTGGTTTCTTTCTGCCAGCCTTGTTGCAGGAATTGCTGTATCCATTGGAAACAGTTTCCATGGTGCATTTAAAAAATGTACTTAGTTATTTTCTGCTTTTGGAGGCAACCGTTTCGACGCGGTGCTTTCATTTATTTATTTGCAAGAATTGTAAGTGGTGTACACGCTGTACTTATAGTTAAAAGATTTATATATTCGGCAGAGTTTCCAGGTGGTTTGCAAATGAAAGAAAGGGGGGAGGGGAAGGGGTGATGGAGTTAGGAGACCCTCTTTCTGGCGTTGTGGACACGTCCTAGTCCTGGTTCTCACAAAAATCAAGCGAAATAGTAAACCTGTTTCTGGACAGGTTGTGCCCAGATGCAGGTAGGGAGTTCACAAGGTTGAGCTCTCCTTGCTTTAAAATAAAATAATGCTATCCCCGCAAGCAGAAAGCAAGCACGTCAGGGAAAATGTGTCATCCCAATAATCTAATCATTGGCGCAGAGGGCTTGTTGCTTTTGTATGGAAGAGCATCCAGTCGTGTCAGCTCTGCTGGCTTGCTGCCTGAAGTGATGCAGGCCAGGCACCAGCTAGTGAGAACATGAATGTATAGGCAGATGTTTCAAGGTATCCAGCTACTGGTTAGTGATCTCATCTCAGCCACTGACTCCCAGTTTCTAACTGTTCGGAAGCTCAGGACTTCAGAGACAAACAACAACAGCCCTTGCCTACACGAAGAGGTCATTCCACAGTGCTTCAAAAACTCTTCACGGCAATGACATTTTAAAGCAAGCCTCTGACCATGTGAAGAGTGAGGTGTGGCCACCAGGTTAAAAGCACCCTGGTGGGAGAACTGGATTGTTTCAAGGGGTCCCTGTGGAGCCTGTGTTCAGGGTTGAAAATGTGTGCAATGGCTTTGAACACACCCGCAGCTGCTCTGTTGCGTCACTTGCCAGTGCAAACTTCGTCAAGGCGAATACCCTTCATGAATGTGGAGCGGTAAATCGAGAACCTCTCACCTTGCCAGGATTCGCTCACTCAGCTAATGTCAAACCAAAACCACAGGCTGCTGCTGTCAGTTAAGGGCTGTCCTAGCAAGGGGGCCAGTTGCGTAAAGTGCAAAGCACGTCCCTGCCAAATTGGGGCAGCTCCCGCCTCCGCCTCCAGCTCCCCCTCTCCTCCCCGCGCGCTGGCAATGCGTCACACAGACACCCTTTGGATTTGCCAATGATTAGCACACTGACGTCTTGGCTCCGGCCTGCTGTGAGCAGGGCTCCAAAGTCCACAGGGGAGGAGGTGGCCCAAACGTCACAGCTTTGCATTCTGGCATTGCCCAACACGCTTCGTTCTGCTGCGAGGCTTCCCCATGTTGCCACAGCCAACGGGCACTGGGTGATCTTTGGAGCCCGGCAAAAGGAACAGATCCTTCTGTATGTTGGAGAGTCACCTCGTCCAATGTAGTAGAGATTGCTTCTAAGCAATCCAGCCTCACGCTGGGAGTTCTCAGCTCAGGTGGCTGCGGTGGAAATGGAAGCCGAGCTGTCTTGATTCCGGATTCATTAATCCAGAGCCGGTTTATGTGGTTCTGGCTGTGCACATAGCTAGCACAGCAGCCCCACTGCTCCCTAATATGGATTAACCCCCAATAGAATGCAGCCTTCAAGAGGAAAAAGGATGCCTATTCCTATTGACATCCAACGCCCTTTTTAAATGTGTTGTGGGGGCGTGAGGAGGTTATTCATCATCATCAAACCTTTATTGGCATCACTTACAAACATTCAGAATAAATAGGCCAGTGCGATCTCGTCGCCATTTCAACAGTACAGTCATTTGCCAAAGGAAAGAAGAGGCGAGCGATCTATTCCATCTCTGGGGGTCTCCAGCAAGGGCAGGATCCTGTAGCATACTTTGGCGACAAAAAAATAAAATAGAGGAACTTAGCTACTGTCTTGGTAAGCTCCTGGTCTCTCCCCTGTAATAAGAAGCATATAACCTCTGTCTCTGGTTTCCATGTTGGAATACATACATGGTCTAGAAATTGTTGGCAGAAATCATCATACATTTTACATTTAAGGGCCACGTGAGCTGGAGTTTCCACCAGGTGGGCATACATGGGCAGAGCCTATCTCCTTCTGCCATACCCGCAAACCTACCCAAAGGAGGTTAGAAGGATTAGAATTGAACCTAGCCAGCGGGGAGGTGGGGGGTTATTGGGTTGTTCTTGTTTCCAGTTTATTATACATTTTGTGATTTTATATTGTGATTTTGTGTTGTGAAACACCCAGGTATAGAGCATCTAATAATAATAATAATAATAATTCCTGATCTGTCCCAACTCTCTCCTATCTTTGAAATGGAAAATCTCAAATCGTTCCCCAAACGTGCAAATGGATTGGAAAACTTCTCTCCACCCCCTCTGGATCCTCATTGCAGAATTATACTCTACAACCATATATGTTCGATTCCTGCACTGAGAGAATACTATAAGCATTTATACTAGGCTGTGAATATACAGCCCATTTTGATGCAACTCAGAGCTAGGATGATGGACCCCCCCCCGAAGATTTTTTGCTTTCCTCGGGGCTTTAGCAAACACCACCACATCCTCATAGTCCTTGCCGTCCTCTTAGTTGGACATCAGAACCGTTTGCTCAAAATCTACAGTTTAATTTCATTCTAATAATGAGATCTATCTTCCACTCCGATATTTCTTTTTACATTTTCTAAATATGAGATGTCCCCCCGTAAAGAAACAGAACTTCCCAGAATATCCCACAAAGCCTCTAACAGCTTGAAGGCAGTGACTCAAAGAGCAAAGGCCGCCTTCGAGAGTGCAAGACTTTCAAAAGAGGCAGCGTTTCAAACCCAATTTGAACATATCTAGATTCCCCGTATTCCTATCTGAGGTCTTTTCAGTTTTTATCTGGTCATACGTTGTCCCCCCTTTTTGTCTCCTAGTCTCCTGGTCTAGTTTAAAATGTACATTAACTAGAGAGGCACAGATTCTCCACACTGATAACGAAATTTCAGACAGTTTTGGTGATTCTTGTGGATAGCATTTAGAATTTGGACTGCGTGCCTGAATCGTAATTTGCTTATACTGCCACTGATGTCAGTTGCCCTGTGACCTTCTGGGGAAGGGCAGGTTAAGAAAATCTTAATAAATAGACAAATGGAGCCCCTTCTCATGAGACTTTGGGGGCACTCCTGCTGCGAAGAGCCTTTGAAGCACTGAGGAATGACCTCCTCATGTAGGCAAGGGGTGGTTTGTTTGGTTTTTGCCTCTAAATAACTGTCTTGAGGATAGCCTCCGAACTGTTAGAAACTGGGTGCATAAGCTGGGTGCCAAAGGACAGGGTTGTAGCTGAAACGTTTGGGCAAGATTGCTCTAAAGCCTTATATTTCCAGTGATGGACTGACTGTGATGGATTCTTGGTTAAACACCTGGCTAGTTCAGATGAAAACCTTGAGCTAGGTTAAGAATGTTGAGAGCTTAAAGAAAAGAAGTCACTGGATCCGTGGAGAGTCCACATGGGGTAAATTGAAGACAAGCTGCAACAATTAACTATAACGTCGTTCGCTACTCCTGCTCAGGCTGCACAGAAAAAGCAATTTGGTTCCTCAAATTCATTCTGATTGTGCAGATAAATGATTAAAACGGTCAGAATTCTACAGGATTAAGTGTGTGAAAACACTTAAGATCCAAGTTTTACATTTTAAACATCAAAATATCATAGCAAATAACAACAACAAAATTACAGTTCCAAAATTTCCCCCTCCACGACTTCCCTCAATTTCCTCTTCTGGTTTTTTTATACATATTAACTTCTCCTGCTTGTTTTGATATATCTTAATTTTAAGATAGGGACGCGGGTGGTGCTGTGGTCTAAACCACAGAGCCTAGGGGTTGCCGATCGGAAGGTCGACAGTTTGAATCCCCGAGACGGGGTGAGCTCCCATTGCTCGGTCCCTGCTCCTGCCAACCTAGCAGTTCGAAAGCACGTCAAAGTGCAAGTAGATAAATAGGTACCACTCCGGCGGGAAGGTAAACGGCGTTTCCGTGTGCTGCTCTGGTTCACCAGAAGCGGCTTAGTCATGCTGGCCACATGACCCAGAAGCTGTCTGCGGACAAACGCCGGCTCCCTTGGCCTATAGAGCAAGATGAGTGCGCAACCCCAGAGTCGTCTGCAACTGGACCTAACGGTCAGGGGTATCTAGCTAATTTTCAGATCTTTAAATTAATTATTATTATACTCTTCTCCTTTTCACATCATCATTATAATTCCTGTTGTTGTTGTTATTTTGTTAATTGTAAATGTTTAGTCAAAACCTGCTAGTGAGTCCATATCTTTACCTTGTTTCTGTAGGTATAACATAAATGGTTCCCAGTCTTTCTTAAAATCTCTGTTGCCCTTTTCTCGAATTCCTAGGCATCTTCACTTAGTTGCTAGTGGCCAATTATCGGGTGCAAAAGGCGCCTGGCTAATTTTGAACACTGCCTCTGAACCTTGCCCTGACACTGCATTTCCTCTTCCCTCTTCCCAGATTTGGTGGCACGGCTGGAGCCATCTTGACCTGCCCTTTGGAGGTGGTGAAGACCCGCCTGCAGTCTTCCTCGCTGGCCGTGAGGCCGCTATGCCTTCCTGCAGTGCAGATGCAAGGGGTGAACGGAGCACTGATCCGCCCTGGACTGCCCTCCATAGGCGCTCTTCAGCTCTTGAGGTGAGCGGCCAAGACAGGAATAGCTGTGGGGGATCCTTGTGAGGTTCCCATGGGTGGGATTCCCTTGTTTTGTACCTCCGTTTGCTTTTCCTGCCCCCCGAGACAGAGGGAGGAAACTGACCTGCTCGTTTGTTTTCTCCTTTCACAGAACCATCCTAGAGAAAGAAGGAATCCGCTCCCTCTTCCGAGGCCTGGGGCCCAATCTAGTCGGAGTTGCACCTTCCAGGTAAAATCGTGTTTACAAGGGCAGGGCTCCTGTTCCTGGTTCCCCAAGCGGAACTTTCACAGGGATTCTCGTTGAAATCAACCCTCAAAAGGGTCCAGAAATCTCCTGCTAGGGTTGGGTGATACCTGGTTTTCAACATCGTGATAGAGCACCAGCTAAACATCATGATATATCGCAATGTCTGAAATAAGGATGGAGCTATATAGAGGCATTGGCTGGCTTCATGGTTTTCCGGCATTGTGATTTTTGCATAGCACACCCACCCACCCTGATTCATGATATATTGCCAGGTCAAAAACTATGAAACCGATATCACGATATGGGCTAAAGGGGGACACATCTGAGACCCATGACCTTGTGCAGTCGGCTGGTGGGTGACCAAACAATAGGGTTTTTTTTATATTATACAAAGTTTATTTTATATTATACAATGGCTCAAACGGCCTCTGAGCCTTTTCAATGCTTTTCCTGTAAACAGCAGATCATTGTTCGTACAGAGCAGAATCCGGAGGAGAGACAGTAAGCATGCAAATGAGCATTTCTGGCCACCACAGACGTCACATCCACATGGGAAGGAATCGAGAGCTGCTTTCAGCCTTTAAACCCCCTGAATCTGGCAAGAGTGCAGGCTTACCGGGGCGAATCTAGAGCAGATTGCTTGTCGTTGCTTCTGTGGGTTAAGTAGCTTAAAAGGACTCAATTCCTTTCCCTCCCCTTTTCCAGAGCCATTTATTTTGCTGCATATTCGGGCGCCAAGGAGAAACTCAACACGGTGTTCGCGCCGGAGTCTAAGAAGGTTCACATGCTTTCGGCAGCCTGTGCAGGTAAAATGTACATCTGTTTGGGTATCCTCGGGTCATTTCACCTGTTGTGTTCCGAGCTTTGAAGAAAGGTCAAGATAATGTGTTTTAAAAAAATAAATATGATTTACTGCGGCAAGGAGTAAAGGAGGACTCCTAGATACACACTTGTGCATGTGTGCTACGCAAAAGCAGACACCGTTACAGAGCAGCACTGCTTACCTGACCTCCTGGTTATGTCACTGCAGCACAGCTGGAGGGAGAGGAGCATGGCAGTAGCATGGTTGGCATGGTAGATCCCACACTGCTGGCGCATTTGCAGTGTGCCAACCTTGCCAATGACTGCTGCACCCTTCTCTGCCCAGTGTGCTGCAGCGACTTCAGCTGGAGTTCGGATGAGTGGCATAACCACACACCTTCAAATTCTGGGGTTACAGGTGTTGAGAAGCTGCAGCTGGCAGCGGGTTGTATATATGTGGCAAAGCAGGGATGCGTACCATCTTCATATATGCCTCCTAATACAGTGGTACCTCGGTTTTGGAACGTCTCCATTGACAAACATTTCGGTTTTCGAACGCTGTAAACCCAGAAGTAAATGCTTCGGTTTTTGAACGCGCCTCAGAAGTCGAACCGGAAACGCAACTTCTATATTGAGTTTTCAATTTTGAGACTTCCATACTGAGTTTTTGGTTTTCGAACGTTTCGGAACTCGAACGGTCTTCCAGAATGGATTACGTTCGAAAACCGAGCTACCACTGTATGGGTGAATGCATTTTCTTCCTTGCATTTGTGAAGGGGACCTTTCAGGTTTGAAGCAGCCCGTTGCCTCCTTCTTTCTGCTTTAAGTGCTAAGAAATGAGGTCAGGCAGAGGTGGCGAGTGACCAAGGGGAAGGCAGAGCGAAAGCGAAAATCCATGGGTGGAACTCACAGTCTGAGTTAAGCTCTTGCACAGCCGCCACTGAAATCTATGTAACAGTTAAGCTTGTAATTTCATCCCATTGAGATCCGCTGGATATGAAAACTTTGGATTAGATGCCAGAGAACCTCAGAACAGGTCCCTGCAAATTGCAAATGTCTTCCGCAAAGCACAAGTTTCACCTTGGTACCTTTAACTTCTCCTTCCTGCAGGAGTCACTTCTTCCACTTTGACAAACCCCATCTGGCTGGTGAAGACCAGAATGCAGCTGGAAGCCAGGTAAGGAAATCCTGGCTGTGTACCAGTTCATAACATTGTTTTGAGCCACCGGGACTGGCAGAATTTGATTCTGGACATAATGGAAGACTGGTAGGCAAGACATGCCACTTGCACATAACAGCAGGAGGCCATTTGGGTGTATGCTGCAATTCCACCGAAGCTCAGAATTTGGCACGGAGCACAGAATTCTGCTGCCTAAGAACCTGAGTCTCTCCTCCCCCCCTTAACCTCTTTGAAGTTGCAAATGAATATGCAAAAGCATGCCCAATGCCGGGTGCATCTCAGTAGCCAAACGAGTTCTGGGTCAGATTTCACATGGTTAGAAGGTAGGGCAATAATCCTCCTGCCCCCTCCCTGACTAGAAGCCAAATCAAGCGTGCAGAATAAGAAACAACGAACATGCACAGTGTCTCTTGATTTCTGCGATTTGTACAGGTTGCGGAATTCAGTTTCTCGGAATTCAAGTTGCCATGGAACAACATTTCATTTATAATGCAGTTTAGTGCATTAAATGAGAAGAGCTCAGCAGTTCCCAACTGCGTTTTCTGTTCTCTGCAGGGCCAAAGACGAGCGACGCACCAGCGGCTTCCAATGCGCCATTCGCATTTATCACACGGAGGGCTTGCGAGGCTTTTACCGCGGGATCACTGCCTCGTACGCTGGCGTCTCTGAAACCATCATCCATTTTGTAATCTACGAGGCACTGAAGCAGCGAATCAGAGAGCATCGGTCGTTCCTGACTCCGACTCCTATCTTTTCCCCAAGCAGCCAGGACTTCCTTGGGCTGATGGCAGCAGCCGCCGTTTCCAAAACATGTGCCTCATGTATTGCCTACCCACACGGTGAGCTGCTCTGTGTTCCAGGCTCTCCCCCCCCCCCCACAAACCTGTCTGGCCAGAACTGGAGGAGCTTTCTCCAGAGGACTGGATAACTAATCTCTTTTCTCTTTCCTTCCTGCTCCCTGCAGAGGTCATCCGGACGCGGCTGAGAGAAGAGGGCTCGCGTTACCGCTCCCTTCTCCAAACTCTGCAGCTTGTGGTCCGGGAAGAGGGCCCTGGCGCTCTTTACCGTGGGCTCCTGACTCATCTGACCCGCCAGATCCCCAACGCGGCGATCGTCATGGTCACCTATGAACTGATCATTCATTTGGCAACCAAAATGTGATGCTTCCCCCTCCCTGAGAATTGGCTGTTGTTGGCATGTGCCTTTAGGAATGTGAAGCCTTGATCACGATGATCACATTTCCCCGTTCCACGGTTCGATGATGCCGTGGGAAAGGCTTGGAAGCTAGTGGCCTGTCTGTAATCTTTTGTTTGCGAGCCTCGGTAACTGAAGGATGTCTTCAACTGTGCTGGGCCTCTCATCAGACGCCTTAAAAGACATCAGTGGGCAAGGGACCACTCAAAGATGCAGTTGGACAGATGCAAGAGTTTTACATGCAGAAGGAACAATGCAGAAATGTATGCGTACGGAGGGCGGCTCGGCTGGCAAACACTCTTCCCCAGTGCCCCTGCCTGGCCAGGCTCCAGTGTACTGGTTGTGCAATTCAGTGCAGAGGAAACCGTTCTGCTCTACTTCCCCTGTGGCCCAAGTCCGGCTTGCCAGCTGGCCAGGAAGGCAGAGGGCTTGTACGGAAGCCACGTAAAATGAAAGAAAAGCACCGGGGAATTTTCTCCAGGAAGTGGAGCGGTGCATCAGTGGTTAGTCTCAAAGGGAGGACTCCCCTGGCACTGACACCCTGCAATGGGCCTCCAACTCTTGCTGAAGACATTGATGGTTCCCTCCTTCCCTTCTGAGTTTGCCGCTGGCAACTTGCCATCTCCTGAAGGCAGGCAGGAGGACAGCTGTGCCCTTGGGTCAGCTCCTCGCCCCTGCTCACGGAAGCACAGAAGCAACATAGTCAAAGAGCCCTGGGGGTTTTGGTCCCTGCTGTAAAGAGAAACGGTTCGCTGTGGACAACTGGCAGGCTTACTTTCTCTTGCCTTGCTTATGTATGTATTCCACTGTAGAGCTTGCCTCCCTAACAGGAGAGTCATGGGGAGAACAAAGGCATCTAGGATGGGGTATATTTCAAGGGGGCAGGAGGTTGCTCTGCTGTGATGGGGTGAAGGGCAGCCTGAATGTGAAATTTGGTGTGTCCTCCTGTGCGTAGCTTTATGGGGGTTCACTGACTTCTGACTCCATTTGTTGCATAGGAGTAAGGATGCAACACATTCTTAGACAAACCGAAATTATTATATGTTTTAAGTTAATGTTTCTTTGTGTTTTTTAATAAAGTATTTTATTAAAAAAACAACAACCAATGTTAACACAGTTCTATTTGGTAGAGTATGAGACTCTTTGAATTTCAGGGTTCTGGGTTCAAGCACCAAGCTAAGCAAAAGATTCCTGCATTGCAGAGGGCTGGACTAGATGACTCTGGGAGTCCCTCCCAACTCCACAATTCTCTGATTGTTCTTTACTAGGATCTGGTGCCAGACTCTTCTACATTGTTAAGACTCGTCCAGGAGCCCAGAGGATGGGGAGACCCTCTTATTGAACCATTGCAGGAAGCAACCATTGGGGCAACCAAATCCTTTTCTTACTAATGAGATATTGGAAGACCCTCAGCCTTCATCCCTTTTCTATTCTTGTAATTACTACATGGGGTGGAGAAGTTATTAAAAGAAGAAAGCTATCTCACTGAAGGAAGAACGTCCATTATTCCAGACCTTACATTTTTAAATCCTTTTTTATTTTAAAATCTGCTCCATTTTTCTTCTTCACATCATGTATTTCCTTCACTCGTTATTGGAATATTATTGACAATTTTACAAAGCGACACAAGCTGCAGGTCTTTTTTGTTTGTTTGTTTCTTTGCATCAAACAAGAAAACAAGAATGAACCTCAAACAACGACATTGAAAAAATATACAATATATATATATATAGTATCTTGGGGTGTCTTGTTGTACCCCTGGGTTTGCTGCCGCGGCCCCAATTCCCGGTCCTCTCCCTTTTTTGTCATGCCAATCCAGTTTACCCTTCTCTGGAGCGAAGGGGGTCCTCTGCCGGAGGCCAGAGTTAGGGGGCTCTGCCCCACTTGAGCTGAAGCAAGCGGCTGGAGAGGTGGGAGGAGCCAAGGTCCTGGTCAAAGAGAGGCTCCTCCCCCTGGGCGCTGCTATCAAAGGGCAGCAGACAGAACAGTGGGCCTATGCTGGGGCAAGGTCAAGCGGACATCTTGAGAGCCAGATTTTATGGGGGGGGCAATCTGAGGCACGAGGCACCATTAATCCACCGTGATGCTCTTGCATTCTGTTCCATTTTAAAGACACTTGCGCAGGAGAACTTCCCGGTGGATTGTGCTCCGTGTTAATTCGTGGGAAGGGAAGGTGCCAATTGGATTCTCTGCCTCATGTGCCAAAATCTCACGTCTTAGGGGTCAGCCTCCGCTGTGCAAATACAAGAGGTCTGGAGAATGCAGAGCGGGGGGCGGGAAGAGAAGGGGGGAGGCCAGACACGTACCCCCACCCCCCAGTGACTAAACATAAGCAGGACCTCCCTCTCTCGCTGGCGTTCCTCTCCCCCATCCATCGCATGCCTCTAGAAGCGGCAAGGGGCATCGTGCTTGCCCACAATGCGCTGGTCATCGGCCACGTCGCTGCCTGGGCTGTCCGGTGATTCAGAGTCATTGCTTTCCTCTTCCTCCTCTTCAGCTACTTCTCTGACGGTCGACCCAGAAGCTTCTGCTGCCCTCTCCTGGCAGCTCTGGTATGACTAGAAAGAGAAGGTAAAAAAGTAAAGGACCCCTGGACGGTTAAGTCCAGCCAAAGGCGACTGAGATGTGGCGCTCATCTTGCTTTCAGGCCGAGGGAGCTGGCGTTTGTCCACAGACAGCTTTCCGGGTCCTGTGTCCAGCATGACTAAACCGCTTCTGGTGCAATGAAATACAGTGACAGAAACCAGAGCACAAGGAAACGCCGTTTACCTTCCCACTGCAGTGGTACCTATTTATCTACTTGCACTGGCATGCTTTCGAACCGCTAGGTTGGCAGGAGCTGGGACTGAGCAACGGGAGCTTACCCCGTCATGGGGATTCGAACCGCCGACCTTCTGATCGGCAAGCCCAAAAGACTCAGTGGTTTAGACCACAGCGCCAGCTGCGTCCCTAAAGAGAAGGAGGAAGTGACAATTGAGCAAAAGGTTTGGAATAGCCAGGGAAAAGACCAGAATGATTTTGGCTGGCTGGCTGGCTGGCTGAAGGCAGGCTGAGAGATGCCTTGGACAGAACCGTAGCTACGGGGAGGCTAGCCTGGTTTTTTTGCCCCAGTGGAAGCCTTCAGAGGGGTGCCCCTGAGACTCCCAGCCTATGTGTGTGTGTACACAAATGTGTGTGAAGGGGGTGCCAAACTGGGTCTCTGACCGAGGTGAAATAAAGACTAGTTTCGCCCCACCTTGGACTCCAGTGCTGTGGGGCACAAGACCCTCTTGAGGTGACTGTGCTGTAAGATCTGGACTCACTCCCAACGGTGTAGTGTTGGTTGTCGCCGCCTAGGGCAGGCGCACGTACTGGGGGGTCCAGCTCAGCCCTCCCCACTGCAGTGACCCCACTGGAGCAAGGGGGGAGCCTGGCTGGCCAACGTGGCCTTTGGCTGGTGAAGAGGAGCACTGGACTGGGCTTCTCTGGGGTCATCTGCATGGCTGCACCTGGTTTGTGCCCCCTCAAAAGTTGTGCACCCGGGGCCACGGCACCACTGGCACACCCACAATATGCCCCTGCTCTCCATCTAGATTCAGGTGTAAATGTATGAATAAGTCATATTTCTTGAAGCTACAACAGCCTCTGCCACGTCTTCAATTCTCCAAAGGAGCACAGACCCCTGGAATCACATGCAAGGCTCGGCACTGATTGGTGTTGCTTGCAACACTGGTGTCAGAAGTGGAGTCTCTTTCCTGCCCTGCTCCCTCCACTCACCTCCATGGGGTTGACGATGATGGTGAGAGCAGAGTCGTCCCAGAACATCTCGCTCTCCTTGGCCTGGGCACCTCCGTGGCTCTCCGCGGACTCTCCTGCGCCCTCGCGCTCGCCCCCTCGCCTGTGCAAGGAGTGGATGCGTAGGACGCCCAGGATCACCATGAGGGCCAGGAAGCCCACGCAGACCACAATGATGATGGTGGCAGCGCTGGGGACCACTGTGGGAAAAGAGAAAGGGGGAGGATAAAGCCAGGTCGTTTCGTGGCTGCCCATGGAGGAGCTAGGATGTGGTTCCGGAGGGCAGGCTTTTCGTTGCAGAAGCTGCATATGCCACACTTCAACGGGACACCCTCCCTAGAACCTGCCGCTCCCAAGATGTGGAGATGGCCGGTGGTTTAGAGGCCTGTCGAAAAGGAGTAAGAGGATTCTATGGAGAACCGGTCTTGCACCCATGGGAGCTAAATGGAGCTTCCATGTTCAGAGACACTATATCTGCATACAGTAAGGCAGTTCTTCTGCCTTTCGCTCATCGAGAGTACAGATATCCTGCCATAGATTCCTAGTATCACCCCAGGCCTTTGCCTTGGCTCTTTTCAGCTGGTATTCCAATGATCTCCAGTTTCTCCTTTCATGTACTACTTAATATACATTGGCGGCCTGCCCTTTCCTGAAAGCTCAAGCGTATATAAAACAGATCAGCTGCTAAGGGAAAGACACACAAGCCATTTAGGGCTTTAGAGGTAAAAATAGCATCTTGAATATTGGGAGTCCCTGCCCTGGTTAGTGTGTCTAGATACCTCACTGACAGCACCGAGGTTAAAGCCTTATTGCTTGAAAAAACGTTTATCTGGCTGTCCCAAGTCAAAGGGAGAAGTAACAAGGTACAGCGGTACCTCGGGTTAAGAACTTAATTCGTTCTGGAGGTCTGTTCTTAACCTGAAACTGCTCTTAACCTGAGGTACCACTTTAGCTAATGGGGCCTGCCGCTGCCGCTGCACCGCTGCTGCGCGATTTCTGTTCTTATCCTGAAGCAAAGTTCTTAACCCAAGGTAATATTTCTGGGTTAGCGGAGTCTGTAACCTGAAGCATCTGTAACCTGAGGTACCACTGTAAACTACCATATTTTTCGCTCTATAAGACGCACTAGACCACAAGACGCACCTAGTTTTTGGAGGAGGAAAACAAGAAAAAAAAAATTCTGAATCTCAGAAGCCAGAACAGCAAGAGGGATCGCTGCGCAGTGAAATCAGCAATCCCTCTTGCTGTTCTGGCTTCTGGGATAGCTGCGCAGCCTGCATTAGCTCCATAAGACGCACACACATTTCCCCTTACATTTTAGGAGGGAAAAAGTGAGTCTTATAGAGCAAAAAAATACGGTATTTGGTAAGAACTCTTCTTTGTTTATCTGCTTCTTGGCATCCCACTGTGGAGGGATAGGATTCTCTGAACCCCGACACCTGGACTAAAGTAAAATACACTGGGGATCCAGTCACAGACCTAATCAACTTTGACCCCCGAAATTGAGTGTGCCACCCTCTCTCACCCTCCTTTTCTCAGTCAACCTGCCACTTCACAGTAGCGTATCAATCGGTACGTACTGGAGTTGCGGTGGGGGCTAGCCAGGCTGTGGCCAGAAAGTTCTGGAGGCAGATGGTGTCCACGGTGCATGAACTGCTGGGCGCTCATAATGTGGTTCGGGTGAGCGGCTCTGTTCATATTGTGAAGGACGTTGACCTGCAACGAGAAACCCGTAGTCAGGATTCTTGGTTCCAGGCTGCTGACACCCACCTCAGCTGCAGCCCGATTCGCAGACATTTTGAATTTCGCGCCCTCCCTTGCTTACCTCAACGGTGAACTCGTTGCTGGAGTAACGGCCGTTCATCTCGGTGCAAGAAAGGCGGAACTTCCTCTCATAAAGGGCGGCGCCATGATGGATGCAATAGGAGACTTGGCGAAGGATCTCCTCATAGACAGCAATGCTCTCCACGCCTAGAAATGGGGGAAGATACCCAGGCGGAGGTCAGGGGTGGGAGGGGAGGGTTAAAGCTTCCAAGCTGGCTGAGCTCAGGCTTTGCAATATAAACTAAACTTCCCATGCAAAACCCTGCATTATCACTGCAAAACAGAGGTGGCTGAAAGTGCATATAAGTGCTTAAATTCTCCCTTGCAAGTTAGGTAAGGTAAAGGGACCCCTGACCATTAGGTCCAGTCGTGGCCGACTCTGGAGTTGTGACACTCATCTTGCTTTATTGGCCGAGGGAGCCAGCGTACAGCTTCCGGGTCATGTGGCCAGCATGACTAAGCCGCTTCTGGTGAACCAGTGCAGCGCACGGAAACACCGTTTGCCTTCCCGCCGGAGCGGTACCTATTTATCTACTTGCACTTTGACGTGCTTTCGAACTGCTAGGTTAGTAGGAGCTGGGACCGAGCAACGGGAGCTCACCCCGTCGTGGGGATTCGAACCGCCGACCTTCTGATCAGCAAGTCCTAGGCTCTGTGGTTTAACCCACAGCAAGTTACTGCAAGCCTTGCAAGTTACTGCTCCTTCATTCCACCTTTCCTCATTGCACAGTTCACCTCATAAATACATCTTTACCTCATAAATAAGCATCTCGAATTCAGGGTCAGGAATGAAGCCATAGCAGGGAAGTGGGGGAGATAATGGGTGGGGAAGGATTAAGCATTACCCTCACTGCTTCTTCACTTCAAATCATCCAGTTCACACACAGTTGCCAATAACACAGAGCCTATCAGGCTTCTAGCCTACCCAGAGACCTAGAATGCGGATGTGCTTCTAGTTTCCTGCTGGTTTTATTTTATATTATTAAATTTTAGTGGGGGTTTTTTTTACTAATAATTTTCTTGCTTGATTCTTTTCATAAGATGCTTTTTAAAATATATATATAATCACGAGGTAAATAAATTCCATGTTTAAACCCTCTCCCAACCCCTGTTGCAGTTTACTTCCCTGAAGTCTGCTTTTCTTGCTTTCCCCCGTAACCAAACTCACTTCCATCACTGGGGCTTAGATAAGAGACAGAAATACCTGGGGAGAGAGATGCAGGGAAGGTGGGAGGAGGGGTCTGTGCACATATGCCACTGCACAACTCATTTGTCGTTAAAATCCAACGCACGCCCACCCACCTACCCTCTCTGTAGATCAGTGTTTCCCAAACTTGGGTCTCTGGCTGTTTTTGGACTACAAGTCCCATCATCCGCAGCTAGCAAGATCACTGGTCAGGGATGATGGGGATTGTAGTCTGAAAAACAGCTGGAGACCCAAGTTTGGGAAGCACTGTTATAGATCATTGGGGCAGATCTGGCTTTAACAAACCACTACCAGTAGTTTGGAAGGGATGCGGGTGGCGTTGTGGGTTAAACCACAGAGTCTAGGACTTGCCGATCAGAAGGCTGGCGGTTCGAATCCCTGCGACGGGGTGAGCTCCCGTTGCTCGGTCCCTGCTCCTGCCAACCTAGCAGTTCAAAAGCATGTCAAAGTGCAAGTAGATAAATAGGTACCACTTTGGCGGGAAGGTAAACGGCGTTTCCGTGCGCTGCTCTGGTTCGCCAGAAGCAGCTTAGTCCTGCTGGCCACATGACCCGGAAGCTGTACTCCGGCTCCCTCAGCCAATAAAGCGAGATGAGCGCCGCAACCCCAGAGTTGGCCACGACTGGACCTAATGGTCAGGGGCCCCTTTACCTTTACCTTACCAGTGAGGACATGAATAACAGAATCATAGATCTGTAGAGCTGGAAGGAACCATGAGGGTCATCCAGCGCAACATGGGTCTCAAACCCCTCATCCTGAGATTAAGAGTCCCATTCTCTACCGTCTCAGCTATTCCAGCGTATGGGATATATGAAAGCTATCCGTTGGGTAACCACGGCTTTATCATCCCAGGGACCCTTCAGCATGTCCAGACTGTGTTGTGATGGAGAAGGTCGAGGCCAGAAAAGATGCACACCTGTGACGCTGAGGTAGGCAGAGGTGTTGATGAGTTCCAAGCCTCGCTGCTGCAGGGAGGCTCCATCTAAGACCAGGTACTCCCTCTCAGGGTCCAGGTCCTCTCCAACCAGGGAGATCTCGCAACCATCCAGATTGTGAACAATCTCGTCCGACATCCGCGTATCTGCCACTGCAAGGGAGAGAAGGCAGGGAAGACTTACGAGAGAAGGGAGGGATCCGCATTTATTTGTTGCATCCACCACTCCACCCTCCAGAGATGCACTTAAGCCGCTCTACTAAGCGGTTTGCATCAAAATATGGGTTTGGCCAGGAAAATTATATTGTAAAGGTGAGCACATGCAGTGGTCAGAGGTGCTGATAGGTTTCGGGAGGGGGGGGGCAAGGAAGATGGCCTCTGGGGGCCCTCACACCACACCCCTTTCTCTGCACCCTCATCCCCAGTTACCATCCTGATAAGAACTGGGCAGAATAGGGTCATTTTCTTTCATTCACTAGAAACAAAAAGGGTCTTATTCTCCTGCCTGTCCTTCTGCTTCTTAGCTTACCTTTCTGTTTCTCTAACCTTTCTTGAAAACAAACAGCTTACACCCATTCAGTATAGAAAGGGGAACAGAGAGACGACCGGCATATTTTATTTTATTTTATTTTTTTGCATTGCATTGCATTTCTGTACCACTTAATCAACAAAACCTCTAAGCTGTTTGCATAAAATATAAATTAAAAATACTGATGAAATGAGATATAAAAACAAATTGACCTAAGCAATTTAAAAATACAAAACTGATTTCCCCCCCCCCGCCCCCGGTCTGGCTTAATATCCATTCGAGTTTCTTGCTCCTTCACTGTCCTCAGTGGCTTCCCTTCCCTATTTTGCCCTTGATTTTACCTCCTAATTTTAAACCTCTCCACAATCTTTGCCATCTACCTCTCTCTTTTCTCTTCCATCTCCTTACACACCTCCCAACCTCATTAAAGCAGCTGATGAAGCTTTGATTCCTTCCTATTCTCTTGTTCCCAGCTCCATTTCTCTCTCCGCTCCTTAGGGGGAAAGGCAGATGTAAAGCAAAAAGAGTTATCATCACAGCATGTCTCTCTGCCACGGGGAGCCTGGATTCAGAAATGAAATGGCAGACATGTGCAATAGGGAACCGTATAGTTGTTCTTGCTCAGCTGCTGGTCTAGCTCCCTCTGCCCATGTTCAGGTGGGTTTCCCAAGTTTAAAAGCTTTGCATAAGCACACATACATAAAATGACATTTCTGAAAAACAGCTCCCAGGAAAGGAGGAGGGCTGTTCGGTGACATCACAGAGGGCTGCCAATCAGCGCTGTGCACAGCCTGGTTCTACTTCACATTTGCAGAATCACTTTTTTCAGGGCTCGACCCTGGAGAAGAACAAATATGTCTGGATGAAAGACAGGAGGAGCGCTCCGAAATAATTACCTCTGTCTTTGTCCTTACTGCTTTTGGAATACACTCGTACTCAGTCTTCGCCTCACCTCTTTCCCGAAGATCCTAACTGCTCCTGCTCCTCACCTTTCCTCCCTTCTCATTCTCTGCTAGTTAGCCATCCCTTCCCCACCCCTCCTCAGATTCCTCTTTTTGTTTCTGGCCTTCCATGCCATAGCAACCCCCATTTCCTCTATCCAGGGAACACTGGGAACTGTAGTTCTGGAAATGAGTTTAAGGATCTCCGAGCAGCCTCTGCAAACTATAGTTTCCAGGAACCAACATGACAATTATGCTATATGACTGTGTGTTCTTTCTATATAGTGTTTCGCATTTCAGATGCTGGAGAAGTATGTTGTTATTTAGTCGTTTAGTTGTGTCTGCCTCTTCGTGACCCCCTGGACCAGAGCACGCCAGGCACTCCTGTCTTCCACTGCCTCCCGCAGTTTGGTCAAACTCATGCTGGTAGCTTCGAGAACGCCGTCCAACCATCACGTCCTCTGTCATCCCCTTCTCCTTGTGCCCTCCATCTTTCCCAGCATCAGGGTCTTTTCCAGGGAGTCTTCTCTTCTCATGAGGTGGCCAAAGTATTGGAGCCTCAGCTTCAGGATCTGTCCTTCCAGTGAGCACTCAGGGCTGATTTCCTTCAGAATGGAGAGGTTGGATCTTCTTACAGTCCATGGGACTCTCAAGAGTCTCTTCCAGCACCAGAATTCAAAAGCAGCAATTCTTCGGCGATCAGCCTTCTTTATGGTCCAGCTCTCACTTCCACACATCACTACTGGGAAAACCATAGCTTTAACTATATGGACCTTTGTTGGCAAGGTGATGTCTCTGCTTTTTCTCTGGAGAAGTATAATTATTATAAATGGAAAAAAGAATATTATAAATGGAAAAAAGAGGGTTTTGTTCATATTACTAGGGTTGGGAAGTCCATATCTTTCCAGGATCAGATTGATAAAATGTGACACTTCCTGCTTCTAGCAAAACTGCCTGCTTTTTCTGCTTCTGTTGCCTGGGTTGTCACACAAACACACGCAAACAGCCCTGAGCTGCTACAGCATCTCTACCGAAGCGCTCAGCTCACCTGTGCCGTGCCAGCTCTCGTCTTTCTTGGGCTCTACCTGATGTGAAATGGAGCAAGAAATCTGGAGGTCAGGAAAGAGAGGGACTCCCTCGGGACCTTCGAAGTCGGAGACAGGCCGGGCAAAGTGAGAACTGCCGCTCAATAAGATCTGAGGAGCGTCAGGCTGAAGCACAACCACGTAGCCCTCCACATCCGGGATGGAGACGCAGGATTCCTCGCTGAAGCATCTAAGGGAAGACAGGAGAAAGCAACACCCCTTGATCCCAGTCTGCAAGGAGGCAGGATTCCCTTTTGTTCCTCAGCACCAAGGGACGCCTTTGTTTCTAAGAACACATTTTTATTTTTTAAAAATGGATAGCCTATCCTTCCACGTAATCAGTGTCCTGGGCAGCTTGTATTTAAAGCAATACCATTAAATAGTTGTAAAATAAAGAGTAAAAAGTGCAGAAAATAAAAGCAGCTTGAGAACAAGGGGCTAGCTACCTCTCCTTGGTGGTAGACCCTCTGATTATGTTGCTAGCTATCCAAGCCTATTGTGGAAATCCCACCATTATCTTTCAGGGGAATTAAATCTCAGCTACGCATTTCCACAAAGCATACTCACACGAACCAGTAAGTGCCATTCCTCCCTGCTTTTTTTCTGCAGAGCAAAGCAGGATTCTTATAAGTACTCAAACTGTCGATCCAGAGTTGTTAAAAGCAAAAGGAGCTGCCAGGGGAACAACACATCCCAAGCAGGCAAGATGAGACCCTTAACGGAGCCACATCGCTTCTGCTGGGTCTGTGGAACTTCAAAGCTTGCGCACCCTGTCGCCACCTGAAGTCTCTTCTGCATCTCTAATCCAATACTAATGCCGTGTCCTGAGCTGAAAGTGCCGGGTAAGCTACAGTGCCTGGAATTCTTTAAGTGAAGTGAGGCGCTTCAGATTTTGTGCGTTAAAGGTATCATGCGCACACACCCTCAGGCTAAGCTTCTGTTTGATTCTGTAAAGTCCCACATACAGTGGTACCTTGGCAGTGCCGGATTTATGTATAAGCTAAACAAGCTCTAGCTCAGGGCCCCACTCTCTTGGGCCCCCCCCAAAAATTTAAAGGAACAAAAACCTGGATGTACATTTCCAAAATATAAGATAAAAAACAAATAAAATAAAACCTACATACAGCAACAGTGTTTTGTGTTGTGTAGGCTCTTATTATGTGCAAATGGCTTTAGATACCTATTAGGTCCATAAATTACCATGTGGCATATATTCAACACAAAAAATGACAATTTGTGTTGACAAAGGACAGCTGGACATATAAAGAGCCCCATTACCTTCAGTAGCTTAGGGCCTCATCAAACCTAAATCCGGCCCTGTACCTTGGTTCTTCAACTTAATCCGTTCCAGGAGTCCGTTCGACTCCCAAAACCATTCAAAAACCAAGGCGCGGCTTCCAATTGGCTGCAGGAGCTTCCTGCAGTCAAGCGGAAGCCACCTCGGATGTTCGGCTTCCAAAAAAAGTTTGCAAAGCGGAACACTTATTTCCGGGTTTGCGACCTTCGGGAGCTGATTTGTTCAACAACTAAGCCGTTCGAGAACCAAGGTACCACTGTATATACAATGGTGAAACTGAGCAAGGAAGTAAAGCTGTAATAATCTGAGCAGCAGAACCTATCTGCCCACAACTAAAAAAGGAAGGCTCTGCTGGCTCAAGCCCAGAAGGATGCAGGTTATGATGCCGCCGAAGCTTTGACACTCACTTGACAGTCGTGGTGAGCTTGAGGGGTCGGACTCCTGGCGTAGCGAAGCGCAGCGAGTTCATGTAGGCGACGTGCTGGATGGCGTGGTTGAAGGTTTCCACGTCGTCGCCCTCCAAGGTGAGAAGAGACTGGGAGGGGTTGACGTGAACCTGCAGGAGGAAGCCAACGGGCTTTGAGGCAAGGGCTCGGGCTGGTGGGCCGAGACACACGGACGCAGGAGAACACGAGGAGATTCTGCAGGAGGCAGGAGCAGGCAGGAAGCCAAGCCAAGGTGCTAGCAGAGGGAAGGAAGGGAGGTCATGCCACCAGAGGGCAAGGGGGGTGGGCGCTTCCGGGTGTACCTTCATCCCTTTGCCAAGGCTGTCAAAGTCGCTGTAGTCTAGCCCTTCGCGACAGGCATAGAGACACTCTATCACCTCCCGGCTCTCCAGGCTGCCAGGGCGCGCAGTGAAGCCAGCCAGGTAACCGTGGAAGTAGTGGTGAATCAGCAGAGGGTCTCCTAAGGGGGATACAGGAGGAGGGATGGTGTGAGAGACAGATGGAGAGAAAGGGGGAGAAGAGAACACAGACAACAGAGGAGGAGGAGGTGGAAGATGCAGGTGGGAGGAGAGGCCAAAGAAGAAGGAAGGAGAGTGGGGGGGGGGAGTCTTGGATGCGCAGCCAGCTGAGAAACAGGGAGACGGCAGCGCGGGAGCTGGGGGGTGGCGAGGAAAGGGGACAGACCTTGTTTCCTCTTTGTGGTTTCAGAGAGTTCGTGAGGAGGAAAAATTGCCCCGAAGACCATTTGAGGCAATGTGGTAGCGAAAGGCAAATAATAATAATAATAATAATAATAATTTATTATTTGTACCCCGCCCATCTGGCTGGGTTTCCCCAGCCACTCTGGGCGGCTTCCATAGAAACAAAAAATACAGTAAAATATCACAGATTAAAAGCTTCCCTGAACAGCGCTGCCTTAAGATGCCCTCTAAATGTCAGGTCGATATTTATTGCTTTGACATCTGATGGGAGGGCGTTCCACAGGGCGGGCGCCACTACCAGAAGGCCCTCTGCCTGGTTCCCTGTAGCTTTGCTTCTCGCAATGAGGGAACCGCCAGAAGGCCCTCGGCGCTGGACCTCAGCGTCCGGGCAGAACGATGGGGGTGGAGACGCTCCTTCAGGTATACTGGGCCGAGGCCGTTTAGGGCTTTAAAGGTCAACACCAACACTTTGAATTGTGCTCGGAAACGTACTGGGAGCCAATGTAGGTCTTTCAAGACCGGTGTTATGTGGTCTCGGCGGCCACCCCCAGTCACCAGTCTAGCTGCCGCATTCTGTATTAATTGTAGTTTCCGGGTCACCTTCAAAGGTAGCCCCACGTAGAGCGCATTGCAGTAGTCCAAGCGGGAGATAACCAGAGCATGCACCACTCTGGCAAGACAGTCCGCGGGCAGGCAGGGTCTCAGCCTGCGTACCAGGTGGAGTTGGTAGACAGCTGCCCTGGATACAGAATTGACCTGTGCCTCCATGGACAGCTGTGAGTCCAAAATGACTCCCAGGCTGCGCACCTGGTCCTTCAGGGGCACAGTTACCCTATTCAGGACCAGGGAGTCCTCCACACCAGCCCGGACCCCTGTCTCCCAAAAACAATACTTCTGTCTTGTCAGGATTCAACTTCAATCCATTAGCCGCCATCCATCCTCCAACCGCCTCCAGGCACTCACACAGGACCTTCGCCGCCTTCACTGGTTCTGATTTGAAAGAGAGGTAGAGCTGGGTATCATCTGCATATTGATGGACACCCAGTCCAAATCCCCTGATGATCTCTCCCAGCGGCTTCATATAGATGTTAAAAAGCATGGGGAGAGGACGGAACCCTGAGGCACCCCACAAGTGAGGGCCCAGGGGTCTGAACACTCATCCCCCCCACCACTTTCTGAACACGGCCCAGGAGGAAGGAGCGAAACCACTGTATAACAGTGCCCCCAGCTCCCAGCCCCTCTAGACGGTCCAGAAGGATGTTATGGTCGATTGTATCAAAGGCCGCTGAGAGATCCAGCAGAACCAGGAAACAACTCTCACCTTTGTCCCTAGCTCGCCGGAGATCATCAACCAGTGCGACCAAGGCAGTTTCAGTCCCATGGTGAGGCCTGAATCCCGATTGGAAGGGATCCAAATGGTCCGCTTCTTCCAGGCGTGCCTGGAGTTGTTCAGCAACCACGCGCTCAATCACCTTGCCCAAGAATGGAAGATTTGAGACTGGGCGATAGTTGGCCATACTGGCCGGGTCTAAAGATGGTTTTTTAAGAAGCGGTTTAATGACCGCCTCTTTCACCCGATCCGGGAATGTTCCCTCACAGAGGAAGCATTCACCACCCGCAGAGCCCATCGCCCAGCCCTTCCCGGCTTGCTTTTATTAGCCAGGATGGGCAAGGATCAAGGAGACAGGTGGTTGCTTTCACGCGTCCAAGCAGCCTGTCCACATCCTCGGGGGTAACGGATTGAAATTGATTCCATGCAACTTGACCAGACAGAGCTCTAGCACTCTCCCGCCCTGGCCCTGCTCCCACGGTGGTGTCTAGCTCCTTCCGAATATGAGTGATTTTATCTGCAAAAACTTTGAAGTGGGAGCCTCGAAAGGTAACACTCTTGAGAAATTTTCCCCACACAAACATCATGATCATCATCTTTATTTAGACATACATACATACATACATACATACATACATACGCCACTCATCTGGCCGGGTTTCCCCAGCCACTCTGGGCAGCTCACAACAGAATATTAAAAATACGAAAAAATACCAAAGATTAAAAACTTCCCTAAACAGATGTCTTCTAAAAGTCAGATAGTTGTTTATTTCCTTGACATCTGATGGGAGGGCATTCCACAGGGTGGGTGCCACTACCGAGAAGGCCCTCTGCCTGGTTCCCTGTAGCTTCACTTCTCACAATGAGGGACCCACCAGAAGGCCCTCGGAGCTGGAGCTCTGCTCCAAAAAATGTTAACCACGTTAATGCAACTTATCAGTTACAATTGTTTGGTTTGTTTCAACTGTATTTGTTAAAAGTAATAAAAATTAGGAAAAGGAAAGGTAAAGCCTCTCACAGACCAGCTTTGTTCCACCTTCAGGCCCTCTCACAAACCACAGAGATTAAAACACCATCTTGCCCAGAAGAAGCTACGTTGGCAAAGTCATCCAGGTGCCAAGATTTTCCTCCCAGAGGGGTGAGGGAAACGGAAATGGCCATGTACAGGGAATGGCATGCATGAAGAGAGGGGAGAGCCATGCGTGGTGACAGAGAAAGTCAACTACCTTGCCCCAGATCCGTAGAATTCTCATTCACTTTGGCCTTTTCTTTGTTTCTTTCCTCTGCAAAACAGAAGTGAAATTCAAAATGTTGAACAAGAGTCACCCCCTGAGAGCTTCTTCGAACTCTCTCTACCAGCAAAAGTGAATAAGCAAATGAATTCTTTGCTGCCCTTTCATGACATCTAAAACCACCTGCCTGAGGCTGCTGCCTCACTTTGCCTAATGACAGGGCTGGCCCTGCATGGGCAAATGAGCAGGGCCGTCTTTACCCAGGGGTGCAAGGGGTGTGGGGCACCTGGGCGCTGAATTCTGGGGGGCGCCAAATGTATACCCACTGTATACTGGTCCCTCTCGATCGGTGGCAGTGAAAAGCAATGGAGCAAAATCCCCCACCCCCATAGCGTCAAATATTCCCGAGAGTCAGGAAACAAAAGCAGATTGTACAGTGGTGCCTCGCAAGACGAAATTAATTCGTTCCGCGAGTTTTGTCGTCTTGCGATTTTTTCCGTCTTGCGAAGCACGGTGTCGGGAAAGTTTTGGAAAAGCTTCAAAAATCACCAAAGTCTTTAAAAACCTCGAAAAGGCTACCACACCGCGTTCTATGAGTTGCTCCTCGAAGTCAAGTCGCAACTGTATTAACGGTGTTAAGAAAAAGGAAACAAACTTGCAAGACATTTCCGTCTTGCGAAGCAAGCCCATAGGGAAAATCGTCTGGCGAAGCAGCTCAAAAAACAAAAAACCCTTTTGTCTAGCGAGTTTTTTGTCTTGCGAGGCATTCGTCTTGCGAGGTACCACTGTAACAGGTGAGCAATTCCCCCCCCTAAAAAAGGTCAACAATTTTGGCTCCCCCCCAGAATGTGGGGGTGCTGGGTGGATCTTTGCACCCCAGCGGTACATATGCTAAAGGTGGCCCTGCGACTGAGGCAACCAAATTGTCACACCTCAGAGGTGCCATCTGTAGTTCGGGGAACAGGATATGAGACTTGTTGCAATCAAAGGAAGGGGATGGCACTGCAGATTTTGAAACCATGAAGCCCTTCCAAGCTCGCTTTCTGGAAACTTGAAGGCCATTTCATTGGGAGTTTAGCATTGTAGCCTAAGTCAGTACGGCACATTATTTTAGGTTTTCCTCAAAGGAGTTGGGTGGACTGCTCCCCCCGCCCCGAACCATTTTAAATTTCAACGTTTTTGGAAAATTTGCATCCCACTCTGAGGAACCCAAGAAAACTGAGTCTCCACTTCCTCTGCCTATTTTCCAGTCGCTCGGAAGTGCTCACCGGCCCAGCAGGCTCCAATCATGAGGGAAGATTCACGCCGTGGGGGATGGATGAGGCCATTGTCGTGGATCAGCGCAGGGTCGTAGGAGACGCCGTCTACGTAAAGCGTCACGGTGGGGAACTCAAGGTTCAGGGCATAGTGGTGCCACTCGTCATCGCAGACCTGCGAGCAGGGAAAAGGAGAGATCAGGACATACAGCGTCAGTGTCTGTCGGTGTGTTTGGAGAAGAACAACAAAGATGGTGGTTGTTTCCTCACCTGCTCCAGTTTCCAGAGGAACTTGACAGGCCTTGCGCTCTCCAGCAGGGGCCAGTAGAGGAAAGCTATGCGGCAGCCATGCACACCGAGGGAATAATGGGAGTATCCGTCCTCTGCAGATAGGGAAGGAGGCATCAGATTCAGCAGTTATGGCCAGTCTGTCGTGATTCATCTACGGTCATTCTGCTCTCTCAGATGCTCCAACTGCCCCGGTTACTGGGGACAGTTCGGAGACCCGTCCTTGGCAAAAAACCCTCTGCCCCTGTTTTGTCCTGATCTGGCCCTCAGGGGTTAGATTTCTTTAGGGTGTTGTTGCCATTTTCTTTTTTTAAATAAAACGTGTTGACCTGCACTTGCCCTTTCTCCTAGGTCTCTAGAAGTATTCCTCAGCTCCACCTCTGTCTCACATATTCTTAAGAAAGAAAACTTGTTCAAAGTTTGCTTTTCAGCAAACGAGGAGTCTAGGCAGGAAACAATTTGCATATTTCACGGTGCTCCAATAAAAATAGGCAAAGGTATACCTTACTTTACGGGTTGTTGTTGTTTTTTATTTTAAAAAAACCTGTTGTTAATAGTTAACTGTGCTATTCCACTGCAGCAGAATTCTAGTACAGTGGTACCTCGGGTTAAGTACTTAATTCGTTCCGGAGGTCTGTTCTTAACCTGAAACTGCTCTTAACCTGAGGTACCACTTTAGCTAATGGGGCCTGCCGCTGCTGCTGCACCGCTGCTGCGTGATTTCTGTTCTTATCCTGAAGCAAATTTCTTAACCTGAGGTACTATTTCTGGGCCAGCGGAGTCTGTAACCTGAAGCGTTTGTAACCTGAGGTACCACTGTATAGCATTTTTTAATTATTTTTTTTTGATAAAACAAAAATAACATTACCAAAAAGGCTCCCTGCAGGACTGCAGCCTTATAGCTTTACAGCAAGAACATAAACTCAGAAAGTACTGTTTTCAGTAGAATCTCTCCTTTCTTCTTAAGCTCTACATGACTGGCTTGGGAAACAGGAATTTCACAGGAACATAGGAAGCTGCCTTATATTGAGTCAGACCACTGGTCCATCCACTTCAGTATTGCCTGCCTTGACTGGCAGCAGCTCTCCAATATTTCAGAGATTTCTTGCCACGAAATGAACCTGGGTCCTTCTGCATGCAAAGTACCGTATTTTTCGCTCTATAAGATGCACTTTTTCCCCCTTCAAAAATTAAGGTAAAATGTGTGTGCGTCTTATGGAGCAAATGCAGGCTCCTTGGCTTCAGCGATAGCAACGCAAAGCCTCCGAAGCGCAGAGGAAGAGCTCCCACTGCACTCCGGAGGCTTCAGGCGGCTATCCGCAAGGCCTTTGGAGCGCTCCGAAGGCTTGCGGATAGCCGCCTGAAGCCTGGAGAGCGAGAGGGTTCAGTGCACACCGATCCCTCTTGCTCTCCAGGCTTCGCTTCGCGGGAGAGGCGCTGCAGAGAATTTTTTTTTTCCTGTTCTCCCCCTCCTATGGTCCGGGGTGTCCTATAGAGCAAAAAATACGGTAGATGCTCCCTCCCCACCTATTCCGATATTTGCCATGGGGAAGGAAACGGCTCTTACCACTTTGCATGGTGCTGCAGATGACGGTCTCTTCCTCCCTCTTGCCCTTGCTTGGGGTCACGCCGTGTTTCATCCACAGGGACAAGGTGAAATGGTCGCTCAGGCCTTCCAGGGCGCCGGTCCCACTCCCCATGGGCACCTGGGTTGCCTGGCTGCCATTGAACCAATAGATGAGGCTGCTGTCCTGGCTGTAATGGACTGAGAGCCGTGCCGTCCAGTTGGCCATGGGTCCAGGAACAGGGAGCAGGTCTACCTCACCTGTGGCAGCACCTGTCGAGGGCAAGAGAGCAAAATAAGAACAAGGGAGGCCCCTCCGAAAACGGGTGACTGGTGTCCTTTGCTAAGGGCAAGCCGAGACCAAGACACTTTGGTGCCCGATAATGGAAAATCCATGAGACACCTCTCTCCCCGATTCTGCTAATTAAGCAGGGGACACAATATACTAGAAATATTTCCAATGAAATGTTGAGGAATGGCACAAAGCAAACCCTACAGTGCTCTGGTGCAGCTCCTGTCCATCTCAATGGGCCTTGAGGAGGACAACTTTGCAATCTACACCCCATGGGTCAGATCTATGTGCCTTAAAGGTAAAGGTAAAGGGACCCCTGACCATTAGGTCCAGTCATGACCCACTCTGGGGTTGCGGCGCTCATCTCGCTTTATTGGCTGAGGGAGCTGGCGTTTGTCCGCAGACAGCTTCTGGGTCATGTGGCCAGCATGACCAAGCTGCTTCTGGCAAACGAGAGCAGCGCACGGAAACGCCGTTTACCTTCCCGCCGGAGTGGTACCTATTTATCTACTTGCACTTTGACGTGCTTTCAAACTGCTAGGTTGGCAGGAGCAGGGACCGAGCAACGGGAGCTCACCCCATCGTGGGGATTCAAACCGCCGACCTTCTGATCGGCAAGTCCTAGGCTCTGTGGTTTAACCCACAGCTGCCACCTAATTTTGCTATATGGTACGAATGCTTCTGACTAAGGGCACCTAAAGCTACTCCTCACCCAGTTTTGCTGGAAGAAAATATTGTGAGGCAATTGACCCATGGTCTTTGAAGTGCCCATCCATCTGTACACCCGCACACAGCCTAGTTCGCTTCCTCCCGCAAGCATCACTCGGTGCGATAAGGGAATACGCACCACAGAGTTTGCGCAGCGACTTCTCGGAGTAATTGTCGCGATCGCAGCCTTTGGCCACGTGGTTTGTCTGTAGCTCCACCGTGGCCTGGATGTTCCACAGGGGCTCGTCGCAGGTCTCCAGGTGGATGTTAGGGAAAAGAGCGAGGCTGCCCGTGCCTGGGGTGTACTCTATCCTCTTATTCCAACCTGTGGGGAGGTTTTTTAATGGGCCAATCATGTTGTTTTATGTTTACACTTCACATTCCACCCATTGGCTGGTTACAACAGAGAAAGTAAGTACAGTCATCGATATCAAAACAAATCAAAACCATGCATTTCCCAACAAATTATGCTCCATGCGTCAAGTCTATATGTCGTCCCCCCCCCACACTGTGCATTTATTAACACCCTCCAAACTATGCCAGGACCTGGATCTAGAATATGGCCAGGCTGGTGTAACTGGCACAGACTCGATAAACCTCCCAGCCTCCTTGATCATTACTGAGGTCTAGCCACATGGAAAACTAATCCACCAACTATTTTAATTATTGAATGGATTTCTATCCCAACCTTCCTTTGAGGAAATATTCCTTTAAAGGACATTTTAAATAAAGAAACAACACTGTCAATTACAGTACACAGGCTTCCCATGCATAATAACAGATCTTAGTCTTAGGTTGACTAAAGCCCAAATATCTATTTCTATCTATCTATCATCTATCTATCTCTCATATATATTCTTTCTGTAACTTTTCCCAGGGCACAAAACAGAGCAAACTAATGCAATCATATTAACTGCTCTCATACATAATACATATTTTTAATATATATGAGAGGTAGTTAATATATATCAGGCCATGTAGTTTAAAATGAGCTGTTATTCATCAAATAAAGAAGGCAGAAGAGGTAAAAATAAAAGGCAAAGTATCTGAATGATCCCTTGGTCAGTGTTAGAAACTGAGATATGAAAGCTAGGCGCTAAATGGCACCTTAAACCTAGGTTTTGGGCACCGAAATGAAATGTGTAGGAACGCTTTTTTAATAACAATAATACAAAGCTGAAAATGAATGAACTGCAGCTAAAATCTTATATTCATTTTTCACATGGTCTATTCCTCATCTGCAGACTGCAAAAAACAAAGCCATACTTCCACTGCCTGCCCCCCCCCAATATTCTTACGAGGGTCCCTTCTCCAGTCCTCAGAGAGTGGCTGGATAAAGGTCCTCCTTTCGTTCCAGCAGTGGCAGTCTTAATCTGAAATCTTAGCAGTGCTCCCATGTCTCAGAAACTGCTCGCATTAATGAAATTCTCCATTGCAAAACACACCTAGAACAATGGCAGTTTCGAACACTGCCCTTGGTGGAGTCACTGGGAGGAAGGAGGAGAAATATGCACCATGGAAATAAAGGCTTCATACCTTGCCAGCTGGGCTTACAGGTGGGCTTCACCTGGATCTCGACCTCTGCATCATCAGAGGCGCGTTTCTTGCCACAGTCATAGGCTGTCACTGTGAACTTATAGAGTCGCTCTCCACTGTACTGCAGTTTCTCAGTGTTCTCAATGTTCCCTGCCGGAAATAGAATGGCCTTGAAGTTAGAGAAGCAAAGAACAAGAGATACACACACAAGGTCCAAACATCCCTTTGTTGCCATTGCTAGGCTGCCGCAAGCACAGCCTCTCATCCACAGCTATGGCATAATCCACACATCCTGGGCGCTCATAATGATTTCAATAATCACCCGGTAACATGATCCAGCTGTTTCCATCCTCCAAGCTACTTCCAAGCTACTTTATGCCTCCGCATTCATGAGTACTAGTGTTACACTGGTGATTTCCATACAAAGCTTGTAAATTATACAGTGGTACCTCGGGTTAAGAACTTAATTCGTTCTGGAGGTCCGTTCTTAACCTGAAACTGTTCTTAACCTGAAGCACCACTTTAGCTAATGGGGCCTCCCCCTGCCACTGTCGTGAGATTTCTGTTCTCATCCTGAGGTAAAGTTCTTAACCCGAGGTACTATTTCTGGGTTAGCGGAGTCTGTAACCTGAAGCGTATGTAACCTGAGGTACCACTGTAAAGGGCTTGTGCTTATCCCTAGATGCTATGGGGAGTTTTCCAGACAGCGCCTCAAACCTGCCCTTCACTCTATGTGTGTTTATTGCAGGAAACACCAGAGTACTATGATTATTTATTCAATTAATAGAATCGTAGAATTGCAGAGTTGGAAGGGATACCGAGGGCCATCTAGTCCACCCCCATGCTATGCAGGAATCTCAACTAAAGCATCCATGACAGGTGGCCATCGAACCTCTGCTTAAAAACCTCCAAGGAAGATATCGTGTCCTTCCTCCTATATAGCCCAAAGCAGAAAACACCGCTCTGAAAATGGTTGAAAATGACAGGACACATAGGGTTACTACTACTGCAAAAACTCTGACATGGCCCTCTGCATATTACATTTTTAGGTGCACACTAATGTTGTGAAGTGTGCATGGGACAAACAGGTGTGATGCCAGTTAGAAATCTACAAACAAATGTTCAATTTAAAGTGTATAAAAATTGGGTTTTGGAAAACCGTTACAAGGATTTGCAATGAAATTCAACTAAGGGGAAACGAGGAAGTCGCTTTACAAAGTTAATAACTGTTATTTTCAATAAGGTTATGATTTATGTTTGTTATGTTTGTTGTTTTGTGTTTTTGTTTGTCGTTAATATTGTAAAAATCAGTAAATTTTTTGGGGGAAAAAGAGAAATCTACAAACAGGAGAAACGCCATAGCGTATGTGTACACCCAGTGACTTGCTGCTATAAAATGTGCGGAAAGATCTGTAAAAGTATGAGAATCAGCATCAGTCCTCACGGCTTGCCTTTAAGTGCTTTCTGAACAAGTGGCAAGAGCTAAGCTTGCTAGGTGCAATCTCTGCTAACATTCGCACGCACAACATGGCAATCTGGTTCCTGCAATATAGTATTTGTTGACCTTGAAGTATGTGTGGATGCATTCATACGTACCTAAGCCCTATCCGCACTATACGTTTAGACCAGTATCATACCGCTTTAAACAGGTCTGGCTTCCCCCAAAGAATCCTGGGAACTCTAGTTTGTAAAAATGTAAGAGGACCCCTATGTCCCTCACGGAGCTAAAATTCCCAGAATTCCCTGGGAAGAGGGACTGATTGTTAAACCACTCTGTAAATTGTTCTGTGAGGGAAATAGGGGGGTTCTTAAAAACTCAACTTTACAAACTATGTTTCCCAGGATTCGTTGGGGGCAAACCATAGCTGATCAAAGCAGAGTGATACAAAGTTATATTTGCCATCTCGCAAAAAAGCAAGTTCCAAACTTGACAATACACTGGAGATAATTGAACTGCCACCTCCATTTGTTTTAAACTGCAAAGTGGCATCAAAGGTTGTGTTCAGGAGTGAGAACTGCCGCAGAGGTAGGGGCTGTTTAACCTTCATCGTTCATGCCATTTCCCCTCTCAGAACTGCCACCTCCAGGTGGTTTTCCAGATTGTGGGGAGAAATACCGTATTTTTCGCTCTATAAGACGCACCAGACCACAAGATGCACCTAGTTTTTGGAGGAGGAAAACAAGAAAAAAAATATTCTGAATCTCAGAAGCCAGAACAGCAAGAGGGATCGCTGTGCAGTGAAAGCAGCAATCCCTCTTGCTGTTCCTGGCTTCTGTGATAGCTGCGCAGCCTGCATTTGCTCCATAAGATGCACACACATTTCCCCTTACTTTTTAGGAGGGAAAAAGTGAGTCTTACAGAGCAAAAAATACGGTATATACTCCTTGCCATTCCTGCCCTGAAACTGGCAGTCCTCTGCAGCTGCTTTTCAGTAAAAAAATATATCATCCAGACACACCCAGAGGAACATTTTACATGTTTCCCAAGTATCATCTAGTTTGCCCACAAAACAATTATCAGTGGTACAATTTGCAAGTCTGCACCAGCATCGCTCCACAGTTTCCAGTGCAATTCAGCAGCCAGAGGCCTGTTTAGATTCTCACCATCGTTGTCAATCAGGAAGGGGACGTTGGGAGTCAGGATCTCATAGTAGCAGATCTGGCTGTACTGAGGGGAGCAATCGCCATCAATGGCTTCCACACGCAGGATGCGATCATAGAGCTTCCCTTCTGTCACCGCCACACGGTAAAGGTTCTCCACAAAGACGGGAGCGAACTCGTTGACATCATTCACCCGCACGTGAACCGTGGCCCTGAACATAGAAGAAAGGTCAGCGGCTCCTTTCTAAAGAAGAGAAATGCTGGGCCTTAAAGCTGCCTGTCCTAGGCTGAACCCCTCCATTCAGAAATGGAAGAGGTGAACGTACTCTTCATATGCTCAGGGGCAGTGCTTTTTTCAAAAATAAATAAATGTTTAGGGATACTCTCATTTTGACTCAAATAAAATCACCATTTTATAATGCAAATCGAGAAAAATAAATACAGTAAATGGACAAAAGATTCACAAAATGTTTAGGGGTATGTGTACCCCTGCGTCCCCCCAGGAAAAAAGCGCTGCTCAGGGGCCTTCTTCTTGGGCAATACACCTCAATGATGGCTGTTTCCAGGACTGAGTTGTGATAGTTGCTGCTGTATGTTTTTGCAGAGGTGAACTCCCTCTATGAGGATTAATCTTTTGGGATGAGGGAAAATCTATGCATGTTCAAGTTGGTAGTCTAACCTTTAAAGATGAAAAGCTTTCTTAGAAAAGTGTTGCCGCTGCTTCAAAGTAATAGCTTGGCTACCCTCAACAATCTAGCCATGATGCAGGGACAGAACGCCCCACAGGAAATGATGCTGAACTAAGACCATTAGCCTTTCCCCCACAGGACGTTCTGTTTCAAGAATGCAACCTGACTCTGAGGTGATGGCAAGACTTTCTGGGGGGGATGGGACCCCCCTCATCCTTAACATTAATACTGCCACCCCAAAAATTCCTGCTTCAGAAAGTTGTCCAATTCTAAGAATTTTCAACAGAAGGGATGTTTTATCTGTAGGCATGAAATGGATGGCTGTTTTTCTTTTTCTGTCTTTGTCTGAAAAAAATAAACACCCTTCCCTCACTTCAAGTGGCTGCTGGACTGCCTTCGCCAGCTAGTTGGTCCTTCAGGGGTAGCGGTAACAGCTCAGCTTTAGTGGTAATATGTGGCTCAAATTTAAATCCTGGGTCAGTTCGGTGCTGCTGACAAGGAGCATCCCCAGAAGTACAAACTACACTTCAGAATGAGAATATGAGGCTTTCTATGGACCACAAAAATAAAAGTATGGGGAAGAGAGGGAGTTCTAAAACTGCCCCTTTCAGTAGAGGTCTCTCGGGCAGCAGCTGCCAGTCAGAAGGCAAGAAAAAGTGGCAGTGGTTAAAATCCCAAAGAAACCTACAAGAGCTTGTGTGGTGTGTCCTACAGTGTCCGTATTTATGAAATGTACAGTCGTACCTTGGTTCTTGAACTTAATCCGTTCCGGGAGTCCGTTTAACTCCCAAAACCGTTCAAAAACCAAGGTGCAGCTTCCGATTGGCTGCAGGACCCACAGAGGATGTTTGGCTTCCAAAAAACGTTCGCAAACCAGAACACTCACTTCCGGGTTTGCGGCATTCGGGAGCCGATTTGGTCAAGTACCAAGGTACCGCTGTACTGACAGCAGAAGGACCACCAAAGTAATGCCAGATTTATTTATTTATTTTCAAAAGAAACATTGCCTCTACTATATACTTTCAAACATCCAACAGCCATCCGACAACAGATTATTTCACATTTCCAAAAATGAACAGTATTTCTGTGGGGAAGGGGCTCAGTTAAGGACACTATCCCATCCGATAGCTCCCTAAAAATCTCGCCAGATGAAAAGGAAAACAAATATTCAGTCTTACTTGTGGGATTTCTTGGTGTTGGCACCATCAGGTCCTTCTCCACAGTCATAAGCCTGGATGGTAAAGGTGTGTTCCTTGTGAGCTTCACAGTCCACCGGCTCTTTGGCCCGGATCAATCCTTCGCCTGTGGCTTTGTCCAGGATCACAGCTTCAAAGGGCACCCCTGCCCCATGGATCCGGAATCCACAGATCTCACCTGGTTTGCCAGAAGTATGAAGCAGAAATAGGAAAAACGGGAATGTGAAGAAAGAGCTTATCTCAGAGGCAAATATTTCCGTTTTCCTGCTGGCCAACCATCCACCATTCCATTGCACCGCACATGCTCCCCACATGGGCATGAGGCAGTTGCCACAGCAGAAAGTTCTGGTTGCCATTAAGGTCAGCCAAGTGGACAACTACGAGATCTGAATCTGAAAGGAAATTCTACTATTCAAGACCCACTGAAATGAAGGGAAGTGCTTTTCGTGGGGTTCCCCTCAGTGGAGCTGGGAGAATACCACTCGGGATTTCCTGCCTCAGACAATCACAACATCTTAGGCCAGACCACAAAGATCCAGCTCACACAAAATGGCTGCCGAACGGGAACCATCTGAAACGGCATCCATGGGGCAGCTGTTGCATCTAGCAATCCGCTTGTATGGAGTCAATTGCCATCATTTTCCCCAACACCACTGAGAAAATATTTCTGTTGGTGTTTCATTCGTTGGTAGGCTAGACTGGAAAGCCATGTATCTACAGGGGCGGACTTTGGTAATGCGATGCCCTGAGCGAGGACAAAATTTGGCGCCCCCTAAATTTTTCTTATTTTCAGAGTAATTATGTTTAGTACAGTTTACTCATATAAATGTAGGTCTTATTACTATCACCACCATCATTTTGCACCCCCTCCGCTTGGTGTCCTGTGAGGGGGAACCACACACATTCCCATAATTCTGGCACTGCTCCTTACCCAGACTGGGTTGCCATCTGCCCATACTCTTCCTGGACTGTGGTTATGACCCTCTGCCAGGATCATCACAGGACACAGTCCCTCTACCAGAGACCTCCACATATGAGAAAGTGAAAGAAGCACTGGATGCCCTCCATTTCCCACTGCCAGAGAGGTTTCTTTGCCCAACCCTGACAATCCCTGCAGAGGCGGATTTAGGGGAGCGCTGTCGCACTGGGCGGGGTGTGCCAAATTTTGGCGTAGCACTGAAATTTGTGACCCCACTTATCCTTCCTCAGAAACTCCCCCATTTCTGCAGATCCTGCCTTTATCCATTCCAAAGGCAGCAGGATCACAGCCCTAGCAGAGGGCATTCCTCAGGAACTAAGTGCAGACCCTTTAACTGAGAAGATATCTCTCCTGGGGAGATAGGACCTGAAACACACTCCCTCCTTCTCCCTGGAAGTCTGTTTCAGCCCTCAGTGGGATCCAGATCACTGTCAACCCAACACCCAAGGTGCATAGCTGTCAACGTTTCCCTTTTCTTAAGGGAAATTTCTTTATTCTGAATAGGATTCCTTGCAAGAAAAGGGAAAAGTTGACAGCTACGCCTAGGTGACTGCTTATCTGACTGAGGTTCTGCTGGCTAATCAAACTTTTGTCTCTGGCTTCCACAGTGCACCATCTGAGATCCTGGCTTTGGGCTTCAATGGCACACTCTGTCTAATTCCTGCCAGGTCCTGCAGTCTAGCTTCAGCTGGGACTGCATATCCTCCTCAGACGGACCCCTGGGAAGCCGCTCCTCTGAGGACAGAAGCTCCTCAGCACAGAAGCTCTTGCTGGTAATAGCCGGAAAACCTATTATGCGCAATGCTTACCCATGTGTGTAATTTAATTTTGATTTTATTATTGTTTTATCTAAACAATTTATATACCATTTAACTCTCAGGGACTGTTCAGTTGGTAGAGCAGGAGATTCTGAATCTCAGGGTTGTGAGTTTGAGCCCCACAGCGGGCAAAAGATTCCTGAATTGCAGGGGGTTGGACTTCATCAGAAGAATCTTTATTTGCCTCAGCCACTAGCCGTAGCAATAAAATAAAATACAGTGTAACTGGAGATAGAGGTAAAAACTTCAGCTATACAAAAAATACATTCTGGAGGTTTACATCAATCAAATAATAGATCTTATTCTAATTGCATCTGATGAAACTTTTGCAGTTTTTGCTGTCACCTGGTTAATTTGATCTGCTAGAAGAAAGGACACCGTAGCAATGGTTGAACGACCTTGTGGTCCCTTCCAACGCTGCAATTCTATGTTGGGAGACCCTTATTCCCCTAATCCCTGAGCTACAATTCTCACAGTGGTTTAGTAACCAATCCCTCTTCACAGCAACCCTGAAGACCAAGCTTCCTCAACCTTGGCCCTCCAGATGTTTTGAGACTACAGTTCCCATCATCCCTGACCACTGGTCCAGCTAGCTAGGGATCATGGGAGTTGTAGGCCAAAGAACACCTGGAGGGCCAAGGTTGAGGAAGCCTGCTGAAGACTGTATGGTCGTGCTAACAATTCTCACCAAGAGCTCTCAGCACTCTTTGGGGGAAGTCACGACTGTTCGAAGTGGTATCATATCAGTTTAAATCAGGCATAGGCAAACTCGGCCCTCCAGATGTTTTGGGACTACAACTCCTATAATCCCTAGCTAACAGGACCAGTGGTCAGGGATGATGAAAACTGTAGTCTCAAAACATCTGGAGGGCCGAGTTTGTCTATGCCTGGTTTAAATGCATGGTGCGAATGTGGACCTTAAGATTTCAGGAGCGATGCCTGCCCATGGAGGCAGTAAAGCCCAGAGTGAGTCGGTCATTCTGCAAGAGATTTTGCAGATGAAGCTAAACTCCTGAAAGCTTGGATCAAATCCTGAGGTCTGGCAAACATGGGTGGCCGTACGCTAAACAGGTTTTGTCCCTTTCACAGCAGTACAGAAGCAGGAATAAAAATTCCCTCTCCTATAAAACTATGAAAGGTACAAAATCCCTGTCCTCGTTTGCCTTTCACCACCCTACTTGCTGCTCCATATGCAATATTCTCCTGCTACCCTTCTGGCACTCCTTCAGCACGCAAAAGATGAGCTCTTTGAAAGCATCGAGAGAGAATAAATTGCTGCACAAGGAGCATAGTCTGGATCCAGCCCTCAGTTTGGATCTTTAAGGGTCAAGATGGACATTGTGTTAAACACATGACTGGCTCTTGCATGTAAGCTTTGGATAAACTAACTAAGAGCCACCAGAGTGGGGAAAGGAAGTAGAATCCAGATGAGGCTATTAAGTGGGAACAAAGGGTTAAATCTCCTCTCTCCCCAAGATGCAATACCAGTCTGGAGCTGGCCCTCCAGCAGCTGCTATTAAGTTAACAAACAAGAAACCAGGCAAGGGTGACTCTACGTCTTAAAGTCATATCCAGTTTGGCTCTATACAAATATAATGAAAATTTCTCATAAATCTGCCTCCACCATCCAGCCCGTGAATACAAAAACACTTGGATAACTGACATCCACTTAAAAATAAATAAATACTACAATTGTAATTTAAACAGTGTGGATCAAATTAAATAAATTCAAAGCAAACGTGTGCTAGTGACTTACAAGTTATGATGCCTTCATGCAGTGTACTCAGTGCCACCACTACAAAGTCTCTCACTGCAGCTAAGGCTGCACAGAAACATTATCTAAGAATGCCGTGATTCTGCTTTTGTACCTTCCTCCCACACGTCTTCCTCTCAGCCACATACCTGCGTAGCGCAACGGAGCATCTTTGTCCAGAGCAAAGAGCGGGGGGTTCAGCAGGACTGTGTTGTCGTTCTCCATGACGATGCCCTGATATTCAGCCTCGATCCATGGCTTGTGCTTGTTGGCTGGGGAAATTCGGGAGTGTAAAAAGGGTGGTGAGCAGGAATAAAACCATTCAGGTATATGCACGAGTTCACGTTCATGTTTTTCCACACACCTTGCCGGCAGCCCTGCATCCTCCTTGTACCTTTCTTTTAATTATATTTTCCCAACAATTTTTTTTATTGAATTTTAATAAGAACAAGAAATAAAGGAGGGTGTTTTTTTCTTTACGAAAAGGTCAAGTTGTCACAATTGCCAAGTATAGGATACAGCTATAAGCTGTGTTTTTTTAAAAAAAATGTTTAGGGGTACTCTCATTTTGACTCAGGAAAATCACCATTTTATAGTTCAAATCGGGGGAAATAAATACAGTAAATGGATGTTTAGGGGTATGCATATCCCTGCGTCCCTGCAGAAAAAAAGAACTGGATATATGATTTACTGAGTCAATAATAAAACGCACCAGGATATGTGCTCTATAATTACAAAGGGCTCCATGATCTAAATCAGAACAACTGCAAATTTTTATTTCAAAAAGGAAGAGAAAAAAATAGCCTTGGACTGTAGTAAATCCAGACAGTCACATAGTCCTGTAGTACCCTACGTTCCTGAGCCACAGCTTTTGTATATAAAATAAGATGAGACCAAATGGCAGAGAAGCTAGCTTAATGACACTTCTAGCTTAATGCAGGATTTTGTTCAATAAAGATTTTCCAAGTCCTTATACCTTTCCCTCAGGATACAGTTCTACTTTTCACAAAAATAGAGAAAATACTTGAGGGGAACCCAATACCTCGCCCACACAAAAATAAATAAAAAAAATCAGCTTAGGTTATGAATGGCTATGAGTGCAGTCCCATCTATATTAAACATAATACGTTCCACTGAAACAGTTTGACTTACTTCTGAGAAAACAAGGATGGAATTGGGATGAGCGTTCCATTGAAAGCAACGGGATGCAAATTAATTGCAAATGAAGATATAACTAGCTTTAATTGGATTTAGGGACTCGGGATTAAGGTCGGCACGTTCAGCAGTTGGCTGATCAAATATTGTTAAATATTTCCAAGAATGCCACTGTCTGGATCCTTGCTGCTTTTATTTTATCATCGTGTCAAGTGTGCAGATAGCTCAGATGGTTGGAGCATGAGTTTGGTAATACCAAGGTTGCAGGTTTGATCCTCACTCCGAGGGGACAGCTGCATATTCTTGCCTTGAAAGGGTTGGACTTGATGTTCCTCAGGGTCCCTTCCAACTCTACAAATCTATGATTCTATGTGTTAGCAAGGTCCCCTCACCCTGCAGCAGTCAGAGGCAAACTGAGAGGCGTAGCACAGCTTCTCCCAATGGCTGCCTGCCATGCCTGCGGATGTCTCCAAGCAGGGACACATTTCGTCAATGGCTAGAGTGCCGAACTAGGACCTGCGAGTCCAGGGTTCAAATCCCCACTTGGCCATGAAGATCATTGGGTGACCTTGGGCCGGTCACTGCCTCTCAGCCTAACTTACCTCACAGGGTTGTTGTGGGGAGAACTATGTGCACCACTTTGAGCTCCTTGGGTCTCCAGATGTTGTTGAACTACAACTCCCATCACCCCTAGCTAGCAAGGCCAGAGCTCAGGGATAATGGGAGTTGTAGTCCAACAACATCTGGGGACCCACAGGTTGAGAACCGCTGCCTTAGAGGGAAAAGGAGGGAGTTAAATGTGATATATCATAGACAGATAGATAGATAATAGATAGATGATATAGAAGGCTGAGTGGCCTTGAAGCTCCCTAGGATGAAGCTGAGCCAATCACGAACTCTCAGCCTGACCTACTTAACAGGGTTGTTGTGCGAGTTATGCATGTTGCCCTGAACTCCTCTTGCACAAAGGGTAAAATAAAATATGTAATAAAAATAAATAATTTGCAGCATTTATTTTTTTTACATTAACAACATTATTTTACAAAAGCAGTGGTCCGTTTTTGGAATTTTTGTTAAAGTGATTATTAATGTCAGTACTGTATCAAACCTACTGGTTGGTTCTGTATTGTTGTCATAATGTCAAAAGCTTCAGAGATAGTTGATCATGATTTGTCAATATTTGACCAGGCAGCTCCTCAACCTTTCTCAGCAGCTAGACAATGTTTTTCGTTTGTTTAATCCTTTTATTTCTATATACGCACACAAACCAACAATACCAACAACATTCTGCCCAGAAAGACCCTTACTCAAAGCATCTCACGATGTAACATAATAATAATAAAGTATCCTGAAATCTCATAAATCTCGTGGTTTGACATTTATTTGATGGGGTTGAGGATGTGGAAGCTTGGGAATTTTAGCCCTGAATTCAGAGAAAATGATTGCGGAACGGCAGAAAGCTATCTATAAAAAAACCCCGAAACCCATCTGTTTGCTTTGACACAATAAGAAGCTTAAAAATAGAACCTTCGACAACTCTCTAGCAGGCGCAAATCATCACCGTCATTCTAGGCAGTGCCATCGATACATTTCACATGCAACCAATAATTTCATAAGCAGACCATCAGATCCCCACCCGCAAGGAGCTTACAACTCCTGTGTTTCAACAGCAGACGACAGGATAGAAGGAAAAGCGAGAGTAACATTGAGGGAAGGGTGTGTGAGAGCAAATGCAGTCGCCCTTAGCTTGTTTTGATTGGAAATGAGGACTAAAGGGTTATGCCTAAGACCCCCAAGGAAAAAAGCAGGTTTTCATCATTCACGTCTGAGGCCTTAAGACACTCCCTTGAAATAGCCTCAGCTCAGCTTTCTCCATGCATCACCCACCCCGTCCCAATATCCCTTGCTCTGCCCTGGCATGTGCCATATTCCCCTTGGCCCCTCCTTGTTGCCCAAAGCACTAATCCCGTTGGCTGGATCCGGTCCAGACTCAACATTGAGGCAGCAGCCGGCAGGAGGCTCTGAAAAATGTCACAGGCCCAGAAATAGCAAATTAATCTTTATCACACAACCTCCAGGGCAGGGAAAACAAGAGGAAGGTGGGGGTGAAGAGAGAATGCAAAGAAAGGGAGAATTGCTATAAATTAACACGCTCCCTCCCCACCAACCAATCCCTGATAAAATTGGGTCTCTGGGATTAGATCACAATGGCCTAGTTGCGACCCCCAGCTCACCGAGCTCATCCCTCACAGAGGCAACAGGGCTCTGTCCATTCACAACTGAGCAACGCTAAAGCCCTTGGGAAGATATTCAGAATATTCAGATATTCACGCTGGAGCAAAATGTGGATTTGCATCAGCCTGTCTCTCCACTGATGTAGGGGCATCTACAAGATGTCCTCCTCATCCCAGTGTTGTCCAGACCTTTCCCTATTTAAATGTGGGGGTTTTCAATCCCAGTTGGAAAAACCTGCATTTAAAGGTGGAAATGTCCAGAACATCACAGGGAAGGGGTCCACATTATGTTTCCTGTATGGACAAGCCCAACGTCTCAAAAGCATCTACCTTTAGGGAATTTCCCCACCTCAGAATTTCCCCAGTTCTTGCAGTGAACCACCCCATAGCCTTATGGTGTGAAACTGGCATTAGTGGTGATCCTAATACTCTGGGTTTTTATTCAGGGCCAGCCCTGCCATTAGACAAAATGTGGCAACCGCCTCAGGCTGCAGATGCTGGAGGGCCAGCACATCTCTAAGCTAGCCAACTGCCCCCAAGGTGTGGTGGAAAAATACAGTTCTCTTGCCAGTGTTGAAATCAGATTCAGCTGCTCTGCCACTTGGGTTCTGTACTTGGACATGGGAGGGGCATCGTCCTGTCCTTCGCCTCAGGCAGCGAAAGGTCATGGGTCAACCCTAAGCCCATTTATGCTTGCTGAGGATTTCCACAAGGGTGCCTCAGAAGCATGCCATTTTGAGACATTGATTCAGAAAAAAGAATTTTGCCTCTTTTCCAGAGTGGGAGGCTGATACACCTGACTCGCTGGACACAATCCAGTGATAAGTTCATCTGCTTAAACCTCCCTGAAATGAAGAGTTGTTGCCGCACTAAAGCATGAAACTTATGAAGGTGATCTTCCTGGCAGCGTGGAGTCGGTGTTAATTAGCGGAGCTTCATTTCTCTCTCTTTATTTTAATCTCGTCTATTTCTTCTTCTTCTTCCTCTCTCTTTCTGTTTTTCCTGCTTTTCTTTCTCTCTCTCTTCTCCTGTGTTTCTATTGTATTTAGATCAATATTTTAGTTTTGGACAAATATATATATATATATATATATATATATATATATATATATATATGTTTTGCATTTTTCTTTATAAATCCTAATAAAATTTATTCAAAGAAAGAAAGAGAATGCCATTTGGATTTTCCAACAAAACGTCTTAGGCCAGTCCGCACGCCAGGCATCAAGGCCATCCTTAGAGAACTATCTGTGTGACCTCCAAGCCAGGCGCTGTATCTACAGCTGCTACCATTTGTGCAATGACCACAGCACTCAAAAATGCACCACCAGAGTAACAAAAAGGGGTGCAGATATGTACACAGCTGCCATGTGGAGCAAGCAGTCCATGCAAATGGAGCCAGGACCCGAGTGTGGCCCAGATGCAAGTCCACTGATGGCTCCGTATCTCCTGAGGGTCTCCCATGGGGCACTGCCTGCAAGTGAAAACCAGTCTATGGATCCATGCCAATTCCAGGGGTGCTGAGCAGAGTGGAGAGAAAAATAGACAGAAGAAAATCCACTCTGTCATAATAACACCTGAACTGAAGAGCTCCAGTGAACATGTTTTGCCGTGTGTTCAAGACAAGAACACCCTTCCTTACAGAATTCATTACAAGATGTGGTGTGGTGACAGCCATTAGCTTTGATGACAGGATCGGCCCTACCATAAGGCAGAAGGAGGCTGCTGCCACAGGCGGCAGATGCTGGGGATGTGGTGGATGCCAGCAAAGTGTTGGGATGACAGATCTCTGCGCACCAGAGACCTAGTAAGCCAGCCTGCTGCCCTCAGGTATGACAGAAGCTGCTGCCGCATCACTAGTGTCGAAACAAGATTCAGTTACCTGTCCAGGTTTGTTACATGGAACCAAAGGAGGGGAGAGCCATATAGTCCTTTGCCTCAGGCAGCAGAATGTATTGGGACAGCCCTGTTTGAACAGCCTGGGACAGAGGTGCCACCTTCTCAAGTTGATTGAGGGGGCCAGACATGATGTCCTGATGTTGCATGTGCACGACATCACAAGGACTGAACACTGAGGGGCCCTGGCCTCCTCAAAAAATAACAACCCCAGAGGGGACTGCCCCTAGGAGCCGCTGCATATGGCACTGGACAAATTCAGCAGCATAAGGTTAGGTCTATCACATCACTGGTGATGGTAGCTTTGAGTGTGCCTTTGAGTACCAGATGCTGAGGGCAAAACACACAAGAGGGAGAGAGAGAGAGAGAGAGAGAGAGAGAGAGAGAGAGAGAGAGATGCTATCACTGTGCTCTGTTTGGGATCTGCTGACTAGGCTCTACTCCCAACAATGGGAAATAAATAGACTCTAGAGGCATCCTGTTCGCCATTGCTGGACTTGGATGGTCTTGATCCAGCAAGGCAGTTCTTTTGCACTTATATTCTTGTGCATATCTAGCATTCAATACCAGAAGGCACTATTGAAAAAAATGCCTAGAAAAGCTGCCTTTGGGGACTATGGAGCTTTGGTGGGTGTTGTTATTGCCCCCCAGTGGAACAGCAGCCTGCAACTCTGAGGAAGAATAGATGTGAAAAACCTGGGAAGGAATACGGGGGGGGGGGGGACTGGGGGTTTGGAGAAAGGGGAAGGAAGCCACAGGGGGTCTGCAAGGTAGGATATTCATCTCACCAAATTGATTTCAAGGTTGTCATATTTAAAAACCTAGCAGAACATCTACTATTTCCCCTTTCTTGCTGGTATGCTGCTATTTCTTGCTTGTGTGACTTGCCACAATCCTGCATAACCTATAACGCAACACACACATTCCAATCTCGCACCCTATTCTGAGTCCCCATATATTGTCCCTTGCCGCCACCCCACCAATGGAAAACAGGAATTTGCTGCTGTGCAAGGTACCCCTGTTGCTGGGGTAACAAGCAAGGGGTAGCAGAGGAATAAAGCCTTTACTTTTCCCGTCTGCCACTTGAAGAGCCCTTGATGATTTCTTCAGAAGAGGCTCCCCCCCCCCTTTTCCTTTTCCAATTGGGGACTTGGGCGGATTCTGAACCTCCCTGAGAAATTCCAATGAAGAGGCCAAGCCAGGCGCCAGTGGCTGCATCGTGTGCTCAGAATCGGGTATCAGGGAGAGCAAGAATATCTATTCCACTTGATCTGCAAAACCAACAGGCATGCTGAATCCCAATGCTGCTGCAGAGCTCCCCCACCCTCCTCTTTCACACACACACACACACACACACACACACACACACACACACACGGTTTGAGGCAGGAGAGCAGTGGAAACAGAAATCAAGTCTCCTTCGCACTCTCCGTCCTTCCTTCTGCTGCAGGCGATCTCCTTCATCCCATCCGCAAATGTTTAGGTTCTGCCTTTTCCCCTTTCCTGAGTTTCGCACACCTTTCTACCCCCCAAGGAGACTTTCTCTCGTGTTGCTGGTGCCCACGACCACAGACCCTGCAACCTCTCTCCCTCTTTCTCACACACACAGATGCGTGTGTGCGTGTTTCCAGGGTCCGTGCCTCGAATGCTGAAGCCGTTGCACCGTGTTCTGCAGCTCCCCGTTCAGCTCTGCAGCTCCCCCCCCCCCGCTCTCTCTCTCCCCCCTCCTCAAATAGATTATAGATTTCTCCATAATTAATCCGACAGACAGGCGAACAAACTAGGACCTAAGGCTGTGAAGAGGCAACCCGGGGAGAGATGGGGAGGCTGGCTTGGGTGCTGAACAGAGAAGCAGAAGAGGCGCATCCATCGGGGCGATGGGCAAACAGCCACAGAAGAGGGGGCAGATGAAGAAGAAGCCCCATCGCGTTTTGAATCGATACGGGCTGGAAAACATGGGCTGGGCGTGTGCCAATGGATAGGCGAGGGAGGGAGAGAGGTGGGTGGGTGGCAGATAAACAGGAGAGGCGCACAAGTGGGGGCAGCAGGAAAGGACTTGAAGCTGCAGGGGGAGCGAGCAGGTGGGAAGACGGAGAGCCAGCAGCGGCGAAGGGGCGATGGCTGGCTGGGCTGGGCCCCGAGAGGGCGGCGAGGGGGGCCTCTGTAGTTGGTGCCCAGCTCCGTCTCTGCATACACACACACACCCCGCAGCCCCAGGGATGGACGGATGGAAGTGGAGCCAGCGTAACAGCTGCGCGCCCGGTCGGACCAGATGGCTGGCTAGGGTCGGGAAGGCGCGGGCGGAGGGCGCAAACCACCCACCCACCTACCCTCCTGCCTGCCCTCTTCCTCCTCCTCCTCCTTGGGGAGCCCTGGCACTTGCTGGCCCGCCGTCGAGGAGCTTCCCCGCTCCCACGCCCTCTCTCGCGCGCTCACCTTTGTTGCCGAGGGCGCAGGCGAGGACGAGCAGGACCAGGGGGAGCGCGGCCAGGGGCTGCCCCCTGCCCATCTTGGACGACCACCCCAGCGGGACGCGCGCTCCGGCCGCTGGCAGAGGGGGCTTCGCGGTCGCCTCGCGCCTGCTCCCACCCCACCTCCAGGCGCCGGCTGTCGAGGAGGAGGCGCTCGCTTGGCAGGGGGACCGAGCGCAGGCTGGAGACCGAGGACAGCTCCGGCTCGCTGCTTGGCGCTGCCTTCACTGCCCAGCCCAGCCCAGCCAGCCCAGCCCCTGTACTGCAGCATGATGTCAGCAGCGCCCGACGCTGATTGATGGGCGCTAGCAGCCAATGCGAGGGGCTCGGGAGCCAGGTGCTGCAGGAGAGGGAAGGGACCAAGGTTGGGCGGGGGGCGAAGGGGGAGGGGTCCCGGGTTTTTTTCTCCCTGGGGAATCAGGGAGGCGGGTTCCTGCGCGCGCGCCGTGGGCTGTCGAAGCTCCTGGGCTGGGAACTTTGGGGACTTTGGTCGAGTTGGGGCGTCCTAGCTCATCCTCCCCGGTTTCTCCTCTCCATAGTTGGCACGGAGCTGCGGAGAGAGAAAGCGGCCTATAAATAGCTTGCGTTATTTATTAAATTTGTACTTGGTCCGTATAGTTAAAGCCATGGTTTTCCCAGTTGTGATGTATGGAAGTGAGAACTGGACCATAAAGAAGGCTGATCGCCGAAGAATGGATGCTTTTGAATTCTGGTGCTGGAGGAGACTCTGGAGAGTCCCATGGACTGCAAGAAGATCAAACCTCTCCATTCTGAAGGAAATCAGCCCTGAGTGCTCACTGGAAGGACAGATCCTGAAGCTAAGGCTCCAAGACTTTGGCCACCTCATGAGAAGAGAAGACTCCCTGGAAAAGACCCTGATGTTGGGAAAGATGGAGGGCACAAGGAGAAGGGGACGACATGGCTGGACAGTGTTCTCGAAGCTACCAGCATGAGTTTGACCAAACTGCAGGAGGCAGTGGAAGACAGGAGTGCCTGGAGTGCTCTGGTCCAGGGGGTCACGAAGAGTCAGACATGACTAAACGACTAAATAACAACAACAAGCTCATCCTCCCCGGTTTCTCTGCTCCAAAGTTGGCACTGAGCTGTGAAGAGAGAAAGCGGCCTATAAATAGCTTGCGTTATTTATTAAATTTGTATGCCGCCCTTCATCTGTAGAACTCAGGGCGGTTCACAACTTGAAAATAGGAGGGGAAAAACACCGAATGCGTAATAAAGACAAGAAACAACAACAAAATAAACCAATTACCCCGTCGTACCACAAAACACATTTAAAAGGACATAGGATAGTGGTTCTCAAAGGATGGCAAGTGTGGCAAGGACAAAGAAAGAAACATTTAAACATTGCTCTGTAGTATAGATCAAACCTCTCCATTCTCAAGGAAATCAGCCTTGAGTGCTCACTGGAGGGACAGATCCTGAAGCTGAGGCTCCAAGACTTTGGCCACCTCACGAGAAGAGAAGACTCCCTGGAAAAGACCCTGATGTTGGGAAAGATGGAGGGCACAAGCAGAAGGGGACGACAGAGGATGAGATGGTGGGACAGTGTTCTCGAAGCTACAAACATGAGTTTGCCCAAACTGTGGGAGGCAGTGGAAGACAGGAGTGCCTGGTGTGCTCTGGTCCATGGGGTCACGAAGAGTCGGACACGGCTAAACGACTAAACAACAACATAGAATAGCATTCAAATCATTTTTCTTGGAAATACAAACAGAAACAGCATCCACACCTCTCTTCAAGAGTATTAGCTATTCTGCTGCTATATTCTCTGACAAACATGAAACATCAGAAAAGGGAAAGACTTATTGGTGTCGATGAGGAGATGAGAGTTTGTCTCAAGTCAGACCTCATATAAATTAGATTACCCGGCAAAAGCAAGCTCACACCTCTCACGGAGTTTGTATACATACTCAAAGTACATATGGAAGAGCCTTGTTCATAATTATATTTTGGGGATGACTCGAGTCCTTATGTAGCTGCATTGCTTTATACTTTATACTTTCTGGATGTCCCATGATCATATTATAAAGTAGTTGTGTTCTATGTTATAAATCAAGCATTGCTGGAAGTTGTTTCTTTTTTGTTTTCCAATGTGTTTCTTATATTTATAAAAAAGCATTTAGTATGGTGTGAGCAAATTTTTATTCTGAAAGTGTGGCCCAGAAGGAAAAGTTTGAGAACCACTGATATAGGATGTTAGTCATGTAGTTGTTTGCCAGAGGCAGGGCACTATTAGAAGGAGGATACTTCCTGGGCTAGATAACACCTGGTCTTCCCTTGATGAGGTTCACACAGTTGCTTGTGTTTCTGCCACACTTATTTAGGGTAGGGGCAGAGCATCTTGGCATCCTGAGAGGCAAATTGGCCACACCATATTCATTCAGTGCTGGCAAATGTGCTATGTGCTGTAGAGAACACAGGGCTGGTTCACGTGTGTAGGTACGTGGTACAACCTTTCACCGGCCCAACACACAGCACTTGATTTCTCTAGGGTGACAGTACGAGCTGCCTCCACCAGAGAAACCTTTTTTGGATCCGTGTGACGCCAAGGGTCTGATCTACTGTGAAACTAATGAAGCTTATGCTTCAGGGACCCTAATCTCAGAGAGGTGCCCACTTTAGTCCACACTGGTTTAAAATGTTGCGTCCAGTAGACCCAATATAAGTCACACAACTCGAAAACTATAAGGCATAGCAAATTTTTGTTCACATCAATAACTTTGATAAGTGAGATAATCCAGTACAGCAATCTTAATCAAAAATCTGAGATGTAGTTGTTGTTAATAATAATAATAATAATAATAATAATAAAATGTGGTGATCAGTCATGGAGCAACCCCATTGAAGAAGATAACAGTGGTTTCCCAGAACTCATTGCTGCTTGCAAAGCACCCCCCCATAACAGTTCAAGCTTCAGAGTAACCAAAAATATACATCTGCCACTGGTGTGACATCAGGTAAAAAGGTGAAGGTAAAGGACCCCTGGACAGTTAAATCTAGTCAAAGGCAACTGTGGAGTTGTGGTGCTCATCTTGCTTGCAGGCTAAGGGAGCCAGCATTTGTCCACAGACAGCTTTCCTGGTCATGTGGCCAGCATGACTAAACTGCAACGGAACACAGTGACAGAAACCAGAGCGCACGGAAACGCCGTTTACCTTCCCATCACAGTGGTACCTATTCATCTATTTGCACTGGCGTGCTTTCGAACTGCTAAGTTGGTAGGAGCTGGGACAGAGCAACGGGAGCTCACCCCGTTGCAGGGATTTGAACCCCCGACCTTCTGACTGGCAAGCCCAAGAGGCTCAGTGTTTAGACCACAGTGCCACCCATGTCATCAGGTGAGATGTAAACTCCTGCCTGGCACTTGATCTCTGGTGGATCGTTCACACATGAAAGTCACCACATAGGATCATAGAACTGTAGAGTTCGAAGGGACCATGAGGGTAACCTATGATATCTGCCATCACAAAGTGATGGACATGTGTGTGAATCAGCCCATAGATATTGCATGGTCCCAAGGTAGAGGCAGTTTTATGGTAGCATGACTGATTCAGCCGCATTGGACGGCCAGCACTGTAGGGGGCACTGCAACAATGATGTATAATGGAGCATGAGAGGTAGGAGGCGCCAGATTTTAGCATTGCACAGGATACTGCTGAAATTTGAGAGCCCAAAGTTCACCACTGATAACACATCTGCAATGTATGATAACTTGAATGACAGTGAGTGAGCTAGCGTTCACTGACATTTAATGTGGATAGTGAGCCTCCTGCCTCTCCATTAATTCTCCATTGCCCATGTGACAGTCTCCTCCAAATCACTGCCTTCCCACACTTTCCCCTCTCACAATCCAGATTCTCTCATACCCTCTCCTTTTCAGAGGCATGATAAAAATCCAGACTGAGGAACATGGGCGTAGCCAGGGGGGCAGCCGCCCCCCCCATCAAGTAAAACTATAGAAATATTTAACTAACTGACCAATCACATCGGTTCTCCCTCCCCTAACAAAGTCCTGCCCCACCCCCCACAAAAATCCTGGCTATGCCCAGGCCATGATCTGAATGTCCTATGGATAACAGAGAATGAATGGAAGTACAAGATGAGGCCCAAGTCATTGCATAATATTGAAAATGGTGGTGTTCTGAGGTGACTCATTCACACTTACAGCCATCAAGTCAACTGAATTTGCATGTGTGAATGAGCCTGAAGAACATGCCAGACTGACAAATGGGGCTGGGTGGGAGAGAACTCTCCATGGCATAAGAGGCAGAAGGAAGAAGGTGCAAAGGCAATCCATGCTCTGTATACATACGGTATAAAAAGGTAAAGGGATCCCTGACCATTAGGTCCAGTCGCAACTGACTCTGGGGTTGCGGCACTCATCTCGCTCTATAGGCTGAGGGAGCCAGCGTTAGTCCGCAGACAGCTTCCGGGTCATGTGGCCAGCATGACTAAGCCGCTTCTGGCGAACCAGAGCAGCGCACGGAAACGCCGTTTACCTTCCCGCCAGAGCGGTGCCTATTTATCTACTTGCACTTTGACATGCTTTTGAACCACTAGGTGGGCACGAGCAGGGACCGAGCAACGGGAGCTCACCCTGTCATGGGGATTCGAACTGCCGACCTTCTGATCGGCAAGTCCTAGGCTCTGTGGTTTAACCCACAGCGCCACCCGCGTCCCCTACATACGGTATATGAGCTGGTAAAGTGGAATGGCCAATCCTCCTCCAGCTGCAAACTCAGGAGGCTAAGCAAGATGCTGTCTGTCAGCCTCCCATCTGCAATATGGACATCACAACACTGGCCTACTTTATTTATTTACTTTATTGCTTATTTCCTAAAAGTTATATGCTGTTTGATTGTAGAGGGGGAAACCCTCAAAGCAGTTTACAAAAAAAACAGGGATAATAGGGATTACTGGACTAGTGGAGAATGTAAAGCTAAAGCTAAAGGACCCCTGGATGGTTAAGTCCAGTCAAAGGCGACTATGGGGTTGCGGCGCTCATCTCACTTACAGGCCAAGGGAGCCGGTGTTTGTCCACAGACAGTTTTCCAGGTCATGTGGCCAGCATGACTAAACCGCTACTGGTACACGGAGGACTGTGACGAGAGCAAGAGCACACGGAGACACTGTTTACCTTCCCGCCGCAGTGGTACCTATTTACTCGCACTGGCATGCTTTTGAACTGCTAGGTTGGCAGGTGCTGGGACAGATCAACGGGAGCTCACCCCGTCGCAGGGATTCGAACCGCCAACCTTCCGATCGGCAAACCCAAGAGGCTCAGTGGTTTAGTTTAGTGGTTTAGGGGTGTTAAGGGAGGGGCAGTATATCTCTGGTGGTAGACATGTTGTGCTCCTTCTGGGGCAGTTTGTCCACCTTTGGTTCCCACCTTGAACTCAGCTCTCACCTGTGGCTCCTAGAAGCTGTCAGCATGCAACAGCAGCTACAACCCAGGAATGGCTTCCACCGGCTGGCTAAGCCAGGTGAGGGTAGTGTTGTAAATAAAAATATGCCCTTTTCCCTTATGGGGTATCCAAGAGCCCATATAGAGTCCTTACATAGGTTCCCTATTGGTAGGAGAAAATAACAGAGGCCAGCCAGAGAATATTGAGAAGCAAAGCAGCTAGTAAGCTTGATCTTTATTAATCTGTTGCAACAGGGTGCTCCCCTCACACGCAGGAGAGGAAGAGGACCTCCAAAAATGCTGTGCAAGGGCTTATAAAGACTTTTGAAATTCCCATCCTCTAGATCAAGACCACCCCCAGAAACATTATGCATTCATCACAGAAGGGGTGTAACCTAAGACCACCCCTCAGATAAGGCAGTCTAAAACAGAACATTTGCATGTTGTTTTCTCCTGTCGCTTTGTTTATTTCCTGTCTGGCAGGTTACTTGATTGGATTTCTTGGGGAGCCTTGGCAGTCTTTTGTAATGATAAGGCTCACACCCTTATTCAAACACAGATTAAGACAGGATTTGTGAAGGAAGAGACAATGGGGAGGCTTTTCCATTTTTACCATGTAGAGAAACACTTGCTCAGTTTAGGAATCAAAATGGTTCCAGGTTGGCTTTCCTGTGCTGATCTATGTACGTGTGGTTATGAACGTTGCCATATATCTAAAACCATAAAATTCCTATCACAGTAGCTAGTGAGTTAGGGGCTTCCCCTGCATGCAAAGACAGGCTCTGGCGGATTGAGCAGATTAGACCAATAGTGGGTCAAGAGTCAAGAAGATGGTTTCTGCATGTGCTGCAGAGGGAAGTAAGGGGCAGATGGGGCTCGTCAACCTGGGAAGGTAGCCCACCTAGGAGAAGGAACACGCTGATCCTATACCTCCACTGCCTTGCGGGATATCTTTGGGAGAAGATAAGACTATGGAATGCCTGTTGTCTTTGTCCATGGAGTTTTCTTGGCAGGGATACTAGAGTGGCTTGCCGGTTCCTGCTCCAGGTGGATCACGTTTGGTCAAAACTCTCCACTATGACCAGTCCATCTTGGGTGCCCAGCACGGCATAGTTCATAGCTTCTCTGAGTTATTCAAGCCCCATCGCCATGGCAAGGCAGTGATCCATGAAGGGGGAGGCAGTGGAAGACAGGAGTGCCTGGTGTGCTCTGGTCCATGGGGTCACGAAGAGTCGGACACGACTAAACGACTAAACAACAACAACAAGACTATGGAATAAACCCGACACAAATTCAGAGTGGTGTCCCTAAGATGGTTAGATGGCACCTTGTACGCCTCTTTCCAGCAACTCCCTGTCACCAAGTTGATACCAAATGTATTGCTGTGTTTTCCTTTGGGCCACAACAGAGAGGCTGAGGGGGGAGGTCTAGTTGCCTGGGCAGCCTAGGAGCTCCATACACACTGTGGTGGACATGTAAATTTGTGAAGCATTTCTGGGAGATGATATATAATGAAATGGGGGGAAAAAGTTCAATAAAACTTTTATAAAAAGATCAGAAAACTTTTTGTTAGGAATATTTGGAATGCAGGTCCCCACAGATCAAAGGAACTTATTTCTCTGTGCAATTATGGCAGCCCGAATGGTATGTGCTCAGAAATGGAAAGAGAGAGTAATACCAACAAAGGAAGAGTGGCAGATGAAATTAATGGAATATGTAGAATTAGCAAATTTAACTAGTAGAGTAAGAGATCAGGGAGTATTTAAGGAAGAGTGGAAAATGTCTGGAGAATATCTGAAGACTTACGTTAAATAGGTAAAGCATCAGCAGGGTTTAGTGTAAATTCAGCAGTTCAAAAGTATAGAAGATGTAAGGGGAAGGGAGAAATGTGAATATATGGAGAAATTAAAATATGCAGTTTTAATGGATAAATAAATGGAACCATGGAAGGGGGGAAGGGAAGTCAGCGATTGAATGTACGGTTATATTCAATGAATGTGACACAGTGTAATGGATATATATATATATGGACCTCCATACACACTGCCTGTGCCCCAGAGAGGTCACTTTGCTGCTGCTAATGCAGCAGTTTGACTCCACCCCTGGAGACACACAGCATAGTCTATTGAGACAGACAGGTGCCAACAACTGGGCTAGTGCTAGTGAAGTGCTTCAAAAATGCAAAAACACTACATGCAGCTTTGAGACATGCAAGGCTGATTTACCCACCCGGGAAGAATGGCAGATGAAGTTGATGGACTATATGGAACTGGCGGAAATGACTGGCAGAATCCGAGACCAGGGAGAAGAGTCGGTGGAAGAAGACTGGAAAAAGTTTAAAGACTATTTACAGAAATACTGTAAAATTAATGAATGTTAGAAGAATGTTGAAATGAAGTTATATGGCTTTAGTAGAAATGTTATAAGGAATTAAGTATAAATAGATTAATAGAATATTAAAGGAAAAATAAGGTTAGAATGTGTTAAGATAATTATAGGATAGAAAACAGAGGAAGATGGAAAGGAATTGCTGAAACAATTAACAGAAGTGGGGTACAAAAAGGGAGGTGTGAGGAGGTCGTTGAAATAAGTGAATGAAAGATAAGATACTGAAATTGTTTGATGTGTTTTAAACTGTTTTTGTTTGGTTTTGTTAGTTTAATGTGTTAGTGTTATGTAGTGTTTTTGTATTGTATTGTATTGTTCATTTTTTTTTTGTAGTGTTTAAATTGTTGGAAAAGTAATAAATATTATTTTTAAAAAGAGAGAGAGAGAGACATGCAAGGCTGAGCCCAGACACCTTTAGAAACATTAGAGAGCTGTGTCTTGATATGTGCAGACAGAGGGATTTTTCTCCCTCAAAATGGCTAATCCTAACTCCTTCCACCGCACATCTGGGATTTACAGAGAAGGATGGATTGGAACTTCCAAGGAGGACTGAGTGTTGGTACCTCTCTTTTTGGTATTTAAACACTGGGGAACCAGCTGTATTAAGTTTGCAGCGGCCAGACCAGGCAAAGCAGGCAAAGCAAGCAACAAGGCAGGCAATCCTGTAGGCCAGGGATGGGGGCTTGTCTTGTGCCCCCCAATGCCCTTGAACCACAACTCCCACAATCCTTGCCCTTTGTCCATGGCAGCTGGAACAGCTGAGTGCTGGACTCCAACAACATCTGTCCTTGCCCTTCTTACAGGCTCTTAGTTAGGTGAAAAATCCCCTTGAATTCCATGGAGAAGGAGAAGCTTTGAGAAGAAAGCGAGAGTTTCCAAGGCATGCTCTGTTTCATGGGGTCACAGAGAGCCGAAACAACTAAGGCAACTAAACAACAACAACAAAACCACTGGACTGCATGATTCTGAGCTGAGAAACCCTTGGTCCCATGCAATTTGCTTTAGGTCAGTGGTTCTCAAAAGGTTTGGGTGGCACAGCACACTGGCATGGCAGGAGAAGATGGTGAGGGTTGTGGGAAGATTCAAGGGCAATCAAAGAAACATTTAAACATTTCAGTGTAGTATTGTATAGTATCAAAATATTTTTTTGAAAAATATACAACCAAAAAGAGCATCCACACCCCTCTCTCTTCAAAAGTATTAGCTAGTCTTCTACAATGAGCCTAGGGCTTGAAGATCGGAAGGTCGGCGGTTCAAATCCCCGCGACGGGGTGAGCTCCCGTTGCTCGGTCCCTGCTCCTGCCCACCTAGCAGTTTGAAAGCACATCAAGTTCAAGTAGATAAATAGATACTGCTCCAGCAGGAAGGTAAACGGCGTTTCTGTGCGCTGCTCTGGTTCACCAGAAGTGGCTTAGTCATGCTCGCCACATGATCCGGAAGCTGTACGCTGGCTCCCTCGGCCAGTAAAGCGAGATGAGCACCGCAACCCCAGAGTCGGCCACGACTGGACCTAATGGTCAGGGGTCCCTTTACCTTTATTCTTCTACAATATTCTCCGTGACGTATTGCTGTGATCAGGGATTTTCAACTCTGACAAACATGAAACATCAGAAAAGGGAAAGGCTTCTTTGTGTCGATGGGGAGATGAGAGTTTGTCTCAAATCAGACCTCATATAAATGAGATCGCCTGGCAAAAGCAAGCTCACACCTCTCACTGAGTTTGTATACATGCTTAAGGTACATATATAAGAGGCTTGTTTATCATTATATTTTAGGAACGGTTCATGTTCTTACGTAGCTGCGTTGCTTTATGATCCTGTGATCATATTACAAAGTAGCTGCATTCTAGGTTACAAATCAAGCGCTGCTAGGAGTTGTTCCTTTTTGTTTCCAAATGTATTTTTTATCAGTAAAAAGTTGTTACAATTTGTATTCTGAAAGTGTGGCCCCGAGAGAAATAAGTGGTTTTAGGGCAAACCAGGTTTCCGGGGTTTGCAGGATCCTCGGGGCTGCTGTGTGTGAGAGATGATCCCGAGGATGCTGACCCTGTTTTAAGCCATTGGAAACTTGACAGTCGTTGCGCATCATTCCTGGAGCAGCGCAAAGTCGAGCTGTCCCTTTAAAGTTTTTTTCTCTTTTCTTTCAGCGCTGTGTGTGTGTGTGTGTGTGTGTGTGTGTGTGTGTGTGTGTGTTTTAAAGTCTTAATCGGAAGAAGAAAGGAAGAAGAAGAAGAAGGAGAAAGGGGGAGGGAGGCCGTCTTCCCGGCTCCTCCCCCGCCGCGTCCCCCCCTCCCGGGGGCCGGGGCGAAGCGACTCTTACGGCGGCGAGATTTGGGAGCGCAGTGGCGCTATATAAGCCGAGGCAGAGAAGGGCAAGCGAGGAAGGCAGAGAGACAGACCCGGCGGCTTAAGGCATCCGGCAAAGTCAGCAGACGGCTCCGTGGGGAGAGAAGCCGAAGCAGAGTCTTTTCTTTCCTCCGGGTCTGCTCTCTAGTCGTGTTCACACGTGCAGCTTGGCGCTCTTCTGTCTGTCTCCCCCGCGGTTGTTCTTTCTCTCTTCCGTTCCTGCTCCTGCCTTCCGATGCCTCCCAATCTCACCGGCTACTACCGATTCGTCTCCCAGGACAACATGGACAACTACCTTCGTGCCTTAGGTAAGCGCCAGTCTCTCTCTCTCTCTCTCTCTCTCTCTCTCTCCTTGCATTGCAGGGGGTTGGACTAGATGACCATGGGAGGGGGGGTGTCCCTTCCAGCTCTAGAATTCCGGGATTCTGTTATTCTCTCTCACACACTCATTCCCCCTTCCACACCAACCCCACAAACTCTGAGAATGAATTTAAGGCAATGCTTAATATTCCCTCCCAAACCCCCATGAAGACCTAACTTGAAGATCTGGAACATATATAAAAACATTAACTGGAGCATGTGCAGAGTGCCTTTGGGGCCCCACATGAGATCCTGCAGCTGGGCCCCACACATTCTTGCATTAGGACCGGGGTCCCTTCTTCCAGGATGCTTCAGTGATGCTTTTTCAAGATCTTGTCATCTGAGACCAAAGCAACTTAGCATTTATGTGGTAATTTTGAAGGGTCTAGAGTTGGCTACCAACTTGGCAATCCTTACCACAGGTCTGTAAGGTAGGTCTGTATTATTAACCACTGTATTGCAAATGGGAGAGTGTGTTCATGGCATGAATGAGACTCAAATAAGGACTTCCTGAGATGTAGCTCAGTTTCTAGGCAAGCTGGTGAGGGAAAGAATGCACAGATATTAAAATAATTGTTTTTTAAATGCTATATTTAATTGCATTTTTACTTGATTTTACTATGTTGGCTGCATCTGGGGAGGGAAGATGGGGTGTAAGTTTCAATATACATGCCTGAGACGGATGTGTTCTTGTGTCTATCCTCCTGATAGCTCAGTCAGTAGAGCATGAGACTCTTATTCTCACGGTCATGGGTTCGAGCCCCACGTTGGGCAAAAGATCCCTGCATTGCAGGGGTTGGACTAGATGACCCTCGTGGTCCCTTTCAGCTCTATGATTTGATGATTCCTTCCTTACTAAGGGTTGGGCAAGGTGGCTTCAACACTGGAGAACTTTTCTACAGCAAGGGCTAAGTAACAAGAAAGGCCATTGCTGTTTCTGTATACAGTGGTACCTCGGGTTAAGAACTTAATTCGTTCTGGAGGTCTGTTCTTAACCTGAAACTGTTCTTAACCTGAGGTACCCATTTAGCTAATGGGGCCTCCTGCTGTCGCTGTGCCGCGGCGGCGTGATTTCTGTTCTCATCCTGAGGTAAAGTTCTTAACCTGAGGTACTATTTCTGGGTTAGCGGAGTCTGCAACCTAAAGTGTATGTAACCCAAGGTACCACTGTACTAAGCTGTTACAGTCGTACCTCGGATCTCAAACACCTTGTCTTCTGAACAAATCGGCTCCGGATGATCGAAACCTGGAAGTGCATGTTCCAGTTTTTGAACGACTTTTGGAAGCCAAACATCTGGCGCAGCTTCCACAGCTTCCAATTGGCTGCAGGACGCTCCTGCAGCCAATCGGAAGCCATGCCTTGGTTTTCGAACAGACTCCCAGAACGCATTCTGTTCAAGAACCAAAGTACAACTGTACTTCTCCTTCTGCATCACAATTGCATGCACACACACTGCCCTGATCTATCCAACTTATTTTCTCACACTGTCGTATGTTAGACATCAATGTCGCTCTAAGGAAGCTGGTTTGCCTCTTGAAGCCGGAGAAGGAGATCATCCACAACGGAAACCACATGACCATCCGCACGTTGACTTCGCTTCGGAATTACATCATGGACTTTGACCTTGGGGTTGAGTTTGAAGAGGACTTGGGACCGGTGGATGGACGCAAGTGCCAGGTAAGAAGTGGAAGCTTGTCTGCCCTTGGACTGCGGGAAGAGACCCGTTTGGTGGCCATCCATGAGAGAGATTGCAAGAGGAGAGTTATAGTGTCGACATGGCTTCACACACATTGATTCTTGGCCTTGAGTTGTGCTCAGGGGCAGAGGAAGGGGAGTGCGGTTGGTGCAGGCTGCCCCAGGTGTCACCACTGAGGGGGGTGACAAAATGCCAGGCGGCACTCACCGCAGGGCCTGCAGTGCACCCGAGCCAGGCATCTCTCCTGGGAGTGACGTGGTAGCTTGGGCTCCCGCAGGCTCCGCGCTGCTCCAAACTGTCTGCCTGGCAGAGCATCCTGCCCCAGCTTGCCCCACCCCACGGGCAGCTGGCCCTGTCCCCGGGCGCAGGGCACACACGCTGCCCCAGGCGCCCAGCCGGCTTTCTCTGCCACTGGTTGTGCTGGCTCAGCAGTGTTGTCAAAATTTCTGTTCACCTGACAAGCAGAAAGAAGCACATTTGTGCAAATAAAATCCAGTCAGTAGAGCAGCCTACTCACATGGAAAGGAGTTAAACAACACACACACACACACACACACACACACACACACACTTATATATGGAAGGCGTAATATTTATCTCCATGTGTTGGAGGTGCAGAAATGCCTATTCATAACATCTCCTCCTGTGTTGCACTGTTCACACAAGGAGACAACTGAACTCACGTGAGTTGCTTGTGCCAACTGAATCTTATTTGTTGCCCAAACTAGGCTCCATGTCAAGCCTGCACGACTTGTAGCACAACTGCTACCTCTAGTGAACTCTCAGATGCTTGACAAGGCCTGTCTCTTTTGCATACATGCAGCAAAACAAACTTGTTGACCTCTTGTGGGCACTTTTCATCTTTGTGAGTCATGGTTTCACTAGGGCTGTGCTTCTGATACACCAGCAGCCTGGTTTTGGGAAAGGATGTGTCTGGAACAAAAACATCTTTCAGTGTCTCCCTCTCTTTCCGAGGTGGCTTTTATTAGGAGCTCAGTATTCAGTATTCAGTATTTTATTAGGAGCTCAGTATGTATATTGTGTAAATTTTTGGAGAGCCAGTGTGGTGTAGTGGTTAAGAGTGGTAGACTCGTAATCTGGGGAACCGGGTTCGTGTCTCCGCTCCTCCACATGCAGCTGCTGGGTGACCTTGGGCCAGTCACACTTCTTTGAAGTCTCTCAGCCCCACTCACCTCACAGAGTGTTTGTTGTGGGGGAAGAAGGGAAAGGAGAATCTTAGCCGCTTTGAGACTCCTTCGGGTAGTGATAAAGCGGGATATCAAATCCAAACTCTTCTTCTTCTTCACACCAGCTCCAGTCTAGGAGTGGGGCAACTTCGTTTGTAACTGCCAGAGATGTTACACCCTTTTAGGAGAACTCCGTTTTACAAATGAGGGATAGACAAACACTCCATCAATGGCAAAGCACAGCAAATAAAATGAAGGCACAGCCTCAAATAAAAGTTTTGGAAATAAAGGCCATGGGCAGAGGAAGTAGTAGTAATAGTAGAAATAATTTTTGAAAGCTAATGAAGGGTTTGTCAAGCATTCAAAGTTGCTGGCTTTCTTTTTGGTAATTTGAATGGCATTGGAAGCTAGGCCCATATTATCCCCAGATGGGGGTCTGAGAGTGAGTAGCTTGTCTAACGAGATTATAACAAAGCCAGTCAATGAACTTTGTATTAATTTGCTTTTACAGTGGTGCCTCGCAAGACGAAATTAATTTGTTCCGCGAGTTTTGTCGTCTTGCGGTTTTTTCGTCTTGCGAAGCACGGTGTCGGGAAAGTTTTGGAAAAGCTTCAAAAATCACCAAAGTCTTTAAAAACCTCAAAAAAGGCTACCACACTGCGTTCTATGAGTTGCTCCTCGAAGTCAAGTCGCAACTGTATTAATGGTGTTAAGAAAAAGGAAACAAACTTGCAAGACGTTTCCGTCTTGCGAAGCAAGCCCATAGGGAAAATCGTCTTGCGAAGCAGCTCAAAAAACAAAAAACCCTTTTTTGACAAAAAAACCTTTTTTTGTCTTGCGAGGCATTCGTCGTGCGAGGTACCACTGTATTACTAAATGTATACTGCCTCCAGATCTTGGAACAGTGGCTAAAAATTGCATTTGATATCTGTGGGGTTAATGGGAGAATTTCTTATCAAGAGTTCTTTGCCTAAAACCAGCCATGGTTGTTTTCACACCTGAATAAAATAATAATATAGCCCTTCTGGAAGCAGTTACTGGGGTAGCTGTACTCCACCAGTTATATCTCAACTTCAGGTCGTCTCACCATTACTGCTTCCATTTCTGGAACTCATCATGCAATGCCTCTCCCTTGATTGAATACAGTGGGACCTTGGTTGCAGAATGTCTTGACTCCCGAACAAATTGGCTCCCAAATGCCGCAAACCTGGAAGTGAGTGTTCTGGTTTGTGAACGTTTTTTGGAAGCCAAATGTCCGACACAGCTTCTGCTTGAGTGCAGGAAGATCCTGCAGCCAATTGGAAGCCACTCCTTGGTTTTTGAACAGTTTCAGGAGTCCCGGAATGGATTAAGTTTGACAACTAAGGTACCACTGTATTGTTATTGTGGGTTGGGATGATTTGTGTTTTGTTTTATTTTTTAAAAAAGTCATCCCACTGCTATAGATTAAGAACTATTTTTTAAAAGGGAGGCATGTGGTTGATATCGGGGGTAGGAAAACTGCCCTCCACCAGAGGCTGCTACCTGAAGCAACTGTCTGCCCCTTACTATAATGTTATTTTGATATTTTAAAGCTTGGCAAGAAAAATAATAATTGTTGGCTTCTATTTTATTTTTTTTATTGCTGGCTTACTCTTCAAGCAATGGTCACTGTCCTGGAATAGCCATCATTTATTTAGTTGTTCTGTCTTTTACTCCTTCCTTGCCACAAAATTATACAGGAAGAAAGTTGAAATGCAGCCCACCTAGCTCAAACTGAAATCTTAGCAATGTGAGAAGACTTCTGTCGTGCACATCTGGACACTCTTTCTCAAAAGTAGCTCCCTCCTTGTGGAACTTCCTGTACTCAATAGCTGGGTCCTTTCAGGTGAGCAGTAGGGTTGGAATTTTTGGCAGACACAGCCCTAAGGCATAAAGGTAAAGGTAAAGGGACCCCTGACCATTAGGTCCAGTCGTGACTGACTCTGGGGTTGCGGCGCTCATCTCGCTTTATTGGCCGAGGGAGCCGGCGTACAGCTTCCGGGTCATGTGGCCAGCAGGACTAAGCCGCTTCTGGCGAACCAGAGCAGCGCACGGAAACGCTGTTTACCTCTCCGCCAGAGCAGTACCTATTTATCTACTTGCACTCTGACGTGCTTTCGAACTGCTAGGTGGGCAGGAGCAGGGACCGAGCAATGGGAGCTCACCCCATCGCGGGGATTCGAACCACCAACCTTCTGATCGGCAAGTCCTAGGCTCTGTGGTTTAACCCACAGCGCCACCTGTGTCCCTGTCCTAAGGTATAGATGGTGTTAAATCAGCAGGCTATAGAACAAACTCGTTCATTCAGATACTTGGGTGTACTCTATTGAAATCCTCTCTTGGAAGCGCCGTACGGAGGCAGTGAAAGTCAAAGCACAGAAAAACATAGGGGCATTGATGGAGTTCTGTTACGATAAGGATGGGCAGCTGATTGAACCTGCCCAAAAGATATTTGGTGGCAAAGTGCTTATTCAAATACTCTGTGGCATTGAAATCTGGGGCTCTGGTTTGAATTCCATTAAAGTTTTGGATCAGTAAATCTTCTTCATACAGAATCTGGGTGGCCAATAATTAAGGCAAGAGCGAACTCGCTCAGTTAAAGTATATTTTAAAAATTGCTGCTGTGCCTGTTGAGCATTTTCCTGCTCTGTGCTATATGGAATTAGGAGATAACCAACACTGGAAAGCAGCTTGTCAATATATATATATATATATATTTTACTTTTAATTTAAAATTTAAAATTTAATTTAAAATGCAGTAAAATAGCTACATACAAGTTCAATAAAACAGAGAATACAACACAAAGCAACACATAATGTAACAATAGCATTTCCAAAGCTTTTTGAGCTTGTCAAGATGTTTTAGATTATTGTTGTTTTCCAGAAATGAGCTATGCTTTGACCTTGAATACCGTAAGTGTCAACTAAGGGATTGGTGCTTCTGAATCGAATCAAGAGGGGACCTGAAACTAATTAGAAACACCATATTTTCCACACTTGAGAACAGAGCATTTTAGACCTAGTTATCTGACCAAACTCTCACCGGCTTCCTTAGGAAATGCCTTTATTGAGCTGTGTTTCCAAGTGATACCCATTGCAGTCTTGGGTGGCTGCTACAACGAGGTCCCCGTACATGGACAAACTTTGTATTTGTGGTCATCCTCAGGTGGAAGACATCATAATCTGTTAGCCCGCCCCTTATATTTAGACCCAAGAGATCACTTTCTGAAACCTTTGTTCACACAAGCAAGCAGGCACACCTTGGCAGAAATGGTCTGGTTTTCTTTTGAGTGACAATGATAGCTTCATAACACAGAGAGTGACTCTCTTAAGTACTGGCTGCAAAAAAAGGAGCGGTGAAGGAAAAAGGAGTTAGATAAAATTGTTGTAAATTGTTGTGGTGACTCAGAGGTTTAATTTGAAGTCAAGCTGGATTTGCGTTTGTTGGTGTCTTTGGCAACCTCTCTCTTACATCATGGATGTTGGCTTGAATTATGGATGTTTGACCCGTATTGTTCTATCGGTACTGTTGCTGCAGGTTTGCCATGGCCTTTGGCTACAACAATAAACTTATATTTAAAATAATAAAATTTCAACTCCATGCTGAAACCTAATCATTTTGTACTGGGGAGCCACGTTAACATTGGCCATTAGAGAGACATTAAATTGAACAAAGAGAACTCTGATCCTCTTTTTAAATTCCATTTTAACAATTGACACATCAAATTCAGGAAAACAATCTAGAAAAAGCCATAGAATTAAAGCAACTGAATTGTTGCCGGAGACCAAGTGGTCAGCCTTGGGTAAAAAGAAAAAAAATGCAAAGATTTGGGAAGTCATATCTTGGAAGTTTATTTCTGCCATACGCATAAGTTTTAACCAATAATCAGAGAGATGGTGGTTTGTTTGTTTGCTTTGGGGCTATTTGTATACCATCATTCAGCCGAAACAGTTCCCAGGGTGGTTTACAAGCAAAAGACAGGCTCCCATTTCAATTCATAATAAAAACCAAAGGTACCCTGGGATGCCTGAAATAGCCTTTAGGACCTTATTCTGAAATGATTCCAAGTTGGGCCATAAAAGCACCAGACTCCTGGGCTGTCTAGAAGCTGTGGCTATAATCTAGCTATCATGATTTAAAAAGTGGAACATATTGTTTTCTCCAGTAGGTTCTACACAATTTCAGGACCACAGCAACCCTGTTCTATTTTTGTGTGTGTCCTGTTTGATCAAATGGCCTTTCCAGAAAGCAAAATCCACAGACATTGGTAAGATTTGACCATACTACTCAGCATTTATAGGGCTCTTGAGTGTTGAGATTCCTTCGTTATTTTGAAACATTTACAACAGCCTTGTAAGGTATATCAGTGTTATCCCCACACTGTGGACTGGGAGCTCCCTAGTGAGTTCATGGCAGAGGTCTGCAAATCAGCCTGTTACCTACTACAGCCATACCTTGGTAGTTGAACGCCTTAGTTATTGAACAAATCGGCTCCCGGATGTTGCAAACCCGGAAGTGAGTGTTCCAGTTTGCGAACGTTTTTTGGAAGCTGAATGTCTGATGGGGCTTCTGGGGCTTCGGGAAGCTCCTGCAGCCAATTGGAAGCTGTGCCTTGGTTTTCGAACCATTTCGGGAGTTGAACGGACTCCCAGAATGGATTAAATTCGAGAACCAAGGTACGACTGTACTTCTATCCAGTTTATCCAGCTCTGTGTTTTTTTTATAGTAAAGTGGATCTGTCACATGCTCTACACCACCCTAGAATTGAAGGCGTATTCTGTTAGCTAACGATATTGCCGTCTCTGCTTTCTCTTGCCCTCCCCCCCCTTCAGACAACCGTCTTCTGGGATGGAGATCAGTTGGTGTGTGAACAGAAAGGAGAGAAACGAAATCGAGGCTGGAGACACTGGCTAGAAGGGGACCAGCTGCATCTGGTGAGGAAGGGCAGCCTGAGAAGCTTGCCCCAAGCACAGAGGAAGCCTTTAGGCGAGGCAGTTGGGAGTTTTCTGAGGCTTAGCATGGGCCAGCCCTCTCCTTCTATAGCTCCGGTCCTGAAAAGCCACAGCTAGGCCCCATGAGTTATGCCTGTCATCTATGGAGGCAATGGCCCCTTGACAAAAACATCCTTTCCCAAGAGTTCAAAAGTTGACTTGGCTGAGCTCAGTGGGAGCCACCCATTGTCCTGCATCTTCCTTGAAATTTGACCTCAGCTCCTGGGGCTTTCTGTAAGGGAGCGGGGAAATGATTAAGTCAAAACACAGCACCTCTGTGCATGACACTCTTTTAAAAAACGGCTTTAGTGTTGCTCACAAGCTCTGTGCATTGCCCGTGCAGGATCTCCACACAACTGCCAACGCAACAATGCTGGTAAACTGTTTCAAGGGGAGGGCGAAGCAGTGATTCACAGAAGGTGTCCATGGCGTCTCATTCTGTGCCTTCCATTAATTCACGGCATCTCCCACTGCCATCACCCTCTGCTACCTCAAGTATGAAGGGATGACCGCCATCTGTGCTGGATAACTGTACCAGAGGCTTGGGGGGAAAGCTCAGCTGCAGATGCCTGTTGTATTCATGGAGAGTCTCTCGCAGGTCCATGAAGTTGCACAGGTGAAATGATTTAACAGGGAGTAAAAACATCTGCCTTGCTCTCAAGAGTTAGGCTACAAAATGAATTTATTCAAAGTGTTCAGAGAGATGCTTGAAATCAGAAGACATCTGCTAAATACAAAAACAACGAGCTGTTGTGGCATTTTTTTAAAAAAATAATTTTTATTAAATTTCCATTTAACAAACCAATCATATCATATTAGTTATTCCAAATTATATCAATATAAACCATAAACTCCAAATATTCAACCGAATTTTAATTTTTTTTGTTGGGGGTACCCATGCTTCGAGTTCAGTAAGGATCCAATCATCTCATATTTCTGCTGCTTTGATATTCACAAGTCCCATCTTCCCATCTCCTTATTGTTATCGTATTTCTTCTTAATAACCTCTGAGTTGTATCCACAGGCGAGTTGAAGCAAGCATTATTTATGTTTCTGTGTGAACTTTTGTAATGCTCTCCTGTAATTCATCTCACGCTGATCCAAAAGTCCTGTTCAAGCGGCCAGCACCATTTTCGTCAGTTCCGATGAAATACAGTCTAAGCGTCTGCTCCTTAATTTTTCCAGACCAGTTGCACCATAAATCAGTCTTTCCAGGGGAGTTTTTGCCCATTCAGATATACAATCCAAACATGATAGCAGAACAGTGGCTCGCCTCCCCCTTTGACTGTAAATCTCGCAACAAAGCCTGTCTCATAATGGCGGATCCCAAAATAACTGCGCCACAGGAAAGCCTTTCGTTCTTTCCAGGTCTTCCACAAAACAAAGCCTTTGGTTAATATTTTTATTTCCACACAGTTTATTTCCAATCTCACTTGCTGTCAATCATGTGACAGTTCTTCTAGGGGAGGGGTTGTTAGGTAAATCATAATGAAAAAGAAAGAAAGTCCCCCCTCCTTTCCGTTCCGTTTCAACATACCGGCATAGCTGTCATTCTTTGATGTAATCTTCTGTTCATTCCGTCCCACCACTCTCAACTTCTCAGTGGTAGATTTAATTATCAGATAATACATCCTTACTTCACTCGAAACATGTGTATTTACTTTCTCCAATTATTTTATCTTAAGCAATGCAACTAGTTTCGCTCTTGGAAGTAGCGTCCGGGAGATCCAGAACTCGCTCGAGGGCTTTCCGTCCAGTGCCCCCACCCCCTCCTTCTTTCGATCTCGGGGGTGATTTATGGGCAACTGCGGGCAAGGCAGCATCTTCCCATCCCCTGGGAAAATCATGGGAGGCTGATATACTCCCATAATCAGCCCCTAAATTACCTCGTGTGAGCCGGAGAGATGGTATTGTCGGCCATCTTCCAAGGCGCCCTTAGCGGGCCCCCCGGCATCTTAAAGCCTACAATACGATACGATACGATAATAAAATAAAATAAAATGCCAGTTCTGGCACAAAGCACTTTTCTTGTTGCTGTTAGCTTATTATTGCATATAAGCTAAATACAGTGGTTTTTTAAAAAAACTAAGCTGAGTAACATTAACTTTGGAGAATGAAGCCACAGCACTAATGATGGAAGTGCGTGTTCATTCACTCACGTGATTGGCTTGAACTGCATGTCTACAATTTTATCTGCTAAAATGCTTTATACAAAAAAGCCTCCAATGGCCAGATTTACTTTGCCTTGCTGATCTTCCTTGGTGACATGCAACTATTAATGTCTGTGAGATCCAAGCAGAGCAAATTGCCCAAGTGCAAGGGGAGGGTCGAATTTCATTTGGCTGTTAAAATGCTTCTGAATGGGCTCTTCCTATACTACAGAAAGAATTTGCGAACCATATATCCCAGGCAGTAAAACTTCCTGTTTTTAAGAACAAGTAGCTCATGAGTTGCCATTAAGGGTGGGATACAGAACTGATTGTGTGTACGAGTAAACTGGTAGGAGATGCTCTTTAATATATGCCATTGAAAAATGAATGTGAGCTGCCACTACTGTACAGCTGAGGGATTTCAGTTTCTTTCAGCGACTTCTGTGCAGGAGAGCTTCCTGGTGGATCGTGTCCATAGAGGAGGTCCACACAGAGAACACTGGTCAGGCAATGGATTATCACTCGGAGTTTGCACACAAGATGCTTGAAGCAGAAGCTCCATTTGAGCAGCCTCCCCCCCCCCCCGCATGTCAAGATGCATGTCATTATTGGTATAGACATTAAAGTATTCAAAAGTCAGCACCACAATTGCTCTTAAAATGCAAGTAATTGCTGTATTTTAATTTCAGAAGCAGGCCCTGGAACCTTGCTATTATTCTTCCCTGCTCCCAAGCAGCAGTCCTACACTTAAATTTGCTGTCTCGACGCTACTTGCGTCATGTTGTGTGACTTGAGTGTTGTCAATCCAGGACAAAAAACACAAAAGAGAAATTGGACGTACATGGTAGCCGAAATGGGTTTTTCCATTATTGTTATGAGCTGTTTTAAGTTTCACAAATGAAAAATGCTCCAAAGGTCTCAGGCCTAAAGAGTCTCTTCCCTCACTCTTTTTTTCTTCTTTTTCTTTTCTCTCTCTCTCTCCTCCTAGCGCTTGACAGCAGAGGATGTGGTTTGTGTCCAGGTTTTTCAGAAAGTGAAATGATTCTTAGCAGCAAGCGCTAACTTCTGGATGCAACAGGCACTGGAGCCTCAAACTGGGACCAGAATCGAGCCATCAGCTTTTCATTCCTTGTCCTGAACCTTCTCTTTTGGATTAAAATAATACAGATGACCAACAGCTTGGCGTTAATGTGTTTTTGTTAACTGCTGCCTGCGCTGGCTTTTGTTACTGAATAACGTAGATACGTAGGCAGGTTCGTCTTTCCCCTTCCAGTCTGTCCTCGCCATACCTCGGGTTCACATCCTGCACTATGACAGACTTTGCCCTCAGGGAAAAGTCTCTGAGCGTTTTGGCTGACTTGAACTCTGATATTGCCTCTGGCCTGCCAGGCTAGTGGACAGAGCAGGGTTTGTGAGTTATGGCTCGATGATATCAGCTTTTCAACATTGCGATGTATCATCACCTAAACATTGTGATATAGTGATACATCGCGATGGTGAAAAGGAAGGCTCATCGGCCCTGGTCTCACGAGGTGCTGGGGTAAAACTGCCAGAGTTCCCTCTGCCACCAGTGCCTGGCACAGGGAGGAAGCTGGCAGCAACAGGAGAAGGAAGGTAAGGCACAGACAAGCCCTACTTGTGATATATTGCCAGGTGAAGACGCCATCACACTCTGGCCCTCAAACTGGTCCTGGACAATGTATCGATACATCACACAGGCCTACTGTGAGTCTGTGTAGAACAGGGGTCAGCAAACTTTTTCAGCAGGGGACCAGTCCACTGTCCCTCAGACCTTGTGGGGGGCCAGACTATATTTTGGAAAGAAAGAAAAAACGAGTTCCTATGCCCCACAAATAACTCAGAGATGCATTTTAAATAAAAGGACACATTCTACTCATACTGATTCCCAGACCGTCCATGGGCCGGATTTAGAAGGCCCCCAGGCCTTAGTTTGCCTACCCATGGTGTAGGAGCTAGCCTACAGCTACCCAAAGTCCAAGATTGGAGATAGAAAGCAATGCTTTCAAATAGAATTGCTAACCAACTTCGTTATATAAAAAAAAGCAGGAGATAATGTGCAGAAAGCAGTTGCAACAGTGCTATGTTACATGATACTAGTTATCATTATGATGCTAGTTATCATTAACACATTGATAACATCATCATTGCTAGGTAAATACTGTATCATTATTATCAGTATACCTGAAGGAGCGTCTCCACCCCCATCATTCAGCCCAGACACTGAGGTCCAGCTCCGAGTGCCTTCTGCCAGTTCCCTCACTGCGAGAAGGGAGGTTACAGGGAACCAGGCAGAGGGCCTTCTCAGTAGTGGCACCCTCCCTATGGAATGTGCTCCCTTCAGAATTCAAGGAAATAAATAACTATCTGACTTTTAGAAGACATCTGAAGGCAGCCCAGATTAAGGAAGTTTTTAATGTTTGATGTTTTATCATGTTTTTAATATTCTGTTGGGAGCCGACAAGAGTGGCTGGGGAAACCCAGCCAGATGGGTGGGGTATAAATAATAACTTATGGTGATGATTACAAAGTGGGGCTTTTTTTCAGCCAGAGCTCACCAGATCTCAGTTCCGGCACCTTTCAGGTGGACTCCATTGCCATTCTTACAGAACAAGGGAGAAATTCATGGTGAGCTCGAGCACCTCTTTTTCTAGAAAAACAAGCATGGGTACAAAAGCAAAATTCACCTTTGTTGCCTTGGCCCTGCCCACTGCTGGCATTTGGGCCTTGAAATGTTGCCCAGAAGGGAATGTGATTCCCCACCCTGATGTATTGCGGCAGTAAAGAGGTATCTAAACATAGCAGATGTATTCAGATCAAAGAGGAAGCGTTCAAGCACAATCATTTGCTACACTTGTTTCTTTTAAAAAAGAAGAAATTATAGCCTTTGCCAAAACCAAATTTATGATTAATGTCTTCCTGCTAAGGAGCTCAAAACGGCGAAAAAAATGTGCATTTTCCTTCCTCCATCCTCACAGCAACATCCCTATGAAATAGAGCCCTGTCCCCCTCATGGCTGAGCTGGGGGAAAGGCTTGGGAAGGGAGCTGCTATCTATGGCTATAGCTTATGAGCCTAAAACGAGGATGAGGAAGCCTGTGGCCTTCTCTGAGGTTGTTGGACCCCCCCCCAACTGCCATCAGCCTCAACCAGCAGGGGTGGGTGATGGCCAATGCATCCCAAAAGCATCTTAAGGGCCACAGATTCCTGGTTGAGGCAGCTCTGCTCCATGGTTAGTGCAGGAACAGAGAGGCAATGCACACAAGCTCAGGCAAGCAAGTCTAGTTATCTCTGTGCAGGGGAAAACCCAGGAAGTCATGCAGGCAGATTCTGCCTGCCAAAACCACACTCTCTTTGAGGATGTCCTAGCGGCTAGGACCTAGGCAGGGAGTGAGTTGGGGATAGGAAGGGGGGGACTGGAGCTTCAAGTTGCAGCGAGATTCTTTTCAGAATAAGAGTTCTGGCATCCCAGGCGGAAGGGAGGAGCTACTGGTAACAAAGGACAGTGCTCTGCTGGAGAACTTCAGCAAAAGGATGTCTGTAGTTCAGTAATGAGCGGAGCAAGGACATTCTTTCATCTTAAAGTGCAGGGTGGAGATGGTGCAGAGCAAAGTTAAGAATGTGAAGCAGGATGCATCCCCCTGGAGCCCTGTAAAGCATCGCTCAGAGCGGCAGCAGAAATCCTGGTCATGGTTTATGAAAAATGGGGGTTCAGCCGTCTCAGCATGTTTAATTCTTATTCCTGCGAGGAGCAGAATTACTGAGAAAGAGCCAAGGGTGCTTCCAGGTGGGTTGATTGTGGAGCCGATGCTTTTCTTGTGCGTGTTTCACAGCACCCCCACAACTCGATGATCACTGAAATACTTTTAAAAAATATATTTAATTCAGATTCCCCTTTAACATGGAAAATCTTAAAAATAACCCCTGCTGGTGTGGACACTTGTCAGTGCATTTTGGGGCGGAAGTGGAATGTGTGCAGTTTCTTGCATGCATTGTGATGTTTTGATGGGTGGCCTCTTGTCACACTACCATTTCCATTTGCTCCTCACCAGGTGCAATATATGTGTGCCTATTTCCACTGATTGTCCCATGCAGACGGCACATTTGAATTCCAGCAACCCAGCTGGGAGACATTATACTCTTGAGATCTCACCATGCTGTACACGCGAAGGAGTATCTTGAAGGCTGTAATTGTGGTACATATTTTGGGCTTAGAATCATAGGATTTTTTTAGAGTTGGGAGGGATCCTAGGGATCATCTAGTCCAACCCCCCTTCAACACAGGAAGATGCAGCTGCCCCATCCGGGGATCGAACCTGCAACCTTGGTGTTATCAGCACCATGCTCTAACCAACTGAGCCATCTGGGCTTAAAAAGAAAATAGCTTTTAATACAGAGGTTTTGCACAGGACCTCTTTATCCAAGTCTTATGCAAGTTAGGCGAATGCCGCTCTTGCACAATACCTCGGTATATTCTTGTTTATTATTTAATGAAAATTGATATTGCAGCCCTTTCCTCCAAATAAACACAAGACTCCATTGTGCACGCTGCGAAATATGATCGTTAAGGATGGCAACTTTTCTCTTCTGCACTTCCTGGCTTGATTTTCTTTGAAAGTGCAGGTTCACAGGTACAGAAATACCTGTGTGCGTGCCCAGAACAGAACAAGGCAGCTGATGGCAAAGGAGGAGTGAGTGGGAGAGGTGCAACTCCACCCCCGTACATACCATTACGCTCTGCTCACCGGCTTGGGCGGCAAAGCAGAAAAGTAACAGTGAAAATCCGTGGCTGAAACCAAGAAGGTGGGGAAAGCTAATGGGCCAAAAGTATGCACAGGAAAACCAGATCCTTGTGAGCTAGTTGGGATATAAGGCTCCTGCCTGCCTGGAAGCAGGTCAAGTTCTTGCAAATTTCCTTTCCTGGGCTGCCTTTCCCAGCTATAGGTGTGCACAATGATCTGCATGCAGATTGCGCTGGTGATGAATGAGAATGTACTGGGCTTCATTCCAGATCTGCACTCCTTTTTCAACTTCTAAGTGCTAAAGTTGGCCCTTTGCAAAAGAGGTACTAACTCTACCATGGTTTCTCTGAATAGCTGCTTGGGACATGCTAGCCATCCCATCCAAACTCCTGCAGTTCTGCCTCCCCCTTTCCCCCAATTTTAATCTAAATGTTCAATCACACCGTTTGCCAAATAAAACCAGCCGGTCCCCTGCCTGCATTCTTCCTTTCTCCATCCCGTAAGTCCCACATACCCCTCCTACCTTTCAGAAGCATTATAAACTTGATAGTATCCTGGGCGAGGGCATAGATATTGAACTGTCAGCAACCACATTGAGTGTTAATAACTTTATCCATGAAACTCTAAAATTCAGCCTAAGGCAAATGAACACTCAGAGTGCAGTGCCTGGTGCAGGGACAAAGAGGAAGAAAATTAAGCGTTGTGGTTTCCTAAGGGTGTGGAGTGGCATTGGGCAGTAGAGCAACATTCTGGCTTTCAGGGCTCGACCCTTATTTTGATCGTATGGTATTGTGTAACAATGAATTTCCTTGGGAACTGGAGCTTTCTCGTTCTATGGCTGTGCCTTGCGAAAAATCTGATCTTACCTGCTGAATTGGATCTGATAAGATTCATGGAAAACCCACAGAGAGAAAACCCACAGAGAGATTTTGCTTAGCCAAGCTTCAGTTCAGTGGGTAAGGTTTTCATAAGGCAGAGCTGCAGAGCAACAGGAAAAGCTCTCAGACCTGGGGGAACTAATTGGTACACAATACAAGCAAAATACAGGTCAAGCGAAAGTGTGGATTGAGCCAGATTGTGCATTTGCCGGGCTTCTTCAAGAGCACAGAAAAAATAGGATAACATGGTCATCCTGAGTAAACAATTCAGCTTTTGGAGAATCTCCATTTTGATTTTTAGGATGCTTCCAACTTGTCTCTATATTGTGGGAGAGATGCAAGCACATACCAGAACTTTAGGTCCGTGCAATTAAAGTGGATTAAAGTGCTCTGTCACCCTAGCACAACAAATCCACTTAAAAATATCTACAGACTCTTTGCAGGTCGTCTGAAGGGGACCTAAGTCTGATTCTTTTTTAAAGTGGATTTGTTGTGCTAGGGCGACAGAGTGCTTTAATCCACTTTAATTTCTGGTAGGAGCTGGAATCCCCCCTGCAAAAGAGTGACAATCTGGAGGCGGTCTTATTAATTATGGCTTTAGTAAGGCAGGATTAGTTCCTCCCCACCCCAGTCCCCTCTAGCAACAGGAACAGTACAAAATCCCGGGGCTGCCCCCAGATTGTCATTATTTCGTGGAATGGATTCAAGCACATACTGGAAATATAGAGTTGCTCAGTTAAAGTGGATTAAAGCACTTTAAAGTGGATCAAAGCAACAATTCTACTCTTTAAAAAAGGACCACTGACTTTTTGCAGTTAGGAAAGTAACAGTGAAATGTGCATGCAAGTGATGAGCAAATGATACACAGGAAGATGTCTATACACCTGGCAAGAAAATCAAGCTAGATGCTCATTGTCATATAATTTCCGACAAACAAATCTGATTGCATGCCGAATAAAGACCAGAGACCATGTAATCATCATGCAAACTTTGAGCAAAGAAATCAGGATGGATATGCAATAAAGAGGAACTGGAGGAACCGTTAATGAGGAAGTTGCTAGATTTAATGTCTGTGGAGATCTGCTGGAAAGTGTGTGGCAATTCTTGGTGAACCCTCAGAAGTCAGAGGAAGGTGATTTGTGATGGGTGGGTGGGGGCTTTGTATCCAAATTTGGATACAATAAAGGAACTGGAGGCCCCTCGACTGTCCTCGGGTCCAATATTGGACCACTTCGACTGGATATCCCCAGCCGATGTGGACAGACTCCTCCGAGCTGGAAAGCCCACCACCTGTCCTCTCGACCCGTGCCCGTCTTGGCTGATTAGAGCGTGTCCACACGAGGTGCGGGCCCTCCTGGGGGATATCATCAATTTGTCCCTTGGCACGGGGACATTCCCAGGGGAACTGAAGGAGGCAGTGGTGCACCCGCTCTTAAAGAAAACATCATTAGATCATTAGATCCTTTAGATCATTAGATCCTTTAGATCCTTTAGATCTATCCAATTACCGCCCGGTTTCGAATCTTCCGTTCCTGGGTAAGGTGATTGAGAGAGCGGTTGCTGAACAGCTTGGTGGGTTTCTGGATGAAACATCGGCTCTGGATCCATTCCAGTCCGGCTTCCGCGCTGGTCATGGGACCGAGACGGCTCTGGTTGCCCTAACAGATGATCTTCGTAGACAGCTGGATCGAGGCGGGTCGGGGCTGCTGATTCTTCTAGATCTGTCAGCAGCTTTCGACATGGTCGATCACGAACTCCTGGACCACCGCCTTGCCGACGTGGGGATCCAGGGCACAGTCCTTCAATGGCTGCGCTCGTTTCTCTCTGGTCGGGGACAGAGGGTGGCGCTTGGGGGGGAATTGTCATCGCGCCACTCCTTGGTGTGTGGAGTACCTCAGGGTGCGATACTCTCCCCGATGCTTTTCAACATCTTTATGCGCCCCCTCGCCCAGCTTGTTCGGAGTTTTGGGCTGGGTTGCCATCAGTATGCCGATGACACCCAACTCTATCTGTTGATGGATGGCTATCCTGACTCGGCCCCAGACACACTGACCAGATGTTTGGAAGCTGTGGCTGGATGGTTACGTGGGAGGCGGTTGAAGCTAAATCCTTCGAAGACAGAGGTCCTGTGGCTGGGACGGGGTGATATGGGATGGGGGGGCAACTCCCATCTCTTGCGGGGGCGCAATTAGTGCCAGCACCGTCCGTTAAGAGTTTGGGTGTAATCTTCGACACCTCCGTTTCCATGGAGGCGCAGATTGCAGCTATAACAAAGGCGGCATTTTTCCATCTCTGCCAAGCTAAGCAGTTGGCTCCTTACCTCTCTCGCCCTGACCTAGCCACTGTGATCCACACGACAGTCACCTCCAGACTGGATTATTGTAACTCGCTCTACGTGGGGCTGCCCTTGAGACTGACCCAGAAACTCCAGCGGGTGCAGAATGCTGCAGCGAGACTCCTTACGGGGTCTTCGCTGCGAGATCACATTCACCCGGTGCTATACCAGCTGCACTGGCTCCCGGTGAAGTACAGGATCAGGTTTAAGGTGCTGGTTTTAACCTTTAAAGCCCTATACGGCCTAGGACCCTCGTACCTACGGGACCGCCTCTCCTGGTATGCCCCACAGAGAAACTTACGGTCTTCAAATAAAAACATCTTGAAGGTCCCAGGCCACAGAGAAGTTAGGCTGGCCTCAACTAGAGCCAGGGCTTTTTCGGCCGTGGCTCCGATCTGGTGGAACACTCTGTCACAAGAGACCAGGGCCCTGCGGGACTTGACATCTTTCCGCAGGGCCTGCAAGACAGAGCTGTTCCACCAGGCCTTTGGCCAGGGCACAGCCTGACTCCCTCCCTCGGCAATCTTCGCGGAGCTCTGGCCCAATGGTTGCCAGTGGCTTGAATTAATTAATTTTATAATGAATGATTTTAGAGTGTTGTTTATGCTGTACTTTTGTACTGTTTTATTGTTGTTAGCCGCCCTGAGCCCGGCTTCGGCTGGGGAGGGCGGGATATAAATAAAATTTCTTCTTCTTCTTCTTCTTCTTCTTCTTCTTCTTCTTCTTCTTCTTCTTCTTCTTCTTCTTCTGTAACTCCTTGCCTTCCTCCCCTTGACTAACAAAACAGTAAACTTTGCAAAATAAAATAAATTATGCAAAAGTACCCATTTTATAATTTAAATTGTCATGTTTATGCACCCTGAGCATCTGCTTTGCATGCAGAATACCCCAGATCAATCGCTGGCACCTCTGGGTAGGGTAGGGACAATCCACTGTCTGAAATCCTACACTGCCGATCAGTGTAGACTGCACCGAACCACATGGGCCACTGGTCTGGCTCAGTATAAGGAAGCTTCCTCTGAAGAGACACAGCCAACTATAATCAAGGCAGATGCACAGCAGATATTTAAAGCGCATCCAAAGCACATGATGACCCCCCAGAGAATACAGGGAACTATGGTTTTCCCCTACAATACATAGTACCCTTAAAAAACTACAGTTCCCAGGATTCTTTGGGGGTAGTCATGTGCTTTTGATGTATGTCTGGTGTGCTTTAAATGTATGGTGATGTGCTCTCACTCTTGCTTGGATGAGCCAGCAGCCTATCTCAGTATAAGACAGCTTTCATACATCTCATATGTGAGCAGTGCACTGGGGATGTGGGTGGTGCTGTAGTCGAAACTACTGAGGCTCTTGGGCTTGCTGATCGGAAGGTCGGCGGTTCGAATCCCTGTAACAGAGTGAGCTCCCGTTGCTCTGTCCCAGCTCCTGCCAACCTAGCAGTTCGAAAGCACGCCAGTGCAAGTAGATAAATGGGTACAGCTGTGGCGGGAAGGTAACTAGCACTCTGGTTTCCGTCATGGTGTTCTGTTGCACCAGAAGCGGTTTAGTCATGTTGGCCACATGACCCGGAAAGCTGTCTGCAGACAAACGCCGGCTCCCTCAGCCTGAAAGTGAGATGAGAGCCGCAACCCCATAGTCGCCTTTGACCGGACTTAACTGTCCAGAGGTCCTTTACCTTTTTTACCTAAAGACTGGCAAACTCCATGTTGACATGTCCCAGGGAGGTTACTTGTATTTCTGTTCTTCCAAGCTCCCCATTTCCCCAAGCAGCGAGACATTTCAGGGGAGGACTCCCCATGCTTTGATTTTCTTTGGAGGTGAAGGCACTGGAGATGTTTTTTTTGAAAGTGTTACTTGAGGCTGTCCGCTTCTGCATCTGATGTGGGTTGGAGCTTTGCAAGGCTCACAACCTTTGCAGTTAAGGCACAACTGAACTGTTTGTGCAACAGTTTTATTCCTCTGGAATCTGATTGTGAAAGCTTCTGTCCATCACTTCACCTCTGTGGCGACAGCAGAGGGCAGCAGAACACAGCAGAAAGGAAAACACCTCTCTTGCCCAACTGATTTGGAAACCAGTTATCTCCCCCTTCCCTCCCTCTCAGCAAGGTCTGCCCCAACTTCCCCGAATCTCGGCTTAACAGGGTTAAGTGTTTGTTGAAATCTGTTTGCCGCTCCCAAGCACAGACCACCAGAACGGGAGGGAGGAAGAGAGTTCACTCAAGTCTGCAAGCATGTGAGTGTTGACTGTGGGGCGAAGGGAGAGGGTGGTATGCGTAACGGTAGCAAAAGGATTCGCTTTACTCTGGCAAAGCCTGGGGCCAAATCTAATATCCAAAGACTATATTACAGTGTCTCCATTATCAAATGACGCTGGACAAAGCATGGTGTCTGGGGCGGCTGCCAGATGGGTGTTTGTTGTGGGATGGGTGCTCTTTGTGCATGCAGATTTTTTCGCAGTGTGCACCCGACTTCATTGGCATCAAAATGCCAGCCTATATTTTGTCCCCATTTACTCTTTCTGGGGAAATTTCAATAAGGTTTGAAACAACAACAACAACAACAAGGTATTGCCAACACCCCCTTTGCAATACAGTGGTACCTCGGGTTAAGAGCTTAATTCGTTCTGGAGGTCTGTTCTTAACCTGAAACTGTTCTTAACCTGAAGCACCACTTTGGCTAATGGGGCCTCCCACTACCGCAATGCCGCCACTGCGCGATTTCTGTTCTCATCCTGAAGCAAAGTTCTTAACCCGAGGTACTATTTCTGGGTTAGCGGAGTCTGTAACCTGAAGCGTCTGTAACCAGAGGTACCACTGTATCTGCATGGCCCATTTGCAGTATTAACCTCAACTGGAAACCCCCTGGGAAGTGACCTATAGAGCGGCTTTAAAGGAGTGCAACTTATAGTCTAAAGATGTCTCTAACCTGGCATGTTCTCAGTCTGCTCTAGTAGCCCCCTGAAGAGGCTGGCACCACCATTTAGATGCTTCTCTTATCTCAACAGGGTGCTTCTTCCAAGACACTTTGTAGCCACAACCACACTAGTCAAAGCAGGGGTTGTATAGACCCAAAGCCTTTAGTTCTTGCGAATGGCTGATGATTTCCCTCCCAGCCCCTTCTCCAGAAAGATTGTGGCCTTCAGGTCTAAGGAGCTGTGCACAGAACATACTCAGAGAAATAGCAAAAACAAAAGCTGCTGCCTTGAGAGTAGTGGAAGCAAAACTAAGAACTGCACAAGAGGATTGTGGCTTCTCGCTAGGCCTCAGTGCTGCCTGCAACTCTTCCTCACTGGTTCCAGGGTCTCTGAACAGATGTGCATAGCCATCAAGGACCACCGAGTGCATGATGCTCGCTTGCTGTCATGCCAGTTCTGAGGGATCCAGGTCTTTAACGCTCCAGTCAGCGTGGCTAATGGCCGGGGTTGATGGGACCTGGAAACCAACAACATCTGCATGGCCAAAGACTAGCCACCTCACATTTAATGGGTGCTGATTTACGCCTTTTCTAGAAAAAAAATTAGGACCCTTTTTAGTGCAGTTCCCAGCACATCCATAATTGTGCCCAAGGATGCAAGACCCAGTTCCACATCTAGCCCACATAACGAGTTGTTTTATAGTGTGACTATGCAATCATCACTACTGCACAAGTGCAGAACTGAGTGCAGAATTCACCAGTCTGCTAAATATAAGCTTCTATTTTTTTCCTTTTTTAAAAAGCAAATTTTTAGCCCTTAAGGCTACACATGTAAGATTAAAATTACACAGGGAATCCCTGGTGTAACATCTAAATCACGAATAGTATCTAAGCCAGATATTTAATATGACTTAAGATCACAATCTAGCTCCTTTGCCCATCCAGTGACTATCAGAAACAGATGCAAAAACATTTCAACGTAAGCAGATTTTTCATAGTGCTGAATGTGAGGGTCTTTAGCACCAAGTTCCTTTTCCTTTTGGTCTTCATTCTCAAATGTGTGTGTTGTGTTTACAGGTTTCCCCGACTCCTCCAACTCCTCCTTCTGCAGGGAGCTTTCATCTTCGGAGTTGTCAGTTCCATGCCAGCCACAAGGAAGCTCTTTGGGGAGGTCAGGTCCCCCAATTACCCCAAGCCGTACCCAAACAACAATGAAAGTACCTGGGACATTTCTGTGCCAAAGGGCTTCAGAGTGAAGCTGAATTTCTGGCAGTTCGATCTGGAGCCATCTGAGGACTGCACTTATGACTACGTCAAGGTGTGTGTGTGGACAGAGCCTGGGATGCAGAGGGGGTGGTAGAGGAATTGCTGCATTTCCAAGTGGCTGAATCTCCATTTTGCATAGCTTGGCCTCACAAGTCTCTGCTCTGTTATTATGTTTCCCTCTCTACCCAGGGTCTATGGGGTATTAGGGGTGGGGCAGTACCTCACCACACGGGTGGCGCTGTGGTCTAAACCACAGAGCCTAGGGCTTGCCGATCAGAAGGTCGGCGGTTCGAATCCCTGTGACGGGGTGAGCTCCTATTGCTCAGTCCCAGCTTCTGCCCACCTAGCAATTTGAAAGCACGTCAAAGTGCAAGTAGATAAATAGGTACCATTCCGGTGGGAAGGTAAACGGCGTTTCCGTGTGCTGCTCTGGTTCGCCAGAAGCGGTTTAGTCATGCTGGCCACATGACCCGGAAGCTGTACGCCGGCTCCCTTGGCCAATAAAGCGAGATAAGTGCTGCAACCTCAGAGTTGTTCACGACTGGACCTAATGGTCAGGGGTCCCTTTACTTTTACCTCTAGTACCTCTGCTGGGGGACATGATGCACTCCTTCTGGGGCGGTTTGTCCACCTTTGGTCCCCACCCTGCACTCAGCTCTCACCTCCTAGAAGCTGCCAGCATGTGACAGCAGCCACACCCCAGGAATGGCTAAACCAGGTGAGGGTAGCTTAAGGTTACCAGATGCCCCTGTTTCCTGGGGACAGTCCCCAGATTTACAAATCAGTCCCCATACAAAATCCTATCATTCCGACTGAAGTTGAAAAGTGTCCCCGGATTCATTGAAAAAAATCTGGTAACCTTAGGGTAGCTGGTGAGTTAGGGACTTCCCCTGCATGCAAAGACAGGTTCTGGTGGATTGAACAGATGAGAGCAATAGTGAGTCCATCGCTCAAGAAGGCGGTTTCTGCATGTACTGAGGAGGGAAGTGAGGGGCAGATGGAGCTCATCCACCTGGGAAGATGGCTCATCTAGGAGAAAGAAAGCTCTGATCCTAAACCCCTGCTGCCTAGCAGGACATCTTCAGGAGAAGAAAAGGCTAAGGAGTAAACCTGTCAGGAATGAGCCAGCTCCCAGAGAAGATTTGCAGCCAACTGCAGAAAGCAGCCAGGAACAGAGAGGCTTAGATGTTAGTCAGACAGGAGAGAGCCAGCAGCTGCAGACTTCGGCTCTTCCTGACCTTGACGAACCGGCTGTTAAGACAGTAGCTGAGAGCAGGCGGGAACACAGCCAAAGCTCCCAGGAAGAGGTTGAAGCTGATCCACTCAGCCCTAAGAGTCTGTGAATGGGAGGGCTGTTAGATAGGAAGCAAAACAAGAGACGTAAGAGTCAGAAGTTCAATTTCTTCTGTCGCAGCCGGAAGCAGTCTTCAGAAGGGTCATCTTGAGTAATGATGCTGGAGGCTTTGTCAGAGCTGCCAGAGCTATCTGTTTGCTTTTGCAATAAATCCCCCTTTACCTATGCCTACTGTGTTATCAAGCTGGGAACCTGTACTCCTGACAAAGCCCTGCACAAATCCAAAGTGGATGGCACCTTGTAAGCCTCCTTCCAGCAACTCCTGTAGCCAAACTGGTGCCAAATGTATTGCTCTGCTTTCCTTTGGACCACATCAGCGAGACCAAGAGGGGGGTCTTGTTGTCTGGGCAGCCCAGGACCTCCATCGACACTGCCCAGACTTGCACCCAGGAGAGGTCACTTTGGTGTTGCTCAAGCAACAGTTTGACTTCACCCATGGAGGTGCACTCCATTGTCTCTCGAGACAGACGGATGTCAACAACCTGCCTTCCAAGGGCCTTTCCCTCTTTTTCAAACCGCAGGCCAACATATAGCAGCAGCACTGGTTTTTTTTAACCCACCCCCCAGTTTCAAAAACAATTCACCACAACATGGCGTCCTCCTCAAAGAGACACCACAGCTTAAGAAATGGAAGCCGGGAATCCACTGGGCTTGGGTGCATGCAGACCTAGGGATGAGGTTCTTTGGATCTTGGTCAATTAAGACCACTGTTTCTAATACTTTCTCCTCCCCTTACTGGGTTCTGGCAGATCACAGCCAACAAGAAAGACTTAGGCCGGTTCTGCGGCCAGCAAGACTCAACCACCGGCAACCACCCTAGAGGCAAAGAGATTTTGTCGGCTGGGAACCGAATGCGGCTGCTGTTCCACTCCGACTTCTCCAATGAAGAAAATGGCACCAACGTCTTCTACAAGGGCTTCCAGGCTTATTATCAAGCAGTAGGTGAGCACAGAGCCTCCATTCTCTGCAGAAGGGGACAGGCGGGGCTGATGCAAATGATGGCAGTCTGACTACAGCCGTACCTCAGAAGTCGAACGCCTTTCGACTCGGAATGTTTGGGTTCCCGAACGCCGCAAACCCGGAGGTGAGTGTTGCGGTTTGCGAATGTTCTTTGGAACCCGAACGTCCGGTGCGGGTTCTGCAGCTTCCGACTGGTTGCAGGAGCTTCCTGCAGCCAATCGGAAGCCTCACCTTGGTTTCCAAACATTTTGGAAGTTGAAAGGACTTCAGTTTGACTTCCAAGGAATGACTGTACAGGCAGAGGCCTGACTGGGGAGTTATGGACAAAGCTTACTGCTGTGAGTAGGGAGGGGTCTCTCAGTATAAAGTCGCCCCCCTGTGTCAGGTGTGTTCAGACTACTATCCATTGTGCTCGCACTGCTAGTTTTCAAAGCTGCATGCACACAATAGTAGGCACAATTCATACTGATCCTGTAGTTTCTTGACAAACACTGCTGTTTGGTGTGGGGGTTTTTTTTCAAACCAGCTTCAGTCTGACTAGAATTGTTTTAAAATTTTAATTTATGATTTTCAATTTTATACATTTCAATAATTTTACTATCATTTTAACATTTCGAAACTTGACTTCCTTCCCCCTCTTTCTCCAGTTCCTTAAATTTATTTTTAAATATTTTATGCATATTCCAAATTAACTTAATCATTTGTTCATCAACTTTAAATGTATACTCTTATAAAACTGCAGGTTATTACAATAATCTCGCCAATGTTCTTCTCTGTTTACAGTTTGTTTGTAGATATTCAATAAACCATTTCCATTCTTTTATTAAAAGTTTGTTACCTTGATTTCTTTTTTTTCTGGTAAGTTTTGCCATTTCTGCGTATTCCATTAGTTTTTGTATCCATTCTTCTTTCATCAGGACTTCTTCTTCTTTCCATTTTTGGGCAAATAACATTCTTGCCGCTGTAGTCGCATACATAAATAAATTTCTATACCCTTTGAGTAGTTCTGTCCCTATAATTCCCCAAAGGAAAGCTTCTGGGTTTGTTTTTTTTACAAATGTTATTTTAAACTTCTTTTTTCAATTCATTATATATCAATTCCCAGTAAGCTTTAACCTTACTAAAGGTTAAAGGTCAGTCTGACTAGAATCACAGAGCATAGAATCACAGAAGGAGCGTCTCCACCTCCATCATTCTGCCCAGACACTGAGGTCCAGCGCCGAGGGCCTTCTGGCGGTTCCCTCCCTGCGAAAAGCCAAGCTACAGGGAACCAGGCAGAGGGCCTTCTCGGTGGTGGCACCCGCCCTTTGGAACACCCTCCCAGCACATGGGAAGCTTTTAATGTTTAATAGACTATTGCATTTTAGTGTTCTGCTGGTAGCCGCCCAGAGTGGCTGGGGAAACCCATCCAGATGGGCGGGGTATAAATAAATTATTATTATTATTATTATTATTATTATTATTATTGGGACTCCGAGGGTCATCAAGTCCAACCCCCTGCAAACCTTTAAGCCAAATTAGTGTATAAACCTTTTCTAACTCTCGTTGTGGGATATCCCCAGACTTGGATGAGTGCGCCCTTGAAAACGACGTCGAAGATGGCGCACCTCGGTGCCAGCACTTCTGCCACAACTACATAGGGGGCTACTTCTGCTCTTGTCAGCCCGGCTACCGTCTCCAGAGCGACCAACATTCCTGTAAAGGTAAGAGGACGAGCCAGGCTGTATGCACACTATACCTCTGAAACACATTTGAAGCACATTTCCCGCTGCAAAGGATTCTAGGCACTGTCGCTGAGGCCTCACAGTGTCACACTTCCCAGCAACCTTTAACCGACAGCGCCCAAAATTCTTTGAGGGAAACAGTGTGCTTCGAATGCACGCTGTAAAGTTATAGCGTGTATATTGCAGAAAGTTAATGGGTGGGACTACGGAGGACTGCTGCATTATAGTGCTTATGGAAAGCTGTGGTCCAAGATGTCACCCGTCCGAGACTAATCACATAAAAACAGAAGAAAAGGTTAAACATTAAAAACTTGCCTGTATTGGGAATGTTTTATTACGTGTTTATATGTGCTGGAAACTGCCCAGAGTGGCTGGGGAAACCCAGCAAAATGGGCGGGGCATTATTATTATTACTATTATTATTATTATTATTATTATTATTATTATTATTAATTTCTTAAGTAAGCCACTCTCTCTTGGCCTCAGTCTCACACCTGCAATGTATAGAAAATGGTAGTGGTTTTTGCTACAGTGTGGATGTAAAGACTACTGTAATCATAGCATGTGAAGTATTATGAACATGGCAAATGCTGTACAAATGCTCGGTATTCCTGTTTTAGCCATGTGCTCCATACTGAAGATAAAACTGAGTATGGATTAGCTACCTTCATAATCCCATTTGATCTGTTGCATTCACAGTATGGGTCATCGGAGCGAAAAAAGGGGAGCTTTTCCTGCACTTTCAATCCGTGTTGATATAGGTGAGGTCTATAATCTATGTTAAGGGACACGGGTGGCGCTGTGGGTTAAACCACAGAGCCTCTTGGGCTTGTCGATAAGAAGGTCGGCGGCTCGAATCCCCGCAATGGGGTGAGCTCCCATTGCTCGGTCCCTGCTCCTGCCAACCTAGCAGTTCGAAAGCACATCAAGGTGCAAGTAGATAAATAGGTACCGCTCCGGCGGGAAGGTAAACGGCATTTCCATGCGCTGCTCTGGTTCGCCAGAAGCGGCTTAGTCTGTGTTAGAAATTGTGGCTACAGAACAGGGACCAATCATTCTTCCAGTTGAATAGTGTGGTGAAAGAGAGAAAAATGGACCACCTACAAGGAAAGGATGCTCTGTGGGTCCCTGGCTTTCAGCAAACCTTATTCTGCTTCCTTGCCCTGCAGTGAATTGCAGCAACGAACTGTTCACGGAGCAATCTGGGTACTTGTCAAGCCCTGGTTACCCTCAACCCTACCCAGCTGATTTGCGCTGTAACTACAGCATACGAGTGGAGGCAGGCCTGATCATCACACTCAAATTCCTGGAGCCTTTCGAAATTGATGATCACCAGCAAGTCCACTGTCCTTATGACCAGCTCAAGGTATTGTAGACCACTGTACCCCTCACTCAGCCCTGCTTGCTCCAAATGGATCATAAATGAGGAAAGAGGGATGCTCCAAAATGCACAAATATCTGCAATCTATCTTTGAAGTATCTAGTTCTCAGCATGTGGAATAAAGAAGTCCTGCTCTTTTCTTGAAAGCCGTTTTTTGAATAGATCGAGAATGTTGTTCTGTATGTTCATTGCCACCTTCCCTGCAGGCTGAACTTCTTTTGGAAGGAGAAATCATTAGAGTGTTTTTGAAATAGCTAATATATTCGAAAATACCATCGTTTAGCCTGGACACTGAGCTCCAGCTCCGAGGGCCTTCTGGTGGTCCCCTCACTGCGAGAAGTGAAGCTATCGGGAACCAGGCAGAGGGCCTTCTCGGTAGTGGCACCTGCCCTGTGGAATGCCCTCCCATCAGCTGTCAAAGGAATAAGCAACTACCGGTATCTGACGTTTAGAAGACATCTGAAGGCAGCCCTCTTTAGGGAAGTTTTTTATGTTTGATGTTTTATCACATTATTATTATTATTATTATTATTATTATTATTATTATTATTCTGTTGGGAGCCAGCCAGATGGGCAGGGTACAAATAAATTATTATTATTAGTAGTAGTAAGTGTAGTGCTGAATAGCGTTCACACTCGTACGGCCAGCAAATCCTTTGCTCCCAAACTCTGTGCTTCTCCCCAGATCCAAGTTGGTGGGGAAGAGGTTGGCGAATTCTGTGGCACAACGTCTCCAGGAAGCATCGAAACCAATGGCTCTTCGGTGGACGTCCTTTTCCACACGGATGATTCAGGATACAGCCGTGGGTGGAAGATCCGGTACAGCACAGAAAGTAAAGTATCCCCATCCAGCAGACGGAGATAAATGGTACTCAGCCATCTGCCACCGCTTCCTTCATTCCTCTCTTATCTCCAACAGGAGTCCCTTGCCCACAGCCTGTTCCAAATGATGAGTTCACCATCATTCAAGACCTACAGCCATTGTATCAATACCAGGACTACTTCATTGCCAGCTGCAGGACTGGATATCGGCTGATGGAGGTGGGACTCATTTATCTAGGGCTGCAGACACATTGAAGCACATTTGAAGCACATTTGCCCCTCAAAGAATTATCGGCACCCCAGTTTGCCCCTCATAGAGTTACAATTCCCAGCCAGCCTTAATAAACAGCAGCGCCCAGAACTTTTTGAGCAGGGCAAGGAAGAGACTCCACTTCTGACACCAGTGTTGCAAGCCACACCAATCTCTGCCTAGCAGTGCACAAGATTTCAGGGGGTCTTGGCTCTCCATTGGTGTCTGTGTTCTTATGGGGAAATTAGGCACAATGGCAGCGCAGGATTAAACCCTGTAGAGACCCCTAGGCAGTCAAAATCTCAGGAGCCCATTTGCAAATTATTTCCTAATAGGTTTTTTTATTTTACCAACCAACAATTTTAATAAGCTAAATCAATATTATTTTGATCCATTGTTGCGAAGGCCCTAAAAGGCCTCCTCTGTGTATTTGGCAATCCGGCACTGCAAAAATGGAGGCTAGTGTCTTAATAATATGTGGCTTATTATACACTTATATACAACCTTTAGTCTTCAGTCATAGAAACACGGAACTGCAGTTGGAAGAGACCAGCTAGTCCAATCCCCTGCAATGAAGGGGCGCACAGCAGGAGCACCCCTAAAGGGGCCAGCTTATCTTTACGGCAGCACGATCAGGCTCCTTTATTGTTCTGCAACCTGTCTTGGTCTCCAGGGCACATACAAGCATGATTCCTTGTGTGACTTCATCAACACGTAGGATTAAAGGCTGGTACACACTTTGGACCTTTGCCCAGGTTAAATTAACTCATCGCATGCTAATTGCTGATGCTCAGGAGTAGGTTTACACACATGAATCTCAATTACATTAGCATAAACACTTATTAAACACCTCAAAACCTTTAGAGAAGGAAAGAATGTGCTTTGGATGTGTTTTAAAGGTATAATGTGTACATTGAGTGTTGTATTATTTTATTGTTGTTAGCAGCCCTGAGCCCGGCTTCGGCTGGGGAGGGCAGGATATAAATACAAATTTATTATTATTATTATTATTATTATTATTATTATTATTATTCTCCATTACTTTATCTCTCTGCCTTCTAAGCCTTTCCCTCCTCTGATGACCTCATGATCCCTCAGGCTGTGTGTGTGTGTGTGTGTGTGTGTATTCCTCCATTCCTAAACGCTTCTCTTCCCTTTTACATCTCCCAGTTTTTATCCTAGGAACAGTTTAAGGAATATGTCAGGGCAAGAGAAACATCTGATTCAACAAATATTTATCTCCCAAAGGCATCTGCGCTTGTGGATCTGATTAAGGCAGAAAGAGATGTGACGATTGCATAATTTCTGGCCAGCGTCATGAATAAGTGGGGAAATCGAAAGCAGAGCAGAACAAACAAGCAGGCCTGAAATTGATCCAGTGTTCAGCCCCAGAATTTGTTTTGGTAGTTATGACTCAGCTCTGCCAGGATCTAAAACCGCATTTCCCCAACCTGGTGCCCTCCAGATATTTTGGTCTCAAAGCAGAGATGATGGGAGATGTTGGGAAAGGCTGGTTTAAAGTAGCAATGGTGAGTTCCTTTAAGCATGTCCAAGGGGATTTCCCTAAACATGCTAAGCTTCCAGCGCCCTCCACACTTGATATCTAGGGTAGCAGGGTATTCAAGGCAGAGGGTGTGGATTCTGTGCAGCGTTGAGCATCAGAATATATATATTGTCAGGGAACTGCCATCGGCTCAGGGGCGAGAGGTTAAAAGCCGGATGGATTACAGAGAGCCCCCAAAGATCGTGGGAAGCAGGCGATGCGGTGCCAGGACACCTTGCCTGAGCAAAGTGGGGAGCAGAGAGGTCCTCCGTTACCCACGCCCTCCCTGCGCAGTAGGCTTCCGCGCCGAGAGGGGAGGCGCAGATTGGGCTCCAAGAAACTACTCTGCTGGGGAAGGTTTAAGCGCCGCCCACTCACAGATTCTGCCGGTGAATGAGCAAGACACGGGAGAGTGGCACACCGCACAGAGAAAGTTTATTTTGGCATCAAAAGCAAGGCTTCACAGCCGAGCAGGGAGGCATTTGCCTACTTGCTCTCGAGCAACTCCTTGGTACCTTAACACACACACACACACACACACACACACACACATATCCACAATGAAAATAAGAAAAACTGCCACCCAGTGATCCTGAATCTGAGGTAGAATTTTGAACAAATTAACAGATTTTTAAAACAGTATTTGCTATCTTAAGATATAGGTCTTCCACCCACTGGCCAGGATCCAACAGGTGGGTCATGAAGCCATCCCAGGTGGGGTGCAGCAAAGCTGTTCTTGTCATTTTGGACTCCAGCTAAGGTTGACCAAACCAAAGGAGCACTATATGTAGGCGCCTGAGCTAGAACACATTGCTCATTTTATCAATTTTCATGAGTGCTGCAAAGTGTCAGGAGAAAGGCAAAACAAAACAAAACAAAATAAGAAAGATAATTCTTGTCAACTGTAGCTTGTCAGCTTGCCTTCCTGGAGCTATGCCTGATGTGAGGGAGCTCTCTATGGCACAGGGACACTCTGTTCACCTCCTAGGCTGTTTTTATGCCTTCCCAGACTTCTCTGAAAATGGAGGTGTGCCGGGGGCTAGAACGCTGAAAAGTCCACTGTGGTTGTGTGGCGGTTACAAGTCTTTTCTATTAAAAACAAAACAAAAAACACTGCTTTTCAATAGCTTCTCAACCTTTTGACTAACAAGTTTACAAATAATTGGTTTTTGTTTAGTAGTAATGCTACAAGAAGTTTGGGGACAGGAGAACAGCTACCTGAGACCAGTGTTAGAAATTCAGATATATAAGCTAGGCACCAAATGGCTCCTTAATCCAAAACTGAACGTATAGTTGCCACTCTTATGTTTCAAATGATGGACTGACTGTGATTGATTCATCTGGTTAGTTCAGATGGCAACCTTGAGCCAGGTTAAGAGCTTTGAGAATGTAAAGAAGAAAAGCCACTTGAATGTCCAGGGACTGTCCACATATCTATTGGCCTAGTCCAACTGCTTTTTCTTAATGGTGACACGGACCATTCATAAATGCAGGGATAGCCTTCCCAACTGTGAGCAGGGCGGTGGGTGGGGTAAGTGAAGTCAAGCGACAACAATTAGCTATGACGTCGTCCACTGCTCCTGCTCAGGCTGCACAGAAAAAGCATTTTGGTTCCTGAAATTCATTCTGATTGTGCAGATAAAATATAGCTGGTCGATTTCTACAGGATGTGATATTTGTGTGTGAAATCAGTCCTAATCCAATGATCCCCAGGCATTGCAAGTGACCGGTAACCTGGTTAATTTCGACATTGCCTGAGACAAAGGTAAGGGGCATAGCTGTGTGCAGGGACTTGCCCAACCCTCGACTGCCTTTTTGTTTTTGAGCAGGGTGACAAAGCACTGAAATCCTTCACCGCTGTCTGCCAAAAGGATGGGACGTGGCACCGCCCGATGCCCCGATGTGAAAGTGAGTAGCTAGTCACAGATCTGAAGTGCCGTATTCTTCACTCCATAAGACGCACCTTACCATAAGACGCACCTAGTTTTTAGAGGGGGAATGCAAGGAAAAAAATATTCTTTAAAGGGAGCGCTGAGCAAAGCCTGTATGCATCCCAGGCTCTGCTCAGCGCTCCCTTTCACGAGCCGCGTGGAGCGTGTGTGCTGCGCTTGCAGGCTTTCCCCCAAGGAGGGAGAAGGGCAGCCCTTATCCCTCCTCGGGGAAAAGCCCCCAAGAGCTGCACACACGCTCCACGTGGCTCTTTAAAGGGAGCACTGAGCAGAGCCTCCCGCCTGCATTCGCTCCATAAGACGCACACACATTTCCCCTTACTTTTTAGGAGCGGAAAAGTGTGTCTTATAGAGCGAAAAATACGGTACTATTAAAGATGGCAAGTTGCCAATGATTTTATTCATTTATTTTAAGGTCATTTAGTTGCTAGAGGGATGGGGTGGGGGGCAGCCTTCAAATACCAAAACATCTAGGGCTAGGCCTGTTCCCAAGGTCTAGGCCCCTTCTGCACTCAACCTTGAAAGCAGCATCATACCTCTTTAAGCAGTCATGGCTTCTTCCCCCAGAGGGAAGGTTTTGGGAAGGATGCTCATAATTGTTAGGAGACTCTTGTTCCTAAGGAAAAGCGGGACATTCTGGGATCAAATCAGAAACTGGGATGGCACCTGTAAATCTGGGACTGTCCCTGGAAAATAGGGGTGCTTGGAGGGTCTGTAATCATTTCGCCATGGGTGGGAAGCCATCTTGAGGGGTGTGGGGTTTTTTTTTAGTAGGCAACTGGTAGCAGGAAATCACCACTGAATGATTGTGACCCAGCTGGACTTTGAAAGGATTCCTGAAAGAAATATTTCCTCCCCTTCATTTATTTGTCGAATTTGTCTCATAGTTGTGAACTGCGGCGAACCGAAAAGCCTGACCAATGGGGACTTCAGCTATGAGTCCCAGCCAAACAATAACGACTACCTGTCAGTTGTCAAGTACAGCTGCAAAGAACGCTATTACCGCCTTTTCAGTAATGGAGGAGGTGAGTCCTGCTCAGCACAAACTGTGCCCCCCTCAGTCCCAATCCTTTCCCATTCTGTCTTTTAAGCATTCCTGAGAATTGTATACCTGCGACAGGTAAAGCTACGGTTCCCGGGAAAGAATGTGCTTTGTGTTATGTACTGAAGTTCTCACCCTGTGCCAGCAGGGGGATACTGTAGATAGTTATGCAAATGAAGGATCGAAAGTGACATTCAGTGATTGGATAGTTTTAGAAAGTTGCTACAGTAACGTTGTACTGGAGCTCTATATAAGCAGGCTGACTGAACCCTTCAGTTCAGTTCAGTTCTGTCCTGGCCTGCGAATAAACAAGAGCTGTTGAAGAATCGCTGTGTCGTCTGATATGTTCACCCACAACTTAACACTTTGAATGTGCTTTAAAGGTGAAGTGCGGACGCAGGAATTCCCCTCCATTCCATGAGGGGCCTCTCAGCCATGTTCACAGCCATTTCACTACGGGATTCCACTTTTGTGGCATCTGCCCATGGAAAATAATTGCCTCACAAAGTCTGCATGATCACATTAGGGCAGCAGCGCAGGGTGTAGCTCTGGCATTACTGTACTTACTGTACTTTTCCGTGTATAAGACTATATTTTTCTTAATTAAAAAATCATGCTAAAAAGTGGGGGTCGTCTTATACATGGGTGGTGCATAGGGTGGACGTTTGATTGGTTGCTGCCGCAGCTGTCAGCAGCTATTGTGCATGTTATTGGTTGCTGCGTCAATGGGTGATGTTGATTGGCTGACGCTCAGGCATTTGTGCGGGCGATTGGCAGCTTTTGCTGGCGATGGGACAGAAGGGAGGCAGATTTTGTGACGCGTGTGGGTGAGTGATTTTCGGCAATCCCTCCTTAAAAAATCTCAACAACTCAGTGCCATCCCCCACCCCCAATTTTCTTAGAGTCCCCCCAAAATAGGGGGCATCTTATGCATGGGGGCATCTTATAGATGGAAAAGTACGGTACTGTGTGGCAGAAGCTGCAAAAGCAGAAATGGGTCAGTTCTGGGGTGCGGGGTGTGTGTTAATGCTATTCTGCATTAAAGACACAAGGAAGGTGGGAAAGTAGTTAAGGCAAGAGAAGCAGTACAACTGCTGGGTCTTGTCTTTGGGAGCTGAAAAATAATAATAATCACAAGTTGTTGCAGGTATGTGGAGAGACAACTGAATTTGTGACTGGAAAAAATGAGAAACTGAGAGAACTGTTCCTTCCAAGAATGGCTCCTTCCATCCCAGCCTGTGCAGATGTGCCCTTACAGAGTCGAAAAACCGAGGTGTTTAAGCAGGCAAAGTTTATTCAGACTGTGCTCTCATTATTCTGGTTTCCTTCCTCAGATATATATACCTGCTCTGCTAAGGGGTCTTGGACAGACCAAGATGACCATGAGGACATCCCTGTGTGCCTGCCAGGTAATTGGCACTCTTTCATCCTCCTCCTCATGTTGTCTAAAAAAAACAAACCAGGCAAACACTGCAGAAAAGAGCAAGCTAGAACATGAGGTTAAGGGAGAGGAGGGAGAGGAGGGAGAAAAGATGGGATCGAAAACAGAGAGACAACAGCCTGATGGTGAAGCACGTTCTCTCTGCCCTAAGGTTCTGAGGTTCAAGCAATTCCTGGTTAAAAGGGATCTTTGCCAGGGATGGGCGATTTATTTTGTTGGAGTGGGGAGGGGGGGAGAAACAGATTTTTGTGTCAGGCACTCCGTTCCTTAGTGTCCCAAAGGTTAGGTTCCTTCAGGTGAACAGTCTGCCAAAGGCAGAGGCAGTGAGTAAGGGTGGAGCCCACAGCTCAGGTGAGAAGTCGAAGCTAAAGCTGAGGGACACCGTTGAAGAGGCGAGAAGGATCAATGAACCATTGACTAGTATTTGATGTTATTCTGCCTCTAGTCCTGGTGTTAGAGTTTACCCATCATGAAAAGTAGCCATTTATAGCCTTATCCTCTACAATTCTATGATAAAGCCAGTGCTTTTTTTCCCTTCTTCTAAAAAATGTTTAAGGGCACTCTCATTTTGAATCAAGAAAATCACCATTTTATAGTTCAAATCGGGGAAAATAAATACAGTAAATGGACAAAAGTACAAAGAACATGTGTTACCTCATATTACACAGCTGACAGCTCACAGTGACTTCCACATTGGCACGAGGTTGTGTGCACTAACATCTTCCCGATTCCACACATCCACATTCCACACTGCTTCACACATTAAACGCTCGCTTCCATCTGAGACTCAGGAAACACCGTGACAGGAAATAAGGCTGCCATCGGGGTTAGCGACGGAACTGATGATTCACCATGCTAGAGAAGAAACTTAAAATTTTAGTTTCTTCTCCCATTAGAGTCACAAAATGTTTAGGGGTAAGTGTACCCATGAGTCCCTTCCAGAAAAAAAGCACTGGATAAAGCCACCCAGCTTATGGTGGTGAATGACACAGTTTAACAATGCCCTGTTTAAGAAGAGGATGTTCTCTTATCTGTCCTGAATCTCCAGGTACTGGGCTAAGTGTGTTAATAATAAGAGCAAATGCTGGTGGGGAAAAGCTGATTATGTGGGGAAGGTCTGACATGTTCTATTAAGAGCGAATGGAAGCATTCAAAATAAGGAAATGTCACGTGGGAAATGGGAAAAGGCAGGAGGCTGTCGCCTTTCTTGACCATATTGTCTCTCTTGCAGTCTGTGGAAGACCGGACAATCCCATCAAAATAACCCAACGGATTATTGATGGCCAAGAGGCACCAAATGGCAGCTTCCCATGGCAAGCGAAAACATTCGTCACCGGACGTGGAGGCGGGGCATTGCTGGGTGACCGCTGGATCTTGACCGCAGCGCACAATTTGTACCCCAAGCCGAGCAGTGCATCTCGGATGGCTCAGAGCCCTGAGCTCTCTGAGGTGACTAAGAAGGCTCAAGTCTTCTTGGGACACACGGACGTGGAGGAACTCGTAAAGCTGGGCAATCGCCCCGTCCGTAAGGTTTACATCCACCCAGCGTACAACCAGGGCCTTCCGGAGAACTTTGACGGGGACATTGCCCTTCTGGAGCTGGAGGACCCAGTGACACTTGGGCCTGCCATGCTGCCAATCTGTCTCCCGGATCCAGGGAACAGCACCTTCTACGCTCAAGGATGGATGGGTTATGCCAGTGGCTTTGGAGTAGAGAAGAACTTCCTTGCTTACAAGCTAAAATACGTACCGATTCCAGTAGCAAGGCGTTCATCCTGTCAGCAGTGGCTGAAAGGGCAGAAGATTGACGGCCGGGACCCAGTCTTCACAGAGAACATGTTTTGTGCAGGTTCCCCACACGAAACAAAAGATACCTGCCAGGGCGACAGTGGGGGGGCTTTTGCTGTGCGCGACCCGCAGACTGGGCGCTGGGTGGTCTCAGGGATTGTTTCTTGGGGCATCGATTGCGGCAACGGCTATGGCTTTTACACCAAAGTCATGAACTACCTGGACTGGATCAAGGGCATAGTGGGGAAGGATTGGGTCTCAATGCAAGGGTCAGATTAACATATTGGAATGTAAGCCTCCGTTGCGATTCAATGGAAGCTCCCGCCATTTTGTAAAGAACTGTCACCTCCAATGTATTGTTTCATAGCTCCCTCCCAGGAATGAATAAGTAGGACCTTAACTCACGGTTTAGCAAATCCTCTTCATTAATCAATCTAAGGTTTAGCTCATTGATATAACAATCAAATAAATGATAGCTTGTTTGAAACCGTGTCGATGTTATAATCGCTAAAAGATTTCTGTACTACTTGCTTTCGTAATGGACAGATAGAAATGATGTATTATATTCCTGTGTCACTATCCCCAAAGGAGCACAGTATGCCTTTGATTACATCCTTGTGCTAGGAAGAATGCTAGTTTCTTGTAGTTAATAAGGCAGCTGCAGATGTTGTCAGTGGATCCAAATATGTCAGGCAGGGGTGGCTGTCACAAGGGATAGTCATAGGCACTATATTCAGGATCAACTCCATTCTCCAAAGGATGGTCGAGAAGCCTGAATCTGACATCCTCTCCTCCCCCATTTCTTTTTTCTTTTATAATATGTTTTATTGAATTTCCACAAATTTCACATAAAATTCCCATACATAATAATTTTTCTTCTGTTTTATCGACTTCCCATCCCATTTTCCGTGGTGTTTTTATTCTTATTGCCACAGCTTATCTTCACTCTTCTATACCATAGCCATAATACAATAGTCTTTAATTATTTCTGATGTTCATAGTTCAAATCCTGATCACAAATCCATCACATTATAATATTTCTTTAAATAGTCCAAAAAGAGCTTCCATTCTTCCATCCTCCTCCATTTCTTAGACTCATCTAAAATAAAGTCATTGCCACCTAGCAGTGAGTTTTACACTAATGTTGGCAGTGGATGAGGAACAACAACAAAAAGGCTGTTGTGCTTATTCTGCCTTTAACAGGATAATGGCCCACAAAAATTAGCAGCTTTTTACAGTTTGGAGGAAATCATTCCCTGTTAATGTCTGCAAGCTACTAATAAAGGCACAGCTACAGTAGCTAGGGGACGGGTGGCGCTGTGGGTTAGACTACAGAGCCTAGGGCTTGCCGATGAGAAGGTCAGTGGTTCAATGCCTGCAACGGGTGAGCTCCCATTGCTTGGACCCTGCTCCTGCCCACCTAGCAGTTCAAAGCACGTCAGAGTGCAAGCAGTAAATGGGTACCACTCTGCGGAAGGTAACCACGTTTGTGGGCTGCTCGGCTCCCAGAGTGGCTTAGTCATGCTGGCCACATGACCAGTGGTAGCTGCATGCTGTTACCCCAAAGATGCTCCTGCCTAACTGTAAATTTGCATTTATACCTCACAGAAATAGTGCTTCAAGTGTTAAGATTACTGCTGCACAAACTTCCAGGAATGAGAGAGCAGAAATCCCAGTGGCGGCAGCACTGGCCTGGCGGTCAGGAGGCCCCATTAGCCTATACAGTGGCTAGCTTCAAGTGTTGCAAGAACAGCTTCACGGTTAGAGATTCTGGACTATGCATTCAAACACCAAAGAGAGGTTTAAGTGTAGAACATCTCTAACCACTTTTGAGCTCGCTCCCACCGTCCAAAACAGATAAAACATTTCTCCATGCCTTGATTCAAATTTGTTAGGACTGCTGAGAGCTAGATAAAATGGCTTCACATTCTGCCCAGGCTACAACTGGGCTCTTTGTGGTTAAGGGGCAACGAAGGACTGATTCACACATGCATATTTATCGCTTGGTGACTGCCCCATCCAAACTTTCATGTTTCAATGGAGCCATGACAGATCTAACATGACACACAGAACTTTCACATCTTAATGCTTTTGAAGGGTAGCTGATGATCACACAGTCGTGTACAGTACTCAAGTGATAAACGTGAATCTGTGAGTCAGGCTTTAGCCCAGTTGTTCTTCCTTTAAAAGGTTATTATTAGTCATACTTCTCCAAAGAACCTACTTCACTACTAGTCAAATTATCTGCTGATGTTTTTTCCTAGTGCAACTACCCTACTGAGTAAAGCTATATTAGTGCAATACTTTTAATCCAACTCTTGATGGTGCAATCCAGACTTCTAGAACCTGTCCCACTATTGGCCAAGAGAGTCTTTTTTTTATGTAATTTTTATCATTTTTCCAACAAGTTTTATACAATCAACAAATTGTTTACACTACACTTCAATTTTGACTTCTCAGTTTCTCTAATAATTGAAAAAATTTCTACGACACGCATTTCAAACATACATTGCCTTTCCTACCTCTCTTTTCCTCTTACCTCTTTTTGCAGCATTTCTTACTATTCTACAGAGTCTCTAAACCAAATAAGCATATCTTGGTAATACCATGATATATTTTTCAGATATTCAGAAATTTCTCAGTCTATAATTTATCTTCTTAAAATAATGGCTTCAAATACTTCTCACTTAATTTCTTAATGGCTGGCAAAGTACTGCAGGCAGCCCATAAGCAAAATGGCTGGCCTTAACTGGTTTCTGCACTCAGTGGTGGCTTCTGCCTTAACCAACGTGATAGCTCAAACATCTTTTTAAATCACATACCACTGGTGGCTCTGCCTTTTTTACACTCTCACCACATATGATAGGGAGTACCTTCTTTTCTACATTTAAATAATTTGGCTGTGGCTGTTTTATACATTTTGGCCAGTTAACTGGCTGCTATATACCATCTGTAAAACATTTTCATTACATTTCAATTTTATTAGCATGCAAATTTTAGCCTTTCATTCCAAGAATTTCATCCAATCATTAATTGTATATTAACCAAGTCTCTGCCTTAGTAACACATTACTTACCTTCATCTTTTGCATGCCACCAGCAACACTTTATACATTTGTAGACAGGTTATTATACTCATTATTCATAATTTCACCAAATCTGGATTTTACCTTCATACCCACACACATTGATAATCTTTTAAACATTTACTAATCTGGTTATGCAACCAATAAAACAAATTCTTTCTCACCTCTACAAGTTTTCATTTTCCATTTCCTCTCTTGTTAACAATCTCCATATGTTATCCACTTCATATTAATTTTTTCACACTCATCACTTCTAATAAAACCAATGGGGGAGCTCAGTTCTGAAGTTTTTATACCTTCCCACACCTCTACTGGGTCTTCTTGGAAAAGGGTTTTCAAAACCTTTGTGAAATTTTTCCTCACTGCAAATGCACAACCAAATCTGTTTTAACACCCCAAAGAATGCTCCTGCCTAACTGTAAATTTGCATTTATTGCCTCACAAAAATGGCATTCTACAAATATTAAAATTACTGCTGCACAAAACTTTGGGTTCTGTTTTAAGACTCTTCTGTGCTTTTCTGTTTTCACTCTATACATAAAGCCGTCATGCTAACCCAATGTTCTTTTGCAGCCTGCCATGACCCAGGAAATACAATGGGACTTTGCAAATACAGTGGTACCTTGGTTGTCAAACAGCTTGGCTCCCGGACAAATTGGCTCCCGAATGCCGCAAACCCAGAAGTAAGTGTTCCGGTTTGCAAACATTTTTTGGAAGCCGAACTTCCAACATAGCTTCTGCAGCTTCTGATTGAGTGCAGGAAGCTCCTTCAGCCAATCGGAAGCCTCACCTTGGTTTTCAAATGGTTCTGGGAGTTGAACGGACTCCCAGAATAGATTAAGTTCAACAACCAAGGTACCACTGTACACAGGTTTGGCAATGCAGTTGGAGGGACTGTTGTGTTTTGAGTAAGTGGGGGTCAGCAGGAGCAAAGATGGGGTTAAGGCGTCACCCTGAACGCACCCCTTTTCTTTCTGCCACATAACATAAGGGCTGCCATTCACTTCAGTGGGCAAAAGTAAAGGGCTGCATTTGGAGCACTGTTTGCAGAGCAGCTAAAGCCCGGCCTTCATCCTGAGAATGACAGATGGTCAACAGAACCGTGACAGGGCACCTTGTCTCACATGCTGTCTGGGGTGATGGACAGTGCAGTCCAAAACATCTGAAAAGCACCAAACTGGGGAAGATTCTTGGAAAATAATCCCAAAAGTGTTCTCACCCCAGGACAACAAACTGTGTGTCTACACAAAGCACAAACTCTAGGAGGCTTCAGCTCCCCGCTTGCCTCTTATTAAGTCACGCGGTCATTCAGTAATCACCGTTTCCCTACAAAACTCTGGGTTTAACCCTCTAGACTTTCAACAACCTGCTGGTAGTTATTAGTTTTTTGGGGGGATAGCAGATCAATTTCTGTCCCACTTTTCAGCCTATGCCTATACATCCTATGCCCTTTTAAAAAGTGTTTTTTTGGGGGGGGGGTATTAGCTTATTGTTTTTATTATGTGTTTTATGGTTTTATATCTTCATTTTATTCTGTGAACTGCCTAGGGTATAGGGCAGTATAATAATAATAATAATAATAATAATAATAATACCTGGTCCATAGGGTTGGCCTACCTTGTGGTCACACCCACCCACCCACCACATAAAAATCATTTATCCCAGGTAAAAAGGAGGCAGAGTGGTGTGCATTTTTCAGCTTTCTGTTTAGAAAAAGGAAGTCAGGACTCAAACCTTTATGACACCTCAGAAGAGCCTGAGAACAAATGGCTAATGGGAAGTGCAGGGACATGACTTCCCTCCACATCGATCTCCCTCGAGTTCCTCGCGACCTTTCAGTCCTTCTGTCCCTCCTCTTTGGAAACTCCTTCAAGCCTTCCCTTCCTCTTTGCCACTCCCTGAATTCAGTGCTTTGGGATAGCTCTCCTCCTCCTCCAAAGGAATTTCTAAGATGCAGAAATCTGGGGATTTTTAAATTATTTTTTTTAATGAGGAAAGAATGTTACTGTTTTGGTAGAAAAGCCTTAGATCATGAAACTGTGTCTTTGTTTTCTCCAAGTTATTGAGCCCAGATGGGGAAAATCCCAGCTTGCTTAGTCATTAATTCCGAGGATCCTGACCCTGGTGTTTATTTAAACAGCTGCTGCAACAGCTCTGTTTTGCACATGTAGTATCCCAACACATAACTAAGAGAACCCCGGATTTCTTGAATTTCCTTTTTAAAAAGCACCTTTCCAGCTATGTCACCATTTTATACAGCTCCGGTTAAGGCATGCGACTTTGAAGGCTTCCTCCGGTGCCTGCCAAATCTCCCAGCATCCTACTGACTGACTGCTCAGTTTGTTATGGGGTCTCCATCTTGAAAAGTATATATTGTTGGAGGAGGAAGTTGGAAAAGCAATAGTCTTTTGCCACTTCTTCTTTCAGCACAATGTACTTTTAAAGACATGGATGGTGCCTGAGCTTCTGAACAAATGGTGGAGCAACTGGGAGGTTACAAAGGAAAGGGAAACAATCTGTGAAATGGGTGTGTGGGTGTGTAATATGTGACCACTGCAGGAGTCAGCAGAGGGGGTGGGGGAAAGGTCTGAGTGCTTATACCCCCCCCCCCCGAAAGCTGGACCCAGTAATACGGATTTTCCAGACCTTCCAAGTGTCTCTTTTCCCCCAGGGACATAACACTAGTTATGTCTCCATGAACACAGTCTTAACAGTGAGTCCGTAAGTGACTGTGGAGGCCAGTTCTGGATCCACACGTCCTTCCACAGTGGGGACATAGGTTTTCGGCTGGGAGTTGATCACGGTGAAGGTTTGCCAAACGTGCCTTCCTCTTAGCTTGTTTCTCCTTTTTTCGCCCTGAGTTCATGCTTCTTCAAAGTCCTCGTGGGTTCCCATGAGGCAAGATAAACAGTGATAACAGCAAGAACCGTTAATGAACTAACAGAACTGGACAATGGGGCAAAGCAACTGCTTACTTTTCTGAAGGCATGGGCCACTCCCACTCCCTACGTTATTGGCTGTCTAAACTTCCAAGCTGCGAATCAGGAGTCAGAGTTTAAGAGCCAATGGCAGAGGCCCAAATCCTGAAATGTTCTGTGATTGGATATCATGTAATGAATCAGAACACAGGAGCTCAGAATCCTTAGTCCAGACTCAAGCTCAGGCAAACACATACAGTGGTACCTCGGTTTAAAAACAGTTCGGTTTAAGAACAATTTGGTTTACAAACGCCACAAAACTGGAAGTAGTGTCCCGGTTTGCAAACTTTACCTTGGTCTAAGAATGGAATCCGAACGGTGGAAGGGCACCGGCGGTGGGAGGCCTCATTAGGGAAAGCGCTCCTTGGTTTAAGAATGGTTTTGGACTTCCGGAATGGATTAAGTTCATAAACCGAGGTACCACTGTACCATTAAATACATAACACATGACACCTTTTGTTATGTACTGAAGTTCTCACCCTGGGCCAGCAGGGGGATACTGTACATAGGTATGCAAATGAAGGATCGAAAGTGACGTTCAGTGATTGGATAGTTTGTATGCAAATGAAGGATTGAAAGTGACGTTCAGTGATTGGATAGTTTTAGAAAGTTGTTACAGTTACGTTGTTCTGGAGCTCTATATAAGCAGGCTGACTGAGCTCTTCAGTTCATTTCAGTTCTGGCCTCTGAATTAACAAGAGCTGTTTGAAGAATCGCTGGTCGTCTGATATGTTCACCCACAACTTAACACCTTTGGTATAGGCTGATCTCCAATTGCAGCCCTTGCAGGCCAATGTTTCCCAGTTATCAGTGCTTATACCATTATTATTTTTTTAAGATTTCAAATGAGCTTCAGAAACCACAACCATTTTTCTAAAAATCAGATTTGTGCAATAATGAAAAACAGTGGTTTCTCCAGATCTCCCTGCTACACCTCCTCTCCTCTTACTGATTTAACTCTATATTACTGTATTGATTTCTCCAACAACCAACTTCCTGTTTCAGAATGCAAAATGCCCATCATTTTAAGACAACATAAAATGTGAGTGTGCAAGCTTGTGTTGAGTTGGGAATTACTGGATGTGTGCTATTGTGCAATTCCTAGGCAAAGACTTGGGGGGGAAAAGCACGCTGCTCATCTGATCCTTGCACACATACGTTTGTACAAAATTAACACATTTAAAGCAACAAATTAGAAGACGGTATCGAAGAGGAAAGGGATCAAAGAGGAAAGTGGTTTTGATTTTTCAACTGCAAATACATGCATGTTTCGACTAATGAGGCCAAATTTGAATGGAGTCAACGTGGATTCTAAGTGAGATCCAGCTCAGATATGGTCAAGCCCAAAGTTTCACAAAATGTCAACGTTTGACTGCCAGGAGCAATACATTAACAAAGCAGTAAAGATCCTTTGCAGTCTATGGGGGGGCGGTCAAGAAGGCAGCACACATGATTCTGCATTTGGTTCTCTTTTTAATATAATCCAAGTGAGTATGTGTTACAAGCAATATGTAATGTATTTGTAAAATCAGGGCTGCGTTCAACATACAAACGAAGCTGTGGAGATTCTGTAGCAGCAGCAGAAGCAGCAGCAGCGAGGGCTGGTTCCAAGGATCAGCTAACTATCAGAGACAGGGAAGTCCTCCTGTCTTCCTGTTGCACACAATACATGCTGTTTCCCCCCACTATGCATCAGTGGCAGCAAACCAGACTTCGTTGCACTTCCTAGTGGCACCTCCCTCAATCCAAAACCACCCTCCAGGAAGAAAAAAACTTACTGCAATAGAGATATGTAGATTATAGATTGTATGGTCATCTGCTAGAAAGCTTCTACAGCATCGCTGAGGACCAGGAACTGTTTCTCTCCCCCTGCCTATGCAGCTTTTGGAATGGTTTTTAAAGGGGTTTTGGTTTGTGCTCTTTGCAGAAACTCCCAACATTTTTCTGATGGAAATAGGGACGTCCTAAGGAAAAGCAACAAAGGTCTGTATAGTTAAAGCTATGGTTTTCCCAGTAGTGATGTATGGAAGTGAGAGCTGGACCATCAAGAAGGCTGATCGCGGAAGAATTGATGCTTTTGAATTCTGGTGCTGGAGGAGACTCTTGAGAGTCCCATGGACTGCAAGAAGATCAAACCTCTCCATTCTTCAGCAAATCAGCCTTGAGTGCTCACTGGAAGGACAGATCCTGAAGCTGAGGCTCCAATACTTTGGCCACCTCATGAGAAGAGAAGACTCCCTGGAAAAGACCCTGATGTTGGGAAAGATGGAGGGCACAAGGAGAAGGGGATGACAGAGGACGAGATGGTTGGACAGTGCTCTCGAAGCTACTAACTTGACCAAACTGCGGCAGGCAGTGGAAGACAGGAGTGCCTGGCATGCTTTGGTCCATGGGGTCACAAAGTGTTGGACACGACTAAATGACTAAACAACTAAACAACAACAACCAAGGAAAAGCAGGACATTCCAGGATCAAATCGGAAACCGGGACGGCTTCTGTAAATCTGGGACTGTCCCTGGAAAATAGGGACACTTGGAAGGTCTGTCTTTGCTTTTTCCCCCATTTGTGTTCTACGTGTGACACAATTGCCAGAAATGTTGGCCCCTGCTGTCTCTGAAGTATAGTCACACCTGCCTTCTCCAACACTGCAGGGCACCTTTATAATTATTTTCTTAAGGGTGTGAACAGGCTTCCTCCCCCCACTGAAGGGCTGTTCTTCCTCTCCCCTGGAAAACCCGCTCAGAGCAAACTTCAGTCTGGAGGAAACCAAATTGACGTTTACTCCGATTCAGCGGTAAAGATCAGGTTTCACCAGGAGAAAGTGGCAGGGCAAGCACAAGTTGAGATGAGCACTGTGCTTTCTTCAGCTGGTTCAAACCACAAAGGTAAAGGAACCCCTGACCATTAGGTCCAGTCGTGGCCGACTCTGGGGTTGCTCATCTCGCTTTATTGGCTGAGGGAGCCGGCGTACAGCTTCCAGGTCATGTGGCCAGCATGACTAAGCCGCTTCTGCCGAACCAGAACAGCACACGGAAACGCCGTTTACCTTCCCGCTGGAGCGGTACCTATTTATCTACTTGCACTTTGACGTGCTTTCGAACTGCAAGGTTGGCAGGAGCTGGGACCGAGCAACGGGAGCTCACCCCGTCATGGGGATTTGAACCGCTGACCTTCTGATCGGCAAGTCCTAGGCTCTGTGGTTTAACCCACAGCGCCACCCGCGTCTGGTTCAAACCATAAGCAGCTACAAATATGAAGTTCTTATCCCTATTGGCACCATCTGTTTACACAGAACACATTAGGTTATTGACAATTATATGTACATTAGGATAATAAGAATATACACACCTGTATATCAATGTATGGGTATGTAAAAGTATTTTTTCACTCACTTTTTACTCTCTTTCTTCCCACCCCCCTCACTCTCTTTTTTAATAAATGAAATTCTTCTAATAAAATGTGTGTTGTTGGTTTGTTTGTTTTTTAAAAAAGATCTGTGGTATAGGGCACTTTCCAAAGGAGTTTAAGCAGCTACAAAGAAAGACATAAGATCTAAAAGAAGAAATTAAGCAGACAGGAAATCGTTTAAGAACAAATCCAGCCTGAAAGCTTTTGGTTGCTCTATTTGCTTCTCAAGAAAACAGGTTGTATAAAGAAACTGGCAGTGCACGGACCTTCACTCCAACCTCCCCTCTCTTGCATTACCAGTATTTCTCTAACTTGGGTTTTCTGCTGTTGTTGGACTACAACTCCCATCATTCCTGACCACTGTCCCTGCTAGCTAGGGATTATGGGAGCTGTAGTCCAACAACAGCTTGGGTCCCACTTTGGAGAAATGCCATGAGCCCAAAGGATTGAAGAAAACGTCAAGGGAGCCTGGTGCCTTTACAGACACAAATGCATCCTTCTGGTCTCATTCTGGCTCATGACGTTTGCGATCCAATCCACGTAATTTGACACCTTAGTGTAGAGGCCGTAGGTGCCGCACTTTGGCCCCCAAGAAACCAGGCCAGCGACATAGTAGTGCAATTCGTCGTGGAGATATTTGACAGCAAACGCCCCACCGCTGTCTCCATCGCAGCTGTCCCTCCCGTTGCCCCCTCCACAAATCATATTGTCTGTGAACACATAGGTCAAAGAATCTGCTGGGGGATCTGGCTTCACGCTTCGGCACCTGTCCATGTTAACCACAGGGATCCGGGCGTACCTAAGGTGTATTGCCACACGTGTCTTAGGTGTCCTGCCCCAGCCAGATATGTAGCCCAGGATCCCCATCGGCAAGTCGTAGTCGGACGATGCACCAGGCAAGCAAATGGGCGAGATGGTAGGACCCATCGTCAAGGGTTTCGCCAACTTCACTAGAGCAATGTCATTGTCAAAGTTTGTCCGGGGCTGGTTGTTTGCCATTTCCAACCAGTCGGGATGGACGAACGTGGCTTCCACATCCAGTGGCCTAGCGCCTTCCATGGCATCTCCCCCAATGCAAAGCATCCCTGCGTGGATGTCTGGGCACCGGGTCCCATCCAGCACGTGAGCTGCAGTCAGAACCCAGCGGTCCGAAATCAGAGCCCCGCCAGCATGTGGGTATTCAAAATAGATTTGCCAAGGGAAGTTTCCTTTTTTGGCTTGTTGGCCTCCAAAAATCTTCCCCGCCCCTTTAACGGGCTCAGAGGGAACTCCGCAAACTAGAGAAAGGATAGAACAACAACAGCAGAAATAAGAGCTTGCGAGCAGCAGGAAGACCGGATTTGCACAAATGAAATAATCAAAGCCATTTATGTTCGCTGACGTGAGGGAAAGCAAGCAATAACTTTAGGGTAGGGGGTTCAAGTTGAATCCGGTTTTGGGGCCTGTGGGCATGCATGCGTGTGGACCTCTCCCAAAGTTTTTGCTTGCTGCAGCTTGTTAACTTTGCCCAGAAACATTAACTGGGTAGTACAGTCGTACCTTGGAAGTCAAACGGAATCCATTCCGGAAGTCCATTCGACTTCCAAAACGTTCAGAAACCAAAGCGCGGCATCTGATTGGCTGCAGGAAGCTCCTGCATCCAATTGGAAGCCGCAGAACCTGTATCGGACATTCGGGTTACAAAGAACATTTGCAAACCGGAACACTCACTCCCGGGTTTGCGGCTTTTGGGAACCAAAACGTTCAACTTGCAAGGCATTCGGGATCCAAGGTACGACTGTATTGAGAATGAAGCCTGCTACACGCATATCTATGGGCATAGCCATGGGGGGCAGCTCCCCCCCAATCAAGTAAATAAATAAAAATACTTAACTAGAAGTAGAAATAACCAGAATATTTGAAATTGAAATATTCAATTTCGCTGAAGATGTTGTGGCGCATTCTAGCGACGCAACTGGCAACCCGACTGAGTGATAGGCATGGCTTCCGCAAACTGACCAATCGTGTGGCAGGTAGCTTGGTTCTGGAACAGGACAGGTGGGTGCCCTGTCCGTCCCCCCAACATAAATCCTGGCTACGCCTATGCATATATCCCCATTCTGAGATTGCTTGCTTGCTTTATTTATTTAAAAGACTTACTGCTTTTCAGAGAAATTGCTTCACAAAGAATTTTACGACCAACGAAGTATGGTCGTAAAGTATGAAGTATGAAGAACAATAAATAAATAGCCCATTAAAAATAGCCCAATAGGTATCAGTTGCGGGTACGCAGGAGGGGGTGTTTTGTTCTTCAGAACCTGCAGGAGCCCACCAAAACCAAGTCCCATCACTGCTGAATGTACACAGCAGACAGACTAGGGCTGGGTGCAAAACTATTAGAAACTAGCTGCAGGTTCAGCTCCTGTGCCTCTTCTTCTACTGTGGGTGTTATGTACTGAGTTGAATAGGATCCAAATTGCAACAGTCTGATTGCTCCTAGAACAATAGGATTCAGAATGCAGCGGTCTGATTGGTCCCCAGGAGCCACCCAATCCAACTCCAGGTGGAAGTGAATCCGCAACCTGATTGGCCTACAGGAGAATCCCGGAACTGGCCAGTCACGTGGGGCCCATTGTGTAAATAATGTATATAAAGCAGACATTTCGGGGGAACTTCCATTCCTCCTCACTACTATGAGCTGAATAAAAAGCATGAAATCCACACTCGACTCCGAATATATTTCAGTGGGTCTATGCTCTCTTCCCTTTTCCTAACCCCCAAGATGGCTGTCCTCAACAACGTGATCAGCAAGAAGGGACTCTTGAAACATGGAACATTGTTGCTTCCTGCAGGACTGGTGCTTTGCGGAAACATCTAAGAGGAGAGCAGGTTTTAAAGCTCTGGTTTTCAACCATCTCGAATCATTGAGGCAATTCAAGAACATGTCCCAGCAGAGGAAGCAAGAATTTTAAAATATTGGCAGGCTCTTCTGTAAACTAGACAATGCGGTGGACTCTTGTCACAGCACTTTGACCACAATATCCACATTTAGAAATAGAGGGCTGTGTACCGTACCTGGGACACAAACCGGAATCTCCGTTTTCTCATCTTCATCCACCCATTTCCCACTGGCTGAACACCTATAAAGTCCTTTTGGAATAAAAGAACACATAGCACTATTCAGTTGTTTGTTTTTAATCTGTGTTTCATACCCAAATGCAGGTGAGATCAGAAAACAGATTGCAGGCCAATTTCTAGCAAGCCATGTAGTGTCTGCTTGTCCGTGGGGTTCCTGTAAATAATGTTGGCTCCAGATCTGATCCAGCCATAGCTGTCAACTTACAGATTTCAAAATAAGGGACCAGCAGCCTTGAAAATAAGGGACCAGCAGCCAAAATAAGGGATTTTAGTCAACCAGTTAAAAGGGACCAGATAATTTTGGAGAGCAGCGCCGGTTTTTAGCCCTTCGTTTCCAGAGGTTGCTGCTCAAGACACCAGCCGATGAAACACTGCAATGAAATAACTACAAGCAGCAACCACTTTTCGCGCAGAATGAAGTCCAAGCTACGAAGATGCTGCTGCAATTCTGTATCTTTTCTCTCGTGCTCCATCTGCAGCTCTCAGTTCCATCAGGCGGGGCGGGAGGAAGGGGGGGGAACAGCGCCTGAAGTAAACCTGCAGATCAGACCATCTATGCTAGTCTACCACTACAAATCTATGGGAGAAGTGCTTGCGGTCCTTCCTCCGCTTTCCCCCTCTATGGTTAGCCCTTGGAACACCTGCCCGCGCCTCCGCCTCCTCCTCCTCCTCCTCTCTCTGAACTGCTTTCTCTATGGTTGCCCTTGCTCTCCTCTCAAGGCTCCTCAGCAATTCATAGGCCATGCCAGGCTGCCCATCTCATCCGGGGTACGGCCTAGCGGGAGCGGCGGCGGCAATGGGCAGAGGGGAGGCCGGCAGGGAGGGAGGGAGAGGAGCTGCTTCCTTTGAAACCCGGGAAATTTAAGGGACATCATCAATAAGGGACAGCAGCGGGACACGGCGCTGGGATAAGGGAGTTTCCCGCCAAATAAGGGACGGTTGACAGCTATGGATCCAGCAATGCACTTCTAATGAGCTTAACCAAGAATGGATACACTGGGTCGCTTAACACAGATTAGCTATGCTTTAACTCCGTGTTTCCCAAACTTGGGTCTCCAGCTGTTTTTCAGACTACAATTCCCATCATCCCTGACCACTGGTCTTGATAGCTAGGGCTGATGGGAGTTGTAGTCCAAAACCAGCTGGAATAAAATGAGCGGCAATGCCTTGAGGAGTGCCTGAGCTCTCATCGACTTTGGAGGGGGCAGAAGTGGAGAGAAGGAGTGACGGTGGGTGGGAGCAGGACGTGACACATTCCTAATTTGGAGCAGGTGGTGAAACAAGATTGGCTGCCCCTGGGCACACAGTGGGGGGGGGAGGGAAGTAGTCCAGTTGCATGAGTAGACCTTGTTCCACACACCCCTACACCTCTTAGTAGGGACGCGGGTGGCGCTGCGGTCCAAACCACTGAGCCTCTTGGGCTTGCCAATCGGAAGGTCGGTGGTTTGAATCCCTGTGACGAAGTGAGCGCCTGTTGCTCTGTCCCAGCTCCTGCCAACCTAGCAGTTCAAAAGCACGCCAGTGCAAGTAGATAAAGAGGTACTGTTGTGGCAGGAAAGTAAACAGTGTTTCCATGCGCTCTGGTTTCTGTCACAGTGTTCCATTGTGCCAGAAGCTGGCCACATGACCCAGAAAGCTGTCTGCGGACAAACACTGGCTCCCTCTGCCTGAAAGCGAGATGAGCGCTGCAACCCCATTGTTACCTTTGACTGGACTTAACCATCCAGGGGTCCTTTATCTTTTTACTTTTTATGCCTCTTAGCACTATCCTACATCCCACCCATTGCATCACCTCTGCGCAAGCTTTGTGCATGCAAGCAATGAGAATGAATGCTCAAAAAAGAGGTTGCCTGGAGGAGCCAAGGAATGGCCACCTTGGCTACAGCACCCTTTGATTCACATCAGCTGAAGAAGGTGGAAGCAGAAACACTCTGCAGGAAGAGCTTCACATCCCTGTCTCCTTGTTCATCTCAACTTTGTTCTTTGGTTGTCTCTCTCTCACACACATGCACACGCCGTACATTTTAACTGTGCTTTGGAAGGAATCGTTTCAGTGTTTACAACTCATTAAATTCTACACTGACTCTGCCTATAAGAAGAAAGCAGCCACTTTTGACGGTGTTGCTTTAGTGGATGCAAAGTGAGTGAAAACACACCAACCAGTTTCACAACGATACTGGGATGAAGCGTAAGTGAAAGACTCTTGGAATGAGTTTGTCGTAACATTGGCCACCTCTAATTCTGTCATCATAAACTGAGTACAATGACGCTCTTTTTAAGCTCTGAATCAGGTGCTTGGATCTGAAAAGGATGGGAAACATCATTACCTTTGCCCTGCATTGTATAAAACTTCTCGTTGCATGAATAGCTGATCGTGTCTTGATACTCCGTGTTGTCCTCGGTTCCTGACAGGTAAGTGACTTTTCCATTTGCAAGGGGCTCAGGCTCGCCACAGTTTACGGCTGCCGGGGGGGAAAAGATGGGGTGTTAGACTAGAATCTTCACTCTGCTGCCACCTGCCACCTCATCCTGGTCAACCCATATTCCGTCAGGCCTGAACATACTTTCCATTTCTTTTTCTCGTATGGTGCATAAAGCAGGGGTTGCCAACCTTTTTGGACTAGTGGGCACACTTCAAATTTTGAGAAATTGGTGAGGGTGTCGGTCGCAAGATGGCTGCCATGGAGGGGGTGTGGCATAATGCAAAATCAGAGAGGCACCGACCTGTGACAACCTTAGGCTTACCATGGGAAGTTGGTCATGTCCTGCTGCTCCTGATTATGGTCCCTCAGTACCAGGAAAAATATTGTTACAGAAGTTGGGCACCACCCCCCACTGTCTGCCAGAGGTCTTGTGCTCCTTTGGAGAACTGACACAGAGTGGAGACTGTCGTAGCTTTAAAGAAATATGGTTTATTCACCTATTTACACCTTCAGTGTGCATGGAGTCCAGATTGTACAGCATGGTGATTTCAAGAGGGCCTTGTCTCCCACAGCAGTGCAGCCCTGGAGTCCAAGGCATCTCTCTCAGGCCAGCCTTCAGCCAGCCTGCCCAAGATGGATCCCAGTCCTTCTTCCTCCTCCTCCTTCTCAGCAACCCCTGCTCAAGACTCTCTTTTTCCTGTCACCCCACTCCTAGTTACCCTGGCAACCTTCCCAACCTCCCAACCCCCCCTCTCTGTTCACACCTCAGGACAAGTAGGGAGGACAGTTCTCTTGCATTGCCAATGACCCTCTATTTTTTCTTAATGGTCCTAGCTTGGCCAGGTCATTTTGAACAGACTAGCTCAGGAATTCCTCTGCAGCTTGTATTTCTCCCTTCGCATTACAAATAATCAAAATCCTACCATTTATTAAGTTCTAGGGTTTAGCCCCTCCCCCCAAAATCTAGAACAATATACAAGCTATAGAAATCACTTATCTATACATTTGGTCCCACAGCTTTCTTTCTAGGGTGACTAAATACTCCCCACCAAAAAAATGAGAGCTCAAAGTTTGGGGCACCTGCCCAGGGGAACCACTGAAAGCCTTCATGGGTGCCAGTCTTTAACTTCCAAGTTATCCCTTCCTATTTCCATCTCCTTCCAGGACCAGTTGCCTAGAACTGGAATGGCATAAATGCCCTCTCCATTGAAAAGTCCCATTTATCTCGGGTAATCCACACAATGGTGTTTAAGCTTAACTGAACTGAGGACCAGTGCTTTTTTTCTTAAAAAATGTTTAGGGGTACTCTCATTTTGACTCGAGAAAATCACCATTTTATAGGTCAAATCGGGGGAAATAAATACAGTAAATGGACAAAAGTACAAATGTACAAATGTACAAAAGTAAATGTTTAGGGGTATGTGTACACCTGCATTCTCCCCCACCCGAAAAAAGCACTGCTGAGGACCACTATTTTGGTTGCCTTATTACTTTGTGGATCACTGTATTTTCTTACCTTACACAGCCACCGCAAAGGGGAACAATCATTCTGTGTGGCTGCCGTCCAGCTCAGCTATGAAGAGTGTTATGAAGAGAGCTGGAAGTTTCTTTGTGATTACTCACACTGCTGAAGAAGCAAGCTGCTTTCCAGTTTAAATTTATAAGTGGCTTGCCTCTTCAGTATCTTGTCAAAACTTCAGAAAGTCTCCTGCTTCTCAAGTATTCCTCTCTGTTATGATCCCCGTGGTCTCAAGACCAACTGAAAGTATGTTATGGACCACCAATATAGGAAGCCAAGCACTTACGGACACATTCAAGGTTAGAGTTGCTCCACTCGCCGTTGCTTTGACAGACAGAGTAGAAGGATGTGAGGCTGCCTTTTGACTGAAGGGAACAGAATTGAGAGACACTGGGGTTAATTCATTGGTTGAGAAATGTATCAGAATGACATACACACTGCTCTCTCTCCCTTGTTACATGAGGGGAGTCTTGGGCCCTTGTGTAAAGTGAGAAGATATATGGAGAGGATGCAAAAAAACTGTTTAAGGAGGTGGAACATTTGCACTAAGCAAAACTGCTGGCATTTCATCTCTGAGCTTACGGCTTGCATTTAAAAGCATGGGGCTAAACAGAGTTTAAATCCCATCTTGAACAGTTTAATTGCAAGTGTAGGAACTAGCCATTAGGCTGGTCTCCCCCTTTGTTATCCAGTTTATCAAAGAAACAGGCTACAGACTGAAAATGAAGTTTAAAGCATGTATTTTTCTCACAATCAAGCATTTGTCCTTAGCAGCAACAGCAGTAAAAATAAAGGCAGGTAAAATACTTGTGTTTACAGCAAAAATAGCTTCAGGCAAGTGCCTGATGCTGGAGCAAGCGGACAGATGTCCATATACATGGCTGGTGGAAGAGAGAGAGACAAAACAGAAAATACCGTATTTTTTGCACCATAACACTCACTTTTTTCCTCATAAAAAGTAAGGGGAAATGTCTGTGCATGTTATGGAGGGAATGCCTACGGGTGGCATGCCTACGGATTTTCCTCCTCTAAAAACTACGTGCGTGTTATGGTCGGGTGCGTGTTATAGAGCGAAAAATACGGTACTTCTTTGCTTCTTCCTTCCCAGGAGAGGATGGGAAACGACATCATACAGAGCCTTCTCTACCAATTACATTTCTATGGCCTGAGTCTGCTTATCAGCAATGCAGCTCTATGGTCTTAACCCCTTCACTTGCTAACTAGCAAAACTTTGTGTTGTTAGATTTGACTACATATCTGCCACACTCAGGGCCTTAGACAGGGACCTAAGTGTACGTTTCAGGAGCACAATGACTGATCCTGCAGCTGAAGCATCATATCTGGCCAGCTTAAGGGCCAGGGCATATCTCTGTAGCTATTAGCTTTCTAGGAACTGAGATTTCAAGATGGGGGGATATATCCTGAGGACTCTGCTGATCATCTGAAGATTTCTGTGGCAGAAGTATCTCCTTGGGGTTCAAAGGAGGAGATGCAGGTTCTGGTGACTTCAGCATCACATGCAAAACACCTGTAGTAGATTCATCTCCTCCTCCTCCTCCTCCTCCTGATGGCTATGTCTCTCAGGATTCCTGGTCTGTGGCCATGGCACCAATTGTCAAGTACTGAGGGGAGTGAAGGGTGGCTAGTGACATGTCAATAGCCCTGTAGATCAGACAATGGCTGCTGGCTCTTTGTGCTGCTAATACTGCTGGCCACAGGAGGCTGATATAACAGTCCACAATTCACCTGGCCTGGGACGTCTGGTGATATGGGAGGACCAATCTGGTGCCACCAGCAAGTATAAAGACTCTTATTGTGGGAAGCTTGTCCCTGAAGGAGTCCACACAGCTCTCATTTGGTGAATCAAGCCATTGGCTGGTCCCAGATTGTTCCTAAAGGTAAAGGTAAAGGGACCCCTGACCATTAGGTCCAGTCGTGACCGTCTCTGGGGTTGCGGCTCTCATCTCGCTCTATAGGCCGAGGGAGCCGGCATTTGTCCGCAGACAGCTTCCAGGTCATGTGGCCAGCATGACTAAGCCGCTTCTGGCGAACCAGAGCAGCGCATGGTAACGCCATTTACCTTCCCGCCAGAGTGGTACCTATTTATCTACTTGCACTTTGATGTGCTTTCGAACTGCTAGGTTGGCAGGAGCAGGGACCGAGAAACGGGAGATCACCCCGTCGCGGGGATTTGAACCGCCAACCTTCTGATCGGCAAGTCCTAGGCTCTGTGGTTTAACCCACAGCACCACCCGCGTCCCCAAGATTGTTCCTAGGTAGTTGTTTATTCAGCCAGCCAATCTGCCTGAAGCTTGCATTTCAGAAGACCTGGCTGCCCACTGGTCTGGGCCCCTGACATCAGTGCAGAAAGAATCCTCTCTCACTGCTATGTTGAGATGGAGAAGAGGCACAATGCATATCGGTGTAGAAGTAGCAGCAATGTACTGTTCATGCCAGGGGGATTCTCAGAGCCTAACTGACCTTGGTGGGCACGGACTTACCTGTACAATCTCATAGCCTTTGACACAGGTCACCTTCACTGAATCCTTAAAGACGTAACGTTCTCTCACGGGTTCCATACTGGAATGTGGAATGACCGTTTCTTTGCAGGGCATTGCTTTGCAAATGGAAAGGGGGGGGAAAGGAAACCAGTCAACAATCACTGAATCACCTGGCACACGCTCTCTCACACGCCCCTTGTCATTTTCTGTCCCCAGCAGTCACAGCCAAGTCAACAGAAGCCATGCTTTTATTTAATGCGACTTCCTCTCTGCTCTGAGGGTTAATGAGCCTCTTCGACTCTCAACCGCATCAACAAGAGGAAGAAGTAGAGGTTGGCGCCCATTGACAGGCACAGACACGTGATTCCAGTATTGCCCCCCTCCCTCCTCCCTGTTGAGTTCTACAAAGGCAACACCAAGACTCAGGAGGAGAAAGGCTATCTGCCTTTTCTGTGGGATCTGGCATAGGACCATGACATGACGGGCAGTGCCTCCCTTGCCCTAATGGACCAGGTTCCACTGATGAGGAAGAACGGATTGGTTCACCCTGTCTCCTGAGAGCTGGCAGCTGTAGCCTGCAGGGCCTTCAGCTAGAACCCTTGTTCCCCTTTCAATTTCCCCATTGCCCACCAGAGATCAGAAGATTTATCAGATTTCTATGGGTTTTACAGAGGTGGATTTAGGGTGACTAGTTGGTGGAGCCTCAGGGTTGCTGCAGGGGCTACTGCAACTATGATGTAGAGTGAAAGGCAAGAGGAGGTGGAATTTTGGCGCTGCACAGGGTGCCACTGAAATTCAAGACCCCAAGGTCCCCATTGGGTTTTCCTTCTTTCCCTGCTTCCAGTTCTGGTGGGGCTCATCCCTAGCCAGGAAGCCACTTGTCAACACACCAGCCAACCCCTTAGATGTTCTGCCAGCAGTGCACCAGATTTGTAGTCTTAGTTATACCCAAATACCCATTCACAATTTGGGTGCATAGCAAACCTCAAGTGTTCTCTCCTGCAGCAATTCACCCCAAGAACAACTGCTCTCAGAAACAGCGGCCATTCTGCTTGAATGGCATTCCTTGTCTGCAATTGTTTTCTCCTGCACTAGACTTCCAACTCAAGGTGCACCTTTGCTACTTGCAAGCACATGCCCATTCTCCTAAGAACGACACATATCTCTGTCCCAGAGCGCTCACACATGTGCCCCACAGGTTTGCTCTCATGGGATATCTACTCACGATCCCCAAAGTAGCGGATTTTCCAGCCTCTGCCTTGCTCTGACTGGTCCGTTTGGAAGAAAATGTCAAGTATATTGCTTCTAGTCTTGATTTCTGGAGGGCCAGGGAATGTGTTGCCACAGTAGGGGCCAAATTGCTGGTCGCCTGCTGAGAACTGCAAGAAGAACGAAACAGATTAAGGAAAAATAATAGAGGAAGACAAAAGAGGCATATTTAACAGGAAATGCATCTAAAAGAAATACACTCAAGATCTGGAGAGGAGAAGGCGTATGGGAAGCAGAAATTTGGTACTTGAGGGATTAAGGATAAAGAGGGGAGGGGAGGGAGGGAAGGAAGGGGAATAAAAGATCAGGCTAAGTTCAAATTGAAAGCCAGGTGGAATAGCTCTGTCTTACAGGCCCTGCAGAAGGAAGTTAAATCCTGCAGGGCCCTGGTCTCATGGGACAGAGCATTCCACCAGGTCGGAGCCATCACTGAGAAGGCCCTGGCCCTGGTGGAGGATAATCTGACTTCTTTAGGGCCCGGGACCTCTAAACTATGATTATTCATGGACCTTAAGGTCCTCTGCGGGGAAGACCATAAGAGTGTGTGTACCTATGCAGTCCTCTCTTTCCCATGTCCTGAGGTTTTCCCCCTTTTAGTTTACTAAGCTGCTGCGCAAACAACAGCGTGGTGCTGCAAAGGCAAGCAGGAGCAAAGGGCAGACACCGTGCCCCAAACCAGGCTCCTGCCCAAGTGTGCCACAACCCCCAACGGCAAATGTTGCCCCTGGGACTCCGGTCTGCCATTTGGCTTCTAGGGACACACAGCTAAGATGTATTCAGAACAGGAGCAAAGACACCACATACTCTCAAGGCGTCAGGGCAGTTTCCTTCCGAGTCAGCCGGCTCGATGTCGAAGTCCTTCTTGCTAATGGTCAAGACCACGCGGTATCCTGGCTCCAGGATGACACGGTAATCGCAGTGCGAGTTCTCAGGGTACAGGCTGGGGTAGTTGGGGCTGGTGATCTCCCCGGACAAGTCAGTGTACACATTCCCAGTGCAGTTCACTAGAGTTTAGGGAAGAGAAACGGCCAGGAGATCCGTAACAAAGTTAGATTACTTTCTGCTGAAGCTAGCGCTCTTCTAGGTATCTTGCTTAAAGCTACCTCCCAAAATATCTTTTGCCCCTTGTGTTAAGGCCCAAATATTAGATGGGCTAAAGTATCAACAAAGGGCAACACTTACCGGTAATCAATGGCATTTTTACCACCCTCATGTCATGTGTGTGTGTGCTTGCACACGGATGCATGCCGTGTTTCCATCTCAGAAAACAAAATATCATGGGCTTCTTCGATAAGTGTCAGTAATAGTAAAAACTTCCTGATATCAGTTCCCTTGGTGAACTCTCACTGTTTCCCTTAAGCTTTCAGACTCAAAACACCAGCAAAGCACCTTCCTTCTCTTTATATTTCAGGTTCATTTTGCAATAAGCAAAAGCAAATTAGGATGTTTGTTTAATATTATTTGTTGCATGATTATTATTTTTTTGCTACCCGTTTCTAACTTGTAAATAAAAGGTTTTCTGCAAAAATACATGTATTTTAAAAAACACAAAAGTAACTGATACTGCCAATGAAGCAGGATTTTTTTCATATTCCATATTTTCTTTTTTCTTATTAGATTTTCATAACTTTAACCAATTAATTTCAATTATTTTATACAGTTCTCTTATGAACTGACTTCCCAACTTTCCTTCCATGTTGTTTTTAAACCCATCCCTTTTATTCACTGCATGACATCATACATTTCACCTAATACATATTCCTCTATTATATCACATATTTCCTCCAATACATCTTTCTGTATTTCATATATTATCATTATTTTCCTATTGCTCAAATTTCAAATCCTGCCGGTGGTTTCATCCAATTATGATATATTCCATATTTTCTTAAAATGAAATTCTGCTCACAGGTAATCCAAAATCCAGGGAAGCTGGATTCTGTAACCTGTATTAATAAAGGTTATCAAGAAAATGTGCATAATTTCTCTTAATCTCTGTGTTTATTCTGATATATGCTATTTTGCATGGTTTTTTGTTTTGTTTTGCTGGGCACAGAAGAGATAAGGACACGGAAGCCTTTTGGCTTCTGAGATTTCTGCACACTTTCAAGCATATATTAAACAGCCATAAGGACTAGAAACTTTCTCTTTAAAATAAAATAATTAAAGCAAATATTCTTAGGAAGCTGAAATATATACACTGTATGCTTTTTTTTCTGTGCACCCAGAGGATCATGGCAAACACACAGCTCTGATTTTAAACTTTTGTTGCTACTTGCCTGTGTTTTCCCTGTTCAAGTAATTTGAAAACTAATAATAATAATAATAGTAATAGTAATAATAATAATAATAATTTATTATTTATACCCCGCTCATCTGGCTGGGTTTCCCCAGCCACCCTGGGCAGCTTCCAACAAAACACTAAAATACAATAACCTGTTAAACATTAAAAGCTTCCCTAAACAGGGCTGCCTTCAGATGTCTTCTAGAAGTTTGGCAGTTGTTTTTCTCTTTGACATCTGGTGGGAGGGTGTTCCACAGGGTGGGTGCCACTACCGAGAAGGCCCTCTGTCTGGTTCCCTGTAGCTTTGCTTCTCACAGCGAGGGAACTGCCAGAAGGCCCTCAGCACTGGACCTCAGCGTCAGGGCAGGACGATGGGGGTGGAGACGTTCCTTCAGGTATACTGGACTGAGGCTGTTTAGGGCTTTAAAGGTCAGCACCAACACTTTGAATTGTGCTCGGAAACGTACTGGGAGCCAATGTAGGTCTTTCAAGACCGGTGTTAATGTGGTCTCGGCGGCCGCTCCCAGTCACCAGTCTAGCTGCAGCATTCTGGATTAGTTGCAGTTTCCGGGTCACCTTCAAAGGTAGCCCCACGTAGTGCGCATTGCAGTAGTCCAAGTGGAAGATAACCAGAGCAGGCACCACTCTGGCAAGACAGTCTGTGGGCAGGGAGGGTCTCAGCCTGCGTACCAGATGGAGCTGGTAGACAGCTGCCCTGGATACAGAATTGACCTGCGCCTCCATGAACAGCTGTGAGTTCAGAATGACTCCCAGGCTGCACACCTAGTCCTTCATGGACACAGTTACCCCATTCAGGACCAGGGAGTCCTCCACACCCACTCGCCCCCTGTCCCCCAAGAACAGTACTTCTGTCTTGTCAGGATTCAACCTCAAAATGATGTCATGTTGCCCAATACTACCTGTTATGATATGCTGGGGTTTCTGGCTTAATGGGCTTTAGCATGAATGAGCAGTGTGCTGCCGCACATTGCACAATTGCTTCCAGTTTGCTCCTCCCATGGACCAAGCGGGAGAAACAAACCAAGAAGGCTTGGCTTCTTGCAGCCTTCGAACCAGGCACCGTGGTTTGAATGTGGTTTGTTGCTCCCTAAGAAGCCACTTTCGGTAATTTCCTAGCCATCATGCCGTGCGAGGGAGACTTGGATCAAGAGTACTGGGAAGCCAAAGATTTCTCCTGCTTGTCCCAGGCGAGGAACGAAGTTGGGATGACTGAGCAACATGCACCAGCATGCTGTGATAAGAAAAAAATCTAGCTCGTTAGTACATGTAAGCAAAGCCAACTTTTCTTTTCTACTGTATTGAGTTTCTGTCATAGGTTGTCGCTTTTAAAATGTGACTTATTCTTTCGTAATTTTAAAAATCTTAATAAGAAATAAGAAACAAAAATATATATTCAAGTGAATTAGTGCCAAGAATTTGCACATGCCTATCTTGACTGTGTTTCCACTGGGCTTGGCAAAGTCATACCAGAATTTCCATGCCTCCGTTTCCTATGCCCTCACTTAGTCTCCCACAGTTTATCAACATATTTCTAAGATTCAAGGGCTCAGATCTGAATCCTGAATGACGTCTATGCAGGCTGCATCTTGCTGCCCCCTTGGCCTGCTGTATGACACATTATCTAAACATCCTTCAGATGCTTTTTGTAAAAAGCCAAACCCTTTTTTCAGATTCCTCATTCTAAGTCTCCTTCCATTACATCGGAGGGAGGCGGGGTCTTAGCTCCCAGTGTTTGGGATGATTTAATTATATTTCTTTATTATGCAATGCTAGTTTATTTTCCTTTCCTTGTGAGCAACCACAGTTTCTTTCCATTTATCAGCCTCTGTGGAAGTTCACAGGCTGCAAACACTTTAAAGTGCAATGTTTCTCTCAAAGAAATCTGGACACTGTACAGTCATACCTCGGGTTACAGATGCTTCAGGTTGCGTATTTTTGGGTTGCGCACCATGCCGAACCCGGAAGTACCAGAATGGGTTATGTTTGGGTTTCGGCGCTTGCGCATGTGCAAAAACAGTAAATCGTGCTTTGCGGATGCGCAGAAGCACTAAATCGTGACCCGTGCGTGCGCAGACACGGCGCTAGGGGTTGCGAATGTGCCTCCCGCACGGATCACGTTTGCAACCCGAGTGTCCACTGTATTTTACTCCTCACGGGGTTACAATTCCTAGCAACCAGTAACAAACTACAGTACCCAGAATTCTTTGAGGGTGTGTGTGCTTTGAATGTACTTTAAAGGTATAGTGTGTAAACAGCCACAGTTCCACAGTAGACTGCTGAAGTTCTTCCCATTTCAAGTACCGTATCAGCAGTGGGGATAAGGACTGTGATTGCTGGAGCAGTAGCAACCAGGCTCCTACCTCCACACGTCTTCAGATCCTCATGCAAGAAATATTCAGGTGGGCAAGAGCAATAGTAGCCACCAATATAGTTGTTGCAGTAATGGCTGCAGGCCTCTTCCACAAAATCTGTGCATTCATCCACATCTGCAAGAAGTGAACAGAAATGGAGGTAAGAACGTGTGTGGAATATCATAAAAGGCAGAAAGGAAAAGAGACAGTGGGATAAACACTGTGCTGGTTAAGGGAGAAGAGGTCCTTCATTTAAGGTAGAGTCCCAATTATTCCTTCTTTTTTGCAACCCTCACACAGCCTCCCTGGAACAGCCAGATTCAGGTAGGCCCTGCCACCTCTCATAAACTTCCACTTGCCTTCCTCTCAGAGTTCGGAGCCTGACCCCCCCAAGTGCTTAAAAGACAGCCGTCTCTTATGGGATCCAAAACAGATCTGTAAGCAGCCTTGAGTGCCATAAGGGGGGAAGGTGGGGCAGAAATAAATAACTTTTATTTGGGCACTACAATTTAAGAAGGATGTTGAGAAGCTGGAACATGTGCAGAGGAGGGCAACCAAGATGATCAAGGGTCTGGAAACCAAGCCTTATGAGGAACGGTTGAAGGAGCTGGGTATGTTTAGCCTGGAAATGAGGAGACTGAGAGGAGAAAGGATAGCCATCTTCAAATATCTCAAGGGCTGCCACATGGAGGATGGAGCATGCTTGTTTTCTCCTGCTCTGGGAGTTAGGACTCGAATCAATGGCTTCAAGTTATCACCCAGGGTGTCTATTGGGAAGTTTGTGGTCTTTTATGCACGCAACCATCAGGCCATTTCAGACCACATGTGACAGTTCCTCAGAAACACCTCCATTCTTGGTCAACTCCTAGTTCTGCATCCTAAGCAATCTATGTACTAAATATGCAGATATGTACTAGATGATGGCTTAAGTGAGAGCCAGTGTGGTGTAGTGGTTAAGAGCGGTAGTCTCGTAATCTGGTGAACCAGGTTCACTTCCCCGCTTCTCCACATGCAGCTGCTGGGTGACCTTGGGCTAGTCACACTTCTCTGAAGTCTCTCAGCCTCACTCACCTCACAGAGTGTTTGTTGTGAGGGAGGAAGGGAAAGGAGAATGCTAGCCGCTTTGAGACTCCTTAGGGTAGTGATAAAGCAGGATATCAAATCCAAATTCTTCTTCTTCTTCTTCTTCTTCTTCTTCTTCTTCTTCTTCTTCTTCTTCTTCTGTTGTTATGATATCCTTGCTATAATTCCTAAACAATTTCCATAACCAGTGTTCTTAATACTCTGCCCTTCTTCTTAGCTGGGGGGTAGGGAGAGATATTTAATCTTGAAGTGGGCCCTTGAGCCTTGCTAAGAATCTGGCTTGTCCATTCAGTGGAATCTGAACGGGTTCCTCCTATAGCCATCCCAAAGCATTGCTGGGAGGAATACAATATCTACAAAGTGTTTCATACACCAGGATGAGACAGACCAGGGCTTACCCTCTGCAATGTAATAGGCAGCAAAGCCAGTGAATCGCTCTTCATTGGAAAAGTCAGACTGAAAGGTGACTGTCAACGTGTTATATGGGACATGGAATTCTTCCAGGACAGGTGAGCCAGGAGTGCGGCTCTTCTTCTGCCCGCAGAACTGACCCTCAATTTGGTTACCGATCAGGACCTAAAAGTGACAGGCACACAAGACAAGTCTCTCTTAGCTTCTGCTTATAGAAATAGATTGTAAAGGTAAAGGTACCCCTGACCATTAGGTCCAGTCGCAGACGACTCTGGGGTTGCGTGCTCATCTCGCTCCATAGGCCGAGGGAGCCGGCGTACAGCTTCCGGGTCATGTGGCCAGCATGACTAAGTCGCTTCTAGCAAACCAGAGCAGCGCATGGAAACACCGTTTACCTTCCTGCTGGAGTGGTACCTATTTATCTACTTGCACTTTGACGTGCTTTCGAACTGCTAGGTTGGCAGGAGCTGGGACCGAACAACGGGAGCTCACCCCGTCGCGGGGATTCAAACTGCTAACCTTCCGATCGGCAAGCCCAAGAGGCTCAGTGTTTTAGACACATCGGTTCAGCACCAGCACCCCCCCCCAATGCTGTGTATCTACCTGCCCCAGCAGTGGAATGGGGCCCCTGTACCTTCACGGAGTCATATTGGCAGTTTTGAGACGGCTCTATGTCCAGGTGGGTGAAGTAAAGATGGATGCCGTAACCAGGAGGCACGCTGATTTCCCAGGATTCCAGAGCATTGTTGGGATATGCCTGAGGATAGTTTGGAGACAGGATTTCCCCGTACATGGAAGCTGCCTCAGTGCAAGCCAAGAGGAAGCAGGAAACAAAGCCCCTAAATAGGAGAAAGGAATATTGATAGGTAAAGGTAAAGGGACGCCTGACCATTAGGTCCAGTCATGACCAGCTCTGTGGTTGTGGCACTCATCTCGCTTTACTGGCCGAGGGAGCCGGCGTACAGCTTCCGGGTCATGTGGCCATCATGACTAAGCCGCTTCTGGCGAACCAGAGCAGCCCACGGAAACGCCGTTTACCTTCCCGCCAGAGTGGTACCCATTTATCTGCTTGCACTTTGACGTGCTTTTGAACTGCTAGGTGGGCAGGAGCAGGGTCCAAGCAATGGGAGCTCACCCCGTCGCAGGCATTCGAACCACTGACCTTCTCATCGGCAAGCCCTAGGCTCTGTAGTTTAACCCACAGCGCCACCCGCGTCCCCTAGCTACTGTAGCTGTGCCTTTATTAGTAGCTTGCAGACATTAACAGGGAATGATTTCCTCCAAACTGTAAAAAGCTGCTAATTTTTGTGGGCCATTATCCTGTTAAAGGCAGAATAAGCACAACAGCCTTTTTGCCACAAGCAATGGGAGCTTACCCCGTTGTGGGGATTCGAACTGCCGACCTTCTGATCGGCAAGTCCTAGGCACAGTGCCACCCACGTCCCTCTAAATAGGAGAAAGGAATATTGATAATGGCTACCAATTCTACTCTCTGCCCCATCTACCTATGACCCAAGGGGTGGAAGAGTTAAGTCAATTTGATTCAGCACCCCTAAGCAGCACAGGATTGCTTCTACTATCTAGGGAGTAGGTGGTAAAGTTGCACTGCTGAAAACACAACTGAGGGAATTTGGTTCCTACATTTGAGGTCAGCAACAGGGGCCACTGAGGAAGATGCTTTTCTTTGATGGGTAGTATTTAGACCTTTGGCAAACGAGGAGTGTGGACAAGAAGCATCTTCGGCAACTATTACAGTGGAACCTTGGTTTTTGAGCGTCTCAGAAGCCAAACGTTTCAGAAGCCAAACGCTGAAAACCTGCTTCCGTTTTCAAACACACCTTGGAAGTCAAATGGCTTCCGCTGCATGTTTTTATTTTTTCCCCAATGGATTTTGCCGGCCGCCCATTGCTCCTTGGTTTTCAAATGTTTCGGCAGTCGAACGGTCTTCCAGAATAGATTACGTTCAAAAACTGAGGTTCCACTGTAGAACAAAGCCACAAACTCTTGTGGGGAGAGGGGTGTGTGCCTTGCCTGCCTCCCCCAACCCCTTCTTCAGCAAAAGTAGTTGCTGGCCAGAGTCTCACCTTATTAGCTCATATTTTCAATAACTTACCAAGTCTGCAAGAGTTCCATCTTGGCCTTCTTCCTCAAATCCACTGTGGCTGGACTTCAGATTTAGACAAACAAAGCACGCTGGCTTGTTTGTCTTCTTCCCCTGAAGCGGGCCTGGTTGGTGGGCAGAGCAATGGAGTTAAAACCCAGCTCACGGAAGCCATAGGCACCCAGCCCCTACTAACCTTTAGCAAGGGAAACTGATTCCTAGAGTAGCGCAGAGTGCAACATGATGCACGCTTGCCCACAAAGTGGCAACAGGGTCATTTGCACCATGTAAAGGCAATAGGTCAGGAACTGAGCCGGAGAGAGAGATTCATCACAGACATTACCTGCAACTTATGCAAGACAGCTATCTCCACCCCACCCCGCAAAACAACCATAGAAGCTTAGGAGAAGCATCATTTTCTTTCCCAGAAAGGCTGACTCCCATCAGGAAACATTTAACTCAAATGCTAATACTCAGATTCTGGGTTTTTTATATAAAAAAAACAAGTTTTTTAAAAGAATTTTACCTTGCACTCCTCGTTTCTGCAGCTGTTTCTCTCTTTGTCTGGCTCTTCTATCTCCCTCTTCATAATCCTCACCAACCCTTATCCACATTTCTGAGCTGTTAATGTCACTTAATTGCAGACCTCCATTGCCCTCTGCTGTTTGAAAGATGCCATCCTCCGGCTTTACTAAGAAATCCTATCCGAGAGAGAAAGTTCTAATAGTCTCTGGTTGCACAATCCTGTTTTTCTTTTTTGGCCAGGCCCAAGTCTGTGAGATGGGGAAGGCTGGATCCTTTCAAACTGGGCATTTTTCGGGGAAGTCAGGTGACTTCTGCAAAGAGAACAGGGGACGGGGAATTCCAGATTGGGGGAAAAAGTTCAAACATTATGCAATCTTCCCTCGCCTTTTTGTTTGTCGTCATCCGTTGACCTCCAATCACTTTCCAGAAAGGGCAAAAAACAAACACACAAAACACACATGGAGAATTAGAAGCACCCAAAAGATGAAAACAGGTTTCTTATCATGTATGTTTTTTGTCACACTTATTTAGTGTCTATATGGTCACATATGTAGGTATGGCTAGAAACATATATCCTGATTACCAAGAGAAGAAACAATTTTGAGGTGGTGTTTTTTTCGCACCGTTAGAACAGTGATATTTTTCTAGGAAAAGAGGTGCCAGAACTCACTGTGAATGCCTCCCCATTCTCTTATAATGACCATGGGGCCACGTGAGAGGTGCTGGAACTGAGTTCCAGCTGGGAAAAAAGCCCTGCATGAGACCAAAAAGTCAAGCAATGCGAGAGACAGCAGAGTCTCATGGTAGTATGAAAACCCTCCAAGTGCCCCTAATTGCCAGGGGCAGTCCTGGATTTACAGAAGCCGTTCTAGTTGCTGATTTGATCCTGGAATGTCCCACTTTTCCTTAGGTAAAGGGACCCCTGACCATTAGGTCCAGTCGTGGCCGACTCTGGGGTTGCGGCACTCATCTCGCTTTAGTGGCCAGGGAGCCAGCGTACAGCTTCCGGGTCATGTGGCCAGCAGGACTCAGCCGCTTCTGGCGAACCAGAGCAGTGCACGGAAATGCCATTTACCTTCCCGCCGGAGTGGTACCTATTTATCTACTTGCACTTTGACGTGCTTTCGAACTGCTAGGTTGGCAGGAGCAGGGACCGAGCAATGGGAGCTCACCCCATCGCAGGGATTCGAGCTGCTGACCTTCTGATCAGCAAGTCCTAGGCTCTGTAGTTTAACCCACAGTGCCACCTGCGTTCCTTAGGACGTCCCTATTTTCATCAGCAAAATGTTGGAGGGTATGGTAGGACGCCCCCATTTTCTTTTTTCTACATCAGATAGGGGCTTCCATTCCAAAGTTCTTTTGTGCAGCCGAAGCACCAGTCTTTTTTATGATGACCTGGAAATAGAACTGCAGTTGTGTTTCTATATTACACCACGTTTAGCTTTTTCACAATGCTACAGCCACACAGCTAAGCCAAAAAATGGGTGAATATTACTAAGTTGGAACTGGTAATGTGATAGGTTTTCAGCATGTTGACTCAGAAGTAAATTATGTTCCTTTCAGAGGTAGTTCTTCCCAAGAAAGCGTGTTTAAAATGGTGGCTTTCAGTCAGCAAAGGTCTCCCCTTTGATGTGGTTTAACGTAGTTCTGCTTCTTCTGCGACATTGCAGAAACTATTATTTAATTGCTCTTTTTTTAAATTGCTGGAAATTTCATGGCTGATAGAGCTGATAGCAGGGCAAAACAGTGATGCTGAAATGCATTGTTAGGTAGACGTGGAAATGAAATTTAGCCAGAGATTAGTAGCAGTCTAACAATGCCTCCAAAACATATGGAAAAAAGCAGAGTGAATGCCTTTTCCTCATTTCTACAGGAAACAGTGACAGAATGGAGTGTCAGCGGATTATCACATCCTCCAATGTTTTGGGAGGGCAATTTGGGGTGCTCCTCCCACATTACAACCCCCATTATGGGCCCACTTGCACGTGCCACCACCCACCCGCAAGCTTGCTCACTCACTCGCCTTCACTGGTGGAGGAACGGTGGGCGGGGGGAGTGTACCGCCCCCGGCACCATCAGGGAGGGGGGTACCATCGCAGCCGGCCCCCCCGGACATGCGCGACACACCTCCACTCCCATCGTTCAGCCTGGACACTGAGGTCCAGCTCCGAGGGCCTTCTGGCGGTTCCCTCACTGAGAGAAGTGAAGCTACAGGGAACCAGGCAGAGGGCCTTCTCAGTAGTGGCACCCGCCCTGTGGAACGCCCTCCCATCAGATGTCAAGGAAATAAACCACTATCTGACTTTTAGAAGACATCTGAAAGTAGCACTGTTTAGGGAAGTTTTAATGTTTGCTCTTTTATCGTGTTTTTAATGTTCTGTTGGGAGCCTCCCAGAGTGTCTGGGGAACCCCAGCCAGATGGGTGGGGTATATTATTATTATTATTATTATTATTATTATTATTAGCTTGGCTCAGGAGTGGTGGGATTTGTAGACAAGCAACATCTGGATAGCCACAGATTGCCTAACCCTGTGAAACGTCAATCCCCAGCTCCACATATATAAGGACAGCAGGGGGCAGCAGATCACAACTTAAAGGGCACCATCTCAATGGCCCAACTGATTTTAGAGACCAACTCTCTCTCAGCATGGTCCACTGCCCCAACTTCACCGAATCTCAGCTAACAAGGTTAAGAGCTTGTTGAAATCTGTTTGCAACCCCCAAGCACAGAGTACAAGAGCTGGAGGGAGAAAGAGATTTGAGTCAAAGGTAACAAAAGGGTTGGGACGCTGGTGGCGCTGTGGTCTAAACTACTGAGCCTCTTGGGCTTGCCAATCAGAAGGTCGGCGGTTCGAATCCCCACGACGGGGTGAGCTCCCATTGCTCAGTCCCTGCTCCTGCCAACCTAGCAGTTCGAAAGCACGTCAAAGTGCAAATAGATAAATAGGTACTGCTCCAATGGAAAGGTAAACGGCGTTTCCATGTGCTGCTCTGGTTCACCAGAAGCGGCTTAGTCATGCTGGCCACATGACCCGGAAGCTGTCTGCGGACAAACGCCAGCTCCCTTGGCCTATAGAGTGAGATGAGCATGCAACTCCAGAGTTGTCCGCGACTGGACCTAACAGTTGCTTTTCTCTGACAAATGCCAGGATTGAATTTCTGTTCCATAACTACAGGTGCTTCCACACTAGGAGCAGGAGGCACCTCAAGAACCTTGTTGGTGGAACATTTATAAGAGCACCGGCGTTGAATTCCACCCTTGGTGGTTACTCCAGAGTTGGCAAGCTTTATTGACTCACTTTTTGTGATATTATAATCCAGTCACTGCCTGCCTTTTATCTTCTTTGAGCCCCTTTTCAGACTGTAGAAAAGCTGGGGGTTTTTTGTGGGGGAGAGAGAACAGAACAGCAGAACAGGTACGGATTGCATTAGTCCTACTCTTCCATCTATTTTTAAAGATTTATTTTTACATGTAGCTACATTGTAACACAAATTCAGTATCAGCGCTATCATCACAGCGTACCTTTTGATCTATTTTTTAAAAATGATATATTTGTGTATTAGGGCTTAAATGCATGTGTTTAGCACAAATTAAAATGTTGATTCCCACCCCCACCCCCAGTACACTCTCTCCCAGTCTTTCTGTTCAGTGCTATTTTATTGTCTCCATGGGATTTGAACACCGCTCTGAATTTCAGCAGTTTTATTCAGTAGTATTGATGGATCAGACCAAGTAAAGTGCTTTAAATGCATGGTGTATATATAGCCTGAGTTTGAGTGCTGGAAGATAAGAGGAAAACATTTATTTCTCCACATCATTCGTAATTTTATAAGTTTCTGTCATGTCACTCCTTCCCCTCCTCCATGAGCCAACAAAATAAAACAACAAAAAGTCTTCATATTCTCCAGTCATTTCTTGTAGGGAAGGGGCCCAAACCTTTTGATTCTTAACAACTCTGAGAAGACAGGCAAATTATTATCTCCATATTGCAGTCTGGCAGAGGTGTGGAGATTTCTGAAGATAATTTCTTGCTTAAGACCACTCAGTGAATTCGTGGTGGTGATCTTTGAGTCAGAGTTTTTCCCAAGGTGATTGGTTGCTTTCCTAGCCACCAGATAAGACTACTTCTTCGGAACTGAGGAATATTAATTCTCTCTACACAGTCACTGGTCACAGCCTTTGTTTCCACCAGCGCTGCTGTGTTTTTAGCAGATGCACAGTCAGCAACTCATGTGCAAGTCGCCTTGAGACAGTGGTTGAGAAGGTGATTGATAAATCACTTGTAATAATAATTATGATGATGATAAACCCAACCCCTAGTACTGAAGCTTTGCCCATCAACTGCATCTTGGCTGCCGGGAAGCCTGCACCATTTGAATTCCTGCCTTCCAGGCAAGCGCTTGAAAGGTAAAGAGTAGGGGTGTGGGGTGGGGCGCCCTGAAAATCCCATTAGCAGCTCCTCCTTTCCTCCCAACTAGTTCAGGTTGTCTGGACTCTCGCAGCATACTGCCTCTTATAAGTGGTATGTAAATGGCTGAAATACATAAAATTCCAGTTTCTCTAAATATATATATATATACATACAGAGACTCTATCTCCTCAGAGTATTGCAAAAGAACGATGCCTTTTTTTAAAAAAAAGAAATTTTATTAGAAATTTCAACACAGTGATTTTAACAAAAATACGTCATCCACATTGTTTCCCCCCCTCCATTTCCCCCCTAAACAAAAAACCCAACCTCCCCCCACCCCACCGGACTTCCCTCAGCTCCTTTCTCTGGTTTCTCAACACATCTTTCTGTCTGCATGTTGTAAAATTGTAAAGATCCTCAAATTATCTATCTATATATTACAATAGTTTCTGAATGTTTATTCAAACAAAAGAACGATGTCAATCAACATTTGATGATCTCCTTCAACAATAGAAAGTGTCCTTTCATACTGGATCATGGTGTGGTACGCTGGTTTGCCATCATATGATAGGAAGCGCCTACAGAGGGTGGTGAATACAGCACAAGATATTATAGGTTGTCCCGTGAATCCGCTGGATGAAAGTGCGGAAGAATGTTGCCTCAGGAGAGTGTGGAAAATTCTCAGGGATGATTCACACCCTGGCCGGCACTTTCTTGATCTCCTGCCCTCAGGCAGAAGACATAGAAGCATGATTATTCGCACCAACAGGGTAAAGAACAGCTTCTATCCATGGGCTGTTAGGCTGCTGAATGAAAAGATAACAACAGGGCAACTGAGTTTCGGGTTTGGTGGGTGTGCGTCAGTAAACGATGGGAATTAAGACGAAGAGAGTTGAGTGGGGGGTACTCGTGTAATCTCACTGTATACAAGTTGTACAAGTGACAATAAAGTATTTTTTTTAAATACAGTCTACCTTGGTAAAGGAGAAAATTGAGTTCTCCTGAAAATTCTGTTTGCCGAACGTTCCAAACGGCCAGTTGCCTGGAGTTATTATTTGTGCTGTTGTGAACGTTCAAAACAAGCTGCATTCTAACTGCCAAGGAACTGAAAGGAGCTCCAGTTGCTACAGTTACCAGATCAGACGAGCTCCAGTCTTTTCAGATCTTTTAGGTCAGACACAAGTAAGGAAGAACTGGAAAAAGCCCTTGAGTACTAGAGTCCAGTTGAAGAACCCAGGGTAGGATACAACAGGAATGAAACAATAATTTGAATGGAATGTACATAAGAGCAACAAATTGGATACTGTAATATCCAGGATTGGAGCCATCCCATAGCCACAGAACTGAGTTTGGCATAGATTCCGTTTTCATATGCCTTTTATATCTCCCTGAAGTAGTGGAGTGGTCTTTGAACTCAAGTTTCACAGCAGATCCACAAGGCCTTCAATTTAGCCTCAGGGTTGGGCTCTCAATTTCCATGACGTTTTCTGGATCAGTGGCCATTGCTTCCTTGGAAGAGTCTATTTCCCTGAATCTCCAGAAATTCTTTTCACCAAGAACAAGCATTCTGCTTCAGAGCTGCAGTAAAGTACCCCACATAAATAGAAGCTCCAATGCATTGCTCTTATGGAAGGAGCGGCGATCCCAAAACTGCAGGGAACTTCCTTCGCTAGGATGGAAGACATATTCCAGGAAATTGAGCACGAATGTTCCTGCAGCTAAGTCCAGAATGGCTCCAATGGGGGTGGGGGGAAGAGAGTAAAGATGAAACCTTTGTGTTTTCTGGGCTTGAAGACATTATACAGGGCATCCAAAAAACTGAGCACATTTGCAATGGAGGCTAATGGCATGAAACCCTGATCAATAATCATTTCGGAAGGGAAGGACTCATGATCAGCTAATGCTGTGCACACTACGTTTATCTTCTTGATGGTAACTCTATGCAGAGAACAGGTGCCCCAGAGCCCAATCCCTACAAGGCCAGGGCTGCTGATGCCCACAATGTTGTCGACATACCACACCATTCATTGGACACTGGCAGATGCACATAACGCAGCTACGAGAGCCAAGACAAACGCATCTAGTTGGAAGCAAGATAGCCTGCAGAGCAACCATACAGGAAGAGAGCCATACGCTGCCTCAGGTGATGCTTTACCTCAGGTATTGGCAAGGTGGGCAACTGAAGGCATCACACCTGACAGGAAGTGAGCATGGCCACTTTGTACCACCAGGTGAGCCACTTCTGCATGTAGAATGGGGCAAGGAGACTTTTCCAAACCAGAGGCCACATTCCCACATGGCAACGTTAGAGGGCTATAGTCAGCAGGGGCCTGCTGACAGTCGGGAGTGCAAAAGATGTGGCAGTTCTCATGGGACAGTGGCGTGTGGTCAGTGGACTAGGGGGAGTAAGCTAGTCTCTTAAATGTTCCCCTGGTGCTTCCTTCTCAAAGCCCGGGAAGCTTCTGCCTGGCTTAGGGAGGGAGGTGCGTGACGTCGCTCCCACATCTCGTTTGCAAACTGTTTCCCTACGAAAAAATTCAGGCCTGGAGTCGGGGACTGGAGCAGTCCTTCCAAGGTTTGATTGGCTGGAATGTGTCCTTGGACCATTCGTCTTGCTTGCTTAAGTGAGGGATGGAGCTGTGAGTGCACATGTAGCAGTGGCACGCGGTGAAATTTTTCGTAGGGGAACGGTTAGGGGCAGAGGCACCAGCTTGAGGACGTGATTGGGGGGAGGCGACGTCACGCGAATGGTCAAGCATGTGGGCATCGTTCCTCCCTCCCTGTGCCAGGAAGAAGCTTCCTGAGCTTTGGGAAGGAGGTGCCAGGGAAACATGAGGGAAACTAGCCTAGTCCACTGACCATACACCGCTGCTCCAGGCTCAGGCTTTGATTTTAACTGGAATGGGCCATTCTGCCCCAAATTCCTGTATGGTCACTTACGCTGGTCTTGCTTCCCAAATCCCATCCCCACGGCTTCCCACCAGATTTCACTGCACCCCCCCTCCGGGGAAGCCTGGTGAAGGTCTCCAAAATGCATCTCAGTAAAAATTAGTTTCATGCAAGTTTCTGAAACTGGCAATAGTCAGGCTGTGAATTCCGGTAGGGGCTTCTCTGCGTCTGAGACTGAAGAAATGAGAAAGCACAGCATTCCTGGCTTCTTTGTTTGGCCTTTGGGGCTATTCCCAGGTCACACACCAGGGCCAGCTCAATATATTTTGGCAGCGGCAGCAGGCAATGTGTTTCTTGGAGGCTGGATCTGCCCCTGTGGATCCTGCCACCCTAGGGGGTCGCCTCACCTTGCTTCATGAGTGGGCCAGCCCTGCCAGACCATCATTGCAGCTTCTCATCACCTTCCTTGAATGCTTTTGCCTGGCTGGAATGTGTCCTTGAATTGTAATAATGCCTCTTGCTTGCCTGGTTGGCTGGATGTATGTATATCTGTGTGTGTAGAAGTCGGTGACATTTGCATCGCTGGAATGTAACCTAGTGAAGAAAGATAATTGTCACATGCATTGCTATACCGACTTCTGCCTTTGAAACCAGCCACCACTGGCAACAAGGGAAAGTAGCCCTCTGGCTGAAAGTTATCCCCCACCTTTGTCCTATGATGGGCCTGCTTCCTCCAGAAACGTCTTCTCTTCTTTCTTAGTCAATATGATCTTCATTAGACCTCAACAATTTGTGCAGAATAAAGCTTCTGATGGATATTACGCATTCCCTTCAGCAAACCTTTGGTTTGGACTTAGTCTGACCCTTATGTTTCCCTCCCCTTATGGTTTTGATTTTTAAAATGAGGCTGCATTTTAAATTGCATTTTAACCTGTATTTAATTTTTTTTTTCTTATTTTGTTTTTACTGAAATTTTATTGGTGTTAGGCGCCCTGAGCCCGGCTCTGGCCAGGGAGGGCAGGAGAGGATGTGTGCCAGGAGAGAATGGCAAGTGTGGCAGGAAGATTCAAGGGCAATCAAAGAAACATTTAAACATTTCAGTGTAGTCTAGTGTTAACTTTTTTTGTTAATCGCAGAATATGGGTAGATTTCAAAATGAGAGCAATCTGCAGACAATCCTGGTTGTGATGCAGAATTGCCGTTCAAACTGCAGTGCTGGAGAATAGTGTTGGCTATTCTTCTACAGTTCTCCATGACACATTCTTGTGAACGGTGATTTTCAGCCTTGGCAAATCGCAAGGGATCGATGCCTTAGGAGAGCGAGAAAAATTCTCAGGGACGATTCACACCCCGGCCAGCACTTCTTTAATCTTCTACCCTCGGACAGGAGATATAGAAGTATAATCAGTTGTACCAACAGGCTAAAAAACAGTTTCTAGCCATGGGCTGTTAGGCTGTTGAACGGAAAATAATATAGTGCAACTGACTTTCGGGGTTGGTGTGTTGTGCGACAAGCACACAGAGTGCAATGAGATTGAGTGTTTGTGCGAGGGAGGCTCTGTTAATTTCATTGTACACAAGTTGTACATTGACAATAAAGGTATTATTATTATATAATAAGAACGATCAGAAAAGAGAGAGGCTGCTTTGCACTGATGAGGAGATGGGAGTTTGTCTCAAATTAGACCCCACAAAAATGAAATTACCCAACAAAAACAAGCTCACACCTCTCATTGAGTTTGTGTACATACTTAAGGCTCGTTCATAATTGTATTTGGGGAGGTGACTCATGTTCTTATGTAGCTGCATTGCTTTATACTTTTTGGACGTCCCGTGATCATATTATGAAGTTGTGTTCTGTGTTACAAATCAAGCCCTGCTAAGAGTTGTTGCTTCTTGTTTTTCAGTGCATTAATAAAAAATCTGGCGAGGCAGAAGTAAATTTTTATTCTGGAAGTGTGGGCCAGAGAAAAAAGTTTGAGAACCAATACCAATTTGAGTGGGGGGATCATGAGTGGGAGACAGCTATTGCGCTCCTGTTCTGTTTTGGGTTTGCCCACCCTTTGAGGGGCCTTTGGTCTGCGTCAGCAGTCTGGTTCCTATGATATTCTTATGGTCGTGGGATATGTTAGCGCTACCACTCGTGTTTGTGTGTGTGTGTGTGTGTGAGAGAGAGAGAGAGAGAGAGAGAAACTGCCTGCCGTAACTGAGGCAATACTTACCCACATCCCCCTGAAGGGGTTGCAGTGGAATGCAGCATGAAGTGACAGTTTGTTCTGCTTCGTGCGCCTGAGCCGTGTTCCTGTGAGGCAAACGTGCTCATATAACTAGATAGTTGGAGTGCTTGGCCTTTGCCAGCTTATCTGCGTGAGAGACACAGCTCTCGGCTATCACAGGGAGACGGCGTGCTGGAGTCATACAGCTGAAGCAAAGTTGCAATTTTCACCAATGGCAAAGAATTGCAGTGAGGGGCGTGGGAGACGGTTGCAGCAGCTGTAACATGGATTCGGCTTTCCCTTGCTTACTCGTGTGGGGTCAGAGGCAGTTGCTCACTTCTGTGGGATCAGAGGCAGTTTTAGGGTAGCGCGACTGGTTCGGCCACACTGGACACCTCGCTGCAGGGGACACCACAACAATGCTGTTGAGATTGGGGGGGGCCCCGTAATTTTAGTGCCGCACAGAGCGCTGCTGAAATTTGAGATCACAACGCCAATCATTGGTGGGATACCCGTGAGCATAGGAGCCAATTCCTAGGGGCCAAGGGCTCTTCACCCCCCCAATAAAATATTTGAGATGGCCGACACCTCTCCCCCCCCCCAAGTTGATAGGCATTGCCACTCAAATCGTGTGCATGCACCGCCTCATGCAATTGATTATGTGGGTGGGGCTTACCTGCCCCCCATATTTTATTGGCACCCCTGCCCATGAGAGTTTTAGGAAACATTTGAGGAATTTGCTGTCCCTGCTAAGCAGTTTCTTGTTTTTCCTGTGGGCTGCCCCGTTTCCCATCCCCGAGTTCTTTGTATGCACGTGAAACTAGAATAAATACAGCCCCATGCTGTGCACTGGGTCACTTGAGTTATTACGGGTACCTTGTGTGGAGTTTAAATAGGGGTGTTGGTGTGCTGTGATGGGGCTCAGAGTTCTGCCATATCCTATAGTCAAAATGGGGGTGTGAGCAGAACAGTTGGCTGGTGCCCCCCTCTTCCGTTGAGTTTTATAGGAGGGGGCTGAATTTTGCAGTTCTGTTGTTGTGTACAGTTCCACCATTGTTGGGGGCATAGGAGGACGCTGAAGGAAGATAAAACTGAGAATAAGTCTGTTCTCCTCCCACGTTCCCCACATCCCACTGACATCCTTGCCCTGTTCTGTTGACAGAGTTGTTCCCATCAGAATAGATACACCAGTAGGATGTTGCGCAAGCCTATCATCTGTGGTGGCAACATTCAGTATTTCATGTTCTGCTGGTACAGCAAGTCTTCATAGCCAGTAGCTCAGAGTGAGCAACCTAGTCATTCAGCCTAATTTGATGCTGACTTGGATGGGCAATCGGATGCACAGACAGGGCCCCTGAACATAGCATGGCTTAACCTTCTGTTAAAGGTGGAGGGACCCTTATTTTTTCCACCCCCCACCTGACAACCTTGGTCCTCCTCTGCCTAACTTTAAAAGCCCTCCTTAAGTCGTCATCTCAGAGCTCTGGCAAGAGTGATTTGCCCCCCGCCCAACCAGCAGCCTGCTGGGATTGGGGTGTTAAAAGAATTCTAAGGTTCCAAATATAAAATAAACGTTCATAAATGTACAAGGCAAACACATACATAAGTATATAAACCACGTGTCTGAAATAGTACAGGAGAGCAATCCTGAAACCATTTTGACTCTCCCAAATTGACCTCAAATATTTACCTGCAAGGAGGAAGCAAATGGGGAAGCCTCTCCATTGTCTTTTCCTTGCCTGGCTTAAGAGCGTATTTGTGTATGAATAGGGTGAGCCTGTGACCTGGTTTCAGGAATTAAAATATTTACCATCATGAAAGAATGGCCAGGCCACCCAGGTAAAGCAACCAGTGACCATTAACAGATATCCTGGCAAACAGGATTTCTGCTGCAGACCACCTCTTGTGATGTATTTCTGCTGTAGACCACCCTCTTCTGTGATGCTTTGGGGGGTGGTCTTGAGCTACAGGGTGGGCAATTTCAAAAGTCTATGTAAGGGCTTGCGCACCATTTTTGGGGGTTCCTCCTCCCTCCTGCATGAGGTGAGTAAGGACTCTGTTGCTTTTCAGTATACTCTGGTTGGCCTCTGTTATTTTCTCCTACCAATAGGGGACGCACTTAAGGACTCTATACGGGCTGTGGAACGTTCATAAATGTACAAGGCAAACACATACAGAAGTATATAATGAACGTTCCCCATGAGGGAAAAGGAGCAGGTTTTTTTCTGTAACGGGGGAAGAGAGAAAGAAAAGGGGGTGGCCAAATGAGAGAAAATGGTATCAGTGCCCCTGACATATTACCCTGAGGGATGGCAACCTTTTGCAGAAGGCTGGCTGGCTGAGAAGCTAAGGACGGGTGAGCAGCCTATCTGGAGTATAGAATGATGTCCTTAAACAGCAAGTGAAAATTCATTTTGTTTACCTCGGAAGGAAGCCAGGGACAAAAGTTTTAGGGAAATAAGTTTGCTGCTTAATGGGCCTTCCTTTTTAATCAGTATTGCCCTTTTAAAGAATTTGCATTGTTAGGAACTAGCAGAACAGCAGAATGGAAATAGTTATAAAGCAATAATGTGGAGTCGTTTGTATCATCTAAAGCATGCCATTTTTATTTTTAAAATAATTATAGGCCAGACAATTTATAGGCAAGTCAGAATGGACATCCTTGCCTTTAACAAACTGAAGGACAGCATCGGCTGGGATATTCTTTCTCCCTATCTCAGCTTTGCTTCCTGCACATGTTGTTGCTGCTGTTTAGTCGTTTAGTCGTGTCTGACTTTGTGACCCCCTGGACCAGAGCACGCCAGGCACTCCTGTCTTCCACTGCCTCCCGCAGTTTGCTCAAACTCATGCTGGTAGCTTCGAGAACACTGTCCCACCATCTTGTCCTCTGTCGTCCCCTTCTCCTTGTGCCCTCCATCTTTCCCAACATCAGGGTCTTTTCCAGGGAGTCTTCTCTTCTCAGGAGGTGGCCAAAGTCTTGGAGCCTCAGCTTCAGGATCTGTCCTTCCAGTGAGCGCTCAGGGCTGATTTCCTTCAGAATGGAGAGGTTTGATCTTCTTGCAGTCCATGGGACTCTCAAGAGTCTCCTCCAGCACCAGAATTCAAAAGCATCCATTCTTCGGCGATCAGCCTTCTTTATGGTCCAGCTCTCACTTCCATACATCACTACTGGGAAAACCATAGCTTTTACTATACGGACCTTTGTTGGCAAGGTGATGTCTCTGCTTTTTAAGATGCTGTCTAGGTTTGTCATTTCTTTTCTCCCAAGAAGCAGGTGTCTTTTAATTTCTTGGCTGCTGTCACCATCTGCAGTGATCATGGAGCCCAAGAAAGTAAAATCTCTCACTGCCTCCATTTCTTCCCCTTCTATTTGCCAGGAGGTGATGGGCCCAGTGGCCAGGATCTTCGTTTTTTTGATGTTGAGCATGGAATTCTGAAGAAATCAGGAAAGGGTTCTGGAGTTCAGGAAAGGGCTGTCATAAGTGACTAGGCAATTCATCGACCTGATCCAGTATGCCCTCCTTATTTTCTTACGTGCCTTTAAAAAAAAAAAAGCCAGATGATGATGATGAAAATAATGGGTTTTATTATTTCGATGATGAAATTTAATTTCCATTATAATGATGGGTTTTTATTATTCTGAAGATGACGATGGTTTTATTTTAAACACCGGTGTGGAATATATATATATAATTCTTTTTTCAGCGGCTGAACGTGCAATGCCAGCCCAAAGGCCGCGCGCGCCCCATCCTCCCGCCTCGTGCCCGACAGTAACCCCGGCAACACCTCCTCCTCCGTCCCCCCTCCCTCCCTGGGTCTCTCCTGTCTGAAGGGAGCCAATGAGAAGCGGGGATCCGCCTCGCGCTCTGGACGCCGCCCTTCCTCCCCAATAGGAAACGGCTTCCCCCTCCCTCTCCCCCCTCCCACTCCGAGACGCCGCCCTCTCGCGTGGGGGGGGGGCGGGGAGGCGTGAGTAACCTTTGCCTCAGTTACGCTTCCGAGCCGCTCGCTCCGCCCCCTGCCACCTGTTAGCCAATGAGGCGCGGGAGCTGGCGGCCCGGAGGCCAATAGGCCCGAGAGGCGGGGCGCCGCGGGGGGGCGTGGCTTGGGTGAGGGGGCCGCCGCGCCGCCGCCGCCGGTGCTGCCAGTGCCGTTGCCGGGCGTCGGAAGGGGTCACCAGAGCGGGTCCAGTCGGGCGGGCGGAGAAGATGGCGGACGAGGGCGGCGGCGGGTCCGGTTTCCACATAGCCACCAGCCTGGCGGAGGTGGCGAGCTCGCTGGGCACTTCGGAGCAGGCGCTGCGCCTCATCCTGTCCATTTTCATGGGTGGGTAAGGGACGGGGCGGAGCGGCGGGTGGTGGTGGTGCTGTGCGAGAGAGGGGAGCGGGTCGTGGCTTGCGGGCGGGACACCCCGTTCCCACGTACCCCGCGCACACGTGTGTGGCATGGAGGAGGGCAGGCGGACCCTTCTCCGCGTGGAGCAGCTCACCTGTGGCGCGAGGGATAGAGCCACACCCGCCCAAAGCCCATTCCTCCTTCCTGCACATGTTCCAGCTGTTCCTATTTTCGTCTACAAGCCGCCTTGAGCCCCTGTCGGGGGGGGGGGGAGGAAGGCGGGGTAGGAATAAACAGAATAATTATAATAACCCGCATATTCTCTGAAATGCACTTCCTGGGAAAACTGGGAGGGAGCCTCTAGCATGTGGTTAACATGCAGAGGAAGTTGCGGGGGGGGGTGTTGTAGCCCGTTGCATCTGGAGGATCTTAATTGTTTTACAAGTAAAGTTATAAGAATAAATCTTGAGGAGCAGGTGCTGGGAAAGAACTCTGCTGGAGAGCCACTGCTACTTCTTCTCAGTAGGCCACTGAGAGCTGTTTGGACAAATAGTCTGATTTACCATAAGGCTGCTTATCCTAAATTGCAGTTGTGGTGTGGTGTGGTGTGGTGTGGTGTGGTGTGGTGTGGTGTGGTGTGTGTGTGTGTCTGTGTGTCTGTGTGTCTGTGTCTGTGTGTGAGAGAGAAAACAGGAAATGGTGGGCTGCCCTTCTGTGTGGGCTTCTTAGAAGCATGTGGCTGATCACTTCGAAACAGGGAAAGGTACTTCTGTTTGATCTAGCAAGGCTGTTCTTATATATATATATATATATATATATATATATATATACACACATATATATACTGACCTCCATAGCCTTTCTGGTTTCTGTTCCCCTTGCCTTTGTTACAGATGTCTGCCATAGAGATTGGGATCAGCAAGTTGTTTGACTGACTGTCTGCCAAGGAAGGGGACAGCAAGACTTACCTACTTTTAATAACTGTGTAGAAGACAGAACTTGAGTTAAGCAGTGGCTTCTCAGTCCTATGCAGTGGGTTTCACATACCAGTCTTTTCTCTCGGAATCCATAAAAGCTTATGCTGTAATAAATCAGCTAGTCTTAAGGGTCCTGCAGAACTCTGCTGTTTGTTTTACATAGCTGTCAAAGCCATGGGAACCCTACTGTCCTTCATTACATGTATGGCAAAGGTGGCTAACCTCTAGGCCTCCAGATGTTGTTGCAGATGGTGTGCTAGGGGAGGGGTAGTACCTCTGCTGGGGGACGCATCTTGCTCCTTCTGGGGTAGTTTGTCCTGTCCACCTTTGATCCTCACCCTGCACTCAGTTCTCACCTGTGGCTCCTAGAAGCTGTTGCAATGTGATAGCAGCCACACCCCAGGAAACGGCTTCAACTGGCTGGCTAAACCAGGTGAGGGCAGTTGATGGGTCTCAAATCCTTGGTGAGTTAGGGACTTCCCCTGCATGCGAAGACAGGCTCCGGCAGGTGGAGCAGATCAAACCAATGGTGGGTCCAGTGGTCAAGTAGGCAGTTTCTGCACATGCTGTAGAGGGAATTGAGGGGCAGGTGAAGCTTGTCAGCCTGGAAAGGTAGCCCATCTAAGAGAAGGAAAACTCTGGTCCTAAACCTCAGCTGCTTTGCGGGACATCTTCAGGAGATGAAAAGGGTAAGGGGTAAACCCCACAAATCCAGAGTGGAGTTCCCGAGAGAGTTGGATGGTGCCTTGTACACTTCATTTTGCCAACTCCTGCAGCCAAGCTGGTGCCAGATGTATTACTTTGTTTTCCTTTGGACCATGTCAGCAAGGCTGAGAGGGGAGTCTTCTCGTTTGAGCAACCCAGGACCTCCATACACACTGCCCAGGCTTGCGCCCCAGGAAGGCTGCTTCGGTGCTGCTAACGTAGTGGTTTGGCAGACAGACACCAACAACAATTCCCATCATCCCCTGAGCTTTGCTAACTGGAGCTAATGGGAGTTAAGAGTTCAACATCTGGAGGATCTTAGGTTAGCCACTCCTAATCTACAATCACTCCTTGTGTACAGGTGTGTGAAATTAGCACTGATCTGCCATTAAGAGTTAGAGCAGTGAGCACTGAATAAGGGCAGCATGGCTCCTTTCCTTTTTTTCATGATTGCGGAGAAGAAGGAAGCAGAAACAGGTGCAGTTACTTTACAAATGTTCTGTGCAGTTCTTAAAGGTGCATGAGTTCAGCTGCCTGCCTTCTGAATCAGCAATCACCCCCTGGTAACAGCTGCTTGAAACTCCTGGTGGTCTGCCTGCAGCCCAAGTCTAGGGCAGAAAAATATATGAGTGACCTGGGAGCACATATGCATGTCATAAAATGAGTAGTGCTGGAGTTGTAACCTGTGACACAGTTCTAAGCATACTTCCATTGACATATTTCTAAGTACACGTGGTTAGGGCTGGAGAATTTCTAGTTCTGTCTGCCCTATTCCAAGTCCAGCACAACACAAGAAAAGAAAGGGTGGAAGGATTCCAGGTTATTTTTAGATGAAAGAAAGGTTATGTCTCCAAGCATCAGTGAAGATTGTGGGGGCACCATGTTGAGTGCTGCACATTGCTGGGCTCATGGCACCACATGCAGATTGATAGGCAGGCTTGAAAGTAAAGGATGAGTCATAGCTATGTTTTGGATTTGTGGCTTCCCAACAGCCTTTACAATGGATCTGGATGGCTTAGGGTGGTTTTTCTGAATTCTGACAGTCTTCTAAGTCTAAATCACCTAAACCAGATACCCCATTCACCCTTAGTCCTCTCTTTGGCAGGAAAAGTGTATACCTTCTTTACGCCATTGAATTTGTGTGTGCCATCTGCTGCTGTGCATAAGGATCTGTAAGTTTGGGCATGAATCAAACTTGGCATTAGAAGTGAACAATTACAGGACATCTCAAATTTCCTCCTAAAGCCAGCTAGCCAGACGGCTTGGAGAGGCACTGCTATGGCAGGAACTTACATGTATTCTTTATCTCTCTCCAGCTCTCATGGTTAATATACGTTTTGGTGGCACAAAGCTAAGTTCTGCTAGGAGGAAAGCATATCTGTGTTCCACAGAAGCCATCTTTGCAGTTTTGTGTGTGTGTTCCCAGGCCAAAAGAAATAGTCCCTCAATTCAGAGCTGCAACGTTAGAATGTCTTTTTCTGTGTTCCTTTGGATCTCTTGGCATTCTGAAATGTGGGTGGTGGACTCTCTTTTTTCCAGGGAGACCTGTTCAGCTAAATATGAATCACTATCACCAGGCTTAATTTTAAAATGTTTGGGTTTTTAGATGTTTAGGAATGCATTTCAAAGGAAAAAGATAACTGGCTGTGTTCAGTTTAACTGGGAGGACTGTATCTTAATTGTGCAAATGAAAACTAGCTCTGGGTTTATGTAAAGACCTCTGATGGGGAAACCTGAGGTGGTAATACTCCAAGATGGAACCACTCTGCTTTCAAACAGGATAGTGGTGATGCTTCCAATGAAGCAATGCTCTAGGGACCTATTTATGGTCTCTCTTACTTGCTTTTGCCAATCACTTCTAAAAACCAACTACTTCAGTTTAAATTCTCCACATGTCTTAGTCTCAGTTTAGACCAAGCATGATCATGTGTGTTTTCTCAGAAGTAAAAGGTTTGCATTGCACATACTGTGGAGAAGCATCCAAACCTGACTGGGAACTCTGCTAAGGTGTGGCTGTCTTAACTAACAGGATCATGTGGGAAAGTTGGATCACTGTTAATTATTGAGTAGGGCGAGGCAGATCTGCTGATCTTGCTATCAACTGATCTCACGTGAGAAGTATTGTGTAAATGTACTGCACTCCAGAGGTTCAGCATTGTCAAAATGCAGCACATCTTTCTTGAGCCACACAATTCCTTCTTCACTTTGATGGTCAAGAACATTATTGCTAATTTCAGGAGGCTCTTACTAATTTCTTTCTCTTGATCCTCACTTGCAGGTATTCTGGGATGATTTTGTAAATGAAACTGGAACCAATCTCCTCTTACAGAACCTCCCAGTTTGCCAAACCCACAGTGGCCATCCAGTTTCCAGAATGTGCCAGAGCCAGTGACCATGATCAGCATGTCACTTGCACCGCCACACTCTCATCCCTTAGGTCAGGGAGTAATTAACTTGTGGTCCTCCAGATGCGGTCCTACTATTCTCAACACCTGTGACTATTCACCATGCTTCTTGGGGCTGATGGGAGCCCAGTAACATCTGGAGGGGGACAGGTACCCACCTCTGCCTTATCAGGTAGCGGAATGAAAGAAGACAAGTATCCACTGACGACTTTCCCAAACAAGCTTCTTGTTCTCTTTCTTCTCATTGGGGCACCAGATTTCTCCTAACCCCTGACACCTGTCAGCAGCTTCTTCCCACTAAGGCTTGATGCAGAGCCCTTCTTTCGTGGGCTATTCGCTTCTGGTCAGTGCAGAATAGTTCACTCCCGCAATAACTTTTGCCATTTCCATCCATGCGTCATGTTTTTATGAACAGTGAGAGAGGAGACTTAAAGGGATTGACAGAATAAATATTGTTTTAAATCTAGACCAATCATTTTTTAAGCTTTTTTTCTGTATCTGTTTTGAAGTGTGCACCCTACTCTTGTGTTCCTTACAAAGATAAAATAGCCTGTCTATCTCAGATGTATCTGATGCTGGTTACATCAGTCTTGTTTATAAGATTAGTGATGGTGTGTGTTATTGCCTATCTCCTCCTCCACTTGCCAGAGCTGCTCCACCTGCTCTTTCTCTTGCCTTCTGTTCCCTACCCCAGTGTTTCCCAACCCTTTTCAGACCGTGGCCCCCTTCCAACCTTGTTTCCTTCCTGTGACCCCCATGGGCGTGGCCAAGGGGGACAGCTTCTCCTCCAGTAAGTAAAAATCAATACAAATCTGAGTTTCTGCCTCCCCCCAACAAAAATCCTGGCTATGCCCACGCCCCCCCATCCTACCGGTAGAAAGGTAGCTATTTAAATGTCTTGTTTGTAAATAGAAGAGGTTTTAGTTATAATTTTAATAATTGATACAAAATACAATTACATAAAATGATAGGAACATAATGAAATGTTGAAGCAGAAGAACATAGAATCATGGAGCTGGACGGGACCCCCAGCATCATCTTTCTAGTCCATCCCACTGCTATGTAGGAAACTCGGCTAAAGCATCTATGACAGATGGCCAGCCAACCTCTGCTTAGAAACCTCCAAGGAAGGAGAGTCCAGAACCTCCCGAGGGAGAGCCATCTTCCGTGAATTATAAAAAGCAAACAATGATTATTTGACCCCAGTTATTTGACACAGAGGGGGAAACCTACAGATACAGTCCAAAAGGCACATAGGGAGTTCTGCATATGTGGGAAAATTTTAAAAGGCTTCACTGACCTGGTACAAAAAGATCTTGTCATCCGGAGGTGCCCTGGCTGCCTAGATAAAACACTGTAGCCCCGAACACACTTACCTGGGAGTAAGACCCACTGAATCCAGTTCAGCTTTCTTCTGAGTAGACACTTACTTACTAGATGCAAGTCGGCAGCATCAGATCCCCCTCGGCTAGATGGTGGGGTGGATTGCACCCTGCACTTTGCAGAGTCAGGCCCAGGCTGCCACCGGGCCCAGCACTGGCAGCAGCAACAAGCAGCCCTGGCTCTCCCAGTCCTACCCATTGCCACCCTACCACCCCGCCTGAGCTGGGGGTTCTGGATTGCAAGCTCTACTGGTCAAAACGGGAGCCTCAGCGATTGCCCTCTCCCCCCGGAAACAAACCAGGACTGCTCCAAGAAAACACACGTGGCAAAAAGGAGTGCTAGGCCCTGGTGGGCCGCCCCCTTACCCGCTGTGATTGGCCAAGTGGATAGCCAGTCAATCAGGATTTTAAAAAATAATGATTTCCCTCTCTTCACTTCTCACTTCCCTCTGTGGCCCCCTAGGCTGGTGCTATGCCCCCCCCCAATTTGTGCGATTTTATCTTGTGGCCCCCATGGAATACGCTGGGGGCCCCCAGGGGGCCATATGGCTCCCAAGTTGGGAAACACTGTTGAACCCTACCTAATTCCATTGCCTTTAAGTTATGCTAAGGTAACGGCTCTGCAGGGCTGCATATGTGGGACACTGTGGCTGTTCCCTTGTCTGTAAACAGACAGTTCACTATCTCTCTGCCAGGCATGGTGGTTGTACTTCAAGGCGCACACTTAGGGGCCACTGTGCACATGGAACTCCTAGTAAGCACAAGCTACAGCACTTTACAAAATGCCCTGTACAGTCATTCCTTCTGGAAATGCAATCCTATATGGCATGAGCTGTATCGTAATTGGATCTTGCCCTAGCTTCGCCTGTGCTTTCAGCACCACACCTTATTAGAGGCAGCTTTACGCATCTCAGGTGAGCGTTGGATTAAAAGTGCATTCATGTCAATGGGCATTGTGTAAGATCTACAGGAAGATAGCATTTTGAACTAATATCCAGCACTGTGATCATGCTCCTCACGTTTTTATCGAATGAATGCTTTCATTTACTATGTAGTACTTCTGATTTTTCCATGTCAGGTCTCCAGCTAGCTTCCTAACTGTCACAGTCTTCCATATAATAGTTTCTGTATTCATTTGCCAGTAGTGTTTTTGGCCCTCTAGTATAAGGTTACCAGCTTTTTTTCAATGAATCCAGGGACACTTTTCAACTTCGGTGGATTTTGTATGGGGACTGATTTGTAAATCCGGGGACTGTCCCCGGGAAATGGGGACGTCCGGTAACCTTTCTCTAGTACTCTTTTGGTACTTGAAGTGGAAAGTTAGCCTTCAGCACTAGCATGTCGGCTGCCTTGATGCCCAGCATTAGGGGCTTTCGTTCTCAGCTGTCTAGTGATACTATGATATCAGCATTCTGTACCTCTCACGCTCCTTCTACATGTTTTCATGTCTCTGGATGCATTGATATGGTTGGATGTGAACAAGATTCGCAGTGCACAAAGTCTGCTATGTTTCCACCAACTCACTTTTGACTGTGTGCTCATTCCATAGCCTGTCCCTGAGAAGAAGGGTTTGCTACTGATAGCTCAATTGGTTAGAGCGGTGCTAACAATGTCAGGGTTTCAGGTTTAATCCTCATATGGGACAGTAGTGCATTCCTGTATTGCAGACGGCTGGACTAGATTATCCTCAGGCTCTACGATTCCATGATCTTGAGTTGGGTCATTGGTTTATTAGCCCAGTACTGCTCACTCTTGATTGGCATCAACTTCCCAAGGTGTTGGAAAGAGAGTGATATTTCCTAGCGCAGGAACCTGGGATGTTTTTACTGGAGGGGCTGGAAATACAACCTGGGACATTCAGCTTGCAACACCTGTGCTGGACCACAGACAGATGATCCTTCCCAGGTGAGCATTGCCAGGTCCTCAGGAAGTCCAATGTTGGATTATATAACAGTCTTTTGGATACATGTTGAGGTCAGGGATGGTCATGCCAGGAGAGAAGCTGAGGGGGCAGTTTGGGGTCACTAAGAAAGGGATCAGAATAGGAGGGATACAAATTTGACACACAGCGTACAATCGATTGGGGAGTTTTGTGCAAACCCCATTGGCACGTACCGCTGGTGCAGCTCCGAACTGTATCAGATAGGGCCTCGACAGGATAATTTCCCCAAACATTGATCCCTCTTATCTTATTTTTATTACAAGAATTTCTGCCCTGCTTCTCAATTAATTCCTAGGGTGACTTACGGTACTGTAATACAAAATCCAATAAAACATTTAAAATGTATGAAAGCACTCTAAAAATATAAGAAGGTAGCAACAAATCACCAGCCGAGATAAAAACTGATTGGACTAAGAGGCCTGGAAAATAGCCTCGCTGCTGAAATGATTTCAAAGGAGGCACCAGGTCAGCCTCCTTGAGGAGAGTGGCCCACTGTTGGGTGGCCACAGCCAGGAAGGGCCAGTCCCCAGCTGGATGCTGGTCACATCTCCAGTAGAAGGGAACCCAGAGACGGACCTCACTGAAGATCTAATGGGAGCGGACAGGGAAGGTGCTAGTAAGATCTCCTCCTGGTCCAGACTGTAAGGAGTGCTCTGTGTAAATACTACCTGCTTTTTCTTCATCAAGCTCCTAGGCAAAGCCTCTGGTATTATGAGTACATTGGAATCATGACTCTCAGTTTCATGGTATTCAGAGACTCTTAGTTTATGGTTACTCTACGTCCTCAACTTTGCCAAGAACTTTGCCACCTACCTCCTACCGTCAGGAGCATTCTGAGAATCAGCATTTCTTTTGGAACTCCTTGCTTTTATAGCTGCAAAGATAAGTTTGAAGCGAATAGTGCCCGTGATTAACGACATCATTGCATTGGCAAGGCATGTCATAAGGACAATAATCCACATTGCGTACCAGAACACTTGTGTGTGAATTTATCCCTTAAAATTACTGCTTGGTCCTGGATGTTGATAGCTAGTTATTTTTTTAGTTTGAGAGAAGAGAAGCAGTTTATCTGTGGCTGCATTAGTTTGTCTTCCGCTTTCCAGGAAAGTTGAAGTGTGACAGCCCTTGTAGCTCAGGGTGCTCTTAGAAATAAGCGCTCACCAACTTATTTCTTTTTATCCTACAATCATTACTGGGAAACTAAGGTTTTGCAGATTTCTACAGTGCTTCAGAAACTTGTTTCACCAGAGGTGCAAGTGTGCTAAATTGGTGTGTCATGCATCATCTCACTTTGTTTTTTAAAAATCTAGTGAGTATCTGCAGTCTAAAAGCTCCCAAGAATGTGGGCTGCTGCTAATTCTGCTAAAAGGATTAGGTGGCACAGAATAAGACTAATGGGATTTGAACCTTTGATTCCATTAGTAAATCATTAAACCTGAGGGTGGGGAGTAGGAAGATTTGAACCTTGAGGCTTGAAGCCTTTGGGCTATAAACTTGTGGATTTGTCCATGTGTTTCTTTAATTTCAAAACAAACAAAATAATGGAGTACAACCTCACAGGATTGGTATGAGGGTAAATGCAAGAGAAGTTGTAGCTGTGCTATATATCTGATATTAAAATAATCCAGAAAGCTCTGTAGCAGACTCATAAATAAACCACTTCTTCAGGGGAAAGGAGTGTGAGATCCAATTACAATGTCACTTGGTTACTAGGTAATATTTATAGCATGGCTGGTTGTACTGGAGAGCAATGGTAAAATATGGCTTGTGTGGCAGATTACACTTACTAGAATCTAGTTCATTGTGCAACTGACTGAAATGTGCAACTGTCAGTCATGAATTGGGGGGGGGGAGAGAAGAGGTGAGGCAAGGGGGGGCTCTTGGTTAGAACTGCGTTGCAGTTCAGAGCGTTGAAGGACTTGATGCAGACTTACAAAACGTTAGAGAGAGTAAAACTTGTGTAATCAGTAAACTGCCTGAATACGAAATAGTCGACCGAGGAAATTTCACTGGTAAGTTTATCGTCGGCGTTTTGGAATGAGACGTGTGTGAAACAAATCATTTTAATTTACAAGGGTTCTTTGGGATGGCACATGGCATTTTGGTCTATCCTGCACCCTAGAATACATTGCAGCTCATCACAGGTTCTTGGTGAACTCCAGCTCCCCAACATCCAGGTCATGGGGGCGGGTGGGGGTAGCAAGTTTTGCCGCTTCTGCAACAGTGCCTCCAAATGCAGCACTTTAGTTCTTCTTCCATAGGACTGAACTGAAAAAAAGTAAAGGTGTGTTTAGGGTGTCAGCCAAAGCTTCCCCCAGTCCTTTCTTCCAAAGCTCTGTTTCTTAGTCACTTTAAATTGTTGAGTACAGAGAAAGATGTGGCAGCATCACAGTGAATTGTGCTAAAAGAACATATTATTATTATTATCATTATTTATTAAATTTGTGTACCACTCTGAAGATCGCATCATCACTTATCAGCATTAGTATGCCTGGAGAGTATTCTGGGTGTGTGGAGAAACCAAGGATACTCAGCCATTGCCAACAGCCCAGTTAAAACTGACTCAGTGGGTGGTGATTTTTTTCTGTCTCCATGGGGCAGATCTTTATCAGGATTAGCCTTGGTGGGTCTGTTAGAAGATTGATGCAGTTTTCCAGGGTTTCTACTTCCAAAGAGTGTCTAAGTTTATTTTTTCTCTGATCATTACATAGTGTTGGACATCTGATGTAGTTCTCTTGTCATTGAGAACTGGTGCTCATTTAAAAATGCTGTCATAATTTTTGTATGGTTTGAAGTCTTTATAAAATTTTATTTGCCTCTTTTGGGGGTTTTAATTTTGCTTTTTTCCTCAAAAAGTGTTTATGGGTTCTCTCATTTTCTACTCATATTGAAATACTGCCCCTCAATGAGTACAAACTTAATTCACAAAACATTTTGGGGTATGTGTACCCCTGCATCCCCTGGAGCAAGGCACTGTTAACTTCCCTGTTCCTCCTTACAGAATGGGCTGAGTCTAGAAGATAGCCATGAGCTCACAGTAAAGTCTTATTTAGCTAATGTGAGTCCTAAATGGTCAATTTGGTGCACCCTCTGCGTCCCCTGGATAGTAGAATAATCAAAAGGGAATGCTTTTATAGAATCCGTTTGTGTTCGTCTGGACTGATCTGTCTTCCTGTTCTTTCCCTATAGGATACCCTTTTGCCTTGTTCCAGCGCTATTTCCTTTTCCAGAAAGAGCTCTACCTCATACACCTGTACAACACGCTAACGGGGCTCTCGGTTGCCTACTTCAACTTTGGTAAGGGGGGCTGAGAAGATGGCTGCCCGACCAGTGAGTACCAGAGTGGGGGTGGGGGGGTGATGTTGATTTTCCTTGCAGTTTCTAATTGTCTCACATTTACCTCCTCAGGGCCGCAGTTCTGTCACTCCCTCATATGTGTCTTCGTTCAGTTTCTCATACTGAGGCTCATGGGCCGCACAGTCACTGCCGTCTGCACTTCCTTCTGCTTTCAGATGGTAAACCTGTTCCTTCTGTGTTCCTCTCTGAGATTCTGATCTTGCTGTCTTTTGCTCTGCCCAGCAAGAGCTGAGCAGGAGCCCGGGGAGTGGGGGCGGGAAGGCAGATAGAGGAAGCAGTGGTTTATCCTCACGGCTAATGTCTTTCAGATATATCTGATGGCTGGCTATTTCTTCACTGCCACAGAGAGCTATGACATCAAATGGACCATGCCACACTGTGTCTTGACTCTCAAGCTGATAGGTAAGCAATTTTGCTCATCCAGTTCTGTTCCATCGCCGTGCTTTGGCGCCACAGATTCCCTCCTACGGTCCAGCTATCTTGCTGCTTTAAAACGTGTACAGTCGTACCTTGGTTTGCGAACGCCTTGCAGCTGAAACATTTTGGCTCCTGAATGCCGCAGACTCGGAAGTGACTGTTCCGGTTTGCGGACTATTTTTGGAAGTCGAATGTCTGATGGGGCTTCTGTGGCTTCCAATTGGCTGCAGGAGCTTCCTGCAGACAATCAGAAGGCACACTTTGGTTTACGAACATTTTGGAAGTCGGAACAGACTTCTGGAACGGATTCCGTTCAAGAACCAAGCTACGACTGTATTGGGAAATCCCAGGGCAGATTACATGGGGCTTCCAGTGGCCTCTCAAGCAGATAGTAATCTGGTTCATACTCACTGAACTGCAACATTGGGTTTTTCAGGCCCTTCGGTGGGCTGACGTTTTGTACAGTGTTGGCCTCCTTGATTATATGGTATCTCTTTCTACCCCTAGGTTTGGTCATTGATTACTATGATGGCAGAAAGGAAGTGGTGAGTGAAATGGAATCATTTTCTTTCCCCCATTCCTCTCAACGGGATTGTGTTCAGGGGAGTTATTGGAGATAAAGGCTGTAGCAAGTAGGAAAGGGTCCTGTGGAGCAGGCTGGGTACCCAGGAAAGTGTTCCTTTCAGGGTAGGAACTGTCCACTTCTCAAACAGGTTATGAGTGAACCTCTAAATTCCAAACACTTGTACAAACAAGCACAGAAGAAAAATCTGGTATAAGAAGTCAAAAGTCAGGCTTGTTAAGAGAATCAGAAAGTTACAGATACAGTGGTACCTCGGAAGTCGAACGGAATCGGTTCCGGAAGTCCGTTTGACTTCCAAAACGTTCAGGAACCAAGGCGTGGCTTCCAATTAGCCGCAGGAAGCTCCTGTAGCCAATCAGAAGCCGCGACTGACGTTCAGGTTCCAAAGAACGTTCGCAAACCAGAACAATCACTTCTGGGTTTGCGACGTTTGGGAGCAAGGTGTTTGACTTCCAAGGTACGACTGTATTTGAAAGATGAGGCAGTGAAAGCAGAAAAGGTGCAAGAAGCAAACAAAGCTGGCAGACTTACAAAGCCTTGGTTACAAAGAAAATGGGGCCAAAATTCCTAAGCCATTTTGATCACCTTAACACTACACAGACACACAACTCACTTTCTTATTTTAATGTTATCCTTGGGGCTGAGCAGAAAATGTGCTTCATCCCATCCAAGTGAGACTTGATAAACTTGGCCCATGAGAAGGTGACTTTAAACTTCCAGTCTGAGGGGGCGGTCAGCTGGGACGTTGAATATGCTGAAACACCTATGAAGCATTAATCCACTCACACCTGTCCACGGCAGTATCCAGATCATGATTCGAGGGGGAGGGCAGGACTCCAAATCATGCCTTTGCTTTTGTGCATAAGGGTTCTGGGAACAAGGCCAGAAAAATGAAGGGCTCTTTTAAATGAAGTTTCTTTTAAACAGGCCACAGGCCTGAGGCAAAGATTACAGATAATAGAGTGATGACTTAAGGAAAAAAATAACAAATAAAGTTGGTGCAAATGCTGACTTTGTATCCTCCCGCTCCTTTGCAAAAACCTCCTGCTTTCAGGTCTGTCAAGCAGTATTTCTTCCAGTTAGGACATATGTGGGTGGGAGTGGGGATTAGTTCATTTGAGGATGTTAGGGAGGATTGGGTAGAGAAATGCTATCTGTTACTGTGCCCTTGAGCTTATCATGGCTTCTTCTGTGCCAGTCCCTGCTTCCATTTCTAGAACTCCAGGGAACAAAGCCAGAAAAAGTTGCAGTTGACAAGTCCTTAGGAAAGCAAATACCAGAACAGTTCGCTATTAGGATTATGAACGACACTACAAAGCATGCTATGAACCTAGAGATTTCTGTCCATGATTGACCTATGGGATTCCTAATGGTGGATCTTGTTCTTCAAAGCATTTAGAGCAAGTGAGTTAGGCAGCTTTAAGACTAACAAAAAATCTCATGCATGCAAGCAAAAGCAAATTCACGAATGCTGATGCAGTTGTTGGTGTCTTTATTATTTTTCTACAGCAGGCTCTCACTCCTGAACAACGACAGTTTGCTGTTCGGGGAGTTCCTACTTTACTGGAAGTCACTGGCTTCGTGTATTTCTATGGTGCCTTCATGGTGGGGCCACAGTTCTCCATGACACAATATCATAAGCTGACAAGAGGCGAGTTGACTGACGTTCCAGGCCAAAGACCCAACAGGTAATTTTCCTTGCCCCGCTTCCCAGTGCCTGGAGTATTCTTGTCCATTTCCTGGACATCCTAGCGCTACTAATCAAGACTCCAAACATTGCGGGGTGTGGGGCATTCCAGCTTCCTCATGGTAGTGATTCCAAAATCCATGTAAGGGCTGTAACTTTATTGGGTCAAGCAAAATATTACAGACTCATGTGCAGTGCCCAAGATTTCAGGTTCTCCAGGGTTCCCTCCATAAAGGTAGTCATTGTAATTAAAAGCACATAACATTGTCCATTTGAGCCACAGTCCACTTTCCCTTTGTTCTGAAATAGTGCACCACTGGATGACTGATTTCCTCTCTCTCTGTCTTTCCCCTCCCCTGCTCCCCAACGTTCATTTCAGCTTTGTGCCTGCCCTTAAGCGCCTGGGCTTGGGCCTCTTCTTCATGGTAGTCTACACTGTCGTGGCCCCATACATCCCTGAGGAATACCTTGTCTCAGATGCTTACCTGGTAAGAAAAGAAGGGCTTGGAGGAGAAAGAGCAGTAACTCCAGGAGGAATAGTATTAGCAATTATTATTATTATTGCTAGAGTATTTGTATGTGGGTTAAACCACAGAGCCTAGGACTTGCCGATCAGAAGGTCAGCGGTTCGAATCCCCACGATGCGGTGATCTCCCGTTGCTCAGTCCCTGCTCCTGCCAACCTAGCAGTTCGAAAGCACGTCAAAGTGCAAGTAGATCAATAGGTACCGCTCCGCCGGGAAGTTAAACAGCGTTTCCGTGCACTGCCCTGGTTCGCCAGAAGCGGCTTATTCATGCTGGACACATGACCCGGAAGCTGTATGCCGGCTCCCTCGGCCGATAAAGCGAGATGAACTCCGCAACCCCAGAGTCGTATAATATTAATATGGCTAAAAGTGCACATTGCAAGTATACAGACTGCCCACCTTGGCTGATCCACGCAAATGACCAGGGACAGGGCAGTTTGCAACCTTATCCGGGCACTGGGCTTAACCTACCCCAGTACTGTGTCAACCTTTTTATTGCTTTGTCAAAATTAGTCGCATTGGGGTGGGGATAGGGATCCTCTATTATTTATTATTAATAAATCTAAGAAACAAGATCAGGTCCCCAAACTGAGGGCTAGTTACCCATGATTTAACATACCTCACAGATTTTTTTGTTTCCTGCAGGAACAACCCTTCTGGTTCCGCTGCGTTTATATATTGATCTGGGGCAAGACGATGCTCTATAAGTATGTTACCTGCTGGCTGGTCACGGTAAGCCTGGAAGCTAAACTTGGCCTGCTAAACCACTTTCGCCTGTTGAGTAAGGCCAAGCAGTGTCAAGACAACTTGTTAATCTTCACCGGTTTCGTTGCAGGAAGGAGTCTGCATCATCACGGGACTTGGCTACAATGGAAAGGATGAAAAGGGGAGGCCAAAGTGGGATGCTTGTGCCAACATGAAAGTCTGGCTGTTCGAGACAACCCCTTATTTTACAGGCACCATCGCCTCCTTCAACACTAACACCAACGCCTGGGTGGCTCGGTGAGCGATGCTGATAGCTTTTCTGCAGAACAGTTGTCCCCAAACCTGGCTAGAGAGGAGGTAGCCTTTTGTACAAGACCAGAAAAAGTCCTGAGGCTATCTTTTTTTGTGTGTTTGCTACCTTGGCCCACTTTTGAAATGTGAGCAGTGTTTAATTTTTTTAGAAAAAGCATATATCCAGAGCTTAAGGGAAATCAGTAGAAATACCAGTGGGCAGGGACAGGGCTTCTGAGCTCACGATTAGCCCAATGTAGTAAGTCTCCTTGTTTGAACTCAGTAGGATTTATTTCTTGATTAGATTTACTACTAAGTAAAGCAGTCTTACTTAGTAAATGTATACCCACCATTCTTTGCCCATGGAACTCTAGGTGTAATATAGAAGGCTTCTTTGGCGGTCTCCCAACCAGGAAGTGAGCAAGCCTGAGACCTGCTTAGCTTCAGCAAGGAACAAAAGCACCATGTACCTTCCCAGCATGCACACAAAATCTCTGGGATGGGGGAACCTGTGGCCCTTCAGATGTTGCCACACGGTGTGGCTCCTGGCCCTGCTGTCTAGGGTACTACCAATTGGGAGTTGAACAACATTTGAAGGAGCCACAGGTTCACCATGCCTCACCTAATGTCTTTGTGCATAATCCAGCTGCTCCACAGTAGATTCACATGATTACCTTCTTCAGAGCAAGGTGATCATCCCCAACCCATTTTTCCTTCTTTACATCACCTGGAGTGGTGACGACTATGCAAATTGGCTTGATGAAGTCCTATTACGAATTACAAGCTGGTAACGTTTGGAGCTGGTGGGATCGTGATTTTTAATATCCTGGGTGATATTCAAATAGGTTTTACTCAGAGGAGACGAAATGAATGGACCTAATTTAGTCACTTTTGTTAATTTCACTCAGTCTGCTCTGAGTAAACCGTAGTTGACTACCACCTTGGCTACTCTGGGAATTGTACAGCACCAATCAAGAAAGTGCTTTTACACATGAAATAGAAGATATCCACTGCATGCCTATGATAGTGGAAATGGATTCCACACAAAGTTTGAGCCCCCAGAACCGCTCATTGAGAAATTAAGCCGGAACGCAAGTTGTTCAACTTGAGGGTTTTCTTGTGGGCAAATGATGTTTGTATTTCCCTAACTGAAAAGCATTCTCCTTATCTTTTAGTCCAATAAAGAAAAAAATTCATGCAGTAAAATAAAACCTATATGAAGGTTGGCACAACAAATCCAAGATACAGAACACAAATTATGCTAAGAAGTTAGCTAATTAAGAGGTTAGAAGTGATCACCATGGCAGTCTATAGCAATAGATTTAACTTGCACAGAAATCTTGTATATAAAGAAAGCCATAGCGCAGTACCAAAGCATACGTCCCAAGTTTGATTCTTAGCATCTAATTAATCTGTTTGCCCAGTGCCCCCACCCCAATCTTTCTGCTACATGGAGAAAGATAACTTTGAACCAGGGCCCGCCAGTGTTTTTAAGTGCTAGTTTAAAACCCTTTTCTTTTGCTGTTTGAGCCTCCTGCAGCAAAAAACCAAACCAAACCAAAACTTGATGAAACCACCATTACCTTTTGGAGATGACATTGTTTCTTTTCTTGAGAAAACTAAATGGTGATTAATGCCTTCAGGACTGGCAACTGAAAGGATTTATTGTTTTCCATCTACAGCTACATTTATAAGCGGTTGAAATTCCTGGGGAACAAGTTATTATCTCAAGCACTGTCCTTGCTTTTCCTGGCTGTCTGGCATGGTCTGCACTGTGGATACTTGGTGTGCTTCCAAATGGAGTTCCTCATTGTCATTGTTGAGAGACAGGTGAGCAGCTTTAAATGAGTGGTAAAGTCAGCCTCTAGGTCAGGGCGGCCCACCTTTTCATACCAAGTGGGCTGCAAGAGTGCTTCAACGCAGAAGCCATGGGCTGCACACAGCCTTATTTCACTGGAGGTGGGAAGCGAGGCAAAAGTTTTGATGTCCCCTCCCAGCCCTCTTCCCAAAATCGCTGCCTTCCCAGAGGCTTAGGGAAAGAGGCACAAGGCTCTGGCAGGGTCTTAAAGCCCTCCCACCTACTCCCTAAAGTGCTAACTAGACTTAGGGAAGGAGATGGGAGGACTCTAGGACCCTGTCAGAGCCTTCAGGCCTCAGCCCCAAAATCCAGGGCCTCACCCAGCTTTGGTATGGCAGCACGAGGTGGCTCACCTTTATCTTGGTACTATGCCTTTCTTGGAAAGTCCTCCATCAGATCCTATAAATTGGTAACACCAGATTGCCAGGAAGGATGTGGAATGAAGTTTCTGAATTGGAGGTTAGTTGACTTCATCCTTGTGTGGTTCCTAAGTGAGCAGCATCAGTTTTACAAAGGGACATGTTGGGTTTTGGTTTTTCAGGCTATCTTTTGTGTTCTAGACTGCAGAACGAAAGAAAATGTTTTCTTCTCACTACAGTACCCAAGGCTTTCGTAAATGCCAATGAATCAAACCGATTTAAGATTGGGGGCTATAGGTTGACAGCTATATTAAGCAGTCAATTTATTATACATGTCCCTTCGGTGAAATCTAATTCTGTAGACCAGGCTAGGGTGCCTGTGTTCATCCTACATTTTTGTCAGCTCCCAGCTCATGCCCAGCATAGCGGATGGCCAGGGGTGGGGGGTCCAGCAACATCTGGAGGTCTGGAGTTTCCCCATCCCTGTTTCATATGTAGTCTGGTTTTAGACCACACAAAACTCTGGCTCATGTTGTCTCAACTCAAGCCTGCCCACAAACTAGCTTTTTGGGGGGTTTACTGACCACTTTTAAGACCACTGACAAGCCACAGCTGGGGCTGCTGTTCCACCTTAAGAGCTGCTGCTCATTGGATTCTAGTACTGAACAAACAGAAATCCGAAAAACAGCTAAGACCCGTCCAGTCAGTGGAAGCTCAAACTATGGTGTGGGCCCTTAATCGCTGTTAGTACAAAGTAAGGTTTGGTGTTCTGAGCCTAGCCATGAAGACCAAGTTCTTCTTGTTACAGCTTATTGACCTGGTACACGACAGTCCACCTCTGGCTGCCATGGCCTCGACTACTATCTTGCGGCCTTTCTTCTACGTGATTCAGCAAGCTGTCCACTGGATGTTCATGGGATATTCTCTGGTGCCATTTTGCCTCTTCAGTTTGGAAAAGTGGCTCAAGGTACTGAAGAAGTCTAATCCATGGGGAAGGAGGTCTCCCCCCCCCCTTTACTGTCAGCAGTAGCATGTCTTAACTCTCGCTTCCTCATTTGCTCCTTCTAGGTATACAAGTCTATTTATTTCCTAGGCCACGTGGTGTTCTTCACATTACTGTTTGCAATGCCTTACATGCGGAAAGTACTTGTGCCACGAAAAGAAAAGTTAAAGAAAGCAGAGTAACAACCAAAAGGTAAAAAAAAAAGCCATGGGGGTGTGCTACTGCTTCGTAAGCAGAATCAGGTGGCACGCAGCTAATTAATTTTGATTCTTTCTCTTCTAGATTGTACCACGCGTGCATTTATTATGGGGATGGTAGAAGCATCACCTGCCAAACTTGCTGCGGTCAAACCCATGCAGAGTGACATTGGGAAAAGAGCACAGGGGCGAAGACCCCAGACTGAGGGGGACTGGGGAACTGGCTGCAAACTCCCTCCCCACTTCTACAGGTTGCCTTATCTCTCAACTTCTCCCTACGGACACTCCAGTCTCTGGAAATGTCAGATGATTGTAAAGCACTTGACGCAGCTGCCATCTAGGAATGGAGCCACCGCCTGACTTTTTCTACTTTCCAATTCTGTTAGATAAAATTGGTCCCAGTTGGTTTTTCACTCGTGCCTCATCTGCTTTTTAAAAAACAAACTGGCTGGGGAAGCTGGTGCTGTTTCTGTCTCCTAGCTTTGTAGGCAAGGGGAAAGATAGGTTGGCGGTGTTCATAAGCTACACAGGAGTATGTGGGACTCCAGACCCACCCGCACTGTTTTAGGTAAATCGAAGGACGATCCTCTGTTGTAACAACTGCTGCGACCCTCCAGCTACTGTTGGACACAGCTTGGCTATGGGGCCACCATAAAAGGCCAGAGACACCGGGAATGACAGCAGAACAATATCTGAAGGGCTTTAGATTTTCTGTGCTATAGGTATACACACTAAGGTTGCTACTTCATTTTCGTACTTTGCTGCATGTCCTTTTATACAACACCAACTGAGCAGAAAAATCTTTTTCCTGCTATGTTTTAACCCTTCTGCATTGGCAGTCACTTCTTTTTGGCTGCCACCTAAGAGAAGGTAAGCAGGGGTAGATCCCTGACACTGCTCCTACTCAGGTTTGTTTTTCCCATCTTATTCGAACAAGCACAGCTGTATATTCAAATGACCTCTTGAAATGCCTAATGAGGTGGATACCCAACCAAAGCAACACACAAATGCCATCCTGCTGCTTACATACCTCTCTACTGAGACTATCCACCACAGTAAAAAAAAAAAAACATTTATTTATGCCCCCAAACAAAACATAAGGCAATTCTAACAGGTAGAACCCTGTAGCGCACATTGCTCCAGGACATGGAGCAAGCAGTTAAGTCCAACTGCACAAAGTCCACATTGCATTAGTAAGTTCACACCACTCCCCACATCTCTTCAAAGGCTGTGGTGATCTTGGCACAAGTCAAAGCAGCAGAGAGTGGGTAGTTGCTGATAGAGATAGTCTTTTCTGTGTATTCCACATTAACCTGGAAAAGAAAAGCAACAGCCAGCATGTCAGTGAATATCTGCATTGTATTTTCTGTACGATACATCTTAAACTCACCGGAGTAACATATGCAAATTACTACCCCCTAAATTATGAGCTTAAATCAAGTGTTCTACAGCCACTTTATCCTCAAAAATATTCCTATAATAGGGCATTATAATCCTGTAGAGTAGACCATATGCAACTACATGTGCACACTACCTATGAACAGTGCCTTGCCCTAAGGCCAGCTTGTGCATTCAAGTGAGATAACTGACTTACAACTGACTGGTATGGAAGTGGGTGTCTTACCGAGCCATGAGCAAAAGCTCCCACAGTGATAGCTATTGGGTCTGCAGTAGGGACTATGTCACGGACGTCTGTCACAGTAGAGGCTGAGAAGGATGTACCGATCTTTGCGCAGCCTACAGGGAGGTGATCGGTAACAGGATTCTTAATTACCTAATGGAAGAAAAATGGACGGGCTTGAAAGTAGAAGCAAGAACAATCTTGCAAAGAATCACATAATGAACTAGTAGATTTTTTTTTTACCTTTAATAACTTCTGAGGCCCATCAGCAGCTCTGACGCTAAATTTGTGCAGCAGCTGAACTGAGGAGAAAAAGGCAAGATATATTTACAATGGCGTTACAGAATAGAGGCATACTCTAAGATAGGAGAAATAAATGGGCAGTTCTCACAACTAAAGTATTAAAAATTGGATCTTCCCATTTTTGTAATACTGTGCATGTTCGGAATAGCTTTTCTCACCCTTGTACTATTGGGGCTCACACATCCAATGAAGCTGACTGTTGGAAGATTCAGACTGGAAAAAGAACTTATTCTACATAGTGTAATTCTGAACTAATTAAAGATATAATGGCCACCAGCTTGGGATAGCTTTAAAAGGGCTTTAGATAAATACATGGAGAATAAGGCTACTATAGATGGCTACTCCCTCTCACATACAACCCTGCATTAATCTCCACTGAAAGCATAAAATTTTCTGAGGGGAAAGCAAGCCTCTGTCCTCTTACCCATGAGGCCACAAAAACGATCAAAAGTGCGAGGGATTCTTGTCTGGGGATTGACTTCAATTAGAACATTCTTTTCTGTATGGATATAAACTTGGAGAAGGCCGGCTCGATTCAAGGGACTGTCCATGAGCATCAGGAGGCTCTGGGAAGAAGAGTGAGAAAGAAATAAGCTAAAACTATTCAGAAGCAGGGAAATTCTCTGCAGTAACATCTGTCAGAACCCTGCAATTGCGTATTTTAAAAAGGCAGTGTGAGATTCCGGCATGCAAGTTTGCTAGGAATATTCAGTGAAAAGAGTAAAGGAAGCATTTGGGAACATTTGCAATCTGAATAATAATTTTAAAAGTTGCCAACAGTATTTTTAAAAGCTGCTGTGTGGGAACTAAGTTTTCCTGTCAATGCTTCAGAAATAGCAACACACCACAGAGGTGACTTAAAAGTACGCTACTTTGATTATGTAGTAGATACATGAATGTACCTGGTGGGTGATGTCAGGTCGTACTGTTCCAGGGTCCCGGCCACTTCGCAGAAGCAACGATTTATGCTTGTCGCAGGTCAGTAGCTCATAGGTTTTTCCAACCTGGACAAATAATCATTTTATTTGTTTACATGTATTCAGCACAATCTTTCTACAGCGAAGTGTACTCAAGACAGCTTACAATAAAATGTAACATGACGCAAAACTTAACACAAATTGACAATAGAACAGTAAAATGAGACAGTTAAAATGTACTAAATTGGGAATTGTACAGTAGATTAAAGGTTCTTTAAGTGCTAGTTGGCAAACAGAAGCCTGGCAAATGGTTTTAGAAAGCCCACAAGGAGGACACGAAAGTGGCAGCTCCAACTCCTATCAGAGACCCATGTTTAGAGGTACAGTACCTCGGAAGGTGGAGCCTCCATGCAGTTACCATGGTCAACTGCCATTAATACATCTCCCGTGATGAATATATTATTATTATTTACTTATACCCCATCTTTTTCCCTGATGGGACTCAAAACATCTCCCACCTCCCCACCCACAAGGCTTGATCTACACATAAAGCAGAGGTGAAATAATGTGCTGTTTTAAATCAATTAAATGTATACACAATTTTAACTGTATTAATGTTTAATTGTTTTGTCAGGGGGTGGGTAAGCAGGGTATAAAACAAAATGATTTCTGAATGATTCCCCTACGTGAAAAACCACCTACACATCATAGCGTGGCACATCAGAGATAGGTTTGACACCATCCTTTTGGCAAAATACAGGGCGGTGTGGGGGCAATTCTTTTTCTTTCATCTGGTGCTGAAGTGATTTCAAAGCAATCCATTACAATCTATTGCAACCTAACAGGATGGCCCTTCTGGAATTTGTCACACACACACACACACACACACGAATTTGTAAATCTGTCTGTACCTGGCTAGCCAGAGCTTAAATACAACATCTTTCACACACATGCATTTATTTGGAGAGGATCCCTAATTTGGCAGAGAGAAAAGATCTGAAATCCAGGACGTAGCATTTTAGTATTGAGACGCGGGGCAATCCTGTATTATACAGGACAGGTGGCCACCCTAGAACCCGTCCTTCCTTGCAGGGGGGCGATTTGATTTTTAAGGGGGGGAGGCAATTCGAGAACGAGTTATAATAATAATAATAATTTATTATTTGTACCCCGCCCATCTGGCTGGGTTTCCCCAGCCACTCTGGGCGGCTTCCAACGAAGATGAAAAATACACTAAAATGTCACACATTAAAAACTTCCCTAAACAGGGCTGCCTTCAGATGTCTTCTGAATGTCAGGTAGTTGTTTATCGCTTTGACACCTGGTGGGAGGGCGTTCCACAGGGCGGGCGCCACTACCGAGAAGGCCCTCTGCCTGGTTCCCTGTAACTTGGCTTCTCTATTAACAGTTGATGGCCTTTTAGGCTTCCTCCACGTGAACAGTTCACTTTTTGAATAATGAGAATTATGTGTGTGTGGTGGGGGAGAGAGATCGGGATTTTAGAGATGCTTAGGTGAGGCATGGCCAGGAAAATAAGGTTGGGGGCCACTGCCTGAGGGGAAAGGCCGTTCAGCTTCTCCCCTGGAAGGCGCCCTCGGCCGCCCCTTGTCTGAGGGAGCAGAGCGACCTCCAGGCCCCGCACGCGGCCGCCTCCCCGCTTCGTCCTCAGGCCCCCTCACGGCCCGCCCCTTCACCTTCACGGTCTCCAGCGACGCTCCCTCCAGGATGACCAGCAGCCGCCGCTTCCCTGCGCGCTGAGGCGGCCCCCGCTCCCCTCCGCCCGCCGCCTCCTCGCTCGGGCGCTTCCTCGCGGAAGCCGACGCCATCTTGACGCCGCGCAGGCTCCTCGAGGTCGGCGAAGCTGCTTCCTGTCGCCTGCGGGTGAGGGCAGGGGTCAGGGCAGGAACTACTTCCGGTCCCCCAAGTGACCCCGCCCCCCCACAAAAAACAGAGAGAGAAAGTAGCGGCGAAACACCGCTGGAGTTAAGGAAGAGCCCCGGAAGTACTGTTCCCTCCACGAGGTTTCACTTCCGGGAGCCCTGCTTGTCTGCTGGGGAAGCATTTAGCGAGCGGCCACTTCCGGTGTCCTTTTCCCAGGTGGGGCAACGGCGTGCTTGGGAGAGAAAGAAGGAGAAGAAGGTGAGGGGTCTCTGCGCCCCTTCGAGCCTCTGTAGCTTCTGCGAGCCCTTGAGGCGACTCTTCTGAACACGCGGGTTGTGCTCCTGAGTAGGGATGAGCTCGCTTTTAGGATGCCCCGGGGTGCGGTGCTTCTGAGCATGTCAAGAGCGCAGTTCCATGAAGGGGGAGCAGCCTCTCTTTCGTTTCCCCTTCCAAAAAGTGCTCTAATTTAACTAATGAATTAATTTTTATTGTATATGTGTTTGTGGTTGTATTTTTGGTTATCATTTGTTATATTTGTGGGGGTTTTTTTTGTTTCATTGATTTTATCGTATGTGTTGTGTTTGTATGAAACTTAATAAATATTATTGGAAGTCAAAAAGTGCTCTCAACGTAAGGAGTTCTGGCTCAAAATGTCGTTCTGCCAAAAAGAAAAGGGGGGGGGGGAGAGAACTTAATTCATGTTTTTAACTCAGCGCTTAAAAATTCTCAGTGCCCCCCATTGGTGCTGCTTGTAAAGATCAGAATCCATGACTGAGAGGAGTCAGAGAGGGACTTTTCTATGTATCCATGCTTAGAGAGCGAAAAATAGAAACATGTGTTTCTGTGTATCCCTGCTTTTCTGGCAACATAAGAGTTTGGATAGGAAAATCTGCAGAGCTGTGTGAAATACATGGCTTTGGTTTTTCATTCTGTGTTTCTTTCCCCATATGAAGGTTGCCATGGCTCAGAGCCTGAAAGACTTCGCTGGGCGCCTGCCCACCGGCCCTCGGGGCATGGGGACGGCTTTGAAGTTGTTGCTGGGTGCTGGTGCTGCAGCCTACGGTATCCGTGAGTCTGTTTTTACAGGTAAGTCAGTGATATTTGTGTATGGTCATCTACCTTTTGCACAATGCTTGGTGGTAACTACTGACTGCTTTTGTCTCTCTGTTCCCACAGTGGAGGGTGGCCAAAGAGCAATATTCTTCAACCGCATTGGTGGAGTTCAGCAGGACACCATTCTTTCTGAGGGACTACATTTCAGGTACCGGGTCAAGAAATATGTTGGAAAGTTTAGAATAACAGGAAATCCCAAGATGTTGTCATTCCCAGACAAATGTTTCCTAACAGCACCTCACCTCCAGAGATTCCTCATTATAAAGCATACAAACCTTAATTTAATTTGAAATTCTTGTAGCATGCCAATATTTTTTATCTGATCACAAACTCCTAAGAATCATTTGTCAACTCTTAAGACTCTTAAGAGGTAAATGTTTTGTCTCGTGCTAATATAGTTTCTCCTTTGGCTAAATGTCTTACTGTGAAAACTTCAAGAAGTGCTGTTCGTGAGAAAGTGAAACCCAAAAATTGAATTGAAGGATACTAAAGATTATTTGTTATTTTAGCGCAGTGTTATCAATGTGAATCAAGTAATATAGTTTACTAAGACATAGTATCAAGAGAAGAAAATGCAGTTCTTGGGCAAGTATTGTGTTCTCTCTATCTTAATGCACATGAGAAAAGAAAAAAGTATTTGTAGGAATTCTTTATTTCCACATATCTGTACTGCTTGGTTTTGGACATCTTAATTTGGTACAATCTTCATTTTCTTCCTAGAATTCCCTGGTTCCAGTATCCAATAATTTATGATATTCGAGCTCGGCCCCGCAAAATCTCCTCGCCAACAGGCTCCAAAGGTGAGGTCATAGAGAAGCACATTGTCTTTTGGTGTTGTATTCCTCTCTTCAATAAACACAGGGTGATGCACATAGTTTATTCTACTTTCCTCTTTTCCTTATTGAATCTTTACAGTAATCCTGTAATGCACGTTAGGCTGAGAGAGGGTGAGTGGATCAAGCTTACCCAGTGAACTTCAGTGCAGAGAGGGTTTTTTCATTTGAGTCTCCCAAGTCTGAGCCCAGCCATTACGTCAGATACCACTGCTACTTTATTGTCACTTCTTGAGAAGATGTGTTTTTCCATAGCCAGGTGTAAAGCAAGGGCTTCAGAACAATCTTGTACAGAGCAGCATGAATGGGTGAGATCTGGGTGCACAATCCGAGTTGGAAGGTGAAGTAAGACAAACCACTGGGACTATGCTTAGTTTGATTCTGTCTCTAGACTTGCAGATGGTGAACATCTCCTTGCGAGTTCTGTCACGCCCAAATGCTGCTGAACTTCCCAGCTTGTACCAGCGCCTTGGTCTGGACTACGAAGAGCGAGTCTTGCCTTCCATTGTCAATGAAGTGCTCAAAAGTGTGGTGGCAAAGTTCAACGCCTCACAGCTCATCACCCAGCGAGCTCAGGTCTGTTCACTTTCCATGCAGGCAGACTTACCTGTCCCAACTCCACTTTTCACGGGAGGAAGGGCTATGAAGGTGGGAGGTTGCAGGTTATTGGTGTGGATGCTACATACTTCCACTACCTCATTAGTTTTTGATGGTTTAAGCCTTAAGAAATTTTCCATGGGATAGATGAAATCATTTACAAAGTTTGTCATGATTATGCATTCTTCCATTTACTGAGGCAATCTTCCCTCATTTCCATGTAGCTCAGTTATTTAGTGAAAAATTATTCACTTAGTTGGTGTCAGTTTTTAGACATTGCCATGGTAAGTTCCATGGTAAAATCTGGGGTCATTTAGACATACGGCTGGATACAATTACAAAATACTATCTTTTGGTGGACAACTTTAATGCTGGATTAGGCTGAAAACAATATGGCATTGGTGGACAGAATTGTCTGGTTAACTGAGGAACTGGAAAGTCTTTCCCCCATGAAATCCAAGGACAGTTGAGTAGTAGCAATATGTTTTAAAGTCACTTCTAAATATCAGATAAAGTTTCTAATGAGATGTGATCTGGCCTTTAAAATCTCCAGACTCTTGATTTCCTCCAGTAGCTGCATTTGGCTCTGGGCCTACCCGGTACTGGCCTCTGGAAGTTTCACATAATGATTAATGTGACAAGTAAAGTGATAACTCTGTAATTTAGCAAAGTAAGGAAAACTGAGTGGTGCTGCAAAAGATATTGCAAAAGATAATGTACTAGCTTTGGAGATTTAAGCAATTGCTAAAGAGAAACTGCTTCACACATTTGGCAGAAACTAGAGTAAACCACCTGGAGATTATAGGTCCATAAGTCTGTTGGATATGACATTGGTTTCTGTATAAACATGACCTTCTGACCAAATGAGAAGAACGAACTAAATCAACATAAATTTTGAAGCATAGACTGGCTTTAGGTATGGAAGGTGTTTTCTTCTGTGTTCTGAACTGTCTTATTAATAAGTGTACTGAGAGTTCTAAGAAATCTCTTCATGTATACTTCCCTAAGAGTATTTAACAGAGCTGACCACAAAAGGCTGTGCCTAAACCTAGAGCTTAAAAATTCATTTGTCACAATTTTATTTTCTAACACATCAGCCGAGGTGGCTGGGCCTGGGCTGACTACTAGCTCACATTTTTTCTCATCTGCATGTCAGTGACTTGAACATGAAACTCTAGCTTTTTGAATTGGATGCTTTTCAAAGCTCTTGGGGATTCTCATGACTTTCCCTGGTCTGAAGGAAGTTGCCACCTGCTCAGGATAAATGTGGAGGACAAACTGTTGGATTATTGCTTTAGGTGTCTTTGCTTATCCGTCGGGAGCTGACAGAGCGGGCAAAAGATTTTAGCCTTATTCTAGATGACGTAGCCATCACAGAACTGAGTTTCAGCCGGGAGTACACAGCAGCGGTGGAGGCCAAGCAAGTGGGTGAGTCCAAACAAGTTCTGGTCCTTTCTCTAAAGCTGTGTTTGCATAAAGTCAGCTAGGACTGCTCCACATGCACAAATAGCTGGACATAAGGCCAGCTAAATGGAGTAGGGCCGTTTTTGACTAAATGTGCACAGGACAGGCCTGCAAATCTTTTAAAGAACGAAACCCCTGGAAGTGGTTGCAGAGAGATTCTCATGTTCTCTTTGCTCTTCTTCTCCAGCCCAGCAGGAGGCGCAACGAGCTCAATTCCTGGTGGAGAAAGCTAAGCAGGAGCAGAGGCAGAAGATTGTTCAAGCGGAAGGAGAAGCCACAGCTGCCCAGATGATATCCTTGCTTTGCTGTGGGGAGACAACCATCACACAGTTTTCCAAGGGTGTGGGAAGTGGTCTCTTGCAGAATCCCCAGACTCCAGATTTTTGAGCTTGGACTGATATAAGAGGCATCGCATTGCACAAGTGAAGGGCATCTGTTTTCAGTTACCTGGAATTGCTGGTGGGAGAATTGGGGGTGCTATTAGGAAGATTTTTGGGTGCTGAGATTCTGAGGAGTTACCCTGCAACAAGAAGTTAAGCAGCAACTAGAGGTTATTCACTCCTGAGGACTCTGCTTCCCTGTCCTCCCCTCTCATACCAGACAGCGTTCAAGAGAATGGGGTGCTCAGTTCTTCTCCATCATATAAAGCGCGTTTCCTTAAATGTGCAGTCCCATTGCCTGCAGAAAGATGTTGGGACTATTTTATGCCAGCTAGTGCTGTGCTAGTTGATGAGAGCTTTGGAGTGAAGCATTAGGGGGAGCATTCTTGCCAAATACATATTTCCCCCCACTGATTCATTGATTCCTGGTGTGTAGCAACAGGATGTTTGCAGTTGTACAGAACTGTCTCCCACAAGACTGTGGCTTCGAGTGGAGCAAAGTAGGGCTGTGTTGATCCCAGGTGGGTGAGTTCAAGGAGGTGTAGGTCCCACATTCCAAAATGGTGACATAGCGCCTTAACCTGTTCACATTGGTGAAGCCCTCAGCAAGAACCCAGGTTACATCAAGCTCCGCAAGATCCGTGCCGCCCAGAACATATCCAAGACGGTGAGTTTTAGGACAGTGGAGTTGCTTTCTCACCCTCCACCCCCAACAGTGCTTTTCCAGGCCAAGTGATGAACCTAAGGCGAATATGATATGCTTCCTCTGATGTGTCTCTCTGCCACACTTATTTATTACATTGGTCTGTGCATCTTAGCAGGGGCCTTGGAGCCTCTGGCCTTTGTAAAAGCAGACCCACATCATGTTCAATGTGCCATACCCAGCTGTGGCCGCTTACAGACCATAATGTGCCACAGGCCAGGAACAGGCTCACAGGAAAATCGGACACATGGAGAAGCAGAATGAACTGAAGCATTGCAAAGACTGATGGCCCTGGGCTAGAAAAAAAATGTAGGATAGTAGATCAGAAATAAAATACTCTACATTCATAGTGAAAAAAGGGAGTAAACTTGAGTTCAACTCTTTCAAATCATCGCTGTTGTGGTTTCTTGTCCTTACTAGAACTGTACCCATAGTGGTGCCTTCCAAACTTTTTCCAGAACAACAACAGCAAAAAGGACTAGCAAATTATTTTTTAAAAAGAGACTTTCTGAAATTTTACCTGCAGCCGCCAAGGCTGTTTTTCTTTTCCATCCCCCTTTAAGCTTTGAGACTTACTTTGGCTAACAGTTTTTACAGTTCAGTGTTGAACGTTAATTCTCTGCCATTTGTTTGGAATTGGTTTCCCCCCGATGCTGTCAGAACGAAGTTCTCTATTGAATGCAGTTATTTGTACCACTGGACCTTTGCTTACATCCTCCTTGATCTGTCCCTTCCTTGCCTTTTACAGATCGCTGCATCTCAGAACCGTGTGTATCTTACAGCCGACAACTTAGTGCTGAATCTACAGGATGAAGGTTTCACTAGGTAAGGGAGTTTGTGAAGATACCTCCTAAAGTCGTTTGCTTCCTTCTGTAATGAGCCTTAGGAGCTCCATCCCCCAAATATGAGTTTCTTGGAGGAATAGCAGAGCATAAGAAATAAACAATGCCCCTTGCTTTCTGGGTGTTACATAAATGCACATGTACTGTCAGTCATCCATGCACGCGCTCGCTGTGTGTGTGTGAGAGAGAGAGAGAGACAGACAGACAGACAGACAGACACATGGACAGCTGTATTCCCAGATTTGTATAAAGATGAATAAACCGAGACAGGCATGTTCTATTCAAGGTCAGATCCCAGATCTGGGAACTGGTATGCTTACTTGTTCTGGACAGAGTTGCAATTCCTCTGATGGGAAGGGTACATAGTCTGGGAGCACTAGTTCCACCTTCATGCTACAGAGGTCGATGCCCCTCTAGTGACAGGGGGACGAATTCAGCTAAGTAGTCGGGCTAACGGAAGCCAGCACAATTGGACTTTCCCCCTTCTCCTCCTCCTGTGTGTCTGCCACGCCCTCCCCAGATCTGCCCAGGAGGGTTTGGAGAACTGAAACAGAGTGGAAGGGGAGGAGAGGCGAGAGAGTTCTGTTGGGCAACCAGAGATGCTTTCGCTCCCAGAATGAGCTCCTTAGTGCTATGTTGAATTCCACCCAGACTGTTCATTGCTGGTTATACCCATTCCTGGCCTTTCCACTGCTCTCCGTGCATTGGTAACTTCATTTCTAGAGTACAGAAATGTTCTCCATGTGTGGTTACTCTTTGTTTGGTTCAGGAATTTGTCACTAGTGTACAATGCTGCAACTAGAGTACTCAGCATCATGTCTTTCCACATTCATGCAACACTGGCACTTAAAAATCTGCAATGGCTGCTTATCTGCTACCAAGCCAAGTTCATGGTTTTATTTTTAGCACACAAAGCCCTGAGCAACTTGGGACCAGGATACCTGGCGGCCTGCCTCACCTATTTGTACACCACAGCAACCTTTATGATCTTCAAAGTCTAGAAGATGGTCATCTAGAAACCCCATAGAAACAGGCCCTCTCCCTTTGGGATACACTTAGTTAGTTAGTTAGTTAGTTAGTTAGTTAGTTAATAAAATTTATACACTGCTTGGTTGTAAAAAACAAAACATTAAAGTGGTATACAAAATATAAAACAGTAAAACCAAGAAAAAATTACAACTCTACAGTGGTACCTCGGTTTACGAGCTTAATCCGTTCCGGAAGTCCGAAACCGTTCTTAAACCGAGGCATGCTCTCCCTAATGAGGCCTCCCACCACCGGTGCCCTTTCACCGTTTGGATTCTGTTCTTAGACCGAGGTAAAGTTCGCAAACTGGGACATTACTTCTGGTTTTGCGGAGTTCATAAACCAAATAGTTCATAAACAGGGCTGTTCTTAAACCAAGGTACCACTGTACTTTAAAACATAATACGAAAGTTAAAAAACACTAAAATGGACTAAAATTACCTCAGCTTTGGAAAGTATATTTTTATGGTTAGCAGAGTGATAACTGTTTTACTGTTGGCTTGTCTGTTTTTAATATGATAGATTTTTGTAATGGGCTTTTTTTTGTATTTTTAATATTTATTTCCAGCAATTCCTGATACTTGTAAATCTCTCTGAGATTTTGCTAAAAATGTTGTGGTGCATAAATTACCGAAGTTGATAAAATAGTTCTAACTTTCTATGTCTGTCTCTCCCCGTCCCATTCTTCATCACCACTTTTTCGTTGCGCTTCTGGTTACAGAGGAAGGTAAGATAACAATATTTTAACTTCAAGTAGAGCTGCAACGTTTAACTGAATAAAATTCCCTCCTTCCAGGGAATTGGGGGAAGGAAAGAAAGAGAGACAAAATGGGAGGGTGGTTGCTTGGAATGGAACAAGCAGAGAAGGAGAAACCAGGGCAGGGAGTGAACTACTTCTACTACTCAGAAGACTTCCAAGTTCCTTCCACCCCCCCCCACCCCACCCCCCCCGTTGTTCCTTATGTTTCCTGAGTGGAGCATGTGCTGTTATGATTGACTAAGGCTGTTTCCTCGCTGTTCCTGCTCTGCTTTACTCCAGCCTGATTCTGTTCCCCCCAAAAAGTTTTTGATTTGAGTTCCTACTGAAATGAGGCTGCATTTTAATGTTGTATTTTAATCTTGTTTTTAAGTTGTATTTCAATCAATTGTTTTTATACTTTGTGTTAGCCGCCCTGAGTCCGGTCTTGGCTGGGGAGGGCGGGGTATAAATAATTTTTTATTATTATTATTATTAGCCCCCCACACCCATGTTGTGTGAATGTTCCTCTTTGGCAACCCCCTTTTTTTGGTTTCTCTTGCAGTGACAGCCTCCTGATCAAGCAGGGGAAGAAATGAACTAGCGGCTGCCTCCCAGACCCATCAAAATGACCGGCAGAATGGGGGTTATGTGCAGCCGTGGAAGAGCCTTGCACATCTCTGCTGCCCATAAGTCTTCTCTTTGGCCTGGGCCTTCTTTCCAGTTGTCATCTTCACTTCCCAACACGCCATTAATAAGCCCTTTCTTGGCTCATCATCTGGTTCCTGTTTTTGGGAACTGCAAGCCGTGAAGGCTAGCTGTGGAAACAGACTTCATGCTGAGGCGGGGGGGGGGGGTAAACGTTTTGCTCCCACGGTCACTGATCCCACCCCACCCAGCCTGAAGGACTGGGTACAGGTGGGCAGCAGAGACCAGCCAAGGGGTTGGTTTTTAAGTAGATCAGATTGTTGCTCTCCTCTTCCTGCTGGGGCTGAATGAGGCCTGAGTACATATAATCCCCTGCCTCTCACGTCAGTGGAGAGTTTGCTGTCTTTGCCCCCTCCCCTGCCCCTGGCCCCCGCCGAGCACCTCGTCTCAGGAATAGATGGGGCTTCTGCAAGTGCTGTGATCTCCATTTATGTAAGTTCTTTTGCATCGTGATTCACAACTTTATACAAATAAAATCAGGTCCAAAACTCTTCTGACACCATTGTGAGTGAATGATCATTTTGTATGGGGTGGATTTCTTAGAGTCAAGACAGAGAACTCATTCAAATGGCTGGGAAGCCGCCCATTCATCGCCCTCTAAGTCCTCTGAAAAAAATAAAAATGCTAGAATAAGCTCCCTAAAGGGCTAAAGAGAGGGCAGGTACGTGCTTTAGTTCTCAGTCGACTGCTGTGTTTTCCATCTGCTCATTTAGAACTTTGTTAGAAATAACATTCTCCTTTCTGCAGAAGGTTGTTTTCTTTCGTTTTTGCTGTTATGCAAGAGCAGGTGGTGGTCTGTCAAGCCTGTGTAGAATACGACCCGTTACCAATTTCCTTAGCACTACTTACATTCCCCCTTCATGTCTGGTATGGTCCTCAGCCGCAGTCATAATGGTTCATATGAAAACAGTTCAGAAATAAATTCTTTAAAAGTGAGGTGGGTTCTTCGCTGTTGCCATTGGGGTTTCTTGTAAAAAAACAACAACCACAAATAGGGCACACATACATTTTCTACCAGAGCATTTGAGCAATGAAATGAGTTCTCTTAAGAAAACTGGCAACTTTTATTTTTATTATTATTATTTTTTTAGGCAGTGAAAAAAGCTACAAGCTGGCAGGGGGAAAAGTTGGTGGTGGCCAAGCTCTTTCAGCAAAGTATGCCACAAATAAATGCAATGATTTTGTGACAGCAAGCCATCATCAGGCCTTTCTCTTGGGGAAATCATGAGTTTGTGCTGTGTCAGGGTTGTGCACCTTCAGACCGCGAGTAGATGTTGTGTTATACAAAATAACTACAATTTCTGCACATAGAAAGCCTGTGTATCAGGGAAAAGGTTTGTAGCCTAACCGCCTGGGTATGCCAATTTTCTGTGTGCAGGAATTTGTTTAGTTTTGAAGATGGACGCCCCTGCTTACGTTAGCCTCCCCATCTTATAATTTGAGGATAATACTAAATGACCTTACAGGACTGCGTGAGTTACTAAAACAATGTCTGTGAAGCAGTCTGCACAAGCTAGAGCACTATATATGCTAAAAGTTGATGTTGCTGGTATATTTTTGTGTCGTACAGTTTCAGTGTCTCCCTAGTCCTGTACAACTGCAGAAACGGCAGGCAGAATGTAGCAACTGTGTCTATGCTGTAGCCAGCCTCACAGCTCCTTTTGCTTGAAAGATTGCTACCTGAAGAGTGGGATTAAAATACATCAGTTTAATAAATGAAAAATAACTCTTAAGCCATCCACGAACCTCCTGCACGGTGCATGGACAGCTTGCCAACCCAACAGTTCCAAATGCAACGTGGTCTGGCACAAGAGGGCAGTGCTGTGTCAGAAAACACGAAAACCTATTCCAGGAAGGAGGGAGGGAGGGTGCTGCCCTCCTCTGTGTCCTCTCTTTTTGTTACGGTTCCTTAATTTTTCAGACTGCAGAGCAGGGTCAATAGTGACTCAACAAATGCCTTGCTGCTGCAGTTGTACTGCTGTGGCCTAAGGAGGTTACCTGTTGAGATACAGCAGGCAGACAATTCTCAGCCTCTTGCAGAAGACATATCTTGCCTGAAGACCTTCCTGCAAAGAGCCAAGCCTACATAGCAGAGCCCTGTGAAAGTGCAGTTATTCTTAAATTTCTAGTTCTTCTGCTGGGCTTATAAAAAAGAGGACCTCATTTCAGTCTGTACAGCCTACTGGCAACCTAGATCTGTACCCCAGTTCATTTTTTTCTGCCCTTAGCAATCTCAAGATTTTTGCTCTTTTTTGTAAACTCATACCAAAGAGCATGGGTAGGCAAACTAAGGCCTGGGGGCCGGATCCGGCCCAATCACCTTCTAAATCTGGCCTGCCTGCAGACAGTCCTGGAATCAGTGTGTTTTTACATGAGTAGAATGCGTGCTTTTATTTAAAATGCATCTCTGGGTTATTTGTGGGGCATAGAAATTCATTCATTTTTTTCTTCAAAATATAGTCCGCCGTCCGCCCCCAAGGTCTGAGGCACAGTGAACTGGCCCCCTGCTGAAAAAGTTTGCTGACCTTTGCCAAAGAGCATGCAAAGGGACATGGGTATGTCATATTTTAATCTCGGACGTCCTTGTTGACAACCCTGCAGCATCTATGCCCCATATTATAAAGCACTTTAGTACTGTCTGAATTTGGGACTTACACGGGAGATGCTGTGTGTGTGCCCCCCACCCACACCCTGAATTTCACTGCTTATTAGCTCTAGGCATCTTTGCATTGGAAGCAAAAATAAATAAAGAACAAAGTTGGAGCTCTCTGAGGCTGGAAGCAGGAAACGACTTCTGGCATGTGCTGCCCACAGCAGATTGACTGAAGAACTCTCCCTGTTTTCCAGCAGCACCTGTAGATCATTTCCAGAGTCCCAGCAATTTTGTGCACTCTCCTGCAAGTTCAGTATGGAACTCTTAACGATTTTTTTAAAAAAGTCTTCATGCAAATCAAACAAAAATCTGGTTTATTTACAAGTCAAGAAAACCAATCCACTGGATTAGAAAATTATCCATTATTTACACACAGCACAGCGGTAAGGTTCGGTGGCTAAGCAGAGGTTGGCATTTGAGCTGGAGGTTGCACAAGGCAAGGATGGCTTTGACCAATTAGGTGAAGCATTTGAGCAGTGGAGAGAAAGACAGGGAACCAAAAAGTGATGTTACAGAAGCAACGTTGATCCCAAGGGCACTTTATTCTGCTTCTCAGCCTGACGGGGCTTGCTGTATGGAATAGCTTAGGCTAGAGGTCATGATAAAAAGAAGATGCAAGATCTCAAGACTAAGGGGGAAATGGCAGGAGTTCTAGCCTTCCACCAGTGCAATTGTATACCTATCTACTCCGAAGTGCATTCAGTGGGACACCCAGCTGTGTTTTCTGGGCCCATGGGAATAACCTATTTTTGTTGCTTCTCTTCCCCCAGACAAAGAAAGTCTCCCCCCCCCCCCAGACACTTGCTCTCCCAAGGGGTCTAGATAAAAGTGAGATCCGGCTGAATTAAAACCGATCCTTGTGAATTTGCATGTTTTTATATGGAGTCCCACCCACTGCTCTGTCCTGGAAAGAAACCCATCATCAAATCAAAACTTGCAGTGGTAGATGGCACAGCAAAAAGCACAGATTCTGTGCTAGGCGGAGCTCAAAGAACATCAATCCATGGCACTTTTGCATTAATCCTTATGACTGCTGCGTAGAACGGCGACAAAACCAGCCAACACATCACAGAACAGAGTGGTGACATGGGACAGTGGTTTTGAAGGGCTCCCCTGTAGAAATTAGGCAGTCTCATAAGGACCTGTGCTTGGAATCTTATTTTAGGGTCACGGCAACACTGGAAAGCTCAGGATCAGCAGACCATTGCCCATCTAGCCAGGGCTTGGCTCACCATTAAGCCAAATAATCCCATGCTTAGGGCATCAAGGGAAGGGAAATTTCCCATTGCCAAATTTTTAACTTCAATGCACACAAATTGCTCAGCGGAGCATTCATTTTTTTCTGCTAAAAATCAGCAACTGAACAACTATGCAACAAGGCAAGCTGGATACCTTATCTCTACGAAGTATCTAACAGATCTGTTGTGTAATATTGGTTTTGAGGAACTGACCAAAGGCTTTGCAATTAGAAAAGGTAGGAGATTTCCCCCCAAAATATAAATAAAGTGGAAGTGTACAGAAACAAGCATTATTTTCCATCTTACTGTAGGTTTTGTTTCAGTTCTAAACAAATTTTTTAATAGTGTGTGTGTGTGTGTGTGTGTGTGTGTGTGTGTAGGCACCAAAATATTTTAAGTGCTTGGGGCCTCTAAAGGTCTTAATCTGGCTCTGCATCCAAGCTCAGAATTGTCAACGCTGGCTGGAAGCTGGTCTCCAGGAATTCAGAGAGGGGTCTCTTCCAGCCCCATCGGGAGATGCCAGGGATTAAATTTGGGGTCTTCTGCATGCAAAGCAGGTGTCTTACCGCTGACCTACAGCCCTCCCCCAATAATTGTTATGGTTTGGACTTTAATGGTGGTTGGGGCATGTTTCAAGCATTCAAAAACTGCCTTTTAGAAAAGGGGAAGCCTGGAGAGCCGAATGAATTTGCAAGTGCACTGGGGAGTCCAAGAGGTGTATGGGATTAGTATGTTGGGTCATAGGAGAAGCAGGAAGAATTGCGTTCATTAGTAGGAGGCGAATGGAAAGGTGCCATCTGGATTTCCCACTTCAGGTACCCAATTCTCTTGGGCTAACCCTCCGTAGCTCAGTAAACCTTTCGGAGGAAGTTCTCAGCGGGGGGGTGGGGGGGGGGGGGTTAGGCAATTTGTGTCTGCTGTGAATGGAGCCAGGCAGGTGGAAGATTATCTATGGCATTATTTTTTCTTCAGGGAGCCCTTTGGTTTCTTCTCCTTCCCTGAAGGCCACTGCTTTTGCCCTTTTTCCTCTTTTTTGCCTAAATTCTCATACAGGGTTGCTTCATCCTTCTGCCTGTGAAAGGAGAAAGGGAAGAACAGAAAGCAGAATGAGCACTCTTAACGATAACGGAACCTAGAATAAAGGGAGGGAGGGAGGAAGTACTGACTGGAAGATGGGGGTGGCTAAGCTGTAAGGCCAAGCCATGGCCTTGTGTTGTTTTATATGCTGCCATCTCTTAAAATACAGTGGACGCTCGGGTTGCAAATGTGATCCGTGCGGGAAGCACGTTCACAACCCACAGTGTTCACAACCCGCAGCAGTTTATCTGCACATGCACAGGTTGTGATTTAGTGCTTCTGTGCATGCGCAACCCCCAAAACCCAGAAGTAACCCGTTCTGGTACTTCCGGGTTTAGGCGGGTCCGTAACCCAAAAAAACACAACCTGAAGAGTCTGTAACCCGAGGTATGACTGTATGAGGGAAATATATGGCAAAAAAAAACCCTAGTGAAAACAGCAGAAACTGATCATTGAAATTGTCCATCACATCATACCATGTCCCCTTGGATCCATCTGAAAGATGACACGGTGGGTCAGGGACTGTTATTAGGATTATTTTATCATTATGCTGTCTATGATTGTGCTTTGCATTATGCTTTTTTTTATTATGCTCCATAACATGTACGCTGCCCTGGGACCTTTTGTTAAAGGGTGGCATATAAATTGTAGTTGTAATAATAATGATGATGATGATGATGATGATGATGCTATCACAGCAGGTTGTTGCGTGAACTCAGCTTTGCAGCTTGGTGCTGGCACACATACTGCTGAGTCAGCACCTGAATCAGCAATTTGCTTTACATGCTGTGAAAATGGGCTAGTCCTTACTCTTGCCCCCAAGCACTCAAGCTTCAAGTGGACCATAGGTGCCAACTCCACAAAAATTCCCCATGAATTTTGGTGCAACCCACAAATTTTGGTGTTTGGAGGGAGGACAGGAACGTCATTCCTAAAGCACCATCACTCCAAAAACATTACAGGTTGCCTTTGCCAATGTTCTATTTATCTACACCGTGAGATAGTTACAACCGGGAGATATGCTCTAACGGCTGCCATGGTTGCGTTCTTACTTAGAGGATTTTCGTGAAGCCTTTATCTTCTGTGCGGGTGGGTAGGTTATATTCCCATATTCAGATTCGCTTGGTTTTCCTTTCGTAGTCTGCAGGAGAGAGAGAGAAATATATGTATAAATCTCTATATAAGGGGATTTATGGCATGGAGCACAGTGGCGCTGTGGTCCTTTGGGCAATGCAGTGTTTCCTCGCACAGTGAGGGGCCCCATTTAGTCAGGAAGGAGAAGGTAAGAGGCAAAGCTGCAGGTGCAACCGGGGGGGGGCAGTAGTAGCAAGCCATTCCCCCTTTCTCCTCCCCACACTGCCTGACCTGCTATCTCTGGGGGAAATCCTTCTCTTCTTGCTGTAACTCTGGGCCAGGGCATTGGAGGGCATATGACTGAGTCAAATGCAGACCAAAATGGCCATGCCATTCCTAGCAAGTGTATAGCTGGCTGCTTTGGGGTCACACAGAGATTGTGCATGCACACACACACACACACATGCACACAGATACCTGGTGTACACTTTGCAATGCCTAATTATACAAGGTGCTAGAATCTAAATGTCTGTCCCCAAAAACATTGCCGGAAGAGGTGTGTCACCCAGCTAGGTAAAAGGTAAAGGTAAAGGACTCCTGGACGGTTAGGTCCAGTCAAAGGTGACTATGGAGTTGCAGTGCTCATCTTGCTTTCAGGCCGAGGGAGCCGGCGTTTGTCAACAGACAGCTTTCCGGGTTATGTGGCCAGCATGACTAAACCGCTTCTGGCACAACGGAACACCGTGACGGAAACCAGAGCGCACGGAAACGCCGTTTACCTTCCCGCCGGAGCGGTACCTATTTATCTACTTGCTCTGGCGTGCTTTTGAACTGCTAGGTTGGCAGGAGCTGGGACAGAGCAACGGGAGCTCACTCTGTTGCGGGGATTCGAACTGCTGACCTTCTGATCGGCAAGCCCAAGAGGCTCAGTGGTTTAGACCACAGCTCCACCCACGTCCCAACTACGATCTCCTTGAGGACGTGGGGCATCTTCCGTAAAGGAGAAGATGCTAATGATAGTGACCACCGCATGCCAGTCCCATACCTGCATAACATCCAGCTTCTTCTTAGTGGTCTCTATGAACTGGCAGATAGCCATGTAGATGAACTTGTACTGTGCTTCGGTCTGCACCATGCCTGAGCGCTGGGAGCGAACCATCTGAATGGCCTTTGGGATGTCGATATCACAGTCAAACCCTGGAAGGAAGAAAAAGGGGGGGAGGCAGAATGTGGATAGCTCAGTTGGTTAGAGCGTGGTGCTGCTAGCACCAAGGTTGAAGGTTCAATCCCCGCTTGGGGCTGGACTAGATGATCCTCAGGACCCCTTCCAACTTTGATTCTATAATGTAATAAATAAACGGGGGAAGAAGTTGTTCAAGACTTACAGGCCAATCGTAAGCAAGTGGCACTGAATAAAACAGGGCTTGCTCCCAAGTAAGCAGGCATGGGATTGCTGTCTTTATTTTTCCTTGTGCACGGCACTAAGAGCAACATATAAGTTATGAAATATAAAACAAGAGCTGGCAGCAGCTTTAGACAGGTGCTCAAGTCTCCCACTGAGCTCAGCGCTCATCCATGAATGGTCGAGATGCAACTATCGAAGACATCTAGCTGCTGGAGGTGGGACAATGCTTCCCTGATGTACAAATGTTTGTACAATGTCCTACATTGAAAGATTTTCTGGCAGAAGGTCATAGAGACGGTCGACATGACTGTACGGAACAATCTTAAATTTGCAGAGGAGACTGTCCTTTTGAGTTATATACCCAACACATGGAATCTAAGAAAGGGACAATATAAATGGACTCCCCGCAGCCTTTGTACGGCAAAAAGACAGGTATTGATGAACCGGAAAAATAAAGATGAGGATCCCTTTAACGACTGAAGATATGTACAAACTCGCTACACATGAACAAGTTGTGTACAAACGTAGACTTGCCACGGACAAATTTAACAATATTTGGTTAACTACAATAACAATTTCCCCCGCTTTTTTGTATTGTATACAATATCTTTTTTGTTGTTGTTCTGTTCTGTTTTCTACATGGGTACTATTTCTTGTTTCTTCTTCTTCTTTGAGTCTTATTTTACTCTGTGCACTTGTAATTTTGTATTTTTTTACTTTTCAATAAAGAATACAAAATAACAACAAGAAGAAGATGCACATCTTTACCCAGGCTCCCCCCGCCCGCCCCCGCTCCTGCTGTGCTGCTGCAATGTTACTTTGCTATTGATTATTGGTTTTAGTTCATGGTTATAATGTAATTTGTACTGGGTTTTAATTCACCCTTGCGTCTCAAGAGGGCAAACAGGGGATGGGAAGTCCTGTGTCATTTACGGGACAGGCTTTGGCTGTTCTCGTTTTCCCATCTACGTGACCAGGAAGGCAAGGGGCTTAACCCTGGCCAGCGGGAAAGAGGGACCAAGGAATAGAATGGCCACCAGGATTCAAAACAAGAAGTGACCTAACCTTTGATGGAGATCAAATCCACAATCATATCGATGACTATGATGGTCCCGGTGCGACCAATCCCAGCACTGTAGGGAGAGATGGAGATTAGGGAGACATGCAGAAAACAGACAAGGCTTCCCTTGCTAGAACCTACCAAGCTGCAGTTAGTCCAAGACTGTGGTCAGAGCAGCAGTCTCTGGACATCTGCATTTCCCTTCCCAGGTTGCCTCTGTGCCCCCAACATCCAGTATAAGGTAAAGGGACCCCTGACCATTAGGTCCAGTCGTGGCCGACTCTGGGGTTGCGGCGCTCATCTCGCTTTATTGGCCGAGGGAGGCGGTGTACAGCTTCCGGTTCATGTGGCCAGCATGACTAAGCCACTACTGGAGAACCAGAGCAGCGCATAGAAACGCCGTTTACCTTCCCGCCGGAGCGGTACCTATTATCTGCTTGCACTTTGACGTGCTTTCAAACTGCTAGGTTGGCAGGAGCAGGGACCGAGCAACGAGAGCTCACCCCATTGCGGGGATTTGAACCACTGACCTTCTGATCAGCAAGTCCTAGGCTCTGTGGTTTAACCCACAGCACCACCCGCATCCCAACATCCAGTATACTTAGGTATCTATTGCTTCTATATAGGGAGGTTTCACTTAGCTCTTATGGCTAGTGGTTGCTGATAGATCCACCACCCTCCATGAATCAGCCTTGTCCTTTTGCAAAAAATATTTTACGGAAACATCCCTGATTAAGAGATTAACAAATAAACTACAGTTGACATGTGGGTAGATCAAAGAAGATGGCTTGACCCCAGTGTGGTTTAATTTCATAGTATATGGCAGTATTCCAGAAAATGAAAAATCCCTCCCCCATCAGAATTAGGCTCAATCTGGTTGATCTAAATTTAAACATAGATTTTTATATATGGTTTGAACCCCTCTCCCATGTTCATTAATATACCAACACTTTATTTTGTTTCATTGGTAACACAAGAGGAAAAGTGACTATTACTCATACTTAATCTAAGCACATCAACCACAAGGGCTCCTGATTAGGCGACGCAATGTTGAACGTTATCTGTTAATTTTCTTCTATCCTGTTTCATATTTGTTTTTGTTTAAACCAAGTTCATGAACCAAGAACTTATACACTGACCACTAATAATGAACCAAATGTTGCAGATATCACTGCGAATTTATTACACTATTTTTGTGATATACAAATGGCATGAGAAGACTTGGTCTGTTTATTTGTATTATTTATTATTCCTATTATAAAGCCCAATAAAAAGTGATTCCAAATAAAAAATAAAATAGCAGTGATCAGCACTTCTTGTGGAATGTACCTATTAAGACTTATGAGCGGTTGCCAAAATTTATCGCTGGTTTATAAACCGGCACTGTGATATTTTCCCAGTTTATTTTACTGATCGTTAGAGAATAGATTCCTGTTTGCTGCATATCTAGCAGTGAATTAACAATGGTGCCAACTCACTCACCTGCAATGAACTATTATGGGTCCAGCTCCAGGGATGCTCTCCTGCTTCTGATTGACTTGGTCAAGGAAGCCCAGAACTCCTCCAGGCTCACTGGGCACTCCATGGTCCGGCCAGCTCAGGTACTGGTAATGCCAGATGTCTCGCACAGCCTCACTCTGGCAGGGGGCAACAACATCACACCCTCGTGTGGGTTCATGCCTGCAACTCCTTTGTCTATCCCTCAACCCACCGGCTTGCTCTCTCTCATCACGCTTACAGTCAGAGAAAGCAACCCAACGCTCTCCGAACTCTCAGGCCTGATGCCTGGAGGAATGAGATCAGCCCAGCTCTCTGTCTGTCTCTCAGAGGCTTTGATGACTGTCTCCAGAGAGGGGAGGCAGACAAATCTGACCCCCGAGGGACAGTCCGCAAGCAAGTTCTCCTGCACAAGCCCCATAGGAGGCTGTTATTTCAAGAGGAGAACTTTAGACTGGATGCAACCCATCTCTTATGCCACCCCCCCCAACTGAAGGCCATCTGAAGATCCTGGTGGGCTCAAGCAGATTCCTGCTGTCTCCACATATTGGCTATCAGAGGAGCTTCACGTGTCAAGATGCATTTTGTCTGTCTGCTGTACAGTGGTGCCTCAGGTTACATACGCTTCAGGTTACAGACTCCACTAACCCAGAAATAGTGCTTCAGGTTAAGAACTTTGCTTCAGGATGAGAACAGAAATCGTGCTCTGGCGGCACGGTGGCAGCAGGAAGCCCCATTAGCTAAAGTGGTGCTTCAGGTTAAGAACAGTTTCAGGTTAAGAACAGACCTCCGGAACAAATTAAGTACTTAACCCGAGGTACCACAGTAATTGTCCCGGAGCCGATTAGTAACAGCGTCAGTGTTGCACAGGCCTTGAGGTCCCAGATTCACGAAGGTCTTCAGACAAAAATGGTAAGAATAGAAATCTGAACCTCTGGAGTCACTCAGAGAAAAGCAAATGAAGCTGCCCACAGAGGCATTGTGGGGTGGGGTGGGGAGGAAGAAAGAGGAAACGCAGAACCAGCAGCAGACATTTCAGGGGACTAGCAATTGTTTTCGTAGAATATATATGATTCATCTGCTCTGTTATTACAGAGGATGCAGCTGGCATCACAGCCAAACTGCAGCACCCCAGTGTTTTCGTGTTTTGCTTTTTTAAAAAAACTTATTTATTAATTTTTCACAAAGAAAAAATAACTTTGCAAATTTTAATATACTTTACAAATTTTATATACTTTTAAAATATTAAAAGTATGAGTAGATTGTGTGCCAGAGATGGAGATGGAATAGCAAACATCCGGGTGTTGGGCAAAATGCTGGGATATTTTTTCCTGCAGGTCCTTATTTTCAGCAATATTTGTAGCGATCAGGGCCATCTTTACCCAGGTGTACAAGGGGTGCGTGGCACCCGGGCGCTGAATTCTGGGGGGAACCAAATGTATACCTACTTTATACCAGTCCCTCTCAATCGGCAGCAGTGAAAAGCAATGGAGCAAAAGCCTCCTCCGCCCCCCTCCTCCATCGCTCTGATACTCCCCCCCAAAAAAAGGTCAACAACTTTGGCTTCCCCCCTCCCCAAAAAAGCTCAGTGGAAGTTAATTTGGGGGCACCTAAACTAAATTTGGGGGCGCTGGACGGATCTTTGTACCCCGGCGGCACATATGCTAAAGACAGCCCTAGTAGCAATAATAGCAGTCATTGAATGTTCTCCAGGCTTGGTGTACTCACATTGTGGACTGATGAAAGGCAGAGCTGTCGGAGTTTATATTCTAAGGCATCGTGTTCTCCAATGTTTTCCACAATGTACGGCCCATACTCTTTGCTGCTGCCCACCTCTGGCCAGTAAGGGACACATTTGTTCTGTTAGGAAACAGAAAGCAGGTTTTGATGGGTGCCAGTGGGAACAACTGGAATCTTTGGCAGGCCTTGAATGACTCCTGCAAGGTGACATAACTTATGGATATATTGGATAAGTAATTAATATTACTTATTAATATAGAAGTTAATATAGAATCGCAAAGAACCCACGTTTGGGTGGAGGGAAGTCTTAATACTTTACTATATAATTTTATTTTATTTTCAGCATTCAAGCATCTTTTCTTCTCCTTTTGTACATCTCTGATGGGAAATGATAATTGTGATGTATACTAAAAAAATCAATAAAGATTAAATGCCTCCGCCCAGAAAAGAAAGAAAGTGGGGAGAAGATCACAGCTTGTCCTCTTCATCTAAAGCAAAACTTGGAAGGAAATCTACCATAATAACCACCTGAGGATGGTGAGAGTTCAATAACACCTTACATGCAAACAGCACATGGGTAATTAAAAAACGATTTGACTACTCCTTCACCAGAGTGATTTGGAGGAGCAGCAGGGAGACAGGAAGGAAGTCCTTAAATCAGGGATAGTCAATGTGGTCCCATCCAAATATTGCTGACTATAACTTCTGTCACCTCAGGCTATTGGCTATCCTGGCTGAGGCTGATGGGGATTTTATGTAATTAATTAATTAATATCCTGCCCTTTACCCCAAAGGAGCATTCTAAAAACATCCTAAAAACCAGTGACCTCAGTGTTGCCAGAAACAGTGAACTTTCAGGCATCCAAAGTCTGGGTGTTTATTTATTTATTTACACCCCCCAGAAGTAAATAATGAGGGAGACAAGCACACGGCACCAGGAATGGCATTTCGCAAATAAGGGACCACCATCAAAAAGGCCTACATCATTTGACCACTGCATCATTCTCTTGGCTCTTGGTTTGTATCTTTCCACAGTCCTGATTTCCCCCCCCCCCACTGAAAAGCCCCCTGTCCCCCCCAACATCCACTTTCCCACCTTGTGCATGTGAATAATAATAATAATAATAATAATAATAATAATAATAATAAATTTATTTATACTCCACCCTCCCCAGCCAGAGCCGGGCTCAGGGCGGCTAACTCCAGTAAAATTACAGTAAAAACATAACAGGAAGGAAAAAATCAATTTAAAATACAGGTTAAAATGCAATTTAAAATGCAGCCTCATTTTAAAAGTAGCCCATAGATCAAACCATAAGGGGAGGGAAACATAAGGGTCAGACTGAGTCCAAGCCAAAGGCCAGGCAGAACAGCTCTGTCTTGCAGGCCCTGCAGAAAGATGTCAAGTCTCGCAGGGCCCTAGTCTCTTGTGACAGAGCGTTCCACCAAGTTGGGGCCAGTACTGAAAAGGCCCTGGCCCTCGTTGGGATCAATCTAACCACCTTGCAGCTTGGGACCTCCAAAATGTTGTCATTTGTGGACCTTAAGGTCCTCTGCAGGGCATACCAGGAGAGGCGGTCCCGTAGGTACGAGGGTCCTAGGGCTTTAAAGGTCCAAACCAGCACCTTAAACCTGACCCTGTACTCCATTGGGAGCCAGTGCAGTTGGTAAAGCACTGGATGAATGTGATCCCGTGGCAAGGACCCTGTAAGGAACCTCGCTGTGGCATTGTGCACCCGCTGGAGTTTCTGGGTCAGCTTCAAGGGCAGCCCCGCGTAGAGCAAGTTACGATAATCAAGCCTGGAGGTGACCGTCGCATGGATCACTGTGGTCAGATCAGGGCGAGAAACCCCACAGGTCAGCAAAGTGGTAGGAAGGTATAATGGTATGGGGTTGCTCGTGCGTAAGTTGCCTCCTCCCCTGACTATGTTGCCTTGTTAAACCTTTCTGTCTGGACAGCCCTTCAATTTGTGGCTGCCTCAGTCGCTAGCAGAATCCGTCAGTGGGCGTTTCTTAAACCTTTTCCAACATAAAAGTTGTTTGACACCCAGTCTCCTCCTACTTTCTCTGCGTGGAAGTCTTCTGCGCAGGGAGGGCGTGGGTAGCGGAGGACCCGTGCTCTCCCCGCTGGTGTCCGGTGAAGAGTCTGGGAGCCCTCTCGCCGATTCCCCATCTGCCCCTCCTTATTCCTGGTGTTGCACTGAATTGCTTCCCCATCTGCTGAGCTGCCTCTCTCCCTGCTGGGCCCTTCTCCAGCATCATTGGAGAGCCTTCCCTCCACCTCTAGCTCCGATGTCAGTTCCCTGACAGAAGGGAAGGTTTTAACATGAAAAGGTGAAGCAGTTCTCTGCTGGAACTGCGCTTTGCAGCAAAGAAATTGGCTGTTGTGCATCATTTGTGTGGAATGTTTGGCAGCACCTTCAGCCCTAGAAATCTTCCAAGGGAGTTTCTCACAATTCTGGAGGAGATGAAGACCAAGCAAGAAAGATGTAATGTATGCTGAGAAGGTGGAGGAATGGATGGAGAGGAATGTTCCCCCCCCCTTGCCCCTCCTTACCCTTCCTTTCTCCACTTCTCGCGTGGTCATCACAATGATCCGTGAGTTTTCTTGCCACACCATCTGCCAGAAATCGTTGGTGGTGGCATCCAGGCAACCTTGGCTGGCAATGTAAGTTTTGCTGCATTCCTCGGGGCTGAATAGCTTGTTCTGCAAGTGAGCAAACAGGTAAAATATAAAGGGCCTGGAGCGAAAATCCACCACCACCCTTCTTTCTGGAAGACATGACTCAGCTCCTCACCTTGATGTAGTTGGCATTTATATAATCTGACCCAGGATCTCTGTCTTGGAGGATGACTCGAGAGTGGTCAACTAAAAAAGGAGGCAGCACAGTTAGTATGTCTCTTGAGGAATGCCCTATGCAACAGGGGCTTTTGCAATCCACTCTCTATAGGGCTCAAGGCAGAAACAGAGGTAGCAGCCTGTGACCGGGGCTGGATTTAGGTTTGACGAGGCCCTAAGTTACTGAAGGTAATGGGGCCCTTTATATGTCCAGCTGCCCTTTGTCAACAACAAATTGTCGCTGTTTCTTGTCTTGAATATATGCTCTTCCCTCCCCCTCCCCTTTTATGAAGATTACCCACTCTGAGACCCCACAGCTAATTCTCCCCTGGCCTCCTCGCTGGCCCAAGTAGGACTAATTCAGCCAGCTAGCCCTGGTGATCATCTAATGTTTATTAGATGGATTTCCCCCAAATTGATTTCTGAACTTTGAATTTTCTTGTTATTCATGTTTTTATACTGTATTTTATGCTGCTTTTACAATTAAGTGTTTTAAATTTGTTGTTAGCCGCCCTGAGCCCGGTTTTCTGAACCGGGAAGGGCGGGGTATAAAGAAATATTATTATTATTATTATTAGGTAATTTATGGACCTACACAACACAAAACACTGTTGCTGTATGTAGGTTTTATTTTATTTGTTTTTTATCTTATATTTTGGAAATGTACATCCAGTTTTTCCCCCTTTAAATATTTTGGAGCCCCCCAAGAGAGTGAGTCCTAAGCTATAGCTTGTTTAGCTTATACGTAAATCCGACACTACCTGTGACCAGTGCTATTTTTCTAGAAAAAGAGGGGCCAGAACTCACCATGAACACCTCCCTCATTCTCCTAGAATGGCAATGGAGCCCACCTGAGAAGTGCCGGAACTGAGTTCTGGCTGACAAAAAACACTGCCTCAGACTCCTCTGCCACCTGAGTCTGTGGCCTGTGTGGGCCCAGCTTCTGGGTCAAGATGATAGGTGGAACTCCAGACTCACATGGCAAAATGTTCTTATAGCGATTCTTGCCCTTGTTTTCTGGTCTTTGGCCCTCATGCCGTTCATACAAGTTCTTCGTCTCTTGTTTCTGCAAGCTCTGAAAGGGGAAGAGGCATGGAGGAGTGTTTAATAAGGGCAAGCATGGCTTAAAAACTGGGATTCATGGGTACAGCTTGTCTGTGGGGTTGCTGAGAGGTGCTGTTAGCACTTGCCTGTGGATTGGAGGCAGGAGGCACAGACAACCTCCCTCAGGAACAAGAAGTGACCAGCAGGAAGCATCTCTCCAGCATGAGGAAGCATCCATGTTCACCCCCACCCACACCTCCCTCTCTTGCATCAAAATTTAAATAATAAGTCTTTTGGGGCAGGTGTGATGTGCTTGTGATGTGCCATACACATCGGTGACATGGGAGATAATCTCCAGCACTGTCGTTGGTTGTCTCCCAAGTTGGCAAGGCTCACTTGACAGCAACACAAGGGCTGGACAATACAGTGGTACCTCGTTTTGAGTCTGGGATCCGTTCCGGATCCCCAGACGCTAGACAAAAAGGACGCACAACAAAGCACTGCTCTGCGCACGTGCATGGAGCAGTTTGTGCTTCTGTGCATGTGCAAAGCGTGATTTAGCGCTTCTGCACATGCACAAGTGGCAAACCCAGAAGTAACCCATTCCGGTACTTCCGGGTTTACCGCAAACGTTTGACAAAATGAACGCTCGACGAGGCGGACTCAAAATGAGGTACCACTGTATATCAATATATCGTCCCAAACCAGTTTGAAGTCCATACTGTGATATCGGTTACATGATGTGTGCTAGGACTGGGCAATATATCGTCCAAAACCAATTTCAAGTCTATATCATGAAATTGGTTTTTTTATATATAATTTTTGACCTGACAATGTATTGCAACTCAGTCTGTGTGTGTGTGTGCGCGTGTGTGTGTGTGTGCACGCGCTATGCAAAAATCACAATGTGGGGAAAACTGTGAAGCCAGCCAGTGCCTGTACATAGCTCTATCCTTATTTCAGACATTGTGATAAATCAGTATACTGTAATGTTTAGCTGGTGATAGATCACAAAGTTGAAAACCATATATTTCCCAGCCCTAATCAACACAAAATAGACTTTAATGTCATTGGCCTAGTCCTATGCAATGCTCTGGAGGGACGCGGGTGGCACTGTGGGTTAAACACAGAGCCTAGGGCTTACCAATCAGAAGGTCGGCGGTTTGGATCCCCACGATGGGGTGAGCTCCCATTGCTCAGTCCCTGTTCCTGCCAACCTAGCAGTTCGAAAGCACGTCATGTGCAAGTAGATAAATAGGTACCACTCTGGCGGGATGGTAAACGGCGTTTCCGTGCGCTGCTCTGGTTCGCCAGAAGCGGCTCAGTCCTGCTGGCCACATGACCCAGAAGCTGTACACCGGCTCCCTCGGCCAATAAAGCGAGATGAGCACCGCAACCCCAGAGTCAGCCACGACTGGACCTAATGGTCAGGGGTCCCTTTACCTTTACCTATGCAATGCTTTTCCATTAAGAGTTTCACTGAGTGTCTTCTGCTTTATCCTTTAAACTCCTGCCAAAAACTTTTCTAGTCCACTTTTGCAGGCAATTGAGAATACATCTCTCCATCACAGTTAGTTGCTGCCCTCCGATTTTAATTCTTTTCTATGTTTTTGTTATATAGATATATTATTGTAAACTGCTCTAACTTTTCTTAGGATATGTCAGGATGCAAATGACTTTATAAATGAATGCATTCTAAAAATGCTAGCGGTCGAAACAATAAGGTATTGTGAATGCGTCAGTACACCACCCCCAGTTGAGGTGGGGATAAGCCAAGAACCAGGACAGGAGTAGGGAGTTCCAGACTTCATAACGCATCACGAGGAAGAGGAAGCCCCACAGTTCGCCACTCACATCGAACTCCTCCCAGAAACCTCCTTTGGCAGCTTCTTCCTCTTGGCTTCTCTTTTCAAGCATCTGCACCCTGTCCTCAATGTCGGCTGCATTCACCCGGGTGGCGTTGAAAGGCTAGCAGGAGGGGAGGAAAGAAGGAAGGAAGGAAAGAAGGAAGGGGAAATGTGAGAAACATCATCATCAATCTTTATTACAGCCCAGAGACCCAACAAATCATTACAAAGCAATACACAATAAGAAACAAACAGAGGTCTCTCTGGAGACAAGAAAAAGATAAAGTCAAGGAGCAGAGCTCTCCCAGCCACAAAACCAGAATCTGGGCTGCTTATCTCTTTGCATGGCAGCTACTTTTCCCCATGAGATGGGAGGGGGAATAGCGGGGTGGGTGAGACATCCACCAAGGAGAGAGAAAAATGATCAGTTGAGGGAAAAGGGGAACATAGAATCATAGAATTGGGGCGTTGTTGTGTGCAGTGATACCTTGGGTTATAGACGCTTCAGGTTACAGACTCCGCTAACCCAGAAATAGTACCCCTGGTTAAGAACTTTGCCTCAGGATGAGAACAGAAATCGCGTGGTGGCAGTGGGAGGCCCCCTTAGCTAAAGTGGGACGTCAGGTTAAGAACAGTTTCAGGTTAAGAACGGACCTCCGGAATGAATTAAGTTCTTAACCCGAGGTACCACTGTACTGAGCTTGGATCCTAGAACAATAGGCTGGTAGGATCCTAGAATGCAACAACCTGGTTGGCCTGCAGGAGCAGACCAATCAGACCCCAGGAGGTAGTTAATCAGCCTATTAGGCCGGTAGGATCCTAGAATGCAACAACTGATTGGCCTGCAGTAGCAGCCCAATCAGGCTCCAGGAGGGAAGCAGAATCAGCCAATCAGACGGAACACATTGTGTAAATAATGTATATAAAACCTGAGGTCTGGGGGGGGGATTCACTCTCACTGTTTTACGAGCTGCAATAAAGAGCATGAAATCACTACGTGACTCGGGGTATATTTCAGGAGTTGAAAGGGACCACAAGGGTCATCTAGTCCAGCCCCCTGCAATGCAGGAATATTTTGCCCACGACCCTGAGATTCAGAGTCTCATGCTCTACTGACTGAGCTACAATCAGTTCCTGCTGTCCCAAGGTGTTTCTGTGCCCCACTTTACATAGGGCAGCCCTCTATTTTGAAGGTATCCTCCACATGAGGGCTTTCCAGTCCAAGTCAGGCTGAACAGTAAGATTCCAGAAAAAGGGAGAGGAGGAGCCTTGAAGCTGTCCATCAAAACCTTTTTTGGAAGCTGAACGTCCGACGGGGTTTCTGCAGCTTCTGATTGGCTGCAGGAGCTTGCTGCAGCCAATCAGAAGCCGTGCTTTGGTTTCCGAACATTTTGGAAGTCGAAAGGACTTCTGGAACGGATTCCGTTCGACTTCCAAGGTACAACTGTATTTTAAAATGAATATTTTAATTCATCCGTAAGAGAAAAACTGAAGGGAAAAGCACATAAAAGAATAAAGGGTCATAGACTATTTCTAATAAATTCATACACTGTATCTTATATTGTGTTGCAATTTGTTAAACTATCTTATCACAGTCACTGTAGCATTTTATGCCATTGCTACAGTGACATTAAAAATGTTAAACACCTCTCCAAAAATAAATAAGCATTCATGACTTATTTTGAAACTTCTTGGTCATTAACCCCAAAACAGTGTTTCTCCCCATTAAGGCTATGTCCTATATCTTCACCCTTAATTGTTGAAATACTCGTGCCCGCCCCCCCTTTTGTTAAATGTGGTTGCTACATCATTTGTTCACCAGTTTTGGAGTTTACTCCAGAGGTATTCTGTAATGTGTGACCATAATTCATGAAATTATTGTCCATAGTTTCTTATACAGGGACAAGTCCACCAGACATATGAGTAGGTTCTTTTATTAACGGTACCCAGAACCTATGCCAGTTATTTGTTAAATCCTACACAGCACCAGATGTTGTAAAAATGTTGCTACCATCTGAAAATTAGCCTCTTAAAGTTAATCAGAGACCAGTCTTTCGACTTTCCAGATCTACAGTTAAAACTGATATTCTACTTCTGCTACTTCCTTATTCTGTTTCTCCATACAGCTACAGTCTTTCTGATCTAATGCCATCAACGCTTCCTTATGTATTAGATAATTTCCCCCTTGCCGCTGGCTTTAACAAAATCTGTGTTTAAGATAACTCCAGTTTGCCAATTTGATTCTGCTGCATTATCCTTCTTAGAAAATAAGAATAATACTTGAAAGCTGTGGAAATGTGGCAGCTTTTTTTCCCTTCCTCATCTGCAGGAATAACTTCATAGTTTTTTTTAAAAAATACATTAGAAATTTTCCACAAATCTGTCCATCTCACTGAATGAAATTTAAGCCATTTACTTGTATTTCCCCAAACTGCTTCGCAATCACAATCCCTTGCAAAAAAATTACAGCTAAAGGAAAAAGGTTTAGGCCCAAACCATAGATATTCCACTTTTTTGAAAAGCCACATAACTGAGATGACTTAAAAACAAACAAAAAACATGCATCATATTACTTTCCATAGACCACATCACATAACAACATGGGATAGAAAAAGTTTGTTTTTAATTTGAGGGTGCTGGGTTTGTCCCCAACAAATAACATTGTCTAAATTCTTTCTCATTAATTGTGTGTTCCTCCAGTTCATAGCTGTCAATGTTTCCCTTTTTTTAAGGGAAATTCCCTTATTCCGAATAGGATTTATTATGTACTGAGTTGAATAAGATCCAAAAGGCAGCAGTCTGATTGGTCCTAGAACAATGCAGCAGTATGATTGGTCCGCAGGAGCCACCCAATCCAGCTTCAGGTGGAAGTGAATCCGCAACCTGATTGGCCTACAGGAGAATCCCAGAAATAGCCAATCATGTGCGGCCCATTGTGTAAATAATGTATATAAAACACATATTTGGGGGGAACTTCCATTCCTCATTACTATGAGCTGAATAAAGAGCATGAAATCCACTCTCGACTCTGAGTATATTTCAGGATTCCTTGCAAGAAAAGGGAAAAGTTGGCAGCTAGGCTCCAGTTGTTTTAGAGAAACATCTAGCAAACGTTATAAATAAGAGAGGAAATCAAATGGGATGGGTAAAGCAGCCGTGGTCTACACTTCTCTGTGCAGCTCTATATCAGTACCTGTCTCAGATACAGATAGGATCCAGATGCCTCTTCAATTCCCGTTTTCTTAAAATGCTCCACCAGGTCAGCCAAGCTGCCAAACCTCTCTGTGCCCCCAATTGTGTACTTCCCTTTCTGGAGGGGGGAAAAATATATTATTAGTCATGTCCCTTATATATGTAACACGCTTCTCCCATGCATAATTTTTTGCTGATCAGTTGTATTTCCAGTGCTCTGGGAGGTTATGACCAGAACCAGTTGCAAGTAACAACCCTCACATTTAACATGCCTACACCAATTAACACAAGACACAATCGACCAAGACTTTCTGCTGTTGAAATGAATTGGGAGATCTCAAAATACCACTACAGGCAACTGCCATTTTGCATGTGTTTGATGCACACTGAGCATGCACACGCCATGTTTTGCACTGGAAGAGGAAAGGACTGGGGCGGAATGGGGTGAGGCAGGGTTACGTGTGCTTCACCATAGCTGTCAACGTTTCTTGTTTTTTAAGGGAAATGCCCTTATTCCAAATAGGATTCCTCGCAAGAAAAGGGAAAAGTTGACAGCTATGGTGCTTCACCAACACGCACAATGACCCAGAATGTCATCCCTCCATAAATGGATGTGTGTGCACCTGTATTGTTTTCTTACGCAACTCGTATTTGTTTCAACAAGGCTTCCACAGAAGAACCTCATGCCCCACTCATCTAACGCCCATCCTATTTCCCCTCACAGCTTGGTTGTTTAACCAGCTCCAGCAACAGGCACTTAAAGGCAGTGAGACGATCTAATACAGTGTGATGGCTTTGCTGGCCTTAGATCGGAAGGAGATGGTTCAAATCCCTACCCGGCCAGAAAGCTTGCTGCTTGTTCTTGAGCTAGTGACTCCATCTCAACTTACTGCACAGAGTTTCTGACAAGAGAAGTGCAGAATTCGGCAGCCAGGTTGCTCACCCGGGCAAGACAGTTTGAGCATATTACGCCGATCCTGGTCCAACTGCACTGGCTACTCATTAGTTTCTGGGCCAATTCAAAGTGCTGCTTTTGACCTATAAAGCCTTAAATGGCTTAGGACTGCAACACCCCAAGGACCGCCTCTTCTCATATGAACCTGCACGGACCCTGAGATCATCTTATGAGGCCCTCCTTCATGTACCTCCTCCATGAGATGTCCGGAGCGTGGCAACACAAGAACGGGGCCTTCTCTGCAGTGGCTCCCCATTTGTGGAATGCTCTCCTCAGGGAGGTTCCCCTGTTGCCTTCATTATACACCTTTAGATGCCAGGTGAAAATGTTCCTTTTTAACCAGGCCTTTGGTTGATCCGATTTTAAAATGTTTTGCTTTTTTGTGGAGGGGAGTATTGGGTTGCTGTTTTTATTTTTATTAGGTATTTTGTGATTTTATATCTTGATTTTATTCTGTGAACTGCCTTGAGACCCCCTGGTCTACAAAGGCCTTGGGAGGGGGGATTATTGGTTTTGTTCTGTTCTTATTTTTATTATGTATTCCGTGTGTTTTATTGTATTTTTATATTGTGGGATGCCCTAAGAGCCCCCGGATGAAGGGTGGTATACAAATTGAATATATAATAAGCGGGGGAGGGGGGAGTCCTCACATAAATTCCAAGATGGGAGGCATACAAATGTGACAAATAAAATAGTAATTAAAATTAATTAATAAATTAGGCTCACTGGATTCCTGGTTGTCTCTTAATTTTGAGACCATGACAAAGAGAAACATGCCATCTAAGGGTGCTGATGGGAAAGAGGTTGTTTTCTGTCTCCCCGCCCCTCGGCCACCTCTCCACAAGTTTCTCACCTCACACATAACCTTGACATGAGTAACTTTAAGTCGTTCTTTGGGGGTGCTAGCGGCTCCAGGGGCATCACCCCCAGATTTAGGCTGGTCGGTGAGGACAGACAGCACAAAGTCACCCGGCTTGCTGAGGCTCTCACGAACCAAGAAAGTCCATGGTGCAGCCTTAGTTTGGAGTAAGGTCTCGGCAGCTGGGCCAGAAAGATGACCATGGTACCACCTGGGGAGAAGGAGGGATGAAAAACAGAATCAGGCCACAGAAAAAGAGGGTAAGCATGGCTGAAGCATCGCTGGGGTAACAGAAGCAGCATACGACAAAGCAGGATGGCGGTGATGATGATTTATACCCCGCCCATCTGGCTGGGTTTCCCCAGCCACTCTGGGCAGCTCCCAATAGAATATTGAAAACACAATAAAACATCAAACATTAAAAACTTCCCTAAACAGGGCTGCCTTCAGATGTCTTCTAAAAGTCAGATAGTTGTTTATTTCCTTGACATCTGATGGGAGGGCGTTCCACAGGGCGGGTGCCACTACCGAGAAGGTCCTCTGCCTGGTTCCCCGTTGCTTCACTTCTCACAGTGAGAGAACCACAAGAAGGCCCTCGGAGCTGGACCTCAGTGTCCGGGCTGAATGATGGGGGTGGAGACGCTCCTTCAGGTATACTGATAATAATGATACAGTATTTACCTAGCAATGACGGTGTTATCAATGTGTTAATGATAACGAGTATCTACATAGCACTGTTCCAACTGCTTTCTGCACATTATCTCCTGCTGTTTTTTTATATAACGAAGTTGGTTGGCAACTCTATTTTAAAGCATTGTTTTCTATCTCCACCCTTGGACTTTGGGTAGCTGGAGTGATGCAGCTGTGCAGGCTGTGTTCTTCAGAATTATCCTGTTGCATGACCACTTGCCATTCCCATATTGGAGAAGCGTAAAATGTATTTCGTAATATACACAGGGAGAGGTAACACTTTGGAGGTAAAAAGGTAAAGGATCACTAGATGGTTAAGTCCAGTCAAAGGTGACTCTGGGGTTGCGGCGCTCATCTCGCTTTCAGGCCAAGGGAGCCGGCATTTGTCCACAGACAGCTTTCTGGGTCATGTGGCCAGCATGACTAAACTACTTCTGGTGCAACGGAACACCGGAATAGAAACCAGAGTGCACAGAAACGCCGTTTACCTTCCCGCCGCAGCAGTATCTATTTATCTACTTGCACTGGTGTGCTTTCGAACTGCTAGGTTGGCCGGAGTTGGGACAGAGCAATGGGAGCTCACTCTGTCGCAGGGATTCGAAACACCGACCATCTGACCAGCAAGCCCAAGAGGCTCAGTGGTTTAGACCACAGCGCCACCCTTTTAACACTTTGGAGCAACCATGACAACTGCTCAGGTCATCTCTGCATCATACAACATAGCCAGGGATTTGACATGCGAAACAGCCACACCAATCAGAAAATCCCCATAAGCAATCTGGGATTCATTTGAGTCCGCTAGCCTCTAGAAATGGACTGTTGTAATAGGTCCTTCACCCTTCCCGAAAGGAACAGTTGCTGCAAGCCTAAGCCTCAACAGGAAGTGATCTGATGATGACAAGGGACTCGAAATAAACCCACTTTCAGAGCATCCTCCTTCCCGCTAGAGAAAACCAAACTGACAGTGTGTCCTGCAACATGACTAGAGCCGATGACAAATTGGGACAGCCCCACAGTTGCCATGGCAGCCATGAAGTCTGGCGCTCTTGCAGCTACAGCAGCCTTGACACGGAAGTTGAGCTTCTCCCTTAATAAACTCAGGAGTCTCAACACCAAATGAAATATTCCCTGACAGTGTCATGGGCAGGAGAGTGACTGGTACACCAGCAGATTCCCTCAGCTGTTCAAAGTGTCCAACACAAGATATAAACACTCCAGATTGGCACACAAATTAACAGAAAGCCTAGAAACAATTCTGATAACTTTTAGCAACCATTCTTCACAGCTCTCAAGTCTGGGTTCAACCAGTGTTGAATCAAGCATCCAGGAGGACTTAGCTGGGAGATATTATTCCCCCCACCTCCCAGTATCTCCCCGACTCAGATCTTGTTAATATCAACCAGCTAGCCTTCTTGTCTGCAATTAAAACATGGCTGAAGGAGATCTTATTATAAATTGTGCTGGCATTTAATAACAGTATCAGTAGACCAGAGGGCAGTCTGATAAAGCAACCATGGACTATCTGGCTGAGAGAGAGAAAGACCAGAAACAGCTACAGGCATAAAGTGTCTTGGTCTGAAAGCTGCAAAAAAAATTTCCCCTGACTATTCCCTCAGGTATACCATTCTGACACTTTTTTTGGTAGCCTTCTCAGATTCCCTAATTTGTCCAAAAGTTTTGCTGGCCCCCTACTGTGATTCAGTGAAGCCCAAATGTTTGTGAGGACCACTCCCAAAATAAACGTTTTCTTTCCCCTGCAATTAAATCCTCATTTTTATACTTGAACAGGCCTACTTTGAAAGGTGGCCTACAGAGGGTTGACTGTGGATCAATGCGGCCCCCAGCCCGAAAGATTTAGCCATCCCTGCAATGCAGGTGCTCCTACGCTTTGAAATACAGAAACAGCAACAGCTGCCACCTTCCCAAAATAGCATTCCTGATTCACTTCTCCTGAAGCCTCCATTTCAGTTTTAACCGAAAGATATGGCGGTTTCATGACACTCATTAGCCGCACTGGATGGGATTCAGCTGAGTTGTCACATGCACAGAGCAAGGTCCTCTCACGCAAAAAGACATCCCTCCTCCTCCCCTGCACGCCCCCCCAAATCTGCCCTGGGGGACTGGGGGAAAACCCATAGCACGCTTAAGGGATGCAGGGATCAGACAGGGGTAGTAAAGTCTTGGTGCTCAAGCAGATCTCATTCCCCACCTGCATAACCCACGTAGTCCTACTCTGAGCTCCACCCATAGTTTAAAACGAAAGGAGAGTTAAGTTCCCGACTGATTTTTCCTTCAGCTAGCTATGCATGTCACAATTGTTTCTGAGCAAACTCCAGGCTCTGATATTTTCAAGCAGTACACGTATAATAACCAATGCAGCACGACAGGAAAACCAGCAGGACAAGGCACTGAAAAAGTGTGGGGTGGCCATTGCTTGACACAAACAAATAAACTCAAAATAAATGCTGGGTTGCCTGGAAGTTACCCAGGCCAGGCCAATGGTTCAATTGGTCCAGTTTCGTCTAAATTAGGGCTGCCATACATCCGGATTTTAATGGACATTACCGGGATTTCAAAGGCTGAAGTGATGGCTGGGGGGAATTTCCAGAAGGCAGCGGTTTGTCTCGGATTGAAAAATCACATTTATTTATTTTTTGCATTTTCGTAAAAAAAGAAGAAGAAGAAGAACTTTTGGGGTGTCCTGGTTTTTACTTTTTTGAAATGTGGCAAGCCTAGAATTGACTGCCAGCCATTACCTCAGCCATTCAGAGGTCATTCTCAGCCCTGCTAACTGGAGATTCCTGGGGTCGAATCCTGGCTCTGCTACCGAGCTATGGCCAAGAAAGCTTTGAAGGGAGGCATAAGTGAGCCTACTCGGTTGCTCTTATGCTGTTTCAGGGCATCTTCATAGTGGCGTAGCCTGGGGGGGCTGTGGACCCGGACACAAAATACTGTGCGCAACCCACAGCAAGCTCCCTCGCTGAGACCGAAGCACACACAGCATGGGCCTTCAGGGCTGTGGTGGCAGGCACCTGCTTCTCCTTGTGGCCGGCGAAGGGATGCCCACCCCTGGGCAGAACCACCCCCAGCCAGAGCCCAGACTTTTCCTGGCCTGCGCCAGTCCTTCCCTGGGGTCTCCCTCCTGGCGTGTGTTCTTGGGCAAGGCAGCACCCCAAGGAGGGAGAGCAGAGAGGAGAGCTACCCGCTCGCCCAAGACCCCTTGGCACCTGCCCTTGTGCAGTGTGGCTTAGGAGAGGTAGCTGGGTGAGGGCTGCCCTTGGCATCACACCCTGCTCTCCACTGATCTCCTCCTAGGCCTGCTGCAACTGCGCTCCGGTTCTGCTGGGACATCGCTAAGCCTGCCAAAGAGCTTCAGCCACTGCTCCTGCCAGGAGCTTGCTAAGCTGAGAGGCCAACTGGCGAAGTTCGCCTATTGCCTCCTCCATGACACCCGCAAGGAGGTTAGGGAGCGTGATCCTTGCCTTGCCCCGGGTGCTGCTAATGCATGCTACACCACTGGACTTCAGTGGGAGGCAGCCCATGAAAAGCCATTCAGCCATGTGCTTGCTAGTAGCACATGCATTATACAGCCTGGACCAGAGACCGCTTTTCTCTACAAAAATTATTTCACACCCGATGACCCAGATTTGGAACGAAGCTCCATGACGCACGTACTTATATGACACATACTTGAAAACGTAGTTGTGCCATAGCAACCCAGTATATATTTTGAGCTGTAAGTGTAAGCATATTAGGCAGACCTAAAATCGTAAAATGTGTTGACCCATAAATTCATTTCACAAATTGGTGTGGAACGGGTCTGTAATTAGTGATTGAAATAAACCATTAACAAATCATCTCAGCATTTACATAGCACTTTGGGGCGTTCAAAAACTTTGGGGACATGATCACAATAAGTTTAACAACCACCCTGTAAGGTAGGTCATTATCATCCTAATCACCATCTGTATCTTGTGGTGAATGGCTTCTTGGGGAGTTCATTGCAGAAGTTAGATTTGAACCAGAAGTCGCAGCCACTGCTCTGCACCTGTGTTTGAGAGGTAGATTGTGGATCTCTCTCTCTCTCTCTCTCTCTCTCTCTCTCTCTCTGCTAATTTCCAATATTGTGTTCCTGTATATAACGTAAAGAACCAATAGAATGTCTGTCCCTGATGAGAGAGCACTGCTTTCCAAGTTCTTTGTATGGAAGTTAGTACTTTCCAGAATCTTCCATACCACTAGCTTGCTGTTCTCCATCTACTATGGAAACTTGGTTTTCTTTCATTTTTTTAAAAATAGCACAACATAGTACACAGTTTTTAAAACAGTTTTGAAAATACGCTAAAAATGCTACACTATCTGATGAAGGCACTATTGACGGCAGAAGCTATATTTAAAACAAAAACAAAAACAGAGGATTGCAAGGAAATAAAAGGGCATGGAAAACCTTCAATCCTTCTGGCCAGTGGAGTTCACAGTGGCAAGACTCTGGTGGTCTTGCCAACCCCCCTGGACCAGAGACAACTTGTATGGATGAAAGGATGCATGACTTCCAAACAGGGGCCTGGCCAGACTTGCTATTATCCAGTGGAAGACAGAAGTGCCTGGTGTGCTCTGGTCCAGGGGGTCACAAAGAGTCGGACACGACTAAACAACAACAAGAAGATGTCTTCTTGCGTTTGGGGCCAAAATCCTGACATTTTGCTCCTCAGCTGGAAAAACTTACAATGACAATTTGTCACACTTGTTTTGCATCTCAGTCTCATTTTGCCTGACTGAAAAGCCTGAACGTTTATCTGAACTTTAGCATACCTTTTTGCTAGGACACCAAGCTTCAGTCAATAGAATAATGAACTAATATGTCTGTTGATTAATCGGAGGAGTTAAAGCTACACTTGCTTTTTAAGTCTACTTTAGTTTTGGCACGTTGTTGTGACAGGAAATGAAAAATAGCATATTTAAAGATGGCCGCCCTTTTTAACTTCTAAGAGGGGTCGGGTTTTCCCCTTGTTAAGTTAAACTTTAGGTTTTCTTACATTTCCTTCACTCTCTTAAAAAGGGGCCTGTCCTAATATTCTGGTAATTTTCAAATATAAATGTAATTGATTAATTAATCAATGAAAATACACAAATCAATTAAGCATTCTTTAATCAACCCAGAGAGCCTCAACTTGTTACAAATGTGTTTTGAAATTATAGCATAAAACCCTGACTATACCATCTTTTACAGTCCAAGTTGAACAATGATTGTGAGTGAGGCTCTCTAGGCCACAGAGCAGAGTGGTTAACCAATCCTTTTATTATTATTATTTCTGGATGGTGTTCAGGCATAAGGAGCTTGGATTATTTTAGCCATATCATAGAATCATAGAATCATAGAGTTGGAAGAGACCACAAGGGCCATCGAGTCCAACCCCCTGCCAAGCAGGAACACCATCAGAGCACTCCTGACATATGGTTGTCAAGCCTCTGCTTAAAGACCTCCAAAGAAGGAGACTCCACCACACTCCTTGGCAGCAAATTCCACTGTCGAACAGCTCTTACTGTCAGGAAGTTCTTCCTAATGTTTAGGTGGAATCTTCTTTCTTGTAGTTTGGATCCATTGCTCCGTGTCCGCTTCTCTGGAGCAGCAGAAAACAACCTTTCTCCCTCCTCTATGTGACATCCTTTTATATATTTGAACATGGCTATCATATCACCCCTTAACCTCCTCTTCTCCAGGCTAAACATGCCCAGCTCCCTTAGCCGTTCCTCATAAGGCATCGTTTCCAGGCCTTTGACCATTTTGGTTGCCCTCCTCTGGACACGTTCCAGTTTGTCAATGTCCTTCTTGAACTGTGGTGCCCAGAACTGGACACAGTACTCCAGGTGAGGTCTGACCAGAGCAGAATACAGTGGCACTATTACTTCCCTTGATCTAGATGCTATACTCCTATTGATGCAGCCCAGAATTGCATTGGCTTTTTTAGCTGCCGCGTCACACTGTTGGCTCATGTCAAGTTTGTGGTCAACCAAGACTCCTAGATCCTTTTCACATGTACTGCTCTCAAGCCAGGTGTCCCCCATCTTGTATTTGTGCCTCTCATTTTTTTGCCCAAGTGCAATACTTTACATTTCTCCCTGTTAAAATTCATCTTGTTTGTTTTGGCCCAGTTCTCTAATCTGTCAAGGTCGTTTTGAAGTGTGATCCTGTCCTCTGGGGTGTTAGCCACCCCTCCCAATTTGGTGTCATCTGCAAATTTGATCAGGATGCCCTTGAGTCCATCATCCAAGTCGTTGATAAAGATGTTGAATAAGACCGGGCCCAAGACAGAACCCTGTGGCACCCCACTAGTCACTCTTCTCCAGGATGAAGAGGAACCATTGATGAGCACCCTTTGGGTTCGGTCAGTCAGCCAGTTACAAATCCACTGAGTGGTAGCATAGTCAAGACCGCATTTTACCAGCTTCTTTACAAGAATATCATGAGGCACCTTGTCAAATGCCTTGCTGAAATCAAGGTAGGCTACATCCACTGCGTTCCCTTCATCTACCAGGCTTGTAATTCTGTCAAAAAACGAGATCAGGTTAGTCTGACATGACTTATTTTCAGAAATCCATGCTGACTGTTGGTGATCACAGCATTCCTTTCTAGGTGCTCACAGACTGTTTGCTTAATGATCTGCTCCAGAATCTTCCCTGGTATTGATGTCAGACTGACTGGGCGGTAATTATTTGGGTCCTCTCTTTTCCCCTTTTTGAAAATAGGGACAACATTTGCCCTCCTCCAGTCTGCCGGGACTTCGCCTGTTCTCCAGGAATTCTCAAAGATGACTGCCAGTGGTTCTGAGATCACATCTGCCAGTTCTTTTAATACTCTTGGATGCAGTTCATCTGGCCCTTGAGACTTGAATACATCTAAACTAGCCAAGTATTCTTGTACTATCTCCTTAGTTATTCTGGGCTGTGTTTCCTTTGCTGAATCATTTGCTCCAAATTCTTCAGGTCGGGCATTGCTTTCTTTATCGGAGAAGACTGAGGCAAAGAAGGCATTGAGGAGTTCAGCCCTTTCTGTGTCCCCTGTTTGCATTTCACCATCTTCTCCTCTGAGTGACCCCACTGTTTCTTTGTTCTTCCTTTTGCTACGGACATACCCATAAAAGCCTTTTTGTTGCTTTTAACCTCTCTAGCAAGCCTGAGTTCATTCTGTGCTTTAGCTTTTCTGACTTTGTGTCTACACGTGCTGGCTATTTGTTTGAATTCCTCTTTGGTGGTTTCCCCCTTTTCCATTTTTGTACACATCCTTTTTTAATCTTAACTCAGTTAAAAGTTCTTTAGATAGCCACCCTGGCTTCTTTAGGCACCTTCCATGTTTCTGTCTCATTGGTATTGCCTGACGTTGTGCTTTTAGTATCTCCCTCTTAACAAACTCCCAGCCATCATGAACTCCCTTTCCTTTTAGTATTACTGTCCATGGGATCTCACCCAGCACTTCCCTAAGTTTTATGAAGTCAGCTTTCTTAAAGTCAAGAAATTGAGTCCTAGTATGCTTGGCTGCTCCTTTCCGCTGTATAGTAAACTTCAGAAGAGCATGATCACTTGCGCCTAATGATCCTTCCACTTCTACCCCACTAACCAGGTCATCAACATTGGTTAGGACCAGATCTAAAATGGCTGTTCCTCTTGTTGCTTCTCCCACTTTCTGGACAATGAAGTTGTCTGCAAGGCCAGTGAGGAATCTGTTTGACCTTATGCTCTTGGCTGAGTTTGACATCCAACAAATATCCGGGTAATTGAAGTCCCCCATTACTACTATCTCCCTTCCTTTTGCATGCTTGGCCATCTGTTCCAGGAAGGCATCATCTATGTCCTCCGTTTGGCTTGGGGATCTGTAGTAAACTCCCACAATGAGGTCACTGTTATTCTTCTCCCTTACTTTTGACCCAAATGCTCTCACTTTGGTTTTGAGGTTCTAAATCTTGGATCACTTCACAGGTATACACATCCCTGACATATAACGCCACTCCTCCTCCTTTCTTGTCTGGTCTGTTTCTCTGAAATAGATTGTATCCCCCCATTATTACATTCCAATCGTGGGACTTATCCCACCAGGTTTCAGTGATGCCTATTATGTCATATTTAGTTTGCTGTACCAAGAGCTCAAGCTCATCTTGTTTATTTCCCATGCTTTGCGCATTAGTGTACAGACATTGAAGTCCATTAATCATTCCCCGTGACTCTTATTTAAGGATTTTTCCTCCCACCACTAGGTCTGTGTGCTGTTTGCTCCATTTGGTCTATGACATTTGGATGATCATCTTCATCAATTGATAGACTCCTACCTTCAGGAGCACTGTCTCCCTCCCCACATTAGTCAGTTTAAAGCCCTCCTGATGAGGTTTCTGAGATTTTTGGCAAAAACTTTTCTCCCAACCGTTGTGAGGTGCAGCCCATCGCTTGCCAGAAGTCCATCTTCAAGAAACTGCAGTCCGTGATCTAAGAATCCAAACCGTTCCTGTTTACACCATTTGCGAAGCCAGCTGTTCACTTCCACTATTTTCCCCTCTCTCCCTGGACCACGTCGTTCAACTGGGAGGACAGATGAGATAACAATTTGTGCATTTAATTGCTTCAATTTCCTGCCCAGAGCCTCGTAGTCTCTTTTGATCTTCTGGAGGCTATTGCTTGCAGTGTCATTGGTTCCCACATGAACCAAGAGGAAGGGGGTGCCCAGAGCCTCTATCTCTCTGCAGAGGTGAAGAAACAACGCAGGGCAAGTGTGTGGTATATGGGTTGGTTGTCGTCGTTAGTTGTGGTGGTGGTAGTTTGTGTGTTTTTAAGGATACTGTTGACCTGACACAAATCAAGTTCTGTGGAGTGTAATTATGGACTCTTTCTGTTTATTCCATTAGGAAAGAAAACAAGATGGCCATCTGTCGTGGATGCTTCAGTAGTAGTAGTAATTTTATTGAATTTATATACTGCCCTATAACCGGAGGTTGAGATTCCTGCATTGCAGGGGGCTGGACTAGATGACCGTCGGGGTCTCTTCCCACTCTACAATTCTGTGATTCTAAGATAGATGTACGCAGCAAATACACTAGCAAATAAGAGGCATCCACAGTGACCGCATATTTGCTTCTGCTAGCCCAACAGGCACACGGACCAGAAGATAAACATGGGCAGATATGAGGCGGGACAGGGAGAACTTATTGCTCTGCAGCCCAGCAGTTAAGCTTTTTGTGTGTCTCAAACCGTTAGAAGGGCCATGAGATTAGATAAGGCCTGTGCTGTTTGCATCCTACCCTCAAGACCCATGACAATGGGCCAAAAGTATTGTAGGGGGGCCTTGCGCACCATTTTACGGGGTTCCTCTTCCTCTCCTGCGGGTGAAGGGAGCACCCTGTTGCAACAGATCAATAAAGATCAAGCTTACTAGCTGCTTTGCTTCTCAATATTCTCTGGTTGGCCTCTGTTATTCTCTCCTACCAATAGGGAAGCTATGTAAGGACTCTATATGGGCTCTTGGATACCCCATAAGGGAAAAGGGCAATTTTTGTTTACAACAGTGGGACCCTCTATGCTGATGCTAACAAGGACAGCTACCTCCTATAACCAAGAATAAACAGGCAATCCTGTAATATAGTAACTAATTTAAGCTGAAAGCATTTAAATGTGGCACTTGTGGGATATAGTTGGAAAAGAAAAAGCTGAGAAAATCCTACACAAATCCAGAGTGGCATCCCTAAGACAGTTGGGTGGCGCCTTGTACGCCTCCTTCCTGCAACTCCTGCAGCCAAACTGGTGCCAAATGTATTGCTCTGCTTTCCTTTGGGAGGCAGAGAGGGGAGTCTTGCCATTTGGGCAGCCCAGAACCTCCAGACACACTGCCCAGGCTTGTGCCCCTGGAGAGGTCAATTCGGTAGTGCTAACGCAGCAGTTTGACTTCACCCCCCCCACACACACTCCATTGTCTCTCGAGACAGACCGATGCCAACAACTGTGACCCACCTAGAGCAAAAGCTAGATGTGTCCTGTTTCTGCTGCCTGACTTGGACTGCAAAAGTTGAGCAGTTGCTCACAGGTCCAAAGGCGCCTGGCTGGCTGACAAGGTTACACTGGACTCCTAAGTTTTGCATGCCTGGTTTCAGTTAAAGTCAAATGAATCTGACTGAAAGGCAGGGCATAAAACTCAAGAGGAAAATAAACAAGGTGCTTCTTGGGGAAATTTTGCAGTTCCTTTGGACTTTATTTTAGAAACTTTTATATATGAAAAGCCCCCCACCTGTGGAGCTGCTATTCTCACGCTCTCAAAGCTTTAAAAATGACCCAGACCTGCAGTTGTTGAGTGGGCTCCCTCCTCTTCAGGGAGGAAACAGTTAAGCTTCACAGCCCTCACTAAGGAGGAAGCCACATGATGGAAAATCTTGGGGTGGGGGTGGAGGAAGAAGAGAGCTGAAAAGCTTTCATAAGTGCCTGGAGGGCAGAACTTTCCAACCGCAAGGGAGGAAGCAGTAGGTTCCCTGACCAACTGCTGAGTTTTGGATGCAAAAAAAGCCACACAAACTGAAGAGAGGACAAAACGTACATATTTCCTGTAAGGTGACACCATTGATGAACCAGGAGCGGGAGCACAAACCTATCCAGCACTCCAACCCCGCAATATCAAGCAGAGTGGATTTCCAAAAGCCCATCTGATTTGATAAGAGAAATTCTGTGTGTGTGAGAGAGAGAAGCCAAAAAGGGTATTTTGCTTGGTCAGATAAGACTTCTGCTGCGTATTTAATGCAACATTTCTGCATCTCACCTACACCGCAGTTTTCATGTGTGCCAAAAATAGTAAAATCAGAGGAAATCCAGTTTCTAAAAATAAGCTGGGCCGATATTGAAACTTTCACAAGGCGAAAGGCAGATTGTGTGAGATCTACAGATCCGGGGTGGGGCGGATCTCTTCGTACACGAAGGACCGAAGAGTTTTTTTAAAGGGGGAAATATTGAGATGGGGGAAGAGAAATAATCCACCCAGGATAGGGCAGAGGTGGTGCTCAGTTAGAGGCATAAACGGGCCTGCTTTCTCCTTACCTTTCTGTTGTTGGATCAGAGCAGTTCAGCGGATACCTCAGGTCTATGATGGTCCCATCCTTATCTTGCAGGGATCCCTGCTGCTGTGTGTAATATTCAACCAGTTCTGACAAAGTGGCAAACTTCTCTCCTCCATAGAGGTCATAAAAGTCCCCCGTATTCTGGATACGGATGTGGGTTACCTGGTCACCGATCCTGCAAGGAGAGGCAGAAAAGCACCTGGTCAAGAAAAGTTGGAGGTGCTAGAAATTGTGGAGGGGAGTGAAGGGAGGCAGGATTAAGCTGCTTTCATGGGTTAACTGGGGTGTGTTTTCACCAGCAGGGTTTAACCTCAGCACTCGTTTTAAATGCCAGCACTCGGCCCGAGACAAGTAAAATAACTTCCGCCTTTCATTTAGGCTGCAGACACACTATTATCTTTAAAGCACATTCAAAGCACATCACGCAAACAAGGAATCTTGGGAACTGTAGCTTACCCCCGATGGTGCTACAATTCCCAGTACCTGTACAAACAACAATTGCCAGGATTCATCGGCTGGGGGGTTGAAGATACTTTAAAGGTATTGTGTGTACACACTCTCATAGTGGAGTACAGTGGTACCTCGGGTTAAGTACTTAATTCGTTCCGGAGGTCTGTTCTTAACCTGAAACTGTTCTTAACCTGGAGCACCACTTTAGCTAATGGGGCCTTCCGCTGCTGCCGTGCGATTTCTGTTCTCATCCTGAAGCAAAGTTCTTAACCCGAGGTACTATTTCTGGGTTAGCGGAGTCTGTAACCTGAAGCGTATGTAACCTGAAGCATATGTAACCCGAGGTACCACTGTACCAGATAATAATTTGTGGCAGGGAAACGGAAAAGATGTTATCCAAAGGATATGGCTCCCATTACGCATGTGCACACTTGATGTTTCTTCCAGATAATAAACAGTGAGAGCTTTCTTTCCTTCTGAAGCAAACCAGAGAATTCTATGGGACATGGAATAGTTACCAAAGGTGTTTTTATTTGAAATGGCATACAAAGCAAATCTGGGGGTTCTGAGGAATTTCTGTATGAAAATAAAAGACTAGTTCAGGTAAGAAATTTCAGTATGATCATAGAACTGTAGAGTTGGAAGGGATCCCAAGGGTCTTCTAGTCTAGCCCCCTGCAATGCCAGAATCTCAACTAAAACATCCATGGAAGGTGGATCCATGACAGACACGAAACATCAGGAGGAGCTTTCTGACCGTGAGTCTGTGGTTCTAGTGAAATGTCTCAAGCAGTTGGATTTTCACATCCCTGAGATGGAGAAGAACTAAGCAGACAGCATCTGCCCCAGCATGTGTCTAGCACGACCACGAAGCTGGTGAAGGAAGTCCACAGCCTTAAGGGAGTGTCTGCACCCTCAGCCCAATGGCAGAACAGGACCTTCCAACTCCAGTTTCTGGCAGCTTTCCAGATGCTGTCAACATGGGCAATTGGTTGGCAACTGAGGGAGAAGTAAGCTTATAAGCTGGGCTTCCTTGGCCTAACTAAATCTGGCCTGCCCATTGTTTAGGGGTGGACCGGGGATCTAGCTGCCAGAAAAGTAGGTTAGGGAAGGAGAAACAGCTATTTTTCTTCTTCTTGCTCCATTTCCGTCCGCCTTAGTTTTAACATACAGAGATACCTCGGGTTAAGAACTTAATTCGTTCTGGAGGTCCGTTCTTAACCTGAAACTGTTCTTAACCTGAGGTACCACTTTAGCTAATGGGGCCTCCTGCCGCCGCCGCAAATTTCTGCTCTCATCCTGAAGCAAAGTTCTTAACCTGAGGTACTATTTCTGGGTTAGCGGAGTCTGTAACCTGAAGCGTCTGTAACCCGAGGTACCACTGTATTGTTTTTTCACTGGCCTCCACCCTGAGCTTACCAAAAACTCTCCCATATCCCCCCATCCCCTGCAAAAAAAGGGCTCTACTTTACTTGCTCTGACCCAGAAAAATTCACTCCCAGATCCTGGGAATCTTATGAGTTGGATCATGTATTCCAACCTCCTGCAATTGCAACTGTCCCATACAGGGATCGAACCTGCAACCTTGGGGTTATCAGCACCACGCTCTGGCCAACTGTGCTGTCCAGGCAGAAGGAGAAGGCAACAAGCCCCCTATGGTCCCACATCTCTCTTTAACCCCTTCATTCAACCCATACATGCTGCAGTCTGCGCTCTCCCACCCAGACTGACTTTTGAAACCTCTATTTCAGTTTGCCTCAGAGTTTTCTGGATACCACTTTAAAAATTAACTATGAGGACAGGCACAAGCGGCTGTTACCCCCATCAATCGCAGAGGGAAACCCTCTGTGCGTCTGTAGGGCTGAACTATTTATGTGAGGTGGGTCCAGGCGAATGGACAGACAGTCCCATGGAGAGGTCCGTGGAAGGGAAGGAGAATGGTGCTTGGACGATTACCTGACAGAAAGGGAAAAATCTCCCTTGTTCTTCCGGCTGGGGCGAGCCAAAAAACTTCCATGAACGCCTCGTGCTTTGAGTAAGACCTCAGCATCGATGCCACTCAGGTCACGGTGGAACCACCTGGATTACGAGGGGGGAGAGAGAGAGAGTAGGAAAATGAGGATATAATAATAAACTGGGAGAAATGGAGGGAGGATGCAGCTTGCTCAACTCAGTCATCATGAGGAGGATCCCTCAAGACTACTACATCTCAAGAAGGCCCAGAAGGCGGACATTCTTCTCCCAGAATCCTCTCCCCTCCACTTAGTTCCAGCAAAACCCTAGTTCGCACATGCATGTTCAAAGGCAACATCAACCAGTGAGCTTTTCAAGGCGTTCATGTCACACATTCAGCTGTCCTTCATCAACGGCACATCCACATTTTCCTTTCGCCCTAAGTGCTCTCTAGACCCAGGTTCACACTTTCCCCAAGAAAAGCTGCTCTTTAATGCTGAATTGGAACAAACAGCAATCTGGGTTTCCTGCAGATTGGCGTTTGCTCCAATCCAGCGGTAAATAATGGGGTTTTTTGTGGGGAAAGTGCCTGGGCAAAAAAAAAAAGCGCTCCGACATGGTGCTTTAAAGTGTGGAACTGTACCTAGAAATGTGACACAAAAGGCAGGCTGGATGACCCCTATGTAGGCAACTTTCCTGAGGGAGCAAAATGCCAGCCATTGAGAGCTCTGGGCTCTCTCTCAGTTCCAGCCGCCAAATCCATAAAGCTCTACACAACTAACAGAACGGCCTCCTTCTACTTCCACTCACGCATAACACAACATCCTAGCTGTAGTCCCGGGGCAGGAACTTTCAAAGTCCGGGATAAAGAAGGGGTTGGCCTTCCATTTGCATTCCCAGCTCTTTCCTTACCTCATTATCGTCGGCAGGCAGCAGGCGGAACCGAAAAAACAGCAAAATAATAGCAACAACTGGAGGGACTCGCTTTAAGATGTCGATAAAGGAGGAGTCAGCATCGACGTGGTGAGGCTCGCTAACTTTAAATGTTCCTTCGCTGCCTCTGTCCACCTACATCACACGTTTCCTCGGCCTCCTGGCTTCCATGGTGTCCAATGTCTATTTGGGTTGGTGGGTAGAGGCAGACAGACCCAACCGAGGCAAGTGCACAGTTCAGAGCTGGCGTTCACTACTACAGGAACAGGAAGCATATCTAACTTATCGCCCCTATACATGCAAGCTGCTCTGCATACACTTCTGCTTCTCCTTTTGGGTCCCTCTCCTTCCGTTCCCTCCTCCCCCCTGCACCAGTATTTCTGGGGCTTTTTTTGTGGGGAGGGAGGCTGCGAGGGCAAGACGGCACGTTTAACTGACACCTGTGGGGAACAGACACCGGCAACAAATGCAGGGATGATACGAAAACAGTGGTACCCAAGAAAGGTACGGGATACGGGATGGATACAAAGGACTGTTTGTCAAGGCACAGCATACACAGCATGCTCATGTAACCATCTGGTAAGCTTTGTTGCCCGTACTATTCAGTCCAGAGGCAGGGAAAATTTTGCCACTCTCTGGCTACTTCCCTAGATTTGTGATCAGATGGAGAAGTGTGGTAAGATTTTTCTCACAGCCTGGCAAGATGATATAGGGAAGGAGCCTATCAAGTGGTTATATGCATACAGTGTGGTAAGTTACTATTGGGGGAATTATTGTTTTTTTATTTTTTTATTTATTAAATTTGCATCATGTCCTTCATCCATAGATCTCAGGGCGGTTCACAACATAAAATTACAATATGAAAGGAGGAAGATGGAGTCTGTGGAACTGGCAAGGCTAAGAGCAAAAATGAAGAGATCAAAATGACGAAACATTCTCTGAGGATTGGAGACCTTTTATAGAACATCTAAAGAACTATCATAGTTGCATGAAAACATGAGCAGGATTTGAAATATGAGCAGCATTAAGGCGAATAATTTAGGATGGATATATGGAGAGTTATAAGATAAAAAATGCAGCATTAAAGGATAAACATAGAACACCATTGAGGGTGGGGGGTGGGAATACAATGCATAAATTAAAGGTAGTGTTGATGGCAAATGTAAACTTTTCAACACTAAATAAGCATTTTTTAATTTTAAAAAATACAATATATAAGACACAAGATCTCAGGGCTAAACCTTGTAATTCTGGACCATATTTTTTTGCAGACTTGACTTCCAGAGACTACAAACTTCCACCAGTCCCAGCCAGCAGATTTTCTGTGGATATTGGTTGGCCATAATAAAGGAACACTTTAGAACAGCCAAACAGCCCACCTCTGTGAATTCTGTTCTAACAGGTCAGAACAGCTACGTGTGTTTGACCTTTAAATATTTACTGCCCCATGCAACCGCTCAGGTGGATTGTGCAATCGCCTTGGCCTTGTGATTCTGTTGCAAGGACCTCCTTCCAAAGAGATGCTGTCTTGCAAAGCTGCATTGCCTTGCTATAACTCTTTGCTGGTCTACACTGAACTGGAACTACACTGAGTGATGCCTGCACAGTCCTTACTTTAAGGGAAGGTATATTTTCAAGAGCTGAGCCAAGGTGGCCTGAAAGTGGCAATGGTAAATAGATGAAAAGAACGCTGTTTCAGTTAATCAGACTGAGAGCCAAGGGCTCTATTTAGTGTACAAACATTGCTGTAACCTTTAGATAGGGTTTCCAGGACCAAAAAATGTAGCAAGCCTTCATTCCCACAGAAAGATTTAATAAAGCACTGGTCTTCAGCGGATGGATGGAGGTACTCAGACTGGATCTTGACCACATCTAAGATGGGTTGCACCAGAAGCAGCAAATCCATCACCACTTTCTTCTTCTAAGTGAATACACTTTTTGTTATATAGAGGAGGAACACAGAACAAGAGAGCAAGGAAAATAGATAAATTAGGTCAAAGCACCGTGGAGACTACAAATGGGCTCTGTTTCTCTGCAGACCCACACGAAGAAGACCTTACGCTATCCTAATCCTGTTAGCTGCTATTGTGTGTGGCAGGCAGAGAGAATACGTTCTTTCTGGAAATTATGTATTTATATTTATTTCACAGGATGCGGGTGGCGCTGTGGGTAAAACCTCAGCGCCTAGGACTTGCCGATCGTCAGGTCGGCGGTTCGAATCCCCGCGGCGGGGTGCGCTCCCGTTGCTCGGTCCCAGCGCCTGCCAACCTAGCAGTTCGAAAGCACCCCTGGGTGCAAGTAGATAAATAGGGACCGCTTACTAGCAGGAAGGTAAACGGCGTTTCCGTGTGCTGCGCTGGTGCTGGCTCGCCAGATGCCACTTAGTCACGCTGGCCACGTGACCCGGAAGTGTCTGCGGACAGCGCTGGCTCCCGGCCTCTAGAGTGAGATGAATACACAACCCTAGAGTCTGTCAAGACTGGCCCGTACGGGCAGGGGTACCTTTACCTTTACCTTTACCTTTACCTTTACCTTTACCTTTATTTATTTCACAAGATTTATATACGGCTTAGTTATAACAGTAGCAACAACCTCTCATTGCATAGACTTCGTAGATTAGTGAGAATGATGTTTCTGATGAAGAAGACTCTAGCCCAAGAAAGCTTATGCCATTAAAAATTGTTACCCTTTAAGGTGGAAGTGCTGCAAGCCTTCCGAGTGTCACTATTTTCCAGAGACAGCCATCCCGGTTTCTGATTTGATCCCAGAATGTCCGACTTTTCCTTAGGACATTCCTATTTTCATTGGAGAAATGTTGGGGAGGGTATAGAGTTATGTGACTCCCGAGCTAAGGAGATAACCCTTAGAAGATATCTGAAGGCAGCCCTGTATAGGGACATTTTAAAATGTTTAATGTTTTATTATGTTTTTATACATGTTGGGGAAACCCAGTCAGGTGAATGAGGTATTATTATTATTATTATTATTATTATTATTATTATTATTGAATAGGATATCTTTTTTTATCAGAAATGTTGGAGGTCATGTTGCTGTCGTTTTGCTAAAATTGTACAGTGGCCTTCTTCAGTAGTAATAGTAATAGTAATAAATTACTACTACTACTACTACTACTACACCCCACCCTGGGCAAAAAAAACCACCCCTCAAGCACCCAGGGGGAATTTCCAGAAAATCTATTTATTTATTTTGTGAATTTCCTAAAAAAAGAGCGAGAAACTTCAAATTGTTTTCAAAGCTCAACAACTTTGATCCCCCCTCTTCAAAACAAGCTTCTGTGTCCAGATTTTCACTCTCTGAAATACGGCAACCCTGTAAAAATAGTTTTGTGTTATGCCAAGCCCATCATGGCAGCCATTTTGTGACTGGCACTCACAAAATGCGAAATGTGCCCACTGATTCAAAAAGGCTGGAGATCCCTAATAGATAGTAGACCGTTCGGATATTGGTTTCAGGTGCCTTACAATACTACCCTTACAATAATTTAAACTGCCACCAATCCCATGTCCAGATCCACTAGCTGTATTTTCCATTCAACAGAGTTTAGACAGAAAAAGAGGAAAGGGGAAATCCATCCACAAGGCATCTCCGTTCCCAACACAACAAACTGACGTTTGATGAAATGCTATAGCATTTCAAGGCAAGCAGAAAAAACTGAAGTAATTGAAAATAAATGTGGGGCCAGATGGGATTATGCAGACCCTCCAAGTCTCCTCATTTTCCTGGAATGTCCTGTTTTTCCTTAGGACATCCCTATTTTCATTGGAGAAATGTTGGAGGATATGGTCAGACATCCCTGTTTTCATCAGAGGGTATAAGTAACAATACAACCTTGAGAAGACACCTGAAGGAAGCCCTGTTTAGGGAGGTTTTTTAACGTTTAATATTTTATTATGTTTTTCTATATGCTGGAAACTTCCTAGAGTGACTGGGGCAACCCTGTCAGATCGGTGGGGTATAAATAATAACATTATTATTATTATGGAATAGGACGTCCCTATTTTCATTAGAGAAATGTTGGAGGGTATGGATTATGCAAATCATTGAACAGGGCTGGAATGCCCTATTGAATCCTAAAAGTAAGTACTGTATAGTTGTACCTTGATTGTCAAACAGCTTAGTTCTCGAACGTTTTGGTTCCTGATCGCTGCAAACCCAGAAGTGACTGTTCCAGTTTGCGAACTATTTTTGGAAGCCGAACGTCCGATGGGGCTTCTGCAGCTTCTGATTGGCTGCAGGAGCTCCCTGCAGCCAATCAGAAGCTGCGTGTTGGTTTCCGAACGTTTTGGAAGTCAAACAGACTTCCAGAACGGATTCTGTTCAACTTCCAAGGTATAACTGTACTAGTCAGTAAATACTGAATGCACAGCCACTGCACGGGTTTTAAGAGTGAAAACACCCACCAACCGAAAACCAAAAGCAATAAACCCTATCCTAAAGGCATAATTGCCCACTTTGATGGTTATGTGTCATAAATTATCTAATGGGAAATAAGCATATAGAGTTGGATGTTGAAAGACTGCCTTTCTGTTCTGCTAAAATGTGTGGTCAGCAAAGCCCCCCAACATCAAAGCTTATGGTGCCCATAATCCAGAAGGTTAACTAAACTTCCAGATTCAGTTCCTTACAGGCAGTTTTTGTTTTCCTTCACACATATAATTCTTCAGTGATCAGTTAGGTTCCCCAACTCTGCTAGGCAAAAGTTTCGAATCCCTGATGGGAGAGAGACATACCTGCAGGATGGCATCAGGACCTCAGAGGTCCCCCACTAAGAAAGCTTGAGAAAACAAGGTACCACGGCCTACAGTCCTTCTGGAAAGAAAGGAGAGAAAAGGAGAGAAACAATATATACAATATTCAGTGAGCACAAAGGCGGCTCACATAACATCAATAATACAGAAATCAGCCTCCAGTAATTTAAAAAAAATATATATGAAACTAATATTGTACAATCACTGTGCATATCTACTGTGATGTAAGTCCCCTTGAGTTCAATGGAACTTACTTCCCGATTAAGTGTTACCATCTTATTTATTTTATTTTTTTGCCACCTTAAACTACACGAGGAAAGACAAGGTAGAAGACTTTTAAATTTTAAGAAAGGAATAACGAAAGTATATAGATTGTGTTGTTCCAAGGGGGTTCGCCTCACAGCAGTCTTTTTTCACTTCTCCTGGGGAAGGCAGGGGACAGTTTTGTTTGTTTCCCTGCTCTTTGACAATGTGTAACATGAGAAAATAACAAAAAAATCTAAATAGCAAAAATATGTAGAAAATTTGTTTACAATGCAAATGCTCTGTTCACGTACTCTTTGGCATGCTGGCTACATTACAGTTTTAACAAGAAGTGTGCATTTTCCTGAGACTTATCAATGTGTAGATTATTAAAAAAAATCTCTTGTTTTCTAAGAATTCAAGAGCTGGCTGTATCTCCCAGTATAACTAAGTTCTTTGCACATTACTGTCACAGTCCACATCATTCATTCTTCCCCTGAAGCTTCTGTTTTTTGTTACAACCATTTAAACACCCCCTCACAATCTAACCACACCAATTTTACCGTTCTTCCTTTTTGCAGTTTCTTTAACCAGTCCGAGAAGCTACGGGGTGGGTGAATGTAAAAGTCGCTACATCCCAACTCTCAATCACATTGATACATCTTCCCAAACAGATTTGTAGAACATTGCGTTGCCACCAGATGTGTAAAAAAATCCAATGTGTGCGTTCTGACATTACCAATACCTGCTTTAAGAGAGAACGATATATGCTCCTACTTTTTGCTGCAGTTACTGGCACCAAAGCTGGAGGCCCAGAGCAAAGCAAACTTTCCCTGGGGCACCCACATTAAATCCAAACAGAAAAGGCCCAGAACTCACGTTTACCTGCCCGGGCAAGAAGCCTCTTCCTTAGTAACATGGATATAGCAGAAGCAGGAGGAAGCCCCAGTTCAGATGGCTGTTCTAAGCACAAAAGGCTCCATTCTTTTCCCTGGCGAACGTCTCCCTGAGCTATAGTTAATAAATACACAAGGGAGTGTGTAAGGGGGGGGGGAGGCTGAACCTGAGCAGGTAACTAGAGGAGGGACTGTCTGTTCGCTCCACCCCATCCACCTTCTGCGGAGGCCCTGACTGGGTGGATCTGCAAGCAATTTGCAACAGAGACACCGAGAGCAAAAACAGGTTCATCTCTGAGCCAGATACCTCTGTCAAATGCCACTCATCTTTTTTCCACGCAGCTTTCTCGCAGCACCCTTCACCGCTGTTTTAGCCTCAGCACAGATGTCTGCCGCTTTTTCAAAACTCAGGGGCCGAGAGATCATTTTTCAAAAAAGTGTTTATTGGGATTCCATTGTCACCAAAGTGGCAAACTAGAATCTGGTTTGCGCTATTTCGGACGCCCTGCGATGGAACACTGAACAGAATACTGAACATACGCGGACAACTTCCTTGTGCAAAGGAAACTAAGCATGTTCAAAAGAAAGTTAGGCTGGAGTGCTTCTCCTTGATGGGTAGTTTTCTAGATACGGGGATATTTTTTTAAAACTGTGATGGAGAAGCATTCCCTTATGGAAGGCACCACGTGTAGAGTGAAACTGAAATGGTACAGCTCAGGACCAAGATGCAAATGACAGCGATAAGGTCTCCCATAATCTTCCACATCTGCTAAAGAGCTTCTAAGGGCCTCCAGTTTGGACACTTCCCCCTTGCACTTTATGTGATTGAAGTACCTCTCCCTCAAAGCTACTATTAACTGCAGGGGGTAAAGAGGAACAAGTAGCCCCTTGCCCTTATCCTCTTCGTGCCCAATGTCAACTCTAAGGCAAGTGGGGGGGGGGACAGGACGGGACTTAAGTCAGAGAAACAGTGAAGGAAGTTAGGGTTAACCCATGGGTAGGCAAACTAAGGCCCGGGGGCCGGATCGGGTCCACTCTCCTTCTAAATCTGGCCCACAGACGGTCTGGGAATCAGCATGTTTTTACATGAATAGAATGTGTCCTTTTATTTAAAATGCATCTCTGGGTTATTTGTGGGGCATAGGAATTCGTTCATTTTTCCCACCTCAAAATATAGTCCAGCCCCCAACAAGGTCTGAGGGGCAGTGAAAAACTTTGCTGACCCCTGGGTTAAACCCTTTCCCTGTTTTTTTGCCCAGATTTTAGAAAGGGAAGAGAATTGTTTTTCATGAATTTGAAAGATGTCCAGCTCTGTGACTGGATCTCTCACCTCACGTGTAATTTGGCCGTCAGACACACATAATAGGTTTCATTACCTCCGTGAGCCTTGAATCCTGTTTGGAGCTATTCCAAGGCGAAGTGCAGAGCCACTCATAAGCAACAACCAATGACAAAAGGAGCCATTTTAGCATCCTTTATGTTAGAATTACGAAGCGCATGGTCACCCACCCCTTCCCTGTCTGTGTAATGGAGGATTTGATTTCCATATAGTACTGCATTTCCCTCCGTGCAAAGGATTCTGCTCTTCAGAAAGCAGGGCACCCAAAGGAGCCGCCTTGAAGAAAGACAATATTTCTTGTTCCTTCATATCTTACAAACATTGATTTATGTCATTATATAGCATTGATCATCAGGGACGCGGGTGGTGCTGTGGGTTAAACCACAGAGCCTAGGACTTGCCGATCAGAAGGTCGGCGGTTCGAATCCCCGCGACGAAGTGAGCTCCCGTTGCTCAGTCCCAGCTCCTGCCAACCTAGCAGTTCGAAAGCACATCAAATGGCAAGTAGATAAATAGGTACCACTCTGGCGGGAAGGTAAATGGCGTTTCTGTGCGCTGCTCTGGTTCGCCAGAAGCAGTTTAGTCATGCTGGCCACATGACCCGGAAGCTGTACGCCGGCTAACTCGGCCAATAAAGCGAGATGAGCGCCGCAACCCCAGAGTCGATCACGACTGGACCTAACGGGCAGGGGTCCCTTTACCTTTATAGCATTGATCACTACAGACTATAGCAAATATTTCAAGAATGTGACTTGTCTGTTCCTCCTGTTGCCCTGGACATTCAGGAAGTTACTGAGTAACGCAGGTCTCGTCTCGTAAAGGTGCTACGGGGATTTATTTTTGTACGATGTAGCATAACAAGTAATGGCCATGCCGTTGGAAGAAGTGCTCACCAAACAAAAGTTGCTCTTGTACATAATAACTATCTTTCAGTTCATACAATATCTTTTTTTTAAAAAAAACAACCTTATCTGAAGTGAGTAGGCAGTTGGCATATTATCAGATACAGATTGCGACCTGCAAGTATTAATAAATGTTCCTGATTGCTAGCGGAAATTTGCCCTTATCGTAAGCTGATTCAAGTGCGTGAAGCGATAATGGAGCTCCCATGGGCCAGGATTTGCCCCCCTGTGTGGGTGGACATGATGGAGAACTGCCTTTGGATACAAGGCAAATTTCATATCCTGTGCCAACTGTCCTGTTTCTATACATTTCTAATCATCAGGGTGCCTTGGGTTACATACACCCTTAAATTTCAGCGTTCTGCCTCATAGGAAAGTGTCATAACAGCTTTTCCTTGTTCTTGAATCATTATTATCCCTCTTTATGTGCTTGTGTGTATATTCAGGATTCATTCTGGAAGCACTGATACATTTCTGACTGCTATGGCAACCTCTGTCTTCTCTCACCAAGGGTGATTGATGTGTGCGTGAGAGCCGTGCAACTCCCACAATCCAGCACTGTTTTGTTTATGATGCTGCCCTCTAATGTCCGGTGAATTCATTTACTTTAAAATTAGTTTTTGTTAATTTTCAGAATTACAGAACTGCAAACAAATCTTACCGAAATGAGTAAACAGGAAAAGTTGTATGCAAAACATGAAAAACTATTGCTCGTACACTTATGCTCTTTCCTACAGCATCAATCTACTGCCCATTGTTTCACTGCCCGTTCCACAAAAGCACATATGCCATGCTGCGACCCTCTGAAACTCCTCCTGTCCTATTTAAAACAAAATAAGGTCTTCTCATATGGAATAAAACTTGTCCTTTTTTTATTTCCTGAGCAGGTGCAGCTTTTGAGCCAAACCAAAACCCGGACATTAGAATACCAGGCCCCAACAGTGGTTCCCTCAAAATGCTGCCGGAAAGGAATAATTAAAACGATCATTCTTGCCCCCATCATCAGGAAACCAATGAGTTTGTAGTCCTTACGCTCTTTGGTTTTGGCCATCCCAAATGTTTAGAAGCACTACTGCAGCTCTTGGTAAAAGGTATTGCAGAGTAATCTGATCTTCGGGGGGGGGCAGGAATCCCCTTGAACTATTGCTATGGTAGGAGAACTCCCAAAATAAAATTATTCATGAGGTAAAATGATTTCTAGGGAGACATGAACAAATCATTATTCCCCTCCCCTTTTTTGGCCTGGTAATCAGTTTTGCAAGGGACACGGGTGGCGCTGTGGTCTAAACCACTGAGCCTTGGGCTTGCCGATCAGAAGGTCGGCAGTTTGAATCCCCACGACAGGGTGAGCTCCCATTGCTCAGTCCCTGCTCCTGCCAACCTAGCAGTTCGAAAGCACGTCAAAGTGCAAGTAGATAAATAGGTACCACTCCGGCGGGAAGGTAAGTGGCGTTTCCGTGTGCTGCTCTGGTTTCGCCAGAAGTGGCTTAGTCATGCTGGCCACAGGACCTGGAAAAACTGTCTGCAGACAAATGCCGGCTCCCTCGGCCAGTAAAGCGAGATGAGCACCACAAACCCAAAGTCGTTCACAACTGGACTTAACTGTCAGGGGTCCTTCACCTTTTTAAAAAATAAAAATAAAAATCAGTTTTGCAGCATGCTTTGAAGAACTAGGTTTTGTATCCTCAATTTCAGAAGATGAACTATGTGTGCACCAAATTTTACTAATCCAGACTTTGGGAAATTGTTTTAACAATTCTGATGGCCCAATAAGTGAGCCTAGATAACAATGTGCTTATTCTCCTTCTCAGGACCGAGCCAGCTGATTTTATGAGGATTCCAGGTTGTATATGTGTGTGTTGAGAAAACAGGAATGGAGCACATTAACAAACCTCTTCTTCCACCAAGGGGGAGGACTCTGTCAGAAATATGCAGGGAGATAATTTACAAACAAGCAAAATTTATTCACGAGCACAAAAAATACATAATATATGATGCAAACAAGGACTGCTCACAGAAGTCAAAAACATCTCTCATGGCAACGGAAAGAAGACGATGTCCAAGAATCAAGTTAACACTGCCTCAGGGGCAGCAGCATAATTTAGACAGGAAAAGGCAGCAGAGGTTGCCTGCTTCACGACGCTGCAACACCCCCTGCCCCAGTCCCATGGGGGGGCAGTGTCATTGGAGGCAGGAACATGGATTTTAGCTTCCCAGACATGCTTGCAATCTCGGGATCCTGAGACTCGTACGATTTTATCAATCGGGCAAACTTTAGGACTCCTAGGGAAAAAAGGAGGATAAAGTGAAATCCAATTTATTCACCAGAACACTAACTTTTATCACAATGCTCCCCAACATTGCATGACAAGTAAGGAAACCTCTTTTGGCTCAACCAAGCAATCAATGGGGCACCTTCCTTTTTTTGCCAATTCATTTTCAAAAAATTTAACAAATTAATTCAAATTAAAAACAAATTTAAAAGTTGACTTCCCACCCCTTTCCAGATGTTTCTTTTCTCTCCCTCCTTTGCTGCTCTCACAATAACATAACTTTTCCTAATTTCTATTAATTTCCCATCCTTTCTCAATTTCCACCTGCTGGGCAGGTTTCGATCCCTGCTTAGACTTTTGTTTAACTATAACATTTCCCCAGTTATTCAAGTGGAGTTATTCTTCCTTCATCTATCAATATATACCGTAAATCACAATTTTTAAATCGTATTTCCTCCAGTGCAACTTGTTAATCTTGCCTTTATGCATTCACAACGCTATAATTAAAAGGGGTAAATTCTATAATCTTCTTTAACCCCAGCATTCTATTCAAACTTCACAATCCACACAAACATCTGGGGAGTCTCCTGATCCTGCGTGTTATGAAGTTCCCTTTAAGCAAATCAAACTTTGACAATATCCATTTCCTCAGGCTTAATCTTCTAGCTGTGTCCATGGTCAGATAATAATAATAATAATAATAATAATAATAATAATAATAATGTATTATTTATACCCCACCCATCTGGCTGAGTTTCCCCAGCCACTCTGGGCAGCTTCCAATCAAGTGTTAAAAACAATACAGCATTAAATATTAAAAACTTCCCTAAACAGGGCTGCCTTCAGATGTCTTTTAAGAAGAAGATAGCTGCTTATTTCCTTCACATCTGAAGGGAGGGCGTTCCACAGGGCGGGCGCCACTACCGAGAAGGCCCTCTGTCTGGTTCCCTGTAACCTCACTTCTCGCAATGAGGGAACCGCCAGAAGGCCCTCGGTACTGGATCTCAGTGTCTAGGCTGGATGATGCGGGTGGAGACGCTCCTTCAGGTATACAGGACCGAGGCCGTTTAGGGCTTTAAAGGTCAGCACCAACACTTTGAATTGTGCTCGGAAACGTACTGGGAGCCAATGCAGATCTCTCAGGACCGGTGTTATGTGGTCTCGGCGGCCACTCCCAGCCACCAGTCTAGCTGCCGCATTCTGGATTAATTGCAGTTTCCGGGTCATCTTCAAAGGTAGCCCCACGTAGAGCGCATTGCAGTAGTCTACGTGGGAGATAACCAGAGCATGCACCACTCTGGTGAGACAGTCCGCAGGCAGGAAGGGTCTCAGCCTGCGTAGCAGATGGAGCTGGCAGACAGCTGCCCTGGACACAGAATTAACCTGTGCCTCCATGGACAGCTGTGAGTCCAAAATGATGAAGAGAAGAAGAAGAGTTTGGATTTGATATCCTGCCATTCACTCCCTTTAAGGAGTCTCAAAGCGGCTAACATTCTCCTTTCCCTTCCTCCCCCACAACAAACACTCTGTGAGGTGAGTGGGGCTGAGAGACTTCAAAGAAGTGTGACTGGCCCAAGGTCACCCAACAGCTGCATGTGGAAGAGCGGAGACGCGAACCCGGTTCCCCAGTTTGGGAGAATACCGCTCTTAACCACCACACCACACTGGCTCTCGATGGGACACAGCTTGCATTTGTGTCACCCTACAAGGAACGTGAGTCAGTCTAGCCCCTTCCCCTCCACTTCAGCACCTTGAACTCACCTTCCCCATCATTGCTGAACCCATAGGCTTTGATCACATCCTGCTGGATCTGGGTAGCCACAGGCAGCAGGAACTGGAGCATCTTTCCCATGTCATTGCAGGCATTGTCCCTCGCCTCCTCCATGCGCTGGGCGTTTTCCGGCGCACCAAACGCCTTGATCACTTCAGCCAGAACCACTGAGGAAGGAAGCAGAAGGACTGTTGCCACTAAGCCGTCACAAACCTGCGAGGAACTTCCAGCATTGGAAGAATGGCAGGTCAAGATGGTGGAATACGCAGAGTTGGCAAAGTTGACGGGGGAAATCCGGAATCAGCGTGATGAACTGTTTCAAAAGGACTGGAGCAAATTTATATTTTATACGAAAGAAAATTGTAAACATCTGAAAACGTTTGTAGGTTTGAATTGAAATGTTTTGTAATGTGAATATAAGGAACTAATTTACATATAATGAGGTGAAATATTAAAAGAAGACAGAAGGTTAAAAAGTGGTTATAGAAATGCTAAGAATTTAGTAAAGATGTTCAGAAGTCAGAAAGAGGGAGGGAAGGAGGTCGATGCTCAGTCTGAGTAATGTATCAGGTTATAGAATTATGTAACAAAATGTGAATATGATAAATATGGAAAACTCAATAAAAATCATTATATAAAAAAACCCTGCAAACCATACACACAGCAAGTGGAACACGCAAGCCATAGGCACTGACTCTATAGGGCTGAGGTGTCTTCAAGTCCCCACAAAGTCTGTTGGGACAGGTTTGTGCCACCCCAGTCTTGAGGGGCCAGACCTTGCCACGGTGGGCCTTGCTGCTGTGGCAGCAGACCTCGCCGGGGCAGCGGACCCTCCCACTGTTGGGCAGAATTCAGCACCTCCGAGGCAGGAGTATGCCTCCACCTGCTAATATTTTATCCACGAGGATCAAATCTCACCCTCGTCTCAAATTTCCTGGGATGAGTTACCTACACGCAACAGCCTTGAAGTGAGGCTCTCTGAGAAAAGGTTTCCAGTGAAGGCGATGCCAAGTTCCTGGAATAAGGAAGATTAAAACGGGGAACCAGCACCATCGTCCCTTATTTCACAGAAGACACTCTGCAACTAAACAGTCCTGTTCAAGAGAGAACTGACAGGAACTGTGGCAAAACCCCAACCCCTCCGTCTCACTGGAAAACCATGGTTAACACAACATTCAGTTTTACACTAGTCTTTCGTGCAATGGCTTTCAACTGTGTGGCTTTCAGGTAATCCTTTCCTTGTAAGCACATCAGCCATGGAACTCCTGTGTGTAGCAGAGGATTCCGGGGAGTGTTTTGAGAGTGCACAATCAGGCCCTGGTCATACATAAACACACACACACATACTAAAGCGTATCAGGGACAATGCCAAGCTGAATCCTTCATCCAGAGATGCTCGTTTTGCATGTACACAGATTTATTTGTTCATGAAGGGAGTACCGCAAACAGTCAACCTTGAGCCTACAATGGTGCAATGCACTTTACAGCTTTACCATTTGATTCTGCTAAAGCAGCAACTGCTCCCGAGTAAAAGCAGAATGCTTTCTTATGCTCATGCTGGGTCCACCAAGAGAGAAAACGTCTAGAAAAACACATATCCACAGGACTTATTTACACATCTGAATGTGTTGTGTTGGTGCACATACCGTCCTTCAGGAAAGCTCGACTGTGATCTTCTCATTAAACACCCCTAATAAGTTTCTATAGAAACAAGTTCCTAGTCTGAAAAACTCTGCTTCTGTGCAGCGGAGAGAGCCAATCTGCAGTCCACAAATGTGTTCCACAAAGGAATTTAATCTGACCCCTGACTGGCCCTGCTATATTTTAATCAATGCATGGCAGAAGCCTTTTTTCAGGAGATTTTGAAATTATTTTCAGGAAGCTTCCACTACTAAAAACATCACATCTGCCTAGGAAGGGCCATTACTGTGATGCTCTTACTGGTTTGAAAATTCTAAAGCAGTGTATATGTTGTTGTTGTTGTTGTTGTTATTATTAGCTAACTTTATTAAAGAGCCTCAATATCAAAAAAACAAAACCGAAGATCATGGCCACTGGGCCCATCACCTCCTGGCAAATAGAAGGGGAAGAAATGGAGGCAGTGAGAGATTTTACTTTCTTGGGCTCCATGATCACTGCAGATGGTGACAGCAGCCACGAAATTAAAAGACGCATCTTAAAAAGCAGAGACATCACCTTGCCAAGAAAGGTCCGTATAGTAAAAGCTATGGTTTTCCCAGTAGTGATGTATGGAAGTGAGAGCTGGACCATAAAGAAGGCTGATCGCCAAAGAATGGATGCTTTTGAATTCTGGTGCTGGAGGAGACTCTTGAGAGTCCCATGGACTGCAAGAAGATCCAACCTCTCCATTCTTCAGCAAATCAGCCCTGAGTGCTCAATGGAAGCACAGATCCTGAAGCTGAGGCTCCAAGACTTTGGCCACCTCATGAGAAGAGAAGACTCCCTGGAAAAGACCCTGATGTTGGGAAAGATGGAGGGCACAAGGAGAAGGAGACGACGGAGGATGAGATGGTTGGATACTGTTCTCGAAGCTACCAGCATGAGTTTGACCAAACTGCGGGAGGGAGTGGAAGACAGAAGTGCCTGGCGTGCTCTGGTCCAGGGGGTCACGAAGAGTCGGACATGACTAAACGACTAAACAACAACAACAATCATCATCATCATCATCATCATCATCATCATCATCATCACTATTATTTCCTCTCAAACTACAAGGGAGGTGGATTTCGCCCCCGATGCGCGTCCTCCTCTCACCTTTGGCTTGCTCGGCTGTTAGGGAGACGGGCTGGGCCTGGGCCGAGGCGGCCACGGGGCGCTGCAGGCTGGACATGCGGCGGCCGAAGGGAGGCGAGGCGCGGGCGGCGAAGAGGAGACCCGGGAGATCGGAGCAGGCGGCGGCGGCGCCGGGGCTCCCTCCGCTGCTGGCTGCGCGCCCAGGTCAGGCGCCGGGAGGAGCAGCCGCGCGTCTTCCTCCTTCGCCCCGCCGGGAAGACACAGCAGCTGCCTTGCAAAGCATCCCTCCCCGCCCCGGAACGTGTGGATCCGCCTTCCCACTTCCGCGCTGCAAAGCGGGTTGGAAACGCCCCGCTCCGGCTCCACCCCCGGCGGCGACGTCCCTTGAAAGCTAGAGGGAACCTCCGTGTGCAGGGGCAGTCCAGCTGCAGATTCTTTGGAGGGGGGCAAAGCAGCGCTTGGCTTGTTCCCTTTAGCTGCTGTTTCGTTGTTTCAGAGATTCTAATAAATGCCCAATTGATTTGTGAATCCTGCAATATGACTTCTTCTCTTTTGCTGTAATAGTGACACATAGGATTTATTTTTTTTAGTTGCTGCTTTGCTCATAGCGCTTTATAGATGACTGTTTTTTGTAACGATTGGTTAATTATTTTGTATGATTTATGCAGGGCCGGATTTAGGTCTGATGAGGCCCTAAGCTACTGAAGGTAATGGAGCCCTTTTTATGTCCAGCTGTCCTTTGTCAACAACAAATTGACACTGTTTTTTCTGTTAAGTATATTGTTGTTGTTGTTTAGTCGATTAGTCGTGTCCAACTCTTTGTGACCCCCTGGGCCAGAGCACGCCAGGCACTCCTGTCTTCCACTGCCTCCCGCAGGTTGGTCAAACTCATGCTGGTAGCTTCGAGAACACTGTCCCACTATCTCGTCCTCTGTCGTCCCCTTCTCCTTGTGCCCTCCATCTTTCCCAACATCAGGGTCTTTTCCAGGGAGTCTTCTCTTCTCATGAGGTGGCCAAAGTCTTGGAGCCTCAGCTTCAGGATCTGTCCTTCCAGTGAGCGCTCAGGGCTGATTTCCTTCAGAATGGATCGGTTTGATCTTCTTGCAGTCCACGGGCCTCTCAAGAGTCTCCTCCAGCACCATCATTCAAAAGCATCCATTCTTCGGCCATCAGCCTTCTTTATGGTTCAGCTCTCACTTCCATACATCACTACTGGGAAAACCATAGCTTTAACTATATGGACCTTTGTTGGCAAGGTGATGTGTCTGCTTTTTAAGATGCTGTCTAGGTTTGTCATTGCCTTTCTCCCAAGAAGCAGGCATCTTTTAATTTCGTGGCTGCTGTCACCATCTGCAGTGATCATAAATGCCCTATTGATTTGTTAATCCTGCAATATGACTTCTTCTCTTTTGCTGTAATAGTGACGTATAGGATTATTTTTTTAGGTTGCTGCTTTGTTCATAGTGCTTTATGGATGACTGTTTTTTGTAATGATTGGTTAATTATTTTGTATGATTTATGCAGGGCCAGATTTAGGTTTGATGAGGCCCTAAACTACTGAAGGTAATGGGGTCCTTTATATGTCCAGCTGTCCTTTGTCAACAACAAATTGTCGCTGTTTTTTGTGTTGAATATATGCTATATGGTAATTTATGGACCTAATAGGTATCCAAAGCCATTTGCACATGCAGAATGTAGGCACCCTATATATAGAAATGAGCAAACCAGGGATATTTTAGGGAGCAGGCAAGCAGGCAGGGCCCATGACTTACATCCTAGGAGCCTACACAACACAAAACACTGCTGCTGTATGTAGGTTATATTTTATTTGTTTTTTATCTTATATTTTGGAAATGTACATCCAGTTTTCTTCCCTTTGAATTTATTTTGGGCCCCCAAGAGAGTGGGGCCCTACACTATAGCTTGTCTAGCGTATACATAAATCTGGCACTGGATTTATGCCTTACTTGCGCTGTTCTGTTTCGCTCTATTATGTTACTGTTGTTTATTGCTTGTAAGTCGCCTTGGGATTCATAGAATTGTAGAGCTAGAAAGGTACCCCCAAAGGTCATCCAATCGAACCCCCTGCAATGCAGGAATTAATTTGAATGAAAAGCAGCAGAGAAATACAGTCAGTCGCACAGTCAATCAAATGGGTTGCACAGCAAGGTGCTCCTGTGGCCTGATCCTGCAGGGTTTGCTTGATGGTCTGCTGCCCTGCTGTTTTGCTCCTTCGTCTTCCTCCTCAGGCTATGTAGAGCATGTCATTTTGGCTGCATGCAGGTTGTGGGTTGTCACGGGGTTCTTGCACTCCATGACCCACAGATCTGTTAGAGCCCCACGTGGTGAATTTCAAAGCAAGAGGCTGACTTACTGATCAGTATTGTTTAAAAGTGTCCTGACCCAACAATTAAAAATCCTCAATTCCAGTCTGATCTCATTTATAGGAGCACAATTCAAAGTGTTGGCGCTGACTTTCAAAGCCCTGAACGGCCTCGGTCCAGTATACCTGAAGGAGCATCTCCACCCCCATCATTCAGCCCGGACACTGAGGTCCAGCACCGAGGGCCATCTGGCAGTTCCCTCATTGCGAGAAGCCAAGCTACAGGGAACCAGGCAGAGGGCCTTCTCGGTAGTGGCACCCGCCCTGTGGAACGCCCTCCCATCAGATGTCAAGGAAATAAACAACTATCTGACTTTTAGAAGACATATGAAGGCAGCCCTGTTTAGGGAAGCTTTTAATGTTTCATAGATTATTGTATTTTAATATTCTGTTGGAGGCTGCCCAGAGTGGCCACAGAGGCCCGGCCAGATGGGCGGGGTATAAATGATAAAGTATTATTATAGGAGACAAGAGAGATGCATCACTTGGTTGTACTGCCAATACAAAGGGAGATGATCTGGGTGAAATCAAGCCCTTCCAGTCCTCATTGACTTAAATAGGAAGATATGCTAAAGAGATGCTTCACGTCCATTGGGCTTGAAAATAAGTTAACTCTAGTGACTATAGCGCCCCAAGTGCATTTGCTCTAAACACAATGCATGTTCCGAGGTTCTTTGGCTCAGGTATGATTTGCTCACGAGGACAGGACTTGTACCCACGCGTGAAAATACTGTATGGGGGAACCCACGCAGGGGCACTGTTTGAAAGCTTAATCCCGCCTCTCTTCCTATTATATGGATACGAAGGAAAGGAAATGCAATGAAAGAACACATAACGGCTTTTGTAATCTGCAGTTTCATCAGATTTAGGGTGGCTCTCCCCAGCTGCAGCAGAAAGCAGGAATCACTCGGAGCAACAAAAAGAAATCGCTTGACGTTTGTCCACTGAGAACAGAATACGGTTTAGGCGACAGTGACCAGTAATCCCTGCTTGCGGCGCAACGCAAAGCGTCAACAGCGGTGGGAAAAGCAACCCCCTTTTCTGCAGAATTTAGATTTACCCTTGAAAATGAAGCTTTGGGTACCGTCGAGCTCATATGCTAAAAGTAATGGCTTCCGCTGGACACAGTGACTTAAGTTCCACTCCCCTGCCAGTTGACGGATCCTAGGAGCTGGAATATAGGTTCGGAATTTCAAAGCGGAAGAGAGATGGTTTTTAAAGCTACAGGGCTTCTTCAAAATGGGGTGCCACAGAAAAATGGAATAGCTAAATCCTTAGGGTTTCACTGGAGGTTTTTGAACGGTTGCTCCAAGTTTGATGCCCTGCATCTGAAACAACCATAAATGCAAGAGCTATGGTGCTAGTGTGCATCACAGTGTGGTACCTACACCACCTTTCACCACTTAGGTTGGAGTTCCTGGGATAGCTCAGTTGGTAGAGCATGAGGCTCTTAATTTCACGGTCGTGGGTTCAAGTCCTACTTAGGGTGGGGATCCTTCATTGCAGCGGGTCAGACTAGAATCAGCGGTTCTCAACCTGTGGGTCCCCAGAGGTTGTTGGACTACAACTCCCATCACCCCTAGCTAGCAAGGCCAGAGCTCAGGGATGATGGGAGTTGTAGTCCAACAACATCTGGGGACCCACAGGTTAGATGATCCTTGTGGTCCCTTCCAACTCTACAATTCTGTGGCTTTTAGCCTACGAAAAGGAAGCAAGTCGTCTTGCAAGGCTGTGAAAGCACTCTCTACTTGTCCAAGAGCCTTTCCATTTTCCCCAGAAAAACCAACCATTTATGGCTGAATCGTAACAGACATTGATCAGGTTTTCTGTGAATTGATGTTTGTTCCAATTCAGTGGTGAGCAGTGGGTTGAAAAGCCTCTCCAACCCGTGCCTAGAAAGCAGAGAGACACGCAGAAGATGTGGAAAAAGATGTGTGGATGAACCCTTTGGGTGGAGGCCTGGCTCTTAAGACAGCCTCTTGTTCTTACTCAGAAGTTCCCCCACAAACCACATTGAAAGTTGTTTGGTCCACTTTTCGGGGTGGATGCCAGCAGGCAGCTGGTTATTTTGGCTGTTGCTGGTGTACCTAATGTCCTTGTCTGTGCCATGTGCCCACACATCTGCCCAATGAACATCTGCTCGCTATGAAGAGTGCTGCTGTTGAAACATCCATTCTTGCCACCCACCAAGTGGGTGGGTGGGAGGGGAGTAAGAGGAGGGCCAAGCTCAAAGGGGCCTAAAATTAAGACACTTGTTGATTTGGTATTTGATAAGCTTTGTAACTTACTTTTTATGCACATTGTAGCATGATGCGTCACACGCTCAGCTATGAGCTGCCGATTTACCAAGTAAGAAATGAGATTTGGTCAAATGCATCTTTTACTCAGACAAGATCCATTGAAATGAATACACTTAACTTTTTATCATGTTAATTAATTCAATGGATCTACTCTAAGGGGTCACTCACACTTTTGCAAAACCCACATTTTTATTGTATTGTGTACCAATAAATTTCCCCACGGCCGATAGCTATTCTCGATGCTCTATGAGTGTGCCTTGCAAAAATCCGATCTCACTCACTGAATCGGATCTTATCAGATGCATGGACAATCCAAAGAGAGGTCTTGCTTCAGTTCAGTGGGCAAGATCGGATTTTTGCAAGGCAGAGCCGTGGAACAGTAGAGGAAACTCTTGGACCCACGGGAATTAATCGGTGCACAATCCGATCTAAATACGGCCAAGCAAGAGTGTGGATGAGCTGTAATTAAGTTAGCTGAATATTACTCAGAAGTTTTTAAACTGGCAGGTTTTTCCGTATTAAAGTTGAAAGTGGGCATTGTGTACTCCCTCCTTCCACGTGCATAAATCCTTGTGCAAGTAAGGGTGCTGTGGGTGAGAACGGTTTATGCATTTCAGCCCTAGAAAAAGAAAAGAAATGAATTGCACCTGCTGGTCCATCACGTTATCTTACACGAGTATATGCACTGGTGCATTCCTCCACTGCACAGAAGGTATGCCTGGTGAACCCAGTCTTTTCAACAGTTGATCCCTATCACCAGGGGTGTAAAGTGAAGCGAGAGCAGCGGAAAAAACGTCCCCTATCTAAACCTCCCAAACCTGACGCTGGGGATTCCACTAATGCAAGCACAAACCAACATTCTGCTTGCTACTGGAAGAGCAATATGAAAACCTAACTAAAGATTCCGTGGTGGTAGTTTGCAAGGAGGAACTGGGTTCATCCAGCCACTTGCCCAAGCACACGTCAGGAGACACTGAACTGCAGAGCTCTGGAGAAAGGAGACCTTCAGAATAACACCACCACCCCACTCTAATCCAGAGCAACAGATCCTGTTTCCCGCAGTGTCCTGTTCCACTTCCACACTTTGCAACAAAATAGCAGGGGATGTGGTTTCAAAAATCTTATCCTCTTGGTAATAATAGCCCCCACGGGGCGTGCAGAAAACGAACAAAGCAGAACAGTTTCCAGTATGCTTTTTTGTTGTTGCTGCTTTGCTAGTTTCTTTCTCTCCCCCTCCCCAACCCCTGCCCCACACTTTTAAGAGCGCCCTTAATATAAAAATTATTAGAATATGTGGGGGGGAAATTGGGTGTGTAGGGAGATTCTCCTCCCATAGTTGGGCATCTTTTAATGTTCTTATGTAAATATATATGAGGACAGATCAAGATATACAACCGTGAGATTAGACACACACACGGGGAGATCAAGGAACCACAAATTGCTACGCAAAACCGCCACGTCTAACAGAATGTGCATGAGTTAAAAGTACATCAACTGGAAGGGGGTGGAGGGGGAAAGGGGCAGCTGCCATCGTGGAAAGTCCCAAACGTGCTTTTTTTCGTCACTCGGCTGCATCCACCTCCGCCCTCCTCACCCCCATGAGATGGGAGGGGAACGGGCAGTTGCCATCCTTCAAACAGTCCCGCAGCTCGTCAGTGCTCCTTCCCTCTAGGCATGGATACGAAGAAAAACGGCAGCTGCCCTCTTGGAACAGTCCTGTGGCGCTTTGCACCTCTCGGCTCGGCCCCCGTCTCTCGGGGGGCTGAGCAAGAACGTGGCCATGCCTTCTTGAAACGTCCCGCGAGTCTTCTGGACTCTCTCCTGCGTCAAGGCATGGAGGAAGGGGGCTTTTGGAGACTCCCACCATGCCTTCCGAAGTTCCTGCTGACTGGCCACAATTTGCCCGAGGATTGCAGGGGGTGGGGTGGGGAGGGCAGAAAAATAGATGCACGATGGTTTATATACCTTTGCTTACAGGATACAAGGGCACATTTACCCACAGGTTCAAAATCCTTGCCTGGTGTTTGGCGCCCCGCTTGTCCTTCCCCTTTCGCCACCCCCCCCTCCCGCCAGGGGTCAGCCTGCTTTCGTCCCTCTCCCATTAAACGACATTAGAAGTTGTGTCACTGTGCAGCTTCCAGGGTTTGGTTGGCAAATCTTCCTCTCTTCCTCTCTCTTTCTTTCTCTCAGAAGCAGCAGCAGCACCAAGAGTGTCAATGACGTCGCCATGGGGAATGGGATCTGCTTAGAGGGGCTTGTCGCTTTCTTTTTTCAGGTGACTGGGGAGAAGAGCAAGGGGGAGGGGAGAAACAGAGAAGAAAGAGTGAACAAAACACCACAAACGTGCGCCTTTTATTTTGCTCATTTCAAGGCAATCTTGTCACTTTCCATTAGAAGCCTTCTTCTGTGTCCAGTGCAGCTGTCTACCAGCTCCATCTGGTACGCCGGCTGACACTCTACCTGCCCACGCACTGTCTTGCCAGAGTGGTACATGCTGTGGTTATCTCCTGCGTGGACTAGTGCAGTGCACTCTACATGGGGCTACCTTTGAAGGTGACCCAGAAACTAGTCCAGAATGCGGCAGCTGGACTGATGACTGGGAGTGGCCGCCGGGACCATATAACACCAGTCCTAAAAGATCCACATTGGGTCCCAGTACGTTTCCGAGCACAATTCAAAGTGTTGGGGCTGACATTTAAAAGCCCTAAATGGCCTTGGCCCTGCATACCTGAAGGAGCGTTTCCACTCCATCATCCAGCCCAGGCACAGAGGTCCAGCTCCGAGGGCCTTCTGGTGGTTCCCTCACTGCAAGATGGGAAGTTACAGGGAACCAAGCAGAGGGCCTTCTTGGTAGTGGTGCCCGCCCTGTGGAATGGCCCTCCCATCGGATGTCAAAGAAATAAACAACTACCTGACTCTTAGAAGACATCTGAAGGCAGCCCTGTATAGGGAAGTTTTTAATGTTTGATTATTTATTATTATGCTTCATAATAATAATCCCCAGCCACTCTGGGTGGCTTTCAACAAAATATTAAAATACAGTAATGCATCAAACATTAAAAGCTTCCCTAAACAGGGCTGCCTTCAGATGTCTTCTAAAAGTCTAGTAGTTGTTGTTCTCTTTGAAATCTGGTGGGAGGGTGTTCCACAGGGCGGGTGCCACTACCAAGAAGGCTCTCTGCCTGGTTCCCTGTAACTTGGCAGTGAGGGAACCGCCAGAAGGCCCTCTGGCACTGGACCTCAGTCTCCGGACAGAACGATGGGGGTGGAGACACTCCTTCAGATATACTGGACCGAGGCCAGTACTTGTTGGAAGCTGTCCAAAGTGGCATATCATTCTTATTCTTATTCCACTGTAAACATCCTCAATATCACTAGGGCCCTGTGGCAACAGGAAGGACTTTCAAAACACTGAAACACACTTTGGAAACCTATACAGTGGTATCTCAGGTTAAGTACTTAATTCGTTCCGGAGGTCCAAACTTAACCTGAAACTGTTCTTAACCTGAAGCACCACTTTAGCTAATGGGGCCTCCTGCTGCCGCCACGCCGCCGGAGCCCGATTTCTGTTCTCATCCTGAAGCAAAGTTCTTAACCTGAAGCACTATTTCCGGGTTAGCAGAGTCTGTAACCTAAAGTGTATGTAACCTGAAGCGTATGTAACCTGAGGTACCACTGTATTAAGGAGAAGATTGGAAGCTGTTGTGTCTGGGAGCAGGCAGCTTCTTAACAATTCTGCTCTTGGGATCCCTGCTGGTCCCTTCATGCTAGTGCAAAACCAAACTTGTTGCCCCCCCCGCCCCCACCCAAAAAGCCACTCACCTGTAGTAATCCTCCTGGGTGGGGAGCGGCACTCCGTGCAGAGGGTGGTGGGCGTGCAGCCACTGCTGCTGTTCCAGGGCCAGGCGCTGGAGCTCTGCTGACTGTGCATGCATGGCTTGGAGCTGATGCGCTGCCGACATTGGAGCCGAGAGAGAGCCTGGCAGGTCTCTGTAGGGGGCAGCTGGAGCCACAGAACAAAACAAGGACAAGTCACATTTTGGGGTGATCATGGCGATCCGCATGGGTTCTTTGCCTTTAGCAGCGGCACAAAAGAAGAAGGAGAAGAGTTTGGATTTGATACCCCGCTTTATCACTACCCGAAGGAGTCTCAAAGCGGCTATCATTCTCCTTTCCCTTCCTCCCCGACAACAAACACACTGTGAGGTGAGTGGGGCTGAGAGACTTCAGAGAAGTGTGACTGGCCCAAGGTCACCCAGCAGCTGCATGTGGAGGAGCAGGGAAGCGAACCCGGTTCACCAGATTACGAGTCTACCGCTCTTAACCACTACAGCACACTGGCTCGCAGAATTTCAGGCAGAATTTCAGCAGCAGAGGCTGCTTGCCGCGGAGGGCTGAGAAAAGGTGTGTCTGCCCTCGTTCCCTCTTCTGTATATAAGACAAGCTGCCTTGCCACCTTCTTTTGCATCGGGCAACAGCTCTCTAAAGCTTTCAGACAGGAGCCTCTCCCACAGAGCCAGTGTGGTGTAGTGGTTAAGAGCGGTTGACTCGTAATCTGGGGAACCGGGTTCGCTTCCCTGCTCCTCCACATGCAGCTGCTGGGTGACCTTGGGCCATTCACACTTCTTGGAAGTCTCTCAGCCCCACTCACCTCACAGAGTGTTTGTTGTGGGGGAGGAAGGGAAAGGAGAATGTGAGCCGCTTTGAGACTCCTTCGGGTAGTGATAAAGCGGGGTATCAAATCCAAATCCAAACCCCACCCTAGAAATGCTGCGCAGGTTGTACCTAGTGCCTTCTGCATGCCAAGCAGTTGCTCTGCCCGTGAGCCACCCGGCCCTTGCTCTGCGCTTTTGCCTTACAGAGCTGAAGCAGTGCCCCAGCTGAAATCCGCAGTGGGTCTCCTTCAGTTTCCACCTGTCTGACCCAAGAGCCTGCAAGCTGAAGATTCTTCCCTTTATCAAATAACAGTAACAAAACACATTCTAATGTAATTAAAAATAATCTCCCGCGTGCTTGTCGATTGGCACAGCGCCTTGGCATTCATTGGCTGCAACCCTGTAAGCCGGGAGCAGATTTATATTCTCAGTAAGCCATTGGTTACGGGACGCGGGTGGCGCTGTGGGTTAAACCACAGAGCCTAGAAATTGCCGATCAGAAGGTCGGCGGTTTGAATTCCCACGACGGGGTGAGCTCCCGTTGCTCAGACCCTGCTCCAACCTAGCAGTTCGAAAGCACGTCAAACTGCAAGTAGATAAATAGGTACTGCTCCAGCGGGAAGGTAAACGGCGTTTCCATGCACTGTTCTGGTTTGCCAGAAGCGGCTTAGTCATGCTGGCCACATGACCCAGAAGCTGTACGCCGGCTCCCTCAGCCAATAAAGCGAGATGAGTGTCGCAACCCCAGAGTCGGCCACGACTGGACCTAATGGTCAGGGGTCACTTTACCTAAGCCATTGGTTAGAGAGAGAAAATGCTGCCTGCACACTTCCCTGTCTTATTTCCATAAATAAAAGGATAAGAGAAGGACCCACAGCAGAAGAAGGTGTGAAGGAGCACATAATATTTCTGCGAAGACCAGACCCCCAGATTCTATTATCCTACTATCCAAGAGCTCTTCCCTTGCTCCCTAATCAGATCCTCGCTTTTGATTCACAGTTGTTTTGCAGTTCCACGCATGCACCTATGCTCTCTGCCACACTCAATCCATTTTCTCACACTCCCGCTTTTTGTTCTGTCAGTTCTCTTCCCTGCCCCCAAATCTTGCCGCTGCCTTTGCCTCTATGCTGCTGCCCCCCATCCCTGGCAGAGATCTTACCAAAAAGCTGGTGGCGCAGCACCTCATTTTCATGCAGTGGGTGAGGAAGGAGCGGATTAGGGATGGTACCAGCTGGGTAGGGTATCCGGGTGAGATGTGACCCAGAAGCCAGTGGATCGATAAGAGGGTGAACGGAGGCGGAAGCTGAGGAAATGGAGATTTTAAACAGTTAGCTTGTGACATGGGATAGAGAGAGCAACAGCAGAAAAAAAAGGCTCTGTGTAATATGTAATACAGTCCTACCTTGGAAGTCGAACGGAATCCGTTCCGGAAGTCCTTTCGACTTCCAAAACGTTCAGAAACCAAGGTGCGGCTTCCGAATGGCTGCAGGAAGTTCCTGAGGCCAATCGGAAGCTGCAAAAGCCACATTGGACGTTTGGGTTCCCAAAAACGTTTGCAAACCGGAACACTCACTTCCGGGTTTGCGGCGTTTGAGAGCCTAAACGTTCGAGTCACAAGGCGTTCGACTTCCGAGATACGACTGTAAATTCAAATACACTTTGTTCCTGATTTTTTTTTGCATTCAGGCTAAATTGTATGTTAGCATTTATGTGCCATTTTTTCAGTAATCTTTGAACACCCTTGTAAGGTAGACAGGTATTTCCCACACACTGCAGATGGGTATTGGATCCACTGAGAAAAACAGCTATTATTCTTCTTCTTATTATTATTATTTATTAAATTTGTTTACCGTCCTTCATCCCATAGATCTCGGGGCAGTTCACAATATAATATCTACAGCTACAGAGAGAATTTGCAGCTGAGGTGATACGAGGTGCTGGACATCATTGCTCACATTAACATTCATACCACTCCTCTTCCTCTCATGAAGGGGCCTGATTCATGTAACCAGATCCCTGAGAATCTCAACAAGGTTCTAGCTTTTACGCATGCAAAGATAGGAATACAAAGAGCCCCCAAAGAGTGACTGAATAAAATGTCCAGAGGTTATGTCCAGAGACTTTAGTACTTCAGAGTTCATTTTCCCTCCCTAACCAGCAAAAGCAGAATGAAATTTGCAAAATAAGCAACAATTTTGGGTGGACGTTTGCTTGATTTGAATAACAGTATTCAAGTGGCAGAACCCAGCATTTCTCTGCAAAATTTGGATTGCAGAAAAAGTCCACAGATAAGAAAGAGGGAAGCAGAGTCTCAAGAGTTCGTCTTTCAACTTGCAGTCAAAGCCTGTAACAGGCTGAAAATACACAGACTATTAATTAATTAATCGGACTTCCAGGCTATAAAGGACAGCACAGTTCCTTGAAGCTTAACTTCTAGGTGAGGCGCCAAACCCATGTTCGGGTTGTACCTTTCAGACAGAAGGTGGGGGTTCTCACAACTGACTGCTGCTCTGCGCGCAAAAATCCCCATCGCGCAGAAGATACATCAGGTAGAATGATTCTAGTCCCATGTGACACACACCAGTTTCCCATGTGCAGGAGATTATCTTGTATGCAACAGCGTTCATTCATGTAAGAATTCCATGCCCCGCCGGCTGAAATGGCACGGCCAGAACAGAGGCCCGTCACTGTATCATGAGCTGGAAGAGACCCAAATGGTCACCTAGGCTCACCCCCTACAATGCAGGAATATTTTGCCCAACGTGGGGCTCGAACTAACTGCAATAAGTGAAGTTCTGGGGAACCAGGCAGAGGGCCTTCTCAGAAGTGGCACCCTCCCTGTGGAGTGCCCTCCCTTCAGATATCAAACAGATAAACAACTACTTGACTTTCAGAAGACATCTGAAGGCAACCCTGTTCAGGAAAGTTTTTAATGTTTGATGTTTTATTATGCTTTTATTTGTTGGGAGCCGCCCAAATTGTCTTACAAAGCAACTAGAAATAATAATGTCTACATATTTGAATTATGGTGCTGAAGGAGACTCTTGAGAGTCCCATGGACTGCAAGAAGATCAGTTCTCTCCATTCTTAAGGAAATCAGCCCTGAGTGCTCACTGGAAGGACAGATCCTGAAGCTGAGGCTCCAAGACTTTGGCCACCTCATGAGAAGAGAAGACTCCCTGGAAAAGACCCTGATGTTGGGAAAGATGGAGGGCACAAGGAGAAGGGGACGACAGAGGATGAGATGGTTGGACAGTGTTCTCGAAGCTACCAGCATGAGTTTGACCAAACTGCGGGAGGCAGTGGAAGACAGGAGGGCCTGGCCTGCTCTGGTCCAGGGGGTCACGAAGAGTCGGACACAACTAAACGACTAAACAACAACAACAACAATTTTCACTTTAAGTAGCATGGGACTAGAGACTTCCTTTTTTGTTTCAATGAAATATGAAAAACCTGGAAATGTGCCCCAAATCATCATCCATGTTGTTGTTGTTATTGCTGCTGCTATACCACTGTGAAGGTCCTTGATATCGCTAGGGGCCTGTGCTTTCAATATTTTGTTTATTCAATGTTTATTCAATGTTTAATATTTCATTTAATATTTTGTCGGGAGCCACCCAGAGTGGCTGGGGCAACCCAGTCAGATGCATAGCCTAGACATAATGTAATTATTATGATTAAGGACCATACTTAAAAGCAAGTTGGAGAGAGAGGCCCCGCTCCTCACCTGCGTGGATGGCGTCCTGCTGGTGGAGATGGAGATGGGAGTGGATGTGGGAGTGCTGGTGGTGATGGGGGGTCACGTTGAGCATCTGCAGCCGGGCCAAGGGGTCGTTGCTCAGGGCGGCCACCCTTTCAGCATGCTGCCGCTCAGCCGCCAGTCGCTCGGCATAGGACATGTCGGGCCGCAGGGCAGGGCCGGCCGCCAGCGCTAGCCGCTCCCTCTCCAGGTGTCCCAGCCCCGGGTGGAAAGGGAAAGCGGGATGCAGGCCCGGGCCGGCCTGCAGAGCCAGCCCCCCATGCCGCGGGAAAGGATCCATGGTGGCGCTGGGCACGGCGTGCAGCTGCTCCAACTCGGCGGGCTTCACCTCGAAGCCGGGCTTGAGGCGTTCGCGCAGGTCGCGGTCCCGGAGGTCTCGCTCGCGGGCCTCCCGCTCTCTCAGCTCCCTCTCCCGGGTGGCCGGGTCGCTGCTGTAGATGGCCGGCACGTTGTAGCCCAGCAGTCCGGGGTCCACCGCGCCCAGCGGGACGTAGAAGGGGTGGTTGCGGTTGCTGGGGGACATGACGTGGGGCCGCGCGTACTCGCTGAGGGTGCGGAGCGCCGGCGTGTCGGGGCCCAGGTAGGGGGGGACAGTGGCAACGGCGCTGCCTTGCTCAAACGACGGGCGGTGAGGGACGGGCCCCAGGGAGGCGCACTCCACTGCGCGGCCTTCTTGCGCCACCTTCTGCAAAAGACCAGAGAGAGGCGTGTTCGATTGATTATGTTTCTATGCCACTTTTTAGTCAAAGAAATCCCAAGGCGTGTTCGATTGATTGATCGATTCTGTTTCTATGCAGCTTTTGATTCAAATAAACCCCAAAGCGGCTTACAAACAACAGATAAAAATAACATAATGGAACATCACAAATACAGTGGTACCTCGGGTTAAGAACTTAATTCGTTCCAGAGGTCCGTTCTTAACCTGAAACTGTTCTTAATCTGAAGCACCACTTTAGATAACCACCTCTCGCTGCCGCCGCACCACCACTGCGCGATTTCTGTTCTCATCCTGAAGCAATGTTCTTAACCCGAGGTACTATTTCTGGGTTAGCGGAGTCTGTAACCTGAAGCGTATGTAACCTGAAGTGTATGTAACCCGAGGTACCACTGTACAGCATGAATCGTATGGAATACAGTGGTACCTCGGGTTACATACACTTCAGGTTACATACGCTTCAGGTTATAGACTCCGCTAACCCAGAAATAGTACCTCGGGTTAAGAACTTTGCTTCAGGATGAGAACAGAAATCGTGCTCTGGTGGCGCGGCAGCAGCAGGAGGCCCCATTATCTAAAGTGGTGCTTCAGGTTAAGAACAGTTTCAGGTTAAGAACGGACCTCAAGAACTAATTATGTTCTTATCCCGAGGTACCACTGTACTTAACAAATCATCAGTAAAACAATCCCAAATCAAACAATTACCATCTATGTAACACTATTAACAAAACAACTAAAAATAAGATAAACATTGAAGTACAACATTCATAGCTATAAAATAATATTAACGACATTAACAAAACAAAGTGTTGAATTTGTACACGTGCTCTCCCCTCTGCCATGACTCATAAACTTTCATTCTATTCAATGCATCAAAATACACCTGTACACAACACTCCTCAATGAGCTACATTCCTTTTCATTAGCAGCAAGGGGTCCTGTGTTAGTCAGAAGTGAGCCAGAAGTAAATCACACTGTGCAAGTTGAGAATTACCTCTTTATTGGCAAAAACATGATTGACACGAGTGTCAGGCCTAATGAGCACATCAACTCGTCTCCAGTAGGGCTTGCCCCCATGAAGCATTTGCTGAGATTGAAGGTCCCTGCCTCCTCACAACTGCCTAAGTCCCCTCCTCTCTGGGTCTCCCCCCCACAAGCAATCGGATACTGCGCCTGCGTGAAGTCAACCTCTCCTCTGCCCTTTTCATGCCTCTTCTGGTTCTGGGAGCGCTTGTTGTAGCAGGAGGGAGAGACACCCGTGACTCTTCACCAGCTGGACTCATCTCTGCCTCTTGACCTCTCTCCTCTCCTGCTTCAGCTTCTGCCTCTTATTCTGGACTTCTCTCTGCCACAGACTCTCCCCGCTCACTAAGCCCTGTGACCACTTCAGCTTCTACCTCCTCTTCCCCACCTTCTTCCTCTGACCACTCATCATTGTCCCACCACCAATCTCCGGACTCTGAGCCTTCTCTGCTTGGGGGGTTCCCAGCTGATTTCTCCCACCATTCCTCAGCGTCCAACCGGTCCATGACAGTTACAGGCATAACTGAAAAGGCCTTGTCCCAAGTCAGGCCATTCATTCGTCAGGTTTGGCACCAGACCACCATGTTGACTACACCATTGTTCTGTCCAACATTGGCTCTCCTCATCACTGGTGGAAACCTGGCAGTTCCCTACCCTTTGAACTGGGAAACGGGGGCTCCAGCACCAGTACTTACCACACTTCTTTCCAGCTCCCGTTCTTTCTCCCTCTCCCTCTCCTTCTCTCGCTCTCGCTCCCTTTCACGCTCCTTCTCCTCCCGGGCCTTCTGCTCAGCCTCCCTGCGCACCTTCTCCACAAGATCTGCCCGCTTCTTAGCCAGCTTGGAGCCGTCCAGTGGTACAAAGTAGAGATCGGTCCGTGAGCAGGAGTTGAAGCCGCGATCCAGGTGTTTATTGAACCTGTGGAAGGGAAGAAGGAAGAAGGCATCAACGCCCAAATAAAACGGAGAAGGAGGGAAGGCCAAAAGTGGTGAGGACAACTGAGAAATATGCCTTCAAAGGAAAATAGCATGTATATACAGCCATACCTTGGAAGCCGAACGGAATCCAAATCACGGCTTCCGATTGGCTGCAGGAAGATCCTGCAGCCAATTGGAAGCCGCGGAAGCCCCGTCGGATGTTTGGCTTCCAAAAATAGTTCGCAAACTAGAACAGTCACTTCCAGGTTTGCGGCGTTCGGGAGACGAAACGTTCGAGAACTAAGCTGTTCGAAAACCAAGGTCCAACTGTATCTGAATCCTCCAAAACCCAGGAAGGGGGGGGAAATGCCTCTCTAGCTAGCCTCTTGGGATTCTTCCCTATGCCATTCTGCCTCCCCAGACTATGCCCCTCATGGATCCTGCTCCCTAATTTCTCAAGCAAAAATATATATGATTTCTCCAATCTGTGTGAATTAGGTCATTGAAGCCAATAGGCAGAATTCTCTCTCTCTCTTTTGTTGTTGCATACTTTATCCTGTTTCCACTAGTGTTGGTGGGGGATGAGGAAAGCAAGGAATGTTGTGGGGCACTAGTGAAAACTGCCACCCACTTGAACCACAAAAAGTCCAATTCTGGCTTCTGAGATTTTCCAAGGCGCATCCTACAGCCCCGAGGCACAGGGAAGTCTCTGGGGCACATTTCCAGGTTTTTAATACACGTTCGACCTCGGAAGTCAAACGGAATCCGTTCCAGAAGTCCGTTTGACTTCCAAAACATTCAGAAACCAAAATGTGGCTTCTGATTGGCTGCAGGAAGTTCCTGCAGCCAACCAAAAGCCATGGGAGCCCTGTCGGACATTCGGGTTCCAAAGAATGTTCACAAACCAGAACAGTCACTTCTAGCTTTGCGGCGTTAGGGAGCCAAAACGTCCGAGTACCAAGGCGTTTGGGATCCAAGGTACGACTGTATTTCACTGAAACCAAAAGGAAGGGTCTAGTCCTATGCTACTTAAAGTGAAAACATGTAGGCATTATTCTATCCAGTTGCTTTGTAAGAAGAAGGCAGGGGACCACTTTGGCCATTGAGAGCAAAACCACCAGAAGGTGACTAAGGTGCTGTGCTTGGATTGGCGGTTCACACACAGTGCAGGCCCAATGGCAGAACTTCTTTTATTACAGTCATACCTCGGGTTAAATATGCTTCAGTTTGAGCATTACTTCCAGGTTTCGCCACTCGCGCATGCGCAGACGCTCAAAATGACGGTACGCGCATGCGCAGAAGCAACAAATTGTGACACACACGCAGATGCGGGTTGCGTTCTACTCAGGATGTGAACGGGGCTCCGGAACGGATCCCGTTCACATCCAGAGGTACCACGCTATGTGCTCTGAGATTTCTGAACCCTTCCCGCTCATCCTTACCCCATCTCTCCCCCATTCCTCTCCCTTCCACCCTGTCCCTGGCTCCCTTTCCTTCCTCACCTTGCAGACTGGCTGGCATGGCTTGCCACGTCCACCACCTTGGGGGCTGGCGAGGGGCTCCGGACGGGGGGCATCGGACTCTCCGGGGGCTCATATTCCTCGGAAGGCTCTTGCTTGATCTGCGCTGCGCTGAGGGGCAGCGGGGGCAAGGGAGGGGGAGGGGCCGGCATACCCCCCGCAGCTGGGGGGGCCACGGGGGCCGGCGAGGGGGCCTTGTAGCCCCCGCCTGCCGGGGAAGAGGCCAGCCTGTACCCCGGTGGGGTGGCAGCACGGAATGAGGACGCTGAGGAAGAGGAGGAGGAGGAGGAAGGAGGGGAGCCCGGCTTGTAGGGGGCCGGGGGCTGGAAGGTGGGGGACGGAGAGGCTGTCCGCTTCCCATAGGGGGTTACCGAGGGGGGCCCCGCAGGGGGCGACGCTGTCTTGTAGGGTGCTGCTGAGGCGGAGGCCATGGTGGTGATGACGGTGGAGAGGGTGGCGGAGGCAGAGGTGACCGGTGGTCCGGCTCCGTGGGCAGGCGAAGGCGGTGGTGGCGGTGGGAATGAGTAGGCCGTGGTGTTTTGCCCCTGGGGGTGGCTGCAGACTCCCGGGTACGTTCCCTGGGGTGCAGAGGAGGAGGAAGAAGAGGAGGTGGTGGAAGAAGAAGAAGAAGAGGCAGAGGACGAGGCGGCGGAAGAGGAAGCCGCAGAGGGGGCCTGGCTGTACGTGGCATGGCCGTGGGGTGGGTAGAGGCGGAGGCCATAGGCGGCATGGGACGGGTGGTGCGGGCCTGGCTCCAATGGGTGGGGATACCCTCCGGGGGCCTGGGGGGCTGCTGCAGCCGCTGCCGGGCCACCCGCACCACTGCCGTGGCTGTGATGCTGGTGCTGTTGCTGGTGCAGGGCAGCCTGACCCGGGAAGGCGGCTGGAGGGTGTGAGCCGACGTTGCCCAGGGGGCGGCTATAGGGCGGCGGCCCTTGGCTCCACACTGGCTGGGAGGGCATGGAGGGCTGGGTGTACTTGGGTGGCTGGCTGGCGACGGAGAGGCTGCTGGGCTGGGGGAAAGAGTGGCCGTAGGAGGAGCTGTAGCTGGGGAGGGCCTGGGAAGGGGGCGGCAGAGCGTACTGGGCGGCCGAAGAGCTGGGCGGGGGCGGAGCGGGGGCGTAGGGGTAGCGGGAAGGGACGGGCGACTTGTCTTGGCCCATCCCGTGGGGGGGCGGGAGGTGCCCGCCCAGCGCTTGCCCCGCCACCCCCGGGGAGCTGGAGGCGGCCGACATATTGTTGAGGGGCCTCAGAGCGGGCGGCGGAGGCAGGTTGGCAAGGACGTGGGGGAAAGCGGCCGCGGAGGAAGGGAGCACCGAGGGGGAGTTGTTCGGAGGGGTTTTCTGAGGGGGCAGGCCCCCCGCCACCGGGGCCAAGGAAATGGGGGTTGTCGGGGGCGGGTTGTGCTTGGTGCCAAGGGCTTGCTCTCGCCCGCCTGGCGTGGGGAGGCCTGGCCCTGTGCCAACTGCTTTGGGCCCCATCTGGACCACGTTGGCGCCAGAGTAGAGGGGGACGTGGGTCGTGCAGGAGGAGGAGGAGGTAGAGGAGGAAGGTGAGGACGAGGAAGAAGAGGAATTGGCAGACAGAGTGGGAGGTGGCGGGGCTTGCGCCTGGAAAATCCTTGAGGCCTGGGCCTCAAGTTGCGGCTGGTAACTGCCGGCGGGGCCAGGAGGATGGACGTCCCCTGCCAGGCCAAAGTTTGGCTCTGGTGGGCGAGCTAGGCCCTCTGCCAGGGGGGCAGGAGAGGGGCTCTGGGGGAAGAGTGGGGGGTGGTGGTAGGAGCGGGCCGGCCCCTGGGACAGCACTGAGGAGGAGTCGGAGTCGTTCTCCACGCTGCCGGGGCTGTAGACGCTGGGCGAGGTGCTCCGGTTGTCCTGGTCGATGTCGCGAGGGTCGCTGCTTGTCTCATCGTTGAAGCTGTGGCCGTCGAGGCTGTCAACGTCCGAGGGAGACTGAGGCCTCGGCAGCTCCTGGAGTGAAAAGATGAGTCACAGGTTGAGCAGAGGGTCTCACAAGGGGGAGGGTCCTAGAGGGAGAATTTGGGTGCACAGCAAATTTGGGCTCTCCAAGGGTGGTATGCCTTGCTCACACAAGAAGAACCTGCAGCCATTGTGGCTTGGTGAGGTCTCAGGTATGGAAGCACATCAGCCAGGTAGCTGGACCTAGCACAGGTGAGCACAGGAAATAGGTGAACACAGGAAAGGCAGGAACAGCCTTAGAAGGACCTGGGACAAGACACCTCAGGAGGTGTTTGGGGCACGCAGGGAGAGGAGGCCTGTGGCCAGGGAAGCCCCACCTCGGTTTTAGTTTTCTTTGGGGCATTGGTGTCCTCTCCTTCGCTCTCCGATATCTCCTCTGGGCGGCTTTGCTTGCTTCCTTTAGGGGCCATGGACTCCTCCACCCGACCCTTCTGCAAGGCAGAGAGAAGCCCGGTTAGAAATTTCTTCCCCAAGTTTTGCAATGTACGTTTGTTTGGTTTTTTGCCTTCTATTAACTGTGGAAAATATAATGTAACTTGATGTGCATGCTAGACTAGCTGAAACTGCTTCCTGTACTAATCCAAGGAATGATCCCATCGTTCAAAGTTCGGGACGAGAACGGGAAGGCATTGTGAGGCTTTGCAGGTGATCATATTTTGTTACTTGATGACAGAACACAGGAGAAGTGATTACAAAGAATTGTAGAGTCGGAAGGGACCCTGAGGATCATCTAGTCCAACCCTCTGCAATGCAGGAATGTGCAGCTGCCCCATATGGGGATCGGACCTGCAGCCTTGGCGTTATCAGACCACACTCGGACCGACTGAGCTATCCATGTTTGTGAGAGTGAAGATAATGCAAATTAACAAGTGGACAATAATTGCTCCAAAGAGGAAGCACTCTGGGATGCATAACTGAGTGCTGCAAAGCATTTGCTCACAGGAGCAATTGTTGTTCAGTTGTTAATTTGTATTGCTCTCACTTGGACACAGTGCTGACACTGAGAATAGCACTGTGAGGCTTTTCCATCCAGGAGGAAGAAGCAACAGACAGACAGACAGACAGATAGATAGATAGATAGATAGATAGATAGATGGATGGATGGATAGATAGATAGAAAGATAGATAGATAGATAGATAGATAGATAGATAGAGAGATGGATGGATGGATAGATAGATAGAAAGAAAGACAGACAGACAGACAGACAGATAGATGGATGGACAGATAGTTAGAAAGATAGATAGATAGATAGATAGATAGATAGATAGATAGATAGATGATAGATAGATAGATAGATAGATAGATAGATAGATAGAGATAGATAGATAGATAGATAGATAGATAGATAGAGGTGCTAAAGAATCAGTTGCTGGGTAAAACAACTTCACTCAAAAGGATTTTTGAACAGCAACTATTTTAACAATCTAAGTGGTTTTTTGGAGAAATTTCTAAAACAGCTTTTTTTTTTTAACGCAATTTTTCATTGAGACTTTCAAAAAGGTTAAGGAAACAAAATCATATTAACAAGGCCGCACAAACCCCTGCAAAATCACAACAAAGGTGAATTAAATAAAAGGTAAACATTCATCATTGCTTGTTCTAATTTTCCTGACTCTTGATAGGGTCATGATGGTGCAGCAGAAAAGTTCCAGAGATGCCATCTTACTGGTCTCAGGTACCGTGTGCCATGGATGTGAAGAATTCCACAGACTTGCATTTCCCATTGGTGCATTTGGGTAGAACATCTTGCTTCTACTGCACATAAAAACCAAAACTGGGGACTATCTGGTGCAACTCAAATAAGTGTGTTACTGTCACTTCCAGTTCTTGAGCTGCCAAAGTGTAGCTTGACACAGAAGCTATGATGACCTACCTTGGAAGTTTGCCGGGATTTCTCAGCCTTGCCATCACTGCTGGAAGTGCTGACGCCACCTGGAGAGGCTCGGCCCCGTGTCCTGAGCTCCTCTCGGGGCCCTGGAGTCTCCTTCTTCCTACCACTCCGCATCGACATCTGCAGAGAAAATTAACGGAGAGACGAGAAGCTTCTTTCAACGGTCCTGTTAAAGTGTCTCCTGCTTATCCCAAACTGGGGCCAATCCCACCCTGTTCTGACAAGTGTTTCTCAGGGTTGAATCGCACCATCGCTTTGATGCAAGGAACTAGCAAAGTGATAGGTTCCCCCCCCCCCCCGGATTATATTTTATTAAGTTTCAACATTTTTAACATATACAAGCAAAGCACAATTTCGTCTTTTTGCTTTTTTTGTCGACTTCCCACCTTGTTTTCCATGGAGTTGCTGTTCCTCCCCTTCTGGTGCACCCTATCTTCCATCTATTAAATCATAACCACAATTATTATAATCTAATTACATCCGTTGGTTCATAGCTCAAATCCTGCTCATGAGTTCCATCATGCTATAATATTTCCTTAAGTATCCCGAAAAAGCCATCCATTCTTCCATAAAACACTCATCATTAGCTTCTCTTCATTTTGCTGTTAATTTTGCCAGTTCTGCCTAGTCCATTATCTTACTTATCCATTAATAAATCTGCAGTTTTCACACTGTGTTTCAGGAAACTCTGAGGTTCCTTGGAGGCTTGTCAAGGATGCCTCGTTGTGGACTTCAACAATGGTGCACAAACTTTCCTGAAAGGCACTCTGCCCATTACTGCTGCTCATCCTTTCAAATCAGAACCAGTGAAGGCGGTGAAGGTCCTGTGTGAGTGTCTGGAGGTGGTTGGAGGATGGATGGCGGCTAACAGATTGAGATTGAATCCTGACAAGACAGAAGTGCTGTTTTTTGGGGACAGGGGGCAGGCTGGTGTGGAGGACTCCCTGGTCCTGAATGGGGTAACTGTGCCCCTGAAGGACCAGGTGCGCAGCCTGGGAGTCATTTTGGACTCACAGCTGTCCATGGAGGCACAGGTCAATTCTGTATCCAGGGCAGCTGTTTACCAGCTCCACCTGGTACGCAGGCTGAGACCCTATCTGCCTGCAGACTGCCTTGCCAGAGTGGTGCATGCTCTGGTTATCTCCCGCTTGGACTACTGCAATGCGCTCTACGTGGGGCTACCTTTGAAGGTGACCCCGAAACTACAACTAATCCAGAATGCAGCAGCCAGACTGGTGACTGGGAGCGGCCGCCGAGACCACATAACACCAGTCTTGAAAGACCTACATTGGCTCCCAGTACATTTCCGAGCACAATTCAAAGTGTTGGTGCTGACCTTTAAAGCCCTAAATAATTTTTGGAAGCTGCCCAGAGTGGCTGGGGAAGCCCAGCCAGATGGGCGGGGTATAAATAAATAAATAAATTATTATTATTATTATTATTATTATTATTATTATTATTATTACTATTATATTCCTTCTGCAAGGGGCTGTTGTACATGACCCAGGTGCATCGTAAGTGAAGATTCATGAGGCCCCACGAACCTGACCAGACCCTGTGTGAACTGAATGTACACCCTAGAACAGGAGTAGCCAATGAGGTGCTCCCCAGATCATGCTGGATCACAGCTCCCAACATCTCTGACCAATGGCCAAGTCGTCTGGGATTGATGGGAGTACGAGTCCAGCAACATCTTAGAATATTTTCTCCCGAGAATTCTAAAGCAGGCAAGTTATCAAGGTGAGACATTTGAAGGTCTCTGCACTAAAGCTTCCATTCATTATTTGGTGGACCTCAATCTTAATCAGCAGAGGCTGACAGTTTGGGGAACACAGTTATTTCACTGAAGGACGTTTGTAATAGGGGATTGTAATGGGGGATTAAAAAGAACACTCTTTAGGATGACCTTTCCTCCCAAGAGTGATTAGTTAACTTTAGTTTATTGATTGGTTAATAATCCAGCTTTACTTTTCATATATTGAAAACGCACCTATCTTGAGGGTGGTTTTTTTTTTGTTAGACATGGCTTTATTTAGAATTGAGTCACTTAATTTATAAATTAAAAGGCAGACAATTAATCAACTGAAACAATTTAACACCCAAATCCCCCCTTTTTTTGCTTCTTTTATCCCTCCAAACCGCACCCTCCCAGGCAAAGTGGGCCTCAAAAATTATCCATCACCCAGGTGTAGGTGGTCCACAAGTGACCAGCTCCCCTGCTATTTATGTACATGAACCCTTAAGCTTTTCCAATGTCCTCAAAGTCTGCCCTGCAGACCCCCCTCTAAGTTTATTCTACCTCATTGCCCCAAACAACTTGGATGGCTTTAAAAGGAGCTGAGACAAATTCATGGAGGGTAAGGCTTCTGGCTATGATGGCTTTGCAACAATACTGGAGAGACCCTGAGTCCTTCCCCCTCTCTACCCCGCAATCTCCTGGGCACTTACGGAGTCTTTATTCTGTCGAGTCTTCATTCTTTTGGATGTAGGGTCCCCATTCTCCTTTGTCCGAGTGGATGAAAACATTAACTTTTATACAGTCCGCCACACAACTATTCCTTGGGAGACTGAGGTGTGAGCCTCAAGGGGTAAAACAACCTCTGCTCTTCAGGGAAAGGGCAGGGAGAACTTTGTCCAAGGATGCTAGGCTCCCAACAATTCCTAAAACAGAGAATTTTGGTTAGTGGGAAGGATTAAGAGGTCTGGAAGTGCTGTGTAGGTGAATCATAGCTAGAGATTTGTTCCTTCCTTGATTTATATCCCTCCTTCTTTCCAGGGAGCTCAAGGTGGCGAACATAACTTCTCCTCCCCATTCTATCTCCACAACGACCCTGTGAAGTAGGTTAGGCTGAGAGGCAGTGGCAGGCCCAAAGTCATCCAGTGAGCTTCGCAGCAGAGGGGGGATTTGAACCCTGGTCTCCCAGGGCCTCATCCAGCACTCTGGAGAAACCCAGCCAGATGGGTGGAGTATGTATGTATGTATGTATGTATGTATGTATGTATAAATATATTATTATTATTATTATTATTGCATAATGCCCCTTAACCTCAGTTCCTTTCAGTGAATACACAGTTACAATTTAAAACACAACAAATTTCACTAAGCATTTCAGAGCAGCAGAGAGAATTGAGTCTATGCTTTCATTTTGTTCATTTATAGACTACAGTGGTACCTCTGGTTAAGTACTTAATTCGATCCGGAGGTCCGTACTTAACCTGAAACTGTTCTTAACCTGAAGCACCACTTTAGCTAATGGGGCCTCCTGCTGCCACCGCGCCGCCGGAGCACGATTTCTGTTCTCATCCTGAAGCAAAGTTCTTAACCCGAGGTACTATTTCTGGGTTAGCGGAGTTTCTAACCTGAAGCGTATGTAACCTGAAGCATATGTAACCCGAGATACCATTGTACGTCCCCCAAAACTGGCAAGAACAACATAAAAAAAGAAATCATTTATTGCCACAAAATACAACAAAACATCGACACTACGACTGCTTATTGTTGTTCCTGAATTATTATGTTGTTGCTCTTATTTATCTGTTTGAACATTAACAGTGGTTCCCTCTCCTTGATCGCATGTCTGTGAAGCTGGACTACAAGAAAAACCCATTGCTTCAAAAATTTGCTCAATTCATAACCATGCTACTTATATCCTTTTATAAAATCATGGAAACATGGGTTATTTTAAGCGCCTTATAAAACAGAACTCCCCCACCAAATGCGCTGATAAATTATAGTCAAGAAAATGTATATTACACATGACTCCCAAAAGGAAATCAAGTCACTGGGCTTTGACCAGAAGATGCAGTCAGTTATTTATTTTAATGTTACTCAACAAATTGCATATAGTTGATGACCATTTCACATGGAGGGTCCGTTCTTGGCCCCCGTATGTGTCAGTGGAGCAAGTTCATCCTGTGCAGTTATGGCACGTGTTTTGTGACATTTTTGGTTACTTCCAGGCTTGGCTTGTGTGCTTGTGCACAATCTCACATGTTTCAGATGTGTGCTAATAGGTCACCCCCTGTCTACCACTTTCACTGCAGTAAAACCTCTAGGCGATTTACAAGAAATATTAAAAGTATCAATAAAAACATTATTTTTTAATTTAAAATGAACAGTAAATGTGATTAAAACACATCCATATCCCTGTGTCTGGATTTCTGCTTCTTTTCTGACTCCCGTTACCATTCTAGGGCCACTGCGATCTGGTTGACGTCCAGACATGACCCATGTGGGGTGCCATTTTGCATGGTAAAGTCATTTATTAGGAGCACAGCTTACATGGCTTGGGCTAACCCCAACCATGCCAGCTCATATTAATGTTGTGCCTCACAGGCGGTGTTAGAACTCAAAGCTAGGTGCTAAATGGCTCCTTAAACCAGGGTTACAACTGCCTAAACAGAATGTCTAGTTGCCATTTTGGGGCCAGACGGCTTGGGAGTCATATTTTTCATTACGTTTTGGTTCCTGAAATCCGTTCTGATTGTGCAAATAAAATATCATGGATAGAATTCCAAAGGATGTGTTGCTAGTGTGTGAAAATAGGCAAGATCCTATTATTATCCACCCCCATCATCCAGCCAGGACACTGAGGTCCAGCTCCGAGGGCCTTCTGGCAGTTCCCTCACTGTGAGAAGTGAGGTTACAGGGAACCAGTCAGAGGGCCTTCTCGGTAGTGGCACCCGCCCTGTGGAACGCCCTCCCGTCAGATGTCAAGGAAAGAAACAACTATCTGACTTTTAGAAGACCTCTGAAGGCAGCCTTGTTTTTAATGTTTTATGTTTTATCGTGTTTTTAATATTCTGTTGGGAGCCGCCCAGAGTGGCTGGGGAAACCCAACCAGATGGGCGGGGTATAAATATTATTATTATTATTAGTTGTCTAATCAGGCCAAATGACACTTTAAATCCAGGTTACTATTGCCACAACAATGGAATGTCTATTCGCCAGGGGGTTGGGCTACATGACCCTTGAGGTTTTCTTCCAACACTACAATTCTACACTCTCAACTGCATTGCTTGACTGTAGCTTGCTCTTACAGCAATTCACTTGTCCCACTATGCAGGAAGGAGAAGCAAACACACTTAGTGGAAATGGAAATGGAAATAGTTAAGTTGTGGGTGAACATATCAGACGACACAGCAATTCTTCAAACAGCTCTTGTTTATTCACAGCTCAGAACAGAACTGAACTGAAGGGTTCAGCCAGCCTGCTTATATAGAGCTCCACTACAACGCAACTGTAACCATTTTCTGTAACTATCCAATCACTGAACGTTACTTTCAATCCCTTATTTGCATATGTGGACCTGAACTATCTACAGTATCCCCCTGCTGGCCCAGGGTGAGAACTTCAGTACATAACAGAAATGGAAATGGAAATGGTGTAACTATGGACTAAGGCAGAAATTTTTAAACTGTGGTCACCAACCCGGTGGCCAGAAATCTCCACATAGCCGCAATTGGACTCTCACCGGTGGCAAAACGTGCCTGGCTCATTTCCAACACTGAGCAGAACCAGTGAAGCTTTCAGAAGCTCCCTGTCATATTGCCACTTCGTTCCACGGAAAACTGCCCCATGTCAGCACTGACTGGCATCTCCGCAAATGTGGATTTGTTAGGACACATAGCTACTTCTGTGTCGTCCCCCACCCCAAAGTTTTCACTTCAAAATAGTTCTCTAATCAAAGATCCCCCCCTCCAGTTTTAGGTATAAGAATATGCCCGCAACATCAGCACCATGCAGACAGAAGAAACCTCTTTCGTATCAGCAGAACTTAAATTTCTGTTCCTTGCTTTCTGCCACCTCCTCATGCCTGGAAATCCCTATGTCACCCACCCATCCACCCCATGTTGTTGTTGTTTTTTATCCCACCAGGGACGTGGGTGGTGCTGCGGTCTAAACTACTGAGCCTCTTGGGCTTGCCCATCAGAAGGTCACCCCTGCGACGGGGTGAGCTCCCGTTGCTCAGTCCCTGCTCCTGCCAACCTAGCAGTTTGAAAGGATGCCAGTGCAAGTAGATAAATAGGTACCGCTCCGGTGGGAAGGTAAAGGGCATTTCCACATGCTCTGGTTTCTGTCATGGTGTTTCATTGCGCCAGAAGCGGCTTAGTCATGCTGGTCACATGACCCGGAAGCTGTACACTGGCTCCCTCGGCCAATAAAGCGAGATGAGCGCCACAACCCCAGAGTCGGCCACGACTGGACCTAATGGTCAGGGGTCCCTTTACCTTTACCTAACATTTACAGTACAGAACAATCAAGTAGAAATAGGGCATTCTCTTCTGCAAGTCCCATTGAAGTGAATGGGATACATGTTAGAATATAGCGCTGCTCTTGCACAGCTCCTGTTTGTTCCCTTTAATGTGAGATGCACAAGAGAATTTCATGAAGGAATGAGTTTAAATGCACACATATTGCTATTCACTATCCTGGAGATGCACTCAAGCAAATTTGTGGGTGGGAAGGAGGTATCAATTTCTCACTTATTTCACAAAATCTATAAACCGCTTGACTGTAAGAAAACAAAGAAGAATTAACTACAATAATTTGAGAATTTTGAAAAGGTAAAATAACAAGAAACAGATTAACAGATTCTTCGTTTAAAATCTAATGTTAGGCTGAATACCCCTACTTGGGAGTAATTTCCACTGAACACAATAGGACTTGCTTCTAGGCAAGCATCCTTAGGCTCATGCCGTAAAAAAACTAGGATCATTTTGCATCATGCAGAGTTTTTGAAAAATGAAAATATAACAGATATTCTGGGTTGCAGAACAGTTCGCAGCTCCTAGCGGTGTTTAGCAGTATTCCCCTTTTCACAGGGAAAACATTCACACTCAGAAATCCAGCAGTTCATTAATGCTAAGCAAGAAAATGTGTTTCATGTTAACTAATCTCGCTTTGAGCTATTTTGGAAGGTCACGGTCTATTTCCTGCAACATACAGAACAGTGTGAGAAACTCAGATATATAAGCTAGGTGTCAAATGGCTCCTTAAACCAAGGTTGCAGTCGCCAACATGGAATGTCTAAGTTGCCACTTTGGGGCAAGACGGCTTTCCATTTCTATACCGACTTATATTTTAAAGAACAAATATCAAAGTGGTTTACAACACATTGAAACATCAAATAAAATAATCCAGAATAAAACAAAATTAAACTTCAAGGAAAATATTTCAGGTCCTTCTCTTAAGTGACATTTTGCTTTCCCCAGGCACCAGCCTGGCATCCAGAGATCTCCACGTGGTCACAATTGGACCTGCCCCAGTCGCAAAATACGCCTGGCTAATTTCAAACCCTGCCAGGATGAAGTAGGGACCTCTTCATCTGCAGTCAAATGGCGTACCGTGACTCCGGACAGTCACATGGAAAACTTATCAGGCCCTTTCCCAAAGCTGGTAGGCCAACAGACCATTTCTGACCACCAAAACATCTTCTCCTGGATGCTAGCATTTCAAGATATGTAGGCACATCAAGGAACCCATCCTGCTAGCAAACACCAGTGCAAAACCTCCTATTAGTACA